GGGCTCTCAAAAGCGCCGTTTTGGGCGTGGTTGTGTTGCTTTTTGGGAGACAATGGGGGGGTTTCCTGAGTTTTTGCGGTGCTTAAACTTGCTTGCTTTGGAATGGAACTCAGCTTTGACTTCTTGTAAATAACTATGCTCTCTTATCCTTTCGGGGGCCAGGCATGTTGTTTGTTTGTTGTGATCTTTTCTCCTCGACTTGGCTTTTAACTTTTTCACTCTTCCATCATCTGGGATTCACTGTTCGATTTCAGTTCTTTTCCGTCTGTTGTGTCTTATTTAGTAGGTGCCTCTGTTGGCTTTCTATTCTTATCTTCCCTTTTTATATGCTTGATATTTGTCACTTTTTGTCCTCTGCTCTTCTTATTTGGCGAGGAGTATTGAGTGAGGGTGTATATATATATATATATATATATACCTGCAGGACAGTTTTGTTTCGGGTGTCTTTTATAGATCCTGGTGGTTTTTGATTTGCTGTGTCAGTCATTCTTCATGGGACGATTTGTTCTCTTCTCTTGACTTTTTCTGGTGGTTTCCGCTGTAAGTTTCTCTTTTCTTTTTTTCCTTTGGTGGTTGTTTTACGTGATTCTGGGGTTTGGATTGTACCAGCTGTTGGTGAAGTTGGACTGTGGGTGTAGGTTGGTCGTGGGTGTTGGGTTGGAGAGTGCGAGGGGAAGACAAGAGGTGAGAGGAGAAGGGGGAGGCGAAGTTGGGAATGATCGTAATACCCATGTAGCTTTCCCATTCGAAGGAGAATGCTGAGATTGACTCGCATTGGGCTTACATCTTCTTTGTTAACTGTGATTCGTCCTGGAGTTTTGTGGTGGAGGTGAGCTTGTTGTATCGCTTTGTGTGATACACGGCTGTGGCTGTTGGGAAGCGTTGGTGTGGCTGTTGTCTGAGACGGCTGGGAGCTATATGGATGTAGATGCGAGTTTTGTAGGGTTGGTTGGTGGATAAGTAGTTCTTCTCTAGAGTAGGAGTGACTGGAACAGGGGAATATATTGTGAGGTGGAGATCTGGTTTGATATAGGTACGCAGTATATCAGTGTCTCCTGTCTATTGATCTCAAGGTCAAAGTGAATCTCTAGGTCATCTCTTCTCCTCCCTTTCTTGAGTTGTTGGAAAAAACATGGCTTACGCCATATATATATTCCTCTCAGGTGGCCTCTATTCGCTCAGTCTTTTCATGTGGAGTTTTGGTGTCTTGCAAAGAGGGAACCTTGATGAGCATGTTGAGGTGAGTGACGGTAGGAAAAGTGTGGAAAAGAAGTAGGGAAGATTCTTCTTATTGCGCGAATTCTTTCGATTTGAAGATTACAAGAGAAAGTACTCGAGGAAGTATGAGTTTCGTCTTCATTAGGGTAAAACATTTGGAAGAAGGGTGAATACGAAGCTCTCCTCCTCCCCTTGTTTGGAGAAACTGCACCATGCATCCACGTTTCACTATACATGTTCAGAGTTAGACCTCCCTTGTCAAAGGTGGTTCGTGTACAGGTAAGCCGGAGCCAAATGGCGACAGCCCTTGCCGGTCCACGTTACTGGTAGACGGGCGAAGGAGGAGTTTTGATGCCCACGGCCCCCTTGTGGAAGAGGGAGCGCACAGTTCGACCAGAGCCCTGGGGAGCGCAAAGGATGACGTCGGTGCTCTTGGGGACATCGATTTTGGTGAGGTCCTTCAGGAAGGAGGAGAACCTTTGGTTCATTGATACTAGAGTCTGTATCGGCTTCGCCATTATTTGGCGTCTGTGGTTAGATATGTCGACTTCATGGTGTTGTCTTAACGCTTGTTATCTCTGTTATCACCGTGTTATGTTATATATGTCAGCCGAGCACGTGCATAGCTTCATCTCCGTCGGTGTTCTGGTCTCTTGAAGAACACCTCAACTCTGGCTTGGTTTCCAAAGGCCTCAGAAACATCACATCTTCACGGCATCAATCATCCTTGTCGTCAACGGTGCGTCATATTTCCCTGTAGTTCGACAATACACGCCAGAAGGCCGTCTCTTGTCCCGCAATGCAGCATGCAATTGCGCGCATGGCCATAAATGCAAACCGTAGCACCTCTCCTCCAAACGATGAATCTCAAGAAAAGACGGCAGCGCCCCCCATTTTCCCTTTTGTTCCAGTGTAAGAAAAAACACACAAACCCGATAACCCGGAGGAAAGCGAGAGCCAGCCACAACACGGGGAGATCTCGAGCAGAAGACTTGGTTTAAACTTTTTTTTGGATTCTCCGTAGTTGTGTGTGTGTGTGCCTTGAATGCTTTATTCTTTTGCTTCTCTATCGTTCCATCCACACACCCGATGATGCCGACAGATTTCCCCTTCTCTCTCGAGTTCCCCGTGCACGCTCCAGGTCCATTTAGACCTCCGTCGTGACCTTGGCCTTGGCGTTTGTGACCTTGACGCCAATCTGCTTGGCGCGGGTGATGATGTCGATTCGCTTTCGGGATGAGACGGCGCTGGCGATCCTGCACAGATGTTAGGAGGTGTGGCATGCTTCAGATGGTTAGAAAGGGACGTACTCGGCAGCGTGGGTGCGGTTGTGCATCAGCAGCAGCTCGAGGTCCTTGACGTTGTGGACGAGGAAAGCCTTGTGGCCGGAGGGGGTCAGGAAGCGAGTCTTCTTGTTGGAGCCGTAGCCGATCTACAATTTCACCCGTCAGCACTTCTTGCTCCTCGCGACGACCCTCTCCCCAGAGCGGTAGAGGAAGAATTCCTGCTCATGACGTACCTTGGGCATGCGGATGGTGCCCCTGAAGCGTCTGCGGACACGGCCATCGATACCCTTGGGCTTCCTCCAGCTCTCACCGACACGGTCGAACCGGTCACTCTGGTGACGGGCGAAGCGCGTCTTGTCTGCAATTCCTTGTTAACTCTGCGTCCAACGGCCTCGTTCCGGATTGGTAGAGTGTAGAAGAAAGATTCGATATTCGGGCCTCTCATTTGTTCTGCCCTAGCTCAATTTCCAATCCAACTGCGCTTCAGAACCGTCCTCGCAGGAATTTCTCAGCCGTCGTGTAGGCCCTCAAACGCAGCCGGATTGGAGAGCGCAGGGCAAAACGCAAAGGGCGACCGTATCTCGGGTATTCTTTTCCTCTCGGAAATCGAAATGGATAAAGGACGTACGCTTCTTGACGATGGGGACGTGTTTCTTGGCGGCGACCATCTGGACGAGAGTTGTTCGTTAGAATCGGTGATCGGTGATGGAGAGGATCTCTGGATATCGATTCAATCGGCATAAAACGTACCTTGACGGCGGTTAGTCGGGCTGTGGTTGATTTGTCCGGCGTGATGCTTCACTCGATGCGAAATTTTGGCGGATGCCACAACCGGAACAGTAAGGCGAAGGGTTTAGGGCATGCGTCACGTGTGTGCGTACAGTCTTACGCTTTTTTTGGCTTCTTGCCTGGTGGAACGCACCAAAAATTACAGCGGCTCTACCCCACTAAACCCACCAGGGAGTACAGGGTACCTCTGAGAAAAAAGTTGCAGCAGCCCTCTGCACTTTCGCTCGTGCGGGCCAAAAGAGGGATAGCGCACATTAAGGGCACAAACCCTCGCCTTGTTCCGCCGCAGCTCGCTGGTGCCGGAACGCAAAAAAATCCGTCCTAGGCGAAAAGGGGACCAGCAACCCATCACGACGAACGAAGCGAAGCGAAGACTGCAGCATCAACTCAGACACCGCACCAGCAACCATGTCGACGTCAACTCAGAGCGTGCAATGCTTCGGCAAGAAGAAGACGGCCACTGCCGTCGCCCACTGCAAGGTTAGTGGACGAGAACGCGAGGTCGAACTCGGAGGAGATGGAGGGAGAGAAAGATTGGGAAAATACAAGATCTACACGGATGGGCAGATTGTGGGGGACGACATTCAACATTGACGAGGAACTTATCGTCAATTTTGGGGACAAGGACAACAAACCCGGGAGGCTATGATATGCGGAAATGCTGACGTTTGCTTCCTCTAGGCTGGTCGTGGTCTTATCAAGGTCAACGGCCGACCTCTGTCTCTGGTCCAGCCTGAGATCCTGCGCTTCAAGGTACGCCATTCACTTTTTTCCTCCGATACGACTCGAATGTCTCTACGGCCGCCTCCAATTCATTCCAAGAGCGAACTCTTGTTGAACATGTGTCAAACGACTTGCGGGAACCTCTTTGGATGAACTTGGAGACGGCACATGTCACTCGAGTCCACGGAGGACACAACTCCAAAGCAGAGGACATCATACTAAGACTTCCATTCCACAGGTCTACGAGCCCCTCCTGGTCGTCGGCCTCGACAAGTTCGCCAACGTCGACATCCGCGTCCGTGTCACCGGTGGTGGTCACACCTCCCAGATCTACGCCATCCGCCAGGCCATCGCCAAGTCCCTCATCGCCTACTACCAGAAGTACGTCGACGAGCACTCCAAGAACCTGCTCAAGCAGGCCCTTGTCCAGTTCGACCGCACCCTGCTGGTCGCTGACAACCGCCGCTGCGAGCCCAAGAAGTTCGGTGGTCCCGGCGCCCGCGCCAGGTACCAGAAGTCTTACCGATAAACGGGGACGCACCGAAGAAGAATGGACTTTTGGGGCTGCTGGTCGGGGCGTTTTTGGCGCTGCTGGGGAGGAGACTGAGGTGGTAGTCGTGATGGAGGAGGAGCGAGAGCGGAGGAAGAAACGGTCGAGAGAAGCATTCTTGCAGCTGCTGTTCCACTGCTTGGCAGCGCTGAGGATGTGGATTTTCACACATGAGAAAAAAAGGGCCGGAGTCGCATATTCCCTGGCACGGGGATAGGTTTCCCATTGGCATTTCGCATGGCCTTGCTTTGGGGCGGATTGTAACGGGTCTGGCAGGCTAATGAAATCTTCACAACGTTACGAAGCGCGGCAGAGGTGCATGTCTGTGAATGTTTGCTTGTAGTCAGGCTGCGTGTTGCGAGTATCTGCGAGAGGATGATGGCTTAATATCATGAACTCAGCATATGATGCCGAGCTCTACCGCTCCCAATAGCGGACAAATAAAATTTGACACTCACCAACTTACTTGAGAGTTCCTAAGCCATATTCCTCCCACCGGTGTCATCACGTACTCATCGATGAAGCGATCCCCTCCGTGAAACGAAACCCCCTTGTAGAGATTTCGCCTAAGATATTCATGCGCACCACCACACGGAGACCTTCATCAGGAAGGTCCAGTGAGGAAAACAGCACGAAGCTGCCTCGTTCCCACAAAGTCCCGCTTCTTTCACAAGCCGTGATCCGATATGCGTAACTCAGCATATAGACTTGTGATTCTCTGCATCTGAACTCTTCAGTTGCTGTGTAAATCCATCTTCAGGTGTGCCCGATTCAGAAACAACGTGCTCTTTAGCATACCTAATGGTTATAACCCAGTCAGCTAGTCCATTTCGTTTCTTACATGTTTGAGAGCCGAATAGTTTCAACGAAGATCTCTATCATTCTAGACTTCAAAAGCCCAATTCAGAATAGATTCAGCATCCCGATACAGCCGTGTGCAAGGCCTTCTCTAGGTGGCAACTGATACAACCACGCCTTCCAACACCGCCAGCAATATCCTCATGTTGAACACGAACGCCATTGACCGAGCCCTTCTGAGAAAGCATGGAGTAAATTGTCGAGAGCAGAGCCGAATCAGGCTGATAATGAGCACTTCTAGGGCATCTCCTCGCACAGAATGTCACTCCTCCCAGAAACAATACCTTCTCAATGGCAGATTCATATTACGCTCGATATAAACCACACAATGAAATCACTTCAAAGAGGGAGCCGACATTGAGGCATCAAGAGCCAGTCAATAACATTGATACAAGCTATACCTTGTACCTGGAATACAAACAAAACCATCCGAATCCTGCCTGCCGTGTACTCCTGTAAGAAACAGTCATAACCTTTTTCGTTTTCCAACCGGAACCAATTACCGTCCGTATACGCCTCCAGAGGGTTCCAAACACCAAAGCCTGGTAACCAACCTCATACCAGCCGAAAGGGAATAGCAGAAGAAGGAGGAAATAACCTTCATACCAGTCGAAAGGAAAAGAAAAAAAAGAAGAAGAAAGGAAATAATCCTCAAACCAGTCGAACAGGAAAAGAAGGAGAAGAAGGAAACAATCCTCATACCAGTGGAAAAGAAAAAGGAGAAGAAGAAAATAATCCTCATACCAGTCGAAAAGAAATAGAAGAAGAAGAAGAAGAAGGCAATAACCCTCATACCAGCCGAAAGGAAATAGCAGAAGAAGAAGGAAATAATCCTCATACCAGTCGAAAAGAGAAAAGGAAAAAAGAAACAAAGAAAGGAAATCATTACGGGGTATCTGACAAGAGCATGCGGCGCGTCGCCTGCTTCACAACGCTCATCCGCCTAGCTGGCACCACCTTGGAGATGCCCGCGCTGACCCAGCCCTGCGGCATCTCGTGCCGGCGACGATGCTCCCTCTCGTCTCTACGATCCGACTGCGTCGCCGTCGAGTCACGCCTTCTCGTGTCCACAGTCTCCTAGTCGTGCCACGACACCAGGTCCAGTTGACGACCATTCTCGTCGAGCTCGACAACTTCGGGCGCCCACTCGCCGCGCTCGTCCTCGGCCTGCAGCTCGGCCATTTCCACGTCCACCTCCTCGCCGTCCTCCAGAGTCACCTTGCCCTTGCGGAGGTAGTCGCCGTCCAGCTCCCATCCGAGGCCGACGGCTTCCGACTCGATCTTGGCGAAGGCGGTGCCGACGGCAAGCTGTTCCTTTGTGGCTTCAGCGCCGAGGCCCTCAAGGACCTCTTCGAGCCTGCGCTTGTAGATGATGAGGGCGAGGCGCAGCTCGTTGCTGTTGGGCTCGTTGGGGTCCAGGATGGTCTCGTCGAGCCAGCGGGAGCTGTATTCGAGCTGCGCGGCAAGGGTCTGCAGCAGTTTGGCGGCGAGGACCGGGCGGAGCTCCGGCAACAGAAAGGCCTTGAGGACCAGCTTGAGCACCATGTGCCACCACTGTTGGATACAGGCGTGGTTTCCAAGGTGCACTCCGATGATAAAGGCCAACTGGAGCTCTGCAACGACGTCGTCATCGGACAACGCCTTCTTGGGGTCGTTCATGACGGACATTACGTAGGATGTCGCATCCGTGGCCGCCAGGGTTCGATCGGCACCAACAACATCAGCAGAATACGTCTTGGCGTTCTGCGGAAAGCTGAACCTAAGCTCCTTTGACTGCAGATAATTCTTCGGCAGGCTCCGGTCAAGCTCCATCTCTGCGGCCACGTTCAAGGCCCCCTGAACGCGATCCGTGGTGTCGACTTGCCAACTGGTGATCTGCTGCCTGATGACGCGGACAAGCACCCGCTGGTTGATGCACCCGGACAGCCGCTTCCACATTTTGGATTTCCAGTTGAGAGTTGTCTGCGTGAGGCCGTCGCGCTTGTCCAGCTCCGAGTTGATCAGTGACGGGTCGTTGTACGGGACAAGCAGATGGTAGCAAGTGTCGAGGCCTTGAGCCTGGAATCGGGCCTCGGCCCGCGAGGGCTCGGAAATGGTCTCATGGAACTTGTCCCACTGAAGAACATGGACTTGCTGCGCGCCAGAAGCCATGATGAAGAAGCCGGTTCGGACAGCACCGCTCTCGGGGTGAGTGACCCAGACGAAGTGAGGGCCAGGCGGGATATCCTTGATGCCTCGAAATTGCTTGACAGTAAATGACATGGTATCGCAGCCCACGAGGTAGTACCCAGGCAGGTCCAGGATGAGCAGCACATCTCCCCCTTGTCCGCCTGCCATCGAATGGGTGATGGTGTCCAGAGTCTCATATGATCCAGACAGACTGGGTTCTCTGTATCTGACCTCTGGGGGATCATCGCTAAACTGGACACGCCTCCGCCCATCGAGGCTCGTGACGGGTTCTAGGGGTGGCGGGCTGCCGGCCTGCTCCTCTTCATCGGAGCTTTCATCAGGCGGCGTCAGCTCGCCAGCGACGAGGTGGAGGGAGCCGTAGGGGTGAGCTCCCAGCACGGGCACCGACTCGTGCGACTTGGTTGAGCGTGCCGAGCTGGTTCTTTTGGGAAGGCCTTCATTCGAGGCCGAGGGCTGGGTTGGGGTTGCGTCGGACATGATTGCGGTTTGGGCAAAACTTCGCTGCCTGTCGATGATGTTGAAGATGGTGAGTTGGAGATGGTGAGTTGATGATGATGAGTTGACGATGGCGAGTTGATGATGATGAGTTGACGATGGCGAGTTGACGATGGTGAGTTGATAAGGTGGGTTGATAACGGGTGGGAGGCGAAGCAGCACAAGAGATGCAACAGCGGCGGGATGATTCTGCTTTATATAGTGCAAAGGGTGCAGAGCTTGGTCGATACGGGCTAGACGATGCGCATCTTGAAGAGGGGGGGGGTTTAGTTCAAGGCGATAAAATAAGGCTTGAGTATTGACTGTGGTTGATGTTGAAGAGACGATGCTCGGGGTTTGTTTTTGCTTGGATGAGGTAAGGCACGATGGTTGAAGGTGCGAGGCTGAGATGCAAACGCTGTTTTGGTGGCGGCTCAGAGGATCCGCTGTATATCCGCCCAAGGCCCAATCAGCTTGTGGCGGGAGGAACGGCCTGGAAACGAGGTGAAGCTGGCGTCGCCTCGCTAATCTTGCTGCACTTTGATGGGGGAAAGTATGTTGACAAGTTGATACAACGGATGTGTAGATTAACGCATTGAAGCTTCAAAGAAGGTTTCTTCATCTACGCGAGGCGTTTACAGGTAGGGCTGTACGGAGTAAAGTACCTACATGTAGTGCATGTTGATGCCGTCCACAGAGCGAGACAACATAGGCACCGACGTCATCGAGGCACTAGAACAAATTGACAGCCTTGACATTGACAGCCTCAGTGGGTGTGCGCTCAACTGCAGCAACATTAAATCTTTAGCCGCTGTGCTGGCAAGCTCAATCCACGCCCCTCGAGACAGCTTCAGAAAAGGCCCGTTTGACAGATCAGAAAAAAAAGAAAGTTGAAAGCTTGTCGCTGCACTAGTTTAAACGGCCCTGAACCAAGCTCTGCACTACGCCTTGTTAGCACCAAGGCGGCGGTAGTATCTCCCAAGAACATCCTACGAGCATTTAGTGCCTCGAGTGAGGGGGGTGTCTGTCCAAACATTTGACTAAAAAACAAAAAAGGGGACTGAACTCAACTTGCTTTAGTCTACTTGGCTAATATTTATCTGATCCAGGGGGAGAAATGTGCCACAGAGCGTTTATGGGAAAGGGGTGAGACGTTTGTTGGGTTGGGGTTGGTTCAGACATCAATCTTTCCATGTGTGATACGATACGACGCTCGCCTGTTGGAGGAGCGTCATCGCTGTCATACTTCCCTGCCACCTTCTTTGGCTTTGCTGTATGGTTCTATATGACTGATCTATGAATAGAATACAGAAACAGACTCTCGGTAATTTGAGTCGCTAATCGTGGTAAAACTCCCTTTGCCGTTCAAAAAGAGCATGCTCGCTAAGCAGTTCTCCCTCATGACTCTTCCTTTGGGCAACCAACAGCAACAGCCTTGGCACTACTCGGGAGTTACCACTACGTCAGCAACACAACAAGCCGACAAAGCCGGGTGAAGGAGCCTCTCTAACTTGTTCGAGACACTCTCAGTAACAAGCTTTTCAGTCTCGTCAAGCCATGTGTTGGGTTGGGCGATGGCTAACGAGCTGCCTGTTGGTGCACCCCCTTGGACGGAGCTTTTCTCAATTGCTGGGGCCTCTACGCATGCCTTCGGCTATTGTACTGCTACGCTGAACAACTCGAAAGTAAGAAGCTCGCTTCTGAGTCTCATAGAGATACCCAGGAGGGGGCAATCTTTCGTCGGACATGTCTGATTATAGCCCGGTTTCGTACCCAGCGCAGAAGAGCCTTCAAGATGTCGTCCCAAGTGTCATCCAGCGCTCTCGAGCCATCACAACATCAGCAGGACATGGAGACTCAATGATGACGAACATCGCCAATCACATTTTCGCCCCCCCAGATACCCGACATCGCACCACCCACACTCAAAGAAATCCACGACTCCCAATTGTCTCTCTCTGTCGCCCTTATCCTCCTCAAAGCAACACAGTGCAAGGCGCTAGACAAGGGGTGCACCTGAGAATCACCAAGAAAAACAGAAATCGAACCGTTCAATAAACCGATGGGAGCCCAGAAAATGGCATCACGGACTAGTAAATGCTCCGTAGTTGCCGTTCCGTACCAAGGGAGGGAAGGGGGGGGGGGCCATTGTGCCCACAACTTGCCCGGGACCGCTTGCTTGCCGAACCCGCTGTCACATTTTGATCGTTTTGTGTTCCCCCCTTGTTTCGTTCGGTGTGCTCGGTCCCGCAAAGCGCCGGTGGAGATGATGCCCGCTTTGTGCAGCCTTGCCCTGCTTTCGTGGTTTGAAGCCATCGTGATGGAGGGATGGGGGGAAAGACGGAGGGTGTGTGGGTGCATGATGAGATGCTGGGTGGCATTTGTTGCCACTGGTGTACGATGCTTGATGAAACGGACATTGTTCTCTCGATATGTAGCTGTACATGCCGTATGTAATCAGCAGTAGCTTTGGCAAGGAATATGACTCGATTCTTGAGCATTGACAGCTACCATCATGCGAAGCAAAATCAAAAACCTCCCACAGGGAACCTCACCCTCGTTTTCCTCCGTACGGTGACGGGCAGAAACATCGATCCGACATGCAGTCATCTTCTGTCAAAGTCACATTCCGGCCGCCTCCTTCCCGGCCCCGCCCTTCCGTTTCTTTAGCATCCTCAATCTTACATTAGTCTACGTGGACAGCGCAGTAGTAGTAGCAGTAGTAGCTCGTAATATATCTAGCATCAGTGTAGCATCCCGAAATCATACGCCCACTACCCAGACTAAAAAAGCAGACCGGGCTGCGGTCCAACCGTCGATGGGGGCGCGGGCCAGCAAAGCCGTCCAAAACCCGTGCTGGAAATGCACCGGGCCCGGCCTTGTTTGTCTGGGCCGTGTTGTGTGCTAACAGACGCTTTGTTTAACGGATCCTTTGGGCGATGTTCGAGCATTTGACTACGACGGCCAGCATAGAACACAGTGAATGTGTGCTCATATAAGGAATCTTGAGTCGCCTCTTTTACAGAGTCTATCAATTCTACCTTGGTGCGTAAGCCAGCATCGACTCTCACAGCGCATTCCCACCAACCCGCATCAACATTGCACCCAGACATTATCAAAACTCACCACAGCACATCCAATTTTCCACCCAGACAAAACAGACAAACCCTCTATCATCTCTAGTGCACTTCCATCACCAACACCGGCCCCTCGACCGGTCTCTCCCACTACCAAACCCCCAGTCACCATCAGAAAAAAAGGGAACCAATTTAGACTCAGAAACCCCCTCCCGTCCGCAACGGACACAAGAAACTAAAATAACACTTTTCCTTCATGCCTGCACCCCGAGCGAACCGTTCCAAAAAAAAAAAAAAAAAAATAAGGCCCGTCCGTGTGTCATTTCTTTAGCCTTGGATCTTATACTATATTGTAGTTTCTCGACTAAGTATTTCCTGCACACGCCCCCTCCGCTTTCTTCCTTAACCTCGCCTTTGACGTACATTAGTCTCTCCCTATCCTCTGGTGTATTTTCAATGCAGGTAATAATAGAAAAGCTAACACGCGCCGGATGATTAACCGTTCCCGCAAGCCTTTCCCGTGAAGATCGATCAAGGGTATGGCATTTCCTAGAAAGGTGGCTCTGTTGCCTGCCCGACGTCACTTCATCGCCAACACCACGATCTTTCATCTTATACCATCCTCAAACCACATCACTAAGAATCCCGCATTCCTCTCAACGATAAATCTGGCGTCGCACAACTCAAGGATCCTTGAAGGAGAAAAAAAATAAAGAAGCCATCATCGAATCTTCTAGCGCATCTCCCTCCCGAGCCCTTCTAAACCCCTCCAAAACAAAGACACACGGGCCGGGGCATGCGTCCTCCCGCCGTAGCACAAAAGGGAACCCATCGGCAACGAGCATACGAGGACAAATCACGCACATAAAAAGCAATCTAATCAGAATCGAATCGGAATACTAGTAGTAGTAATGAGACACCTCTGTCTCACTCTCGCGTGGCGCCCCCCATCTTCTCTTCTCGAACTTGCTTCTCCCCATCTCTTTCTTCTCCAAATCGGCATTCATCCGTTGCCTTCTTCCCCATCCCATGTGATGTTAGTCCCTTCATCTCCTCCTCCAACCCCCACGCCATATCAAGAAAGCCGAAACCTTCTATATGTACGCCTCCAGTCGAGGCATCACCACGTATTCCGAGCCACTCAATTCCATCCCATCATATGCATGCATACCCAAAAACCACCAAAAAAAAATAAACATACACGAGGCCTGCAGCTAAAAAAGAAGCAGCATATAATACCCAAAACAAATAGATATACTACATCCCTACTAGCTCTATTCCATCGTCCTCGAAATCCACACACATACATACCTTACATACACACACTCACATCGCCACGCCAATAGTCGCACAAAACATGAAAGTACATGTACTCTTCTCCCACGACCTACACCACCTCCAAGACGCAGAACGAATCTACATACCGTACCCAGTACATAACCTCGTCTCACCTTGTGGTAGCAGGAGGAGCCAGCGAAACCCCCATGTTCATCTCCCCCCTCCTCGTGTAACCATCGCACCCGTCAACCGCAACCATGTTCCCGTCACACCACCAAAGGGCGGCCCCAACTTTGACGGGCCCGGGCTGGGTCCTCTCTCCCTTCTTTTTTTCTTTTTCTGTTTCTTTTCTTTTTCCTTCTTTGTTATTAGTCCGTTCCCCTAGCCTCTGGCCTACCCAATTCCTTTTCCTTATAAAACTCCGTTCGACACTAGCCTTTGCCTTGGCGGCCACCCCCCCGTTCCCGACTGCATGGCACGCCGGTTTAGTCTCGATTCAATGATGCAGGACTAAAATGAAGCATGCCATATCTTGGGAGACGTGCGTAGGGTCCTCACGGTGCATCGACGTTGTCTGTAGCTAAAGATACATGCATATTCGTGCATGTAACCCTAAGTGTAGACGCCTTTCCTTGGTGTTGCCAACCCATCACCAACATTGTCAAGTCAACATCGCCATACATCTCACAAAAACTCGCATCAAACAAGATTCTTCTCAGCTCTTAACACACATAGTATACCCGTAATGACTGTTTAGGTGGTTGCTGCTATCGTGTACGCTCCTCTCCTTCTCAACAAGAAGACGAACACACAAACATAAAAAGAAAACGTTACACGCAAGTCGTCGCTCTTCGCCGCGATATCTCGAAAGAAGCGGGCGTGAAAGACGGTTCCATTCTTTCCGAGTCCCTTTTTTTTCTCCTTCGTTTTCCGGTTTGTTTTTGGTCACAAGACTCCTCTTCGTCCCCCTTTGGGTTTGCTCAGCCTTTTGCTTCCAAACAAGTCCGCAAAGGGCTGCCGCAGGGGCTCAAGAGGTCCGTTACCCCCGTTTCCAGCGCTCCGAGCGTTCCCTTCACTTGACAAGTCGTATCGCGTTTTTTTCGCCTTGCGGCAATACAGAAGCAGCTTCTTTTCCTCAGACCAGCTACCGGGAAATTCCAGGTGCCTCACCCGCCGTGGTTTCAGTACTCCGTATCCTCTGCGCCGAACCGCCCCTGAAATTGCATCACGCCATGAAAGAGCCGACCATCCCCGGAGTGCCTCTGCCAATGCAACCCCCCAGTAACCGTGAGACCGAATGCGCTCCCGAATCCAGGAGCGCGAAAGAGCCGAAGAAAATATTGAAAACAGACACAGAAAATTGTTCGAACAGGGGTGAAAGGGGGAAGTGTAAAAGCGCACACAAACAAGAAGAAAAAAAAAGAGATGACGAATCACCTCAGAAGTGTTACAAGATAACACTGGTGCCTCCCTTGATTATGATGCTGGTCAGCAGAAGTACCCAAACCGCCCGAGAGGCACGCTCCAAATCCGGGCAACATCCCGATGAGATATTATTTCCTCCAGAGGTTGAATGTTCCCATTCGACCCCCTTTTTCCTGCCGTGTGGAAGAACAAAAGAAAATCGTTATGTCCAACGCGTCGAGAGGAGAGGGCATTCGCGACCAAGCAAAGTCCAATATCCCCGACTATAGGTGGCCTTTTCCACGGGAGATCGAAGTCGCTCCAGTCCATTAGTGGCTAGGGGGCGGTGCGCCGTTTGCTGCTTGACGTCGGGTTAGTATGGACATCTCTGCGTTCATGATGCAACTTCGGGCCGAGACGTACACTGGCTATAGAGGTTCTGCTGGCTGGGCTGAGCATAAGGAGAATGCGGCTGGTAGTTCGAGTACATGTGGCTCGCGCCGTATTCGGGCATGGGCTGCTGAGCGACGTTGCCAGAGGGCGGTGCCGGATACTGCGTGGGCTGGTATCCTATCGGGGGCAGCTGCACGGCCCTGCCGGGGTACCCAGACGAAGGCGCTCCGTCGGCAGCCTGGGGATCACCGCCGCCATTCTGAGCGGCGTTTGCCGCTGCTGCCCTCTGGCGCTCCTCTTCGGCCTTGCGCTGGGCCTCCTCCTCCTTCTTTCGCTGCTTCCATTCCTTGCGGATCTCCTTAAATTCTGTATGGAAGCATCTTGTCAGCCACTTTGCTCCACAGGGCGTATTCCAAAAAGAGACATGAAATCAAAACAGACGTTTGCGTGCGAATCGGAGGTCAAGCCACGTGACTCGACCTTGAATTTTGATCCCCAAAACCTGGAAATCAGGAATAAATCACAGCAACGCAAAGGAGAAGAGGGTGACGAGGGTCTGAGCGGAATCGGGAAGGAAATGGGTATTTTTAGAGGGGTAGAGCGAATTTCTCAAGTTCGCGACCTACCTTCGGGAGTTCGCTTTTGGCCGTGAGACTGCATGGTAACGTGCGCATTCAGATGGTTGAGAGTGCCGTAGGCCTTCTCGCATCCGTTCCAGCCACACTTGTACATGCGCTCAATCTCCTCGTAGCGTCTGCGCGGGCGCTTGTGTTGCTGCGCTCCAGGGATGGGAACGAAAGAGTAGACCTATCGGACCAGCGTTAGCATATGCGCTCCGTGTTGCAATAACAGGAGATATCCTGGTGGGAATCTCGGAGAAGGAAGTCGTTTCTTGAGAAGCTCGCGTGCAATTTGCAAAGTCGCGTCATGTTCAACAGTGGCCCCGCTCCCTCTTGTCGAAACCAAAACAACGAACACCCTGTTCTTCGACTCATGCGCATCTTCCTCTTTTCCTCTCTTTCTTCCGCTTCGGCCACTTTTCAACTTGGAGTGCTCCCTTTTCCGAGATTCCCACTCGTCACTTGTACGTACCTGGCTGGGGCGTTGCTGCGGCGCAGAAGCCGGGGATTGGGCATAAACTGGATGACCAGGAGTCAAGGGAGGTGCTCCATGCTGGCTGTAGCCGGCCCAGTCGGGTCGGGGCTGGGCGTACATGCCGCCGCTCGGATGGGAGTAGCCATGAGACATGTCTGGATTTGGCGCATACGGCGAGTGCTGCCCGTAAGGGTAGGTAGGACTCGGAGCCGCAATAGACGGATCTATAGGCACATCGTTGTCAGAATTGACGGGGTGGGCTTGATGGCTAGGCCCATTGTGCTGGGGCATAGACGGACTGTTCTGTTGCTGCGCCATACCTCCGCTGCTGGCGGTGCTGGATGGATGGTATGAACGCTGGATTTGCTCCGAAAAAGATCCTGAACGCGCCGAGGGAGGGTAGACGCTGTACTCTGACGTAGGCGTCACAGAGGCGGGATAGTCTTGTTTCCCGGGGTACTGGGCAGCAGACGCGTGTTCTGCCGACGAGCCTTCAGAATGGTGGTCGCCGAAACTGCTTGAGTAGGGCGAAGGCAAACCTGACTGCGAGAACTGAGCGGCACCGCGGTCCATAAAAACTCGAGATGCTTGTCGGCGGTAGCAATGCCCAAAGACGAAAGAGAGCTTGGCGACACAAGGTCTTTCCTTCTCTTCTTCTGGCGACTTGCGCGGACGGGAGAGCAGGTGCGTTGACAGCTGTTTGTTGTCGAACAACAGACAGTTGCGGAAGTATGAAGGAAGATCGAGACTTGTCAAAGTCGCGATGTTGATGGTTCCCGTTGGCTTCCCAGGAACGTGCTACCGAACTCCACACAAGATTGGCGTGTAGTGAAAAAGAGACGGCGTCCAGACGAGACTAGTTTCCAAGCACTCGCGTCCAGATGGTGCAGGGGGAGGGGAAGAAATAGTAGTAGTGAGAGGTAGAGTGATGAGCAGGCTGGCCTCTTCCGGGGGGACAAGGTCTTGGTGTCGCGGTGGCGGCGCAAGCAGCAAGTGGCTAGTATATGTAATATCACCGGCGGCGGCAATAGTAGCGCGGACTGGGGCACCGGTGTATGTATACCGTAGCGACAAGTCGCAAGTTTGGTAGTTGAAAAACTGCGTCTGTCGATGGAGCAGTTTGGGGGAGCGTGATGCGCACTAGCTCCAAGAAGGCCCAGGAGTCTTGGTCCTTGGAAGCGCGGATCTTGGGTCAGGGATGTCTCGCTTTGCGATCAGGCCAAACTGTCGAAGGGGGGCTAGAGGAGGAACTAGGCCGTCCGGTCGCACAGATTTGGGGACCCCCAAGCTAATATAGCCTTAGAACAGGCCGGGGATGGCCAGGTCAAAGTGAGTCTAGCGTTGTGGCCTTGGTCAAGCACCAAGGGGGGCGTGTGGCTTGTCTGGTTTTCGCTGGCTCGCGCGGCCGTCTGTCTCGTTTCTTGCGCTTGATAGACGGACACGGGGCGCGAGAGGAAGCTGGCTGGCTTGCTTGGCTGATATGAGGCGCTTACTAGCACGGTAGGTAGTTCTAGAAGGCGAACTCTACTGTACTCGGCATACAAGCAGGCGAGGCGGGGCGAAAAGTGCTTTTCTCTTCCTGGTTCTGGTTGGGGAGGGGGAACTTCCAAGGTCAGTTTATGACGGCAGACAGGTTCGGGTAAGGCCAGGTGGTGCGGGACGAAAGAATTTTATACGGGCCAGCCACGAGAAGGGAAAAAATTGAATGACTGCATTTGATGGGGGAGGCCAGCTTGAGGGTACGAGTACAAGGCCTTGGTACAGGAGGGTGGGACTCACTCGACGTGCAGCCGCAGGAGGACCAGGGTCGTTATTCTGGAGCTGGAGAGCGACTGCGTCCAACCTGGAGCCTGCGACTAAAACCCAGCGCTGTGGACGATGCCTGCAGCTCGCTCGTTGTACTGGTACGGGCACAGTACCAGCACGCCTCTTGCTAGTAGCACGGAGTACGATCCGAGCGACGAGCGGCGTCTGACCCAGAGACGCTTAGGGGGGGGCGTGTGGCAATCGGGTTATTTCCGCCGTAGTGCGAGAGGGCTTCGAGCTTAAGAGACGAGATTCGGAACTGTGGGCGAGACGGGGGCTGCTGCTGCAATTGCGCGTGCCTGTGGCTGCGGTTTGACGCCTCGGAAGCGCGTCTGATGGCAGTCGAATCAATTCGTCCGACTGGGGGAGCCGACGTTTGTTGGAGGAGAGCAGGGCGAGGAGTGCAGGAAGGAAGAGAAAGAGAAGGGAAAAAAAAAGAGAGAAAAAAAAACGCGCTAACGTGTGTTGGTGGGCGGGTGACTCTCGGTGCATGTACTCCGTATCTCGAAAAGGTGTGGAAAAGAGGGCAAAAGGCAAAAGGCCAGAATCGAAAAAGGAAAAAATGATGAAATTTAGATTGAGAGAAATTAAAATAAAATTTTAATAAAAGCAAAAAGACCCAAAAACACGCACATGCGCACACAGCGCACACACAGCAGCAGAGGAGCGAATGGCATGCGAAAGAAATGCAAAAGCCTCCCTGTCCTTGCAGAAGGCGAGCCTATTACTGCGTCGGATTTCCCCTCCCAGTTAAACATGCCCCAGCCCGCAGCAATGCCTGCCCTGCGCAGCACTGAAGCTGTGGCGGGCAGCAGAGAGGCGTTTCTATCGGACACGACAGATGTGGCAAAGCTGAGCCCTGCAATCACGCCGGAACTCACGATACCTTGCGTGCGATTCCTCTGCTGGAGTATGTACATGCTCGCATGCATGTCGTTGCACCCTCCACCTTACAGCAGGCACATTCGAACAAGTCCATTGAGGTAACCCGCGCTCGAATCGCGCCCGGAAACGCTCGAGTCTTCAGCACGGCTGGCCCCTCCCCGGTGTGCGACTCCAGCACCTGTCTCGCACTCCGTACCTGTACGGGCCTCCGCTGGCCCAAGTAGACGCGATTCCCAGCTACCGGGGTCCTCGGTGGATGCCCAGATGCTGGCTACTCTGAGTTTGTACAAGTTCGCTCCAAGCAAGCGGGACGAGCTGAAGCCTGGAGATTTGAAGCCAGCCGCACAGGAATTTGACGCCCTCGCACCCATGCCGCAAGGTGGACGATGGTCTCCGTACCGTGCCATCACAGTGCGCGTCTCTGGTACTTGGCTCAACGCGTAGACGTGCACAGAGTTGGGAGCGGCCACTCGTACTGCCACCTGCGCGGACTTTGTGGAGCTGAGAGATCTGCGCCTTCTCCCTCCCCGGCCATTTCTCTCTTGCTTTTTTCTTTCTCACGCTCTCTTCTTTCTTCTCCTCTCTGTGAAAGCAATAATGGCCAATCAGATGGCCTGATCCAGTCCACCCAATAAAGACCCAGCATTGGCCTAGCCAGGGATGTCACCCGTGGAGCATCTGCTTGTCGTGGGGGGTGGGCTGAAGGAGTTGAAGGGTTGAGGCAGACCCGCACCCAATGTTACGCCGGAGGTAGTGCCAATAAGGGCGAACCGCTTGATTGCCTGACATGGCCGCGTATGTATGTACAAGAACAGACACAGAACTCGGAGGCGGCGCACAGTACAGATGCAGAACCGACATAGCACGGGCCAGACGCCGCAAACGGCCGTATGCCTCTGCTGGGCGCCATCTGCTCGCGCCCGCCGAGGGAGAGGGAGAGCAGAGGGCCTCCCAATGCGTCCTGTCTGGGCGTTTCGGTCAGAGAACGAGCAGACGACGTGACGGACGCGAGGTGAAGATGGAGAGACTCACGAACATGACATGAGACGAACCACGACCCAAGAGCTGGAGCCAGCAAGCGGCTAAGCAGCCCAGAGCAATGGTTCCAGTGTGGCGCTAGCGAGAATGTCGCACGCGAGCGGCCCACGCTGGGCCAGTCCGGAGCGCGAGTTGGTACCTGTGTGCCGTACTTGTACCTCCTACGGGCACGATATTATATTCTCCGCAGAAACAAAGTCGCTCGTCCCACGCAGCCGCTTGTGTAACCGTGCTAAAAGGCGCAGGCTCGATAGCCGGGCTATGGGGATTCGAACCTCAGGTGCTAATGTCGGCACAGAGCGTCTGCGAGCGCGCGGCGGCCGACGCGAGTCGACGGGTGTCATTGGCGCGGAGGATGGACGGTGTCAACGTCGTGACCTTGATCAGATCCGACTCACCGCGAGGCACAGGCAAGGTATCACCATCTGCGCGGAGCAGCAGCGAAGGCAACAGTACCCGGTACTCGCCGTTGCACATTGTGCCAGGAGCTTTGCGCAGCAGCCGCGTCGTCGCGGTACAAGGACAAGTACGGGGTACATGCGGCATCTGCCTGGCTCCTTCGCCAGGGCGCCCTCCGTGCTCCGTCCATCATCACCACCATCATCATCGTCATCGTCATTATCAGACTCCCCCAGCTGCCTGCCCAGATTCAAATGCCTGGAGATCAGCTGTGGCCCCAGCTTCTGCCCTGGATCGTCCGCTAGCTTCCACAGCGCTACTGGCTCACTGTCCCTGGACGTGAACCGCTCTAGTTCTGGACCGTCTCCGACCTTGTTGTTGAGGCTGGCATTGGCCCTGAGCCGCTTCTCTCTCAGTCAGCACCGTCGAGGTACGGCGCTGCCAGGGGTCCTAGCAGTCTCTGCCGCAGCAGGCGACAGTTTTCGTCGCAGCGCCAGGGGAGCGATGGACGACGCCCTGGGCTGGGCCGCTAGTAGAGAGACGCCATCTGGGAGCTTCCACGAGCTGCATCAGCATCAGCACCCTGTTGCTGAGCTGATAACATGAGGTCCTTCCATGGCCTTTCATCCACCTCCTCAAGCATTTTCCCGTCATCTTCGCAGATTGCAGCGAGGGGAGTGGATATACCACAGGCACATGTACGAGTAATGGTCCCGATGACCGGGCAAGGAGTGCGCTTCCTGCCTGGCGCATTACGTAGCGACCGATCAGCACGGTGTCAAGTCGTTCCATCTGTCCAGACAGGTCGATAGACACGACGGGACGGTACAAGCAGGAAGTACATACGACGAAGTGGACAGCCCCAAAGACCTTCATCATCATGCAGCTGTGGGCAATCAGATGGCCAGGACGCGCTGCTCCATCAGCTGATTTGCCCGAAATGGAGACGCTGCTCCGATAGGCTGCCAGTTGCTGAGATGCAGGCACCACCGCCCCAGTGTTCTCGACCTTTTGATATCAATGGGTGTACTGAAGAATCCAAGCACTCGTCGTTGATTCGAGGTAATACCGACGCGTTGCCACTCTGCAGGCGAAGAGGTGCATGACCGGCCGAGGTGTTGAATGCTTGAATATCCGTGCCGGTCCGGAGGCGTCAACTGCCCATCACACCGATAACTGTCCTCGCTGCGCCGGCCAGGGATCTTCTGGACACGTCCAAATCGTCCATCTTCAGGCACTCGTACCTACGTCTGCATTCGTCTCGTGCGAAGTACAGGCACGGACAGACGGAGACGAGTCAGCGGCATCCAGACAATCCGTACTGTATCTGTATCTGTACAGTACAAGGCACTACAGCACACCCCAGCTCCGCTGTCGGTGCGCAGATCCGACTCTCGTCTCTCGCTGTTCCTTGTCAATCCTTCCTTCTTGCCCAGTCAGATGCCCATGTCCCTCTCTGTCCGCCGCGCATGAATTCTGAGCAGCGAAATGATGCGATGCGATGCGAGTTGCAGGGCCTGGAACTGCAGATTCAACCACGCCTCCCCACTTCTCTCGGCCAGAGAGGATAGATGACAAGCCCTCCTTCGCCCCTGCCCCCCTTCTGTTTCCGGATAAATGGTTAATACTGTGCCTTCTCCGCCCATCCAACGCTGTAATCATCTCCGTTTCCCGTGCAAAAGAACATGCTTCATATTACAGACAGCCATACAAACCGCTCAGCCAACTCGGGGCAGACGTGCCACTCTGGGCCAGTCCTCCGTATCACTAGAAATACGCCATACTGTCTTTTCTGCGGTGGCAGCAGGGCGAGGGAGGGAGTGAGTGAGTGCCAACCACCAATCTGCCGATGGGCAGCTGGTCACAGCAGCGATTCTTTCAGCTGCCCGCATTACCCGGAGTGCACGGGCATCGAGGATATGGCGGAACCGAGACGCAGCAGCAGCAGCAGCAGCAAAAGACTACGAATTGCTACTTGTTGCATGGCCTGCAGGCCGGGAGCCTTGGAAGGTTCGGTGCAGCCAGCAAGGGACGCTGCATCGCCCTCCAGGCTGTATCGCCCAACCTGAGACATACATGCAGAATTAACCAGCGAGAGGGACCGCGGCATGATAGGCGCAGGCAGACACGGTCGGCACCAGGTACGAAGTGTCGCTCTCTCTCCGTGTCTCTGTGTCTGCCCCCTCCCCTTCTCTCTATCCTCGTCTCTGCTCTTGTCTCTACGCTGTCTGTCTCGCCTCCCCCCGTCTTCATCTCGTGTGATCCGGGACATTGGTATTCACTGCATACCGCCTGCGTTCAGCGTTCAAGCCACGGCGCAGCTGTTGCCCAGTTCATGTCAACATGACGGTTGCCCGTCAGGTAGCCATCGCATCAAATCATGCACAAGCCCTCAGCCGCTGACTCATGTTTCCCTTCCGCTTGCATCCCGTCTTGAGACACAACTCTGTGCCAGCGTTACTTCGCGTGCATCTGCTTCTCGTCGCCGTCGCTGCCAATGTATTGCTTGCCTGACTAAAAAAGCGGCCTTCAGCCTTGGGAGGCGTCAACAGATCAAATCGACCCGAATCCTCGGGAGAGACTAAAATCGCCCCTCAGGCCATCTATACCCCGAATTGGCACGGTCGCGCCGTTTCGTTGGTCAAAATTCAAGGGCCAAATCATGGCCTGTCTGCCGGCGTCAGAACGATGCTCCAGCTAACGTCCATGCTTCTCTGAGTTCGTCCTAGTGAATGAGAACGACAACGAGAGGCATATGGGGGGAGAAGAGCGGCCTCGGAATTTTGTCCGCAGGGCATAAGATACGAAATGCAGCCGTTCTCTGTGCGTGCCGAGACGCAATGACCCCCACAAAGCCGTCCATCATTCAAAAGAAGAAAAGAACTCCATCCAAGAGAGCAGTGTGGTGGTTATCTAAGCGAGCGCGCATTCAAAGAGGCCCATGTACGAGTACAACCGCAGTTTGATATGAGGGGCACCAACTCGGACAGGGTCACTTCTCCGACTTCTTGCATATTCTCGCCAATGCTGCTTTGGAGCCTACAGGTACACACACTGTGCTCCCCGGACGGCGAGTTTAGCTCGACTTGGCAGCTCTTTGCAGAGCCGCGGCCTGCGAATTCACCGACCAGGTGCCGAGGTGAATCTGCGTGCTGTGGCTGTGGTTGTGGTGGCTGTTATGGTTGAGATCTGGACTCACCGCAATATCAACTCTGATCGCCCTGGCGGACTTCTCGAACTCGCGACGTCTCCCCTCCCTCCCGACGCAGCTCTTGTCGCACACGGCTGAACAGAAGCCCCTCTGGAGGGTCCACGTGTGATGGCTGAGCTTTGTGTTGCCCTCGAACCTGCAATGCGACCAGGGCGTAGCCTCACGTGGTAGATCCACTGATGGACAGGGTAATGCCGATGATGATGAGGGTTTGATTCAGCGCCGTACGACGGTGGCTGACCTTTGGAGATAAAATCCTAGGAGTCACGACAGGACTGTGATTGTGCGACATGGTGTTCCATGCCGGAGGATCGAGTCATGGCTACAGAGCAGAGGCCTGTCACGGCATTTCAGCTCGCGAGTTACAGGAAGACAAGGCCGCGATCCTTCCCTGGGCAGCAAATTGCACTCCCTCCCCCAGCCTGCTGCTCGGTTCTGACGTCTTGCACATGCCGACCAATCTAGAGAATAACCTTGTCATTGATCCCTAACGCCCTGCCGCAGCCGCACACACTCCACCGCCTAGCTAGTATCAGCGTTTTCCGGGGGAAGCCAGGCCCAGCATCATCACCTGATCGCAGGGGAACGGCTCCATTATGAGCTCCCTCGACAACCGTCAGCGCATGGACAAATAACGATAAGTCGGGAACGACCAGAATAGAAAACCAGGGCAGAAGAAGCGGACAAAGGGGTCGGAGCGAAAGGGAAAGGGGGAGAGGCAAGCTGGGAAATGCTGCATTCGTTCTTGCATGGTCTGACCTACCCTCAATGCAGCACGTACCCCTTCGACACGCATCTGAAGCACCAATTGGTCGACGCCTTGATTGCAGCCACTTTACTTCGTACAGCCACTCCATACGGGATCACCCAATCAACAGTGAGGAAACGAGAGAACGACAACCGAGCCACACAATGTCCTTTTTGCTCCCCTTCTTCTTTCTGGCACTCTTCTCACGACCTGCAAAAGAAAAAGAAAAAAAGTGGTACGAAGCACGCACGCAGCCGGAATTCCGTACACGCTGCTGAGCTGGCATCAATCATCGACGACGGAGTAGGGTTAGCGCCGATCTCAGACTGGTGGCGCTCCAGCAAGATCGCAGAGTGCCGGCACGGAGCACGAAGTATTACAGAGTGCCGAGTTCGTCCTGATACCATAGGTCTTCGGTCCCTCCCCAAGACCAATCAACTAAGCATCGCATATCAGACCAAGCGGCAGTCTGGAGAGCATCTACGCGTACCGAAGTACGTGGCAGGTTCGTGGCACTTGGCATAGCATAGCTGCATTTATATCACGTCTCTCAGACTTTGGGAGGTGTACGAAGTGCCCTGCGCCCAGCTCGTCTCGGCATTCCTGGCCTGGAATATCCAAATGCCGGGCAAAGACACATACGCCACCTCTCCGACGTCTTGATAATTTCAAACGCCATCCCCGTCTCCTCACGTGTACTGTGACAGAGGTGCAATACAAGTTTGATGCATTCGTGGTCATGCACAGGGGTTCTATTGAAAAAGCTCAGCCACGGGGGTCTATGCCGTGGAAGGTAGCTCAGATGATGGTGATCGAGGAAGCTCGAGCTCTGAATCTCAGTCTTGGTGTTCTAGCAGCGCCGGTCAGCTCTTCTTTCATACACCCTAAGCTGGGCAGCAATGCCATCGAGCTTCTGCCTGACTTCACTCTACTCCCTCGTGTCCCTTGAAGCCCGGAGGGATTTTCAAACGAATGGGAACCGCAGCCGGAGCTGGGCAATCAGCGTGACGACGGATATCACGCCAGGCAGACAAGGGCAACGACGAGCAGTGCTCAAGAGTGGCATCCGGGCTGCCTCACGGTATGTATCTCAGTCATTACGCTTGTCTTGGGACTCGCATGGACGCAAGGCAGCTTCAGCAACGAAGCAAGGAATTGGTACCTACTTGACCGCTAGACTTATCACGGGAAGTGCTAGCAGGAGTACTACTGCTACTAACAGCTAGACAAGGACATGGGCCGCTTGACCTCTACCAGCCAAAGGGGCCTAAAGCATCGACTCCCCTTTCCGAATGAAACAACGGCTGCCATGGTAGCATCCTATCACTCTCCCGGCTAGTCGTTGGCTAGAGACCAGGTCAGCCGCGATGTGCACTTCCCCTCAACCGCACAGGGAATGGAGCTGGGGAGTTAAACGAGCGAAGAGGAAAACGGTCAGCAAATCTCGCTGCCGCCTCGATCAGCCTGTCTTAGCACGGCAATACTAAGCAAGTGCCTGTCACCGGTGAGGCTCACTTTCCGCGTTACCATTGCTTGAACGGGCGTTGTCGAGACCTGGCTTGCAAAATTTACGGCACGGCCGTGCACCAGCTTCAGTACCGTGTCTCTTCCCCAGCCAACCCGCCTTGCTCATTCACGTCTGCCGGCACATGCAATGGCTCACGGCGAGTAACGTGTCGTATTTCCATCCAATCAAGCCAGATTGCCTGAAATTGACAAATTACGATCAAACGATTCATCGCATAGGCGCTATGGTTCGGGTGGGGCATCTGGGCAGAGCTGCAAATGGAGCTTTACCAAGTAATCCGTAGACGCGGCTTTGTCAGGTTTGTCTAACTACCCCCCTCCTCCCTTCAGCTTCCTGCATGGCGTAGCCAATGCGGTAGTCCAACCGCGGCCTGGGCTGGCACACCAGGTTGGCTGTGGCTGACCATGACTAGCGGAGGATGGCCCTTTACTCTCAAGCCACCGTCATCTTCTTAACCGTGATGGAGGCCCTTTAATATCTCCCCGTAACGCGCAAATGGCGAAGCAGGATGAGCGAGTAGAGGGGTCTCATGGCAGCATTCAACGAGTCACAAGGGGGGCGAGTGGGGTGGCAGCTGAAGTTGCGAAGCAAAGGAGGAAAAGCCTGCAATATGCGAAGGACATTCGACTTCAGTCCTCACACTGGGTAAGATGCTGCAACTCTTTGATAGTCGGGAACAGATCGAGATGTCAGTTCCTGGTTGTTATCACTGGAGCAGAAAAAAGGGGGTCAAGTGATTCCTAGGTACTACTGGTACCACTAGTAAGCCCCGGTACCCAAGTACCCGGATCCTTGGAAAGCTGGCTTCCCCCACATGGCGAGAAGAAACCTGAGATCTCGACGGAGCTGGAGAGAGAAGGGATGGAGGCGCAATTTCCTACTCGAATCGGATCTGCGAAGAAGAAACGGACGCTTGGGTCGGAAAAGTGTCTGGCGCTGGGGCTAGCTGGCTTCAGCTGGGCGGAAGAGCCACCAAAAATCGTACGAGCAGAGCTGACCGAGCTAATCAGCAGAGACGGCGATATCGTGTATTCGGACCTCCTTCGCGTGTGGAGGGACTCATTTGCCTCGTACGTTGTACATGTTGTCGACTTTTGCGGTGCTTACCCTGTGGAAGATGGGACCATGCACACTACTCAATTCAGTATTGAGTCAACTTGAACCTTCTTGTGTTTTGGTGACAACGGTATTACTACTCCTTGACTAACGAAAGGTTGAGGCTCCGAACGACTTCAAGTGATTGCGCGACATGACACGGTGGAATTGAATATAGGGTAATATCCATGTAAGTGGCTCCTGGGTGCATTGGCGACAAATTGTATGTGCTTGCGATGGTCCATCACGGACCACTCTTGTCTCCGCCGATTACCTGCAGCAAGAAGTTCGTCTGGAGCTGGACCGAGAACCGAAGGGCGCGACAGCCGTTAACACGCGCCAGTAGTGGTATCAGGGGAAGATGAGAAGCATCCCACTGCCTGCACTGATGCTACTACTAGTCCTGCTAGTAACTGGTAACTACGGAGAAGAAACTACGGGATGTTACGCGCGTTCGCAAGTATGATTTAGTCCTGCGGGTATGAGCTGCTAGACTGCGCTATGGGGATTTGGTTTGACGGGACGTTGATCGGCCTTTTTGGAGCTCGGGGGGTTTGATAAGGAAGCCGTTGAGGCGGTTTCTTGACTAATGAAGCGTGCCGATGCCTCTGGTCATCTGGAGATTTGAAAAAGACCCGATCTACGGGATGGAGCCGACTAGTAGCATGTTGAACAGACTGGAGATTTGGGGGGGACTGCAGTCTTAGCTAGCCAGGGCGCGATTTTGGGTTGATAACACCAAGGTTGATACTACGTAGGCTTTGCTTCTGTTTTGCAGGCAGGATACTACTACCCTGAGAACCTATATGAATGAACTTGGGGAGAGTTCCGTAGCGTGGAACACCCTATGCGTTCTAGTGCTTCGATAATGGCAAGGTATGGGATGCATTGATATTGATATGTAGAAAAAGATGAATTGGGTATGGGCTGGGAGCTGAAAGACGGCTGACCGGACATGGGAGTGGGAGTTGCTGGGCATTTCAGGGGAATCCTGGATCGCATACTGCTTGAAAGGGAATCTCATTTCAGTTGAGGAGACGATACGGAGAAGAGAGAGGGGGATTCGAGATTACTGATTGATACCTAGACCTATTACTACTGGTTTCCTGAGTCTCGTAGGTTATTCTGAGGATATCGTACGCACTCCATACTGGATAGGGCATAGTCCAGAGTGAGTGAGAGTTGTCGTTGATATTGATTGTGTGCATACAATCTGAAAGAAATTACGGAATTGAAGCATCTGAAAAGCAAACGGGAGTCGAGAGAAAATTGCTTAGACAAGGCATGTGTTAAAGCCTTGGCAAGAACCGACGGTAAACGGAGTAATAGATGCCATTCATTTATGGCCAAGATATATATCTGCTAACGGTGACAGGTTCGACCGTTGCTGCATTAGTCGATCGATGCAGCTGTCATGATTACGCGGACGTTGGAAGCTCTACTTCTATCTGAGGGATGATGGGATGACGGCTCTATCACAAATCCCATCATATACTTGATAGCGCAGGTACAGCGTCGACAGCGCCAGAACTAGAGCAATACGCGCCATCTCTCGGATCTTGGCCCACGGAGGGGGAAGCTTCATTACCAGGAACCCAGTGGCCGGTACATGCTAGTGGTGGAAGTATCCTAGGGGCTTTTATTACTACAGCAAACTAGACCAGGTACCTTCATGTGTGCGTGAGGCGTGTCTGGGATCAGAGTCGAGCGATCTGGGGGTGGAAAAGCTGATGGATGGCCTCCAATCATGGCGGCTGGAAGCTAGCAGGTTTTTAGCGGACAAAGTTAGCAGCCCGCCAGCGCTGAGCGGAGTTTGGAGGAGAGCCCCCAGAGGACACCCCGACGCTACGACGGACTGGTCCAGCAGTGCATGTTTGGTTCGATAATTGAACGCAGCTTGCAGCAACAACTGCCCGACGACTCCTGGAGGTGCTGATTGGACGTGAAGGAGAGACGTGATGCTGTCATGTACGATACTTGTACCTGTACCTGTATCCCGGTCGGCGGCGGCTGTTGTGCGACACACCAGCGGCGGGTTTTTAGAGAGGGGCCCGCCAGCGAAACCGCGCAGAGAGGCTAAGCAGATGGCGCGCTGGTACCAGGAATACGGGAGAGGCGAGTCGGGCAGAGTGGCCACGCTTGTTTAGCGGCATGTGCGAGGTACACCTACCTTACCAGTACAGTACGATATCTCTGATTGGCCTTGGGGTGTCTACAGTACAGTACCGTCAGGCAAGGGAGGGCAAAGGAAAATGGAGGGGAATCTTAGTGCCAGTAGTTATCTAGTAGTAGTTGCCTTGGATCTTAGGTACGGTGAGCTGGCGGAAGCCTTTTGGGGCCGAAGCCAGGCCACGGAGAAGGGGGACGGGATTCCACTTGATGTCGGGGCTAAGGGCATGACATGCTTGGGCGGCTCGTCACGTTATGCGGTAGCTGGTACGGCCGGTGCCTCTCAACGGTGGAGAGTGGTACGTGCCGCGGTGCTGGATAGGGCGGTGCTGGTCTGGGTACTGGGCGACGCTGGGGCTGGGCCGCGGGGGTACTGTCTACTTGTCCGTGGACGCGATTTGGGTTGCCCCGTGATTTGCCCTGGGTCGAGTTGGGGCCTGAGGCTGCGACGGGTCTTGGACTCGGATCGTAGTTGTACTCGTACGAGAGGGGAGAGGCTGCGAGTAAGCTGGGCCGATAGCCGCTTGACAGCTGCCATGACGTGAAATCACAGCTGTTGACATGTCTTGTTTCGCCTCATTGTTGACTGTTGACTCGTCACACCGTCAAAGATGGCACGATGGCAGAGTCAAGAGTATTTGCGGTACTTGTGCGCGCGCTCTGTACAGTGCGTCCCCCATTCAGCGTCCGTCGTCGCCTTGTCATGTCTTCTTCTCTAACCAATCCTTCAATCGCCTTCTCTTCTCAGCCTCACAGTATCCGCAGCAGCGTGAGCCTACGGGCAAATCAAATCAGCCCCAGCAGTGGCTCGTCCAGATGATGCCTGCTTTGGTACCGCTACCCTCCTCGGTACATACATACATGCATACCCTGGCCCTCCACTTGCTGGCTCCCACCGCCGTCGCATCGAGACGCTTCCGAGAGCAGCAAATCGCATAGACGAGACGCGCACCCACACATTGCCTCGAGAATGACCCGGATGGAGCACCACGGACACAGCGAAACACGGCAGTGAAGACGAATAAAGCTTCAGACACACACTCTCTCTCATCAAAGGCAGACAAGGAAGAAACGGCAAACAAAAGCCTCGGTCCTTGGGCTTTGATAACTGTTTCAGCCACCAGACGGGGTTTCGCATTGTCGATATTGATTGACTGGGTTGCTTTTTATCAAGTACGATGACGTCTTGTTCTTTTTCTCTACCTCTGCTGACTGCTCTTCTGCTCTTTTGCCCCTGGTGGGCACCAACGCTGTGGAGGAGCCCTTGTTGCGAGTTCCCGGCCTTTCACGATGCCGTGGGTTCGCCTCTTTTTTTCCTTTCTTTCTGCGCACCCCTGCTGTGTGCGGCTGTTGCGATGGATACTCTTGACGTTCCAAGGCACATTTTGCCGAAGCAAATCCTCTCCTCGCCTCTCCGCTCTTCGCCCATGACTAAGAGGATGGACAGACAGCGAACCAGGGGGCCCAGGTCGAGGATGAGGACCCATGGGCTCGCCTCCACGATTGCGCTCTCTTCATCATCCTTCCTGTCTGTCTGTCTCTTCTCTCTGCAGACGCCCCCCCCTCCGCGCCCTCATCTGATGCCCTTCTCTATTTGCCCATCCCCGTCCCCGTCCCGGCATCCATCCACTCAACTCAACTCACTTGCCCCGCCGCCAATGGGAGATTTTGCCTTGGCTCTCTCTCATCATTGAATTCTCTCGCTCGCTGCGCGTTCATGGAACCCCCGTTTGTGTATCTGGCCCCCGATGAGGGTTTCATCCGCAGGAGAACTGTGACATGCCATTACCGTCTATCCCCCCTCCCCAGCTGCAGCATTACGGAGAAGCAACCTGTGTCTCGACGTCCGTCCTGATCCGATCTCTTCACTCACGTCTTCTTCGTCTGAGGTATAGTGGAGAATGGTGGTAGTGCTCAGTGACACTGTACCGGTACAAGGACAGACACATCCATGGAGACCTACCCTGCGGAGTACCTGGGTATGCGTGCTGCATCGTCGGCGAACATGATACTAGTCCCCATTCTTGTTGACTCATCTCGGCAGCCCCGACTTCTGGACCCCCTCTGGCTGGGCTACCCGGGCCCTCATTGGTCTGATCGAGGGTAATGCCCAATTCTTCCCAGCGTGTGTGTGTGTCTTGTGTGGTTCGCGGCTTTTATTTCATTTTATCTTTTCTGATCTTATGATGCTGCCTTCTCTTCTCCATCTCATGCGCCTTGTGGCTACTACCAGTACCCTCTCCACGAACGAGCATTTGTCTCTCACTTTTTTTTTTGTGGGTTCTCTGTTCAGCCCATGAGCTAAAGGCGGGAAGCGAAAAGACGGTCAAGTTGTCTAATGCTACGCGCACATGGTTGTGGCTGCCCTCTCTCCTCGGCTCTGTACGGCTGGGGATACGACTGCGACTCTCCTGCTGCTGAACAAGGCATATGATCCTGCCTACATGTAGGCACAGCTCCAACCCTCGAATCGCCGTCGTCCTCTGACATGAGCGAATCACGCGTGCCTTCTTGTTCCCTTGCCTGCATCGAAGCCCCCCCGTCACACCCCCTTCATTTGGGCCTTTCTCGCGGGAAACGGATGGCAGCATCGTCCGAGGCACAGAGAGAGAGGGGAGGGGGAATATGATCCTCGCTTGAGACAAATTTGACAATTGGATATAAGGTTGATGAGAGGCATCTGACCCATGGTTATCGCGATGCTTGGTTCTGAGCCGTTACATACACCCACCCCTGCCTGAACCTGGCAACGGTCTTCCGTGTCTTGGCTCTGGCTAGCCCGCCCGTCCCCCTGGTTCGGATGATGAGAGGTGCGCTCTTCCAACGCGTCTCGTCTCAGCATCTTCAGACCATCACGACGCGGCCAAGCCCTGTCTCTTTGTCTCTCCAATTCTTCGATGACACAATGGCACTGTACGATTCTGTCTCCAGCATGAACAAGCCACGGAATCACGGCCTGCAAAGAGTAGCTTGCCGTACTCTATACCTTCGCCCGGCCCCCCTCCCCTCTTCCTCACTCACACCTCACCAACAGGCTGTTTTCCTCCTGTAGCATAACGCCACCTTCACCACGTGCTTACTACGCCCATCCCGGCATGGCTGATTCACACAGGCGGAGAGGGACTCCATAGGGGAGCAAGAGAGACGGACATGGAAAAGAGGAGAGAGCAAGTGAACCATTGCAAGCGGAGCACGATTGCTGGGTCTCTTGGGTTCTCGTCCCTTGTGCCCCTGCTCCAGTTCTCCCCTCTTTGGCTGTCTGCATTCAGCTTTTGTCAAAGTTCGGCGACCAGGTCAGGATTCCCCTTCCACTTTCTGCCTCTCTCTTTGTTTCCCCTCGTTCTCAGCCTCAGGAGGTGACTGATCGCTTTTTTCTTTCGAACGGGGGCTGGGGGGGTTGTGGATGATGGAAATGCACTGTGGGCAGGGGTTTGTTGAAATGTGGCTCCCCCGATTTTTCTTCTGCTCTTTTCACGTTGATGCTCTTGGCTTGCGACAGACGTGCATGACATGACAATGGGGTCTGGATTGTCCATATCCTCCGTTATACGGCGACGTGAGTACCACAGTCACTTGACACACGGGCGTTTATCTTGAAAGGTTCACGCCGGCGAGAGGACCCTTTCTGCTTTGTAGCACTCCGTTATGCCTCTTGGCTTTTTGCTGTTTCTTCTCGGGCCCGACCTCTTCAGCCGCGCCCGTTTTGTGTTGCCCTCTTGCAGCGGTGTTATCAGTCAGGATGTCCGTACAGTACGGATATGGCGAGAAACGGGGAGATAGTAGATACTATGGGAACGAGATCCTGGCCCCAGTCCGAAGGAACGGGTTCTGGTTGGATCTGGGCAGATGCCCTTTGCCGCCCCTCCTTGTCATTCTCATGCCCTGCCTTTTTTGCTGTTTGGCCTCTTTGCTTTTGCCTTCCCTGTATGAGTGTGCATGTGTGTGTGTGTATTGTCTCGGCTTGGCCACCCCTCTCGAATTCTATGAGAGGTCACCTCTGCGTCATCTTGTTCCCTGTGCAGATTCTTTTGCAAAGGGCGGTCTCCGGCTATGAAAGTGATGACCCGAAGAGCAACGGGAGAGGACTTCCTGCCGCGGCTGCTTTGTGCGAGAAGATGCGGGCTGAAAATCGAGTTGGTCGTTTCCATACTTGCTCTGAACACATGTTCTTTTTTATTTCCAACATGGAAAGTTGTTGCGACTTTGTTTCCTTTCCTGAATGGTTTGGATGTGCTATGTATGGATGTACTACTTGGGCCAATAGCGCGAGGCGTGCTTTTTGATACCGGATTCTTGGGAATTAGAAGGATATGGCTTGAACCAATACGCCTCTTTTCTTGCTGCTGTTCTTAGACAAAAGCTGGGGGGAAAAAAAGGTCTCGCCATTCCCGAAGGAGGAAAGGTAGGGTGGCATTTTGGCTATCAATCAATACTGGAGAATCGAGAGGACTCTCTTTGTCGAGTCCGAGTCGATCGATTGTTTTCTGGCGTTCTGGTTTCTGCCTTTTCTGTTATTATGATTGTTCACCTCCGGAGTCTAGTTTGTCGTGGGCTTTTGGGATACGCAAGAGATGGCTTCTATGCTACTATTTGACTGATTCCTGTTCTGTACTCGGATCATGATCACATGTGAAGATATGCGTAGGTTTCCCTGGTGTTGAACACACCATCTTTTTCTGGTTTCTCGGTGCCGTGATTGCCGGGTGCCGGGTAAGTTGAGATCAGTTCTGGTTCAGCTTTCTTTCAGCTCTGATGTGGAAGTGTTCTTTGTATTGGAGGGAGACGGGTGGATGTTTCCTTCAACTTTTCTTCTCTTTCTCTTTTTTCTTTGGTGTTGGCCGTTCTTCAGCCCCATCGACGTCTACCTACGAAGTTCTGCACTGTCTGTTATTACTATTATCAGGATCAAGGGGGAAAATACATACCTAGTCGGAAACACCCCTCCCCTTACTCCGTACACCGTGAACCAACAACATGATATCCCGAGTATTACGTGCAAGAGCCAACATTGTCATTTTGTCGCATGTCGTTGGTTTACCGTGACACAGGCCCCTCTTTTTTTTTTTTCTTTTCTTGTCCTTTCTGTTTTTGTTCCGAGGCTCTATTTGTTGTGCCATTGTGAATCAGCTCGGCGATGTCTTGGGATTTTGTTCTTTTATACCAAGAATAGAGTGTTTTTGAAGGGCGTGCATTGGCCACGTCCTGTTGGTGTTTCTGACCGGCTGCTCGGTGACCTTGTCACGGGAGTCTCTTAATCTTGCTTTTTTTTTTTCCCCTGTCTTCTTCTTCTTGGCCTGGCTTGGCTTGGCTTAGTTGGTGTTGCTATTCATGGACAATGGGTGAAGGCAATTTTTACGATATGGAGTACGAATTACGTATACTCGTGCCATTTTTCCAGCTGTGAGGTTCTGGCTGGATCACACAGGTTTCAGACAATGAATGACCTGCGATTCGAGGTGAATGTAGTGGAGCGGGTTGAATGGATTTGGGTGTGTTTTCGTCGTCTGACCAACATGGGGGCGTGAGTGTGTGTGTCTTCTGTTCCTCAGCGTAAGAGAGAGAGAGGAGATGTGTGTGATGTGCCTGTCTGTTCATTACGAATGGATTCATCATATATGATGAAAGTGAGTGCTGCTACAACGCTCACGCTCAGACTCTGAGATATATGTAAATTGATGCTATAACTACCTTCCCTGCATATAATATAGTTATAAAATCAAATAAAGTACTGTAGTACAAAGCGCATCCTTCTGCCCTTTGCTTCTCTTCCTTCTTCCCTGCGCCCCGCCCTGTCCATGTCCATGTTTCATTTTTGCTAGAATCCTTCCCGACAGTGTCCCGCTTCCTACGGAATATTTTCTTCTTGGTCTCTCCAACGGGTGCTTCCTTGTACAGGTATTATATTTTCGTTGCGGATATACGAAAGTAAAATTGTTATATAGCAAGGTACATGCAAGTACTGGTACTGCCTATGGGGTGATATTTGGACCCCCGGCCCGCGGTTTCATTATACATACGTCTTACTGCGTCTTGGTGTTTTTGTTGTATGAGGGGTGCGTAGTTGGTTGGTTGGTTGGTGACTCTTTTCTCTCTCTCTCTCTTTTCTGCGTATGACCGGGGGGCGTGAGCTGGTATGGGTGTCTTTTTTTCTTCTTTTTTTGTGACTTGTCGTTATGGAGTTTTGGCGTTTTTCCTTTTATACTGGTGATCCTGGCAAGGTTTCTTTCCAAGGTTCTTTTCTTTTCTTGATGTTGTGTTTGTTGGATACTACCTACCTTACCCAGCAAGGCTGTGTACATTGCATGTATTATGTCGGCGTCGCAAAGAAGGTTAAAAGAAGATACAGGAAAGAGAAGGGAAAATGATAACGAGAGAGCAGGATGTCATACATGGGTTGTGGACATAGGTGCCTGGCCTTGGGGGCTTCTCAGTTTAGACTTCGAAGGCCTGCGCAGCTTTGTGTTTAAGGGCACCTCGTGCTTTTTTTCTTTGTATAACCGAAAGAGAAGGGGGAAACGGGACACGGGACATGGGAGAACGATTGCCGGATGCTGCAACTTTCGTATATCCGTAGACTCAAGGACCATAGGTAAAACATGTCATGGGCGAAGGGAAAAAAGCAAGATATGGACAAAGGTATATATGTTATGCGTCGACCGGGGGAAAGGATTTGTTAGGATAAGAGGAGGGAGGAGAAAAGAGAGATGCTACAAATAGCTCTCGTCGTACACAAATAGAGGGCTGAGCGTACAGCCCCTCGTATACGTGAAATGATGGCTCTGATTTGAACGAAACCCTTGTTCTGGCGCGTTTTATCTATGAGGCTGCGGAATATGGAGCTTGGGATTGGGGATGAGATGATGGACGTTTTGTGTGCGGATGAATGTATGTATGTGAGTGTTGTTTCCTTGCATTAGAAGGCAGCTAGGTAAGGTAGCTTGAAGGGACAAGAGATACATAGCAAGTTGTAAGGGGTGTTTGTTATACAGAGCGAGAGGAGGGAAAACGTTGATGAGTTGGGATAGATGGGGCACGGCTGCAAGTAAAGAGACGCGGAGACTGAGCCCTACATCGCTCGAAACGCAGAAAATGCATTTACATCATGCGCGCATGGAAGGGTTCGTTGAACTTTGGTTAAGCACATCCAATGGACTTGAATATGTTCGTACAACGGCCTCTTTGAACGCTGTTCTCATGACTGGAGATGCACTCCTTTCTTGCACTTTGACCTCTTACTATGAGCAAAAGGTTGACGACTACATTGTATATTGAATCTGGGCGATGCGCTGGCTAAGATTTATCAGAGTCAAAGCAGATGATTGTGTCCAAGTTTTTAGAAGATGGATGGATCGGCCTTACCCGACGATTCACGGGAATCTGAGAAGACTTCTTATACCTCCTCTTGATATAACAGACGTATCTGGCACAAACATAGCAGGACAAGCCAATATAGGAAAAGAGATGTTTGTGAAAAAGTTGACAGATGAAGTGCTGTCCGGCAAGTCTCCGCCTGATATTCATGCATCGTAAAGTCATTGACACAAGTTGGCTACCTGCCTTCAACAGAAGGAGGATGTTGTTGTAGTGAGGCACTGCGCAGCTTTGCTTACAGAGAATCCAGAAACAACACCTTTCAAACCAAAGCACACCTTTCCGCCTTCCATACGGTACGGTAAGACAACTCATACGTAGCATAGCACAAGATATCGTTGATGCTGTTGAGGGATCCCTCGGCAACACATCAAGAATAATCCTCCATGTGGCGCTGTCATAAAGAGACGCTCTTGAGATATATAAACGCTTCCTTAGTATACCGCTATGCGCCGTCCAATATATAACCCTCAGAGTGGAATCAATTGTGTCTTGAATCACTTCGGGAGCCCTCTCACCATAGATGAAGCTCGGAGAACAGTGCTGGTGGAAGCGATAACGTCATCTAAATTGTGCCTGCTAGATAGGCACTGAAATAAGAACTCCGAGTTGTATAATGCTCTGCCCGAATCCAACGTCACCATGAAAATGTTGATGTGACGAGCCAAGTACTGTTAAGATCCGTTCGTCCAGAGACTCATACTGTCGCGCAGTTTTGGACAATACACTACGAATCACTTGTGTGAATCACCAAGTACTGTTTCATGCCCAATGCGTGTCATTTTTTTCTCTATCAACATACATTTGTTAATCTTAATGCAGAGCAGCCTAGACGATGCCGATGGACGCATCGACATGGTAGCTAAATAGTTGGCTGATAACAATGGATCGCCTCCCTGTCCTTATGTGATATACGTGCAGACCATTAGAAAAATGAAAAAAGAAAGCAAGCAAACAAAAATCCGTCATCAACAAAAACCAAATAACCGATGACTGCGCAGGAGTGCGAGTCAATGTCTAGTTGAAACCAATCCTGTCCTCTATCAAACGCCGTTTGAGTGCACTGGGCCGTTCACGTCTTGTCATGCGTTCCAGCTACTCCAAACTCGGGCGACTCGCACTTGTCCGGGTCACCGTCGCTGGTTCGACGCGCATCTTCTTCTTTCTTCCTCCTTACCATCGCCGATTGCCCAGCGGATAGTTGTTGGAGTTGTTGGCTGATAGACCGTGGTCAGCTCCCGACCCTGCCCTTTCGCTCCCTAGTATCGTCGATACCCACCTCGGCCACCGCCACGGCCACGGTAACCGCCGTAGCCGCGACCACCACCGCCACCACCGTAGCGGACCATCTCAGCCAGGCGAGGATCGATCTGCTGCTTGGCCTCCTGGAGGACATTGACAAGATCACGAGCCTGCTTCTGGTCTGTTTGCGAGTGATTAGCGTCTGCGTGTGTAGATCGAGTAGGGAAGAAAACTTACTGTCAGTGGTGAACAGCGTAATGGCAGTTCCGTGCTGGCCAGCACGGCCGGTACGGCCAATACGATGGATGTAATCCTCCGAGTTGTTAGGGTAATCGTAGTTCAAGACATGCGTGATGTTGCGAACATCTTGATTACACAAGAGAAAAGGGTTAGCAAGCGAAATACGGGTGTGTGTAGCAACCTCCAGCGCGGAACGTGAAGAGACGGCGTATAAATATATATCGTCCATCTGTGTACTTCACTCCTTGGTAAACCAGGGCCAATCCAAGTGCGTTTTCAAAATGCCATCCATCCTCTTTGAAAGGCGGACATGTTATGTGATCACGGGGTCCTCAGGGGAGACAAGGAGCCTTGGGGAGACAGCTTGATCAGGGTCAAGGGATGCCAACCTCCACGCTTGTACCTCGGAAACGAGCAGGGTACAAGAATGGAAATACGAGTATAGCAGGGAGAAGCGCTACACAACGGATCAAGACTCCACCACATAATGAGAACCATACGGACACGGTTTGCTCAGGCAGTTGCGCACAATACAGATAGCCCCTAGACGCGAGAGTAAAGTATACAGCAAGTGCTTTTGCTGGAAGTTGCTGGAGATGGGGGGAGGGGATTGATACGTACCGATACCACGGGACGCCACGTCGGTAGCAACCATGATAGGGCTCTTTCCGGTCTTGAACTGGTCCAATACCCAGTCTCGCTCGTTCTGCTGCTTATCGCCGTGAATTGCTGTTGACGCTGTTAGTCATCGAAGCTCACAAAGGCAAGTTGGGGTGGGATGGCTTACAGAGAGCGGGCCAGCCGTCCTGGCGAAGGAATCGGGTGATTTCGTCGGCGATGCGCTTGGTACCAACAAAGATGAGGATCTTGTTCTCCTTGTTCTCCATGACCTTCTCGAGATGCTTGATCATGCGATCACGCTTCTCCATCTCGGTGACAACCTCCACAATCTGGGTGATTCGGTGGTTGGCAGCCAGCTCCATGGAGCCAATGTTGACCTGGATAAAGTCCTGCAGGAAGTCGGAGGCAAGGGCACGGACTTCCTTGGGCCAGGTGGCAGACCACATGAGAGTCTGTCGGTCGGGTCGAATCTGCTCGATGATCTTGCGAATCTGGGGCTCGAAACCCATGTCCAGCATGCGATCAGCCTCGTCGAGGACCAGGTAAGTCACACGACGCAGGTTGGTCTTGCCGGCCTCGAGCATGTCGATGAGACGACCGGGGGTGGCAATGCAGACCTCGACACCTCGCGAGAGGTCACGGATCTGGGGGCCCTTGGGCACACCACCGTAGACGCAGGTGTTGCGGATGCGCGATGAGCGGCCAAACTTGGAGATTTCCTGCTGGATCTGAACTGCCAGCTCACGGGTGGGGGCGAGGATCAGCACGATGGGGCCGTCGCCAGGGGCGAGCAGGGGCTGGGCGTTAATGTGGACAATGGCAGGAAGACAGTAGGTCAGAGTCTTTCCGGAACCCGTCTCGGCAATACCAACGACGTCGCGACCAGAGAGAGCCATGGGCCATCCTTGGGACTGAATGGCCGTAGGGGCCGGGAAGCCCTGGGCCTTGACTTCATCCATGACGTAGCGGGGGAAGCCAGCCTCGTCAAAGGTCTCGACGGGCTTGGGGACGTCACGACCAGCAATGGTCATCTGGTGCTTGCGACGGAACGCCTCGACCTCGGCAGGAGAACGAGCGGTAACATCAGGGTGCTCTTTGTAAAAATCCTTTTCGAACTTGGGAAGGGCAGACATGTCTGTTTATCAAAAGTTAGCAAACAAGTAACTACTCAGAGCCAGAGACAAAGCTCGAGCATCAAAAGTACGGTGAAACCGTCGAGTGCAAAGACTTACCCCAGTCCTGCTTCTGCAGACCAGCGCCGAGGTGGCTCATTCGGTCACCGCCGCCGCCGCCTCCATAGCCGCCTCCATAACCACCACCGCCGCCGCCGTAGCTGTTGCCGCCAAATCCGCCACGACTAAGCACATCTCGTTAGCAAAGAGTTCATCCTGTATGGGAAGAGAAACTGGCGATTTGTCCATCACGCCGATGAAAACGATTGTTTCCAGTCGATGCGCGGGCTGTCGAGAGATGAGAATCCCATCTCTTCGACGCCTGCGCGGGTCGAGGACAGGAGCAGAGATGATGAAGAAGAAGCAACTTACCCTCCGCCGTAGCCACCGCCTCCGTAACCGTTGCGGTCGCCGCCGCGATCACCACCGCGATCACGGCCGTAACCACCACCACCGCCTCCGTAACCACCACCGTTGGATCGACCACCGCCGTAGCCAGACATGATTCTGAGGGTATTTGATTCGTAGAACGTTCTTCTGGATGTGAAAATTGAAAAACGCGGTTGTCAGGTCAACAACTCGAGAGAAGTCGAACTGGCGGTAAAAAGGGCAGAAAGAACGCGTCACAAGGGCGAAGAACCAGAAGTTCTGATCGTCTGCCTCTGATGTGCGATGAAGAAGATAATGAAAGAGAGTGAGAGAGAAGACGCCGAGAGTTGGCTGTCGTTGGATGTTTGTTGAAAGGAAGAAAAGGAATCTGGAAAGCAGGGGGAATCGGGTCTGCGCCTAAGGATTTTTTTTTTCTTGCCTGCAGTTTTTTTTGGCGCTAAGAAAATCTGGTAGGATGGCGCCTGCCGGTACGTACTGTGGCGCGGGTGGCAACCTGCTGATGTAATCACGCGTCATGGCTACCCTGGAGGCTTCTTGAAATTTCTGACTCTATTGCATTTTGCAGTTCACGGAGTTGATCGAGTGCTTTGCGTACTGTTTGGTTCTCCCAGCTGATGTTGTTTGATTGAGGCCGGAGGGACAGTATGTAAGACTGTAAGATGGTCTTTGCCGTGTTGGGCGAAGGACTCGTGGCTCCCAGGTGAGAAATGCCATGCGGTGGCTTATAATGTGGAGGAAACCATTCTCTGTTTGCATTATTCACTGGGAGGGCTGTGGTAGAAGTAAAACCTATGCGTCGCAGAGCAGAAATTTGCAGTAAGATCGTACAATTGGTATATTGACAGACTCGCGAATGGCAAGAAACAGGAAAACAGGATAGAAGTCGGTCGCACCATCACACCTTCATCAAGCTGTTACAGTAGGTACAGGAAGTCCTCCAACTCCTTTAAAATGTATGAAATCAAGTATACAAGTAGTTTACAAAACGATAGAGGTATCCCAACCTCGAACCCGATCCGAACGTTTTATTAGTCTCCCGTCCAGGCAGTTGAAGACGCCCACTCTATGTCATAAAAAGGAAAAGAAGCCTCCGCTCAACACAGAACAGATAATGGAATCATGGTTGTTTCGAAACTCGCGGTAACCAGCCGCTCCTCCAGCACCAATTTTTTTCTCGCTCTCTCTGGAATTTGATCGTTCTTCGTTTGTCGTCCGAAATTTACTCTCGGGAGACGTCACGACCGAAGGCCTTGGACTTGAGCCAGTCCACGAGAACAAGGACACGGTTTCGTGCTACGGGACTTGTTAGCAAAGATGAACAAAAAGAGTAAATTTGTAGAGGAAACTTACTGCTGAAGCACATTGAGAGATAGGCACTTCGCCAGAAGAGATAGGTCAGGCTACCACCGGTGGCCAGGTTGCCGTTCCACCAGCTGACGTCGGCAACGGCCTTCTCGCTGCCAATGTAGGCCAAGCTTCCCTGGTGACTGTACTTGAAGGGCTTGACGTCACGGATCTTCTTGAGCTGTCTCTCCAGCAGCTCAATCTCCTGGGCAGCCTCGGCGGAGTTGCCGCCCTCGAGGTTCAGCTTGCTGCTGAGCTCCTGGATACGCTGTTCGTAGCTCTCCGTCTTAGCCATGTTGTTAAACAGCTTGCCAAGGAAGCTACCCTCCTGCGAGGCCACCTGTGCGGTAGGGGCGTAGCCGGCGACGGCGCAGTCACCAATGGCCCAGATGTCTCGGGTTCCCTGGACAACGAGATACTCGTTCACGGCGAGGCCGCGGCGGGAGTCCTTCTGCGCAGGTATTTTGCTGGCCAGGTCCTTGACGATGGGTCGGACGGCGTTGCCAGTGGCCCAAACAAGCAGACCATAGGGGATCTCGACACGCTCCTTGGAGCCGTCGGGGCGGGAAACCTCGGCCTCGACGGTCTTGTCGGTGACCTTCTTGACCATGGTCTTGGTCTTGATGTCAATCTTCTCCTCGCGCAGGGTGTTCTCGGTGTAGTCGATCAGAGTCTTGGAGAACATGGGGAGAACGTTGGGCAGAGCCTCAATGAGAGTAACCTTGAAGTGAGGGCTGATCTCGGGGACCAGCTTCTTGATGTCCTCCTCGAAGAAGTCCTGGAGCTCACCGGCGAACTCGACACCAGTGGGGCCACCGCCAACGACGACCATGTGCATGAGGCGGTCAATCTCCTCAGGCGACTGGCCCTTGAAGGCGGCCGTCTCGACGCAGTCCATGATCTTCTTGCGGATCTGCTGGGCATCGTTGATCTCCTTCAGGAAGCAGCTGTGCTCTCTGACGCCAGGGATGCCAAAGGTTGCGTTCTCGGCGCCGACACCGACGACGAGCATATCATAGGGAATCTCCGTCTCCGAGGTTGCGCCCTTGATCTCGGAGTTATCCGCAATGCGCACGACCTTGCGCTCGGGGTCAATGGAGGTGGCCTCGGCCTCGAAGAACTTGGCGGCGGCCTTCTTTCCACGCAGAATGGCGCGGACCGGCTCCATGATGGAGCGGTGCTCGATGGTGCCGGTGGTACATGAGGGCAGAAGGGGGGTGAAGAGGAAGTAGTTGCGGGGGGAGACCACGACGACGTTGTAGTTGGAGGTGTCGAGCTTCTTGAGGAGAGCAACAGAGCCCCAGCCGGTGCCTGATATCGCACACTTGGTTAGTGTCTTACACGTGAGCGCATTGTGTGGCCGTCGACTCACCCAGAATGACCAGCGTCTTCTTGCTGGGATCAGGCTCGTACTGCTCGTCGGGGTGGCGGTCCTCGTAGATGTTGTAGGCAGTGTATCCCACGAGGCCAAGTGCCGAGAGATACGTCAGCCTCCAGGCCCATCGGAAGGTCCTGCGCAGCTTGCCGGGCTTGGGCTTGGGGGCCTCGTCGGCGTAGGCTCTCCGGAAGGCGATGCGACCAGAGTTGGTCAGCTTCATGGCCACGGACGGGCGCGCAGCAGATCGCATCATCGCGGCCTTGGTAGCAGTGGAAAGGGCTCGGGATGCGACGCCATTGGGAGCCAATTGGCCAGCCCTGGCGAGGGCCCTCATCGACTGAGTTGAAGCCATCTTGGGGCTCCGGGACCGGGATCAACAACCACCACAGGGGAGCAGGATCAGGATCAGGAACAGGAACGATATCAGACAAAGGATGATGTCGCAACGGCCACGACACGGTCAAACGATGATTTGAAGTCGACGATAGGGAACAATTAAAAGGTGCGCTAGGGGAGGATGGAGCTTGAGCTCAGTCCAGGTGGTTCCGCCAGGGCAAGGAAGGCCTAAAAAAAGAGAAAAAAAATTGATGACGCCTCTGAGGCGAGCCTTTAGCGGATGGATTTTTTTTCTTTGTATTTCTCCCCCTAGAAAGCCATTGATCCATCCAGCCTTCCCGCTCGAAAAATTAATAACGCAGAAAATGATTGGGTCGGGCACCCACTCGAAAAGTCTGCCCCTAGGTCCAGGCAGTATCTAGCAGCACGGGACAGTTGGCGATAAGGCATGCAGACCTGACAGGACGATCGAGGCAAAGGCTGGGATTGACCAATTGGCCTCGACCATTGGTTGATCGATAGTAGCATCGGCATTCCGCTGTCTGTTCATCCCGGACTGCTGCAGGCATGTGCCTCCGTCCAATGCCGATGGCCTCCGGAGGCCTTGAGCACATGCAATCCATCTCTTTCCGGAAATCCGAGGACATCTCTACATACTACAGTACACTTACACTACCGGCTCGCGGACTGATTGATCTAGAGGTGATAATGAGCGCGGTATACTGAAAGCCGACTAGGGCAGAAGGCCTCAGTTCTCTTGGTTAAGTAGCGAGCAAACCTCGTTACCTGCGTCTCGTTTCCCCTCTCTCCTTGGCAGCTTCCAATCTCCCCGTCTCTCTCCTCGAGTCTCTTCAAGCTTCTTTCACTCTTATTCCACTGCCGGTTTGATCCGTGCGCGACCGGGCCGGTAGTTTAGCGACTCAGACGGACGCGCCTGTCGAAGCCACCGGATGCCGAAGCTGCTCCGGACAGCGACGCTCACTGGAGCGGCTAGACGGAGAGTCCAAGGCTCTTTTCGGGATCCTTCAGAGGGCTCACGGCAGGAAAGGAAGAATGAGCGGTGACATCAAAAGCTAAGGGCAGGCTATTACATGAAATTACATGTACGAGGCGTATCTCGTTCCGATCGTCAAAGATGGCGCTGGACAACCGGACCGGTAAGAAACGGAACGTTATACAAGGTACCTTAGTATTAGCAGGTTATCCTTCTATATGTTCAGTCATCACAGGACACATTGGGAGCATTGGGCCGGTATCGCTGGTTGCTTGCAGTCACTCATCTTTGAAGTTGACAGTAAACACAGGGTTACATGGCATGGCATGTTTCTGCAGGTGTCATTGGGAGAGGCTGCTGCCAAGAGAAACAGAAGGATCTGATGCATCTTGATACTCGTATCATTCGTTGATCATCCCACTGCTAATTATAGAAAGACAGCCAAAACGGCAGACTTGTGACGACCTCAGAAAAGGTCTGAGCGTTGGAAAGAGACATGCGGAGGACCGACTCATGTCTTGACCCCGAACCGTAGAGACCAAAGGCCGTGCATCGTCCCGCTTGTTGCTTCGTTGAAGAACTGCAGAAGTATCCCTAACCCTCTACTCGTACATGTACGCAAGAGACTCCTCTCAAGAGCGGACTGAGGCCGTCCTGCTGCTGTGCAAGCCAAGAGCACACAGACTGCAGATCCCGTTTAAGTGACCTGCCAAGCCAGCATCTGATTAGTGCTTTGAAGTCAATCAAGCGTCTCTGCTGTTTCAATTTCCACCGTCAGGGTTCAGCATTGAGTCTCTGTCTGATCGTCGCCCCTGTTTACATGTTCAGCAGCTGCGCCACCGCCTCGTCTCTCCATGACAATCACCAGCCACAACTCCAGCCACACATGCTCAAAGCATCGTCGTCTTTGTCGGCTCCATCTCATCGGATCGACAACTCCTGCCATCAAAACAGCAGCCTTTGACACTGATGCGAGGCATGATACTGCGCATCGGCACACCTGTTTGACGGTCTTTGCAGCAGCCGACGATCGCCAGATACAACATGAAGTCTCTGCCTCTGCCACTCACTCCATCTGGCAGCTCGGCCTCTCCAGGTTTCACCCCCCAGCGCTACTCAGCACCTGAAACGCTCGACGACACACGTTGACGCAGCCAAATGGCTGTGCGCGTTGCACTCGAGGCCTCCTTGTCGCAAGCCATGCCCACTTGAGCCGCTGTTCTTCAGCTTGTCATTGCGCGGATCTCGTTGCCCTGCATGTGAATGCTCGGAGTGGAATCGGTGCCGTTGCCCGATACGCGGATACGTGGACACGATGGCGGCGACTTTTGCCTCTTGCGCTTGATGAGACGCAGCAGCTACAGACAGCAGCGCTTAGGCTCTTACCAGAGGCGACCATAGCGGGATCCGTCGACCAGAGTCTCCAGCTAATACTGCCATGAGGATATCCTGGTATCAGGGTATCAGGCCCTCTCCCTGTTGTGCCACAGACGCAGTCCGTCCGTGTCCTGCGACCCCTTGTCTCCAGACGAGATCCGACTACGTAGTAACACATCTCCTTTTTTTCTCATGACACTTGACGCTCCCGCAACCTGGTAGTTCGATATTCGACATGGGAGTCTTAGCTTCTCTAGTGAGGCCAGCATTGGAGTTGCCCCCGAGCCCAAACGTGAGGGGCCGGCGCACGACAGATATGATCGACAACCTGTGACGAATCTGGGCTGAGCTGATTGGCTTCAGACAGTTTGTTCGACGCGATGTTTCCTAATAGTCTCTCCGTATCTGAGCTAATCCCTATTGACTGCCTATGAGATGAAGATCCGGAAGGTCAAGCGGTATCTTATTAGCTTATCCCCACGTTTTCTCTTCCTTCTCTTCTTCCTCTTCTTTGACAGAGCTGGCCTTGCTTTTTTCTTTACCTTTTTCTTTCTTTGTTGCTTTTCTTCTTTTTCCTTTCTTGATATGGGGAAGTGTTGTTCTTTTGAAACTCCGTTTTAAGTGTGCAGAACTGGTTTCTTGCACGGGTGTGGCTCCTAATTCCTGTGTCTTTTCTTTTCCCTTCCTTCATTTCCCTTCTCTGCTTTCTTTCCATTTCGTCGTTTATCTTTCCAGAAGACATAATCTTGCATGTTGTGATGAATGAGAGCAAGTTGATTGAAGCCGGACTATAACAGCGGTGCTCAGAAAACACAAAGAAAATATAGACCAGAGGGAGGAACAGTACTGTCTAGTGAACCATGGCGCCGACCTCGAAGCCGGAGAAAAGACGCTCGATTCCCAAGTTCGACACGGAAAACCAACTCGACAATGACATTAGACACTTTCGGGGAGCGGCAAGAGATGGTATCGAGAATGAAGGACAACTGAAGAGGGCCCTCGTGGGACTGCCGGGCCAGGGCGAAGAGTTGGACGCTGATACGGATGGTGCTCCCAAATCTCTCCCTTTCATTTCTCTTCCTTACGCCCCTCCTCCTTCAAACCCGGCCGAAGGCCGCCCAATTACTACTCTTGTGCCCATCCAAGAGAGTGACGTGGTCGCCGCTCCGGCAGCCGCTCCGCCCCCCAAGCCGACCTTCAAGACCATTCCCAAGGCAGTTTCAGAGCCAACCTCCACGTCGTCTTCCAAGCGGCCCGTCTATACATTGGGCTCCATTCTTCCGAAAGGCACAGCCACGGGAATAGCCGGAAACTTTCAGTCGGCATCTGTACGCCCTCAGAGGACTACCCTCAGCGCTGCCCTGCCCAAGGCCACGGGTATTGACCCTGATGACGATAGCGACGACAGCGATGATGAGGAGGGAGATGACATTGAGAGTGACGATGAGGATAAGGACGATACCCGCAAGCCACCTGCCGGCAAACCCAGCAAATCATCGACGGCAACTCGACCCGTCATTACATCCTCAGTCTTAGCGGATCACAGGGAGGGAATAGGGGCAGCCACGCCGACGAGCATTCCAAAAGCAAGTGGAATAGCGGCGGCGGCTGATCATACGTCTAGGGGAACGACAGGTGGTGAAAAGGCCGCTATTGCGATTGCAACCATCGGTGAGTACATACATCCAGACCAGAGGACCATTTGGGGGTTTTGGATAGAATTTACTCATCAACAGTGCAGGCTTCGTCGTTGTTCTTCTGGCCATGGTTTGGTTCTTTTTGCGCCGCGTATCCAAGCGCAACCCTGGCTCAAAGCCCGTTTGGCCGGCCAACTTTCCCTCCGGCAACAACATCGCCAACGGCACTCGACGCGTCTCCAGCAAATTTAGCGACAAGTTCTTGTCCTTGAGAGATCGCATCGTGCCCGGCGCCAATGGCTGGAGCAGTCTCGATGATGGGACTGTATATGACAACGACAAGTCCCCCCTGCTGGAGGCGTCCGATGCCAAGGCCAAGCGGGGGAAGAGAACAACGAGGACGCCCTCGCGCGTCATGGTGAACCCGTATGGCATGGTCTTCCGCAAGCCAAGGCACGACTCGACGTGGTCGGACATTATGCTGCCGGCCGGCGAAAAGGCGCCGCCGCTACCTCAGTCCCCTGCCGCAAGTCTCGCCCACAGCTCGGTCATGTCAGAGAAAATCCCCCCATTGCCGCCAATGCCTGCCTCCGTCATGTCACCAACCGCGCCCGTCAGCCCGTCGGTCGTCTCGGATAGGCAAGCGGCAGCGGCGGCTCATCTGGAGAATGCGAGGAAGAGCGTGGCCGCGAGCGTGCACAACAAATCCCTCCAGACGCCTCTGCGCCGCAACACCAACATGAGCGACCTCTCGTCCCTGTCCTCGGGCTTCGGCGACGGGGACATCATCATCATGCCCCCTACCGCTGCCGTTGCGATGAAGTCGGCCCACCCCAGCGTTGTCGACTCCCACGTGAACCTCCTTGCCGTCAGGGGCTCCGAGAGGGTGAGCTTCGCCAGCCAGTCGGCCGGCAGCAGAGACACCGTCTACACGAGCGTGTCCGATGACGGGCGCCCTCACTTCCGTCCCGTTTCCGCTTGGGTCCGCCACCAGCAGTCGCGCCGGGCGAAGGTGGCCGTGCCGAGCGCGGAGAATGGAATCCCTGCTATGCCTGATCCTGTGCCCCAGCAGGGGTTTGATTTGATGATGCCTGATGAGCAGGAGCCGAGGCGAGTGGAATCTTCAATGTGGAAGGATAAGAAGGGGGATAAGGAGACGGCTTGACGGGGTGCGGGTTTGGTGAATGGGGGGTGAAGGAGGATGAGATTGTTGTGTGTATGAACTGAAAGGTCAAGTGGAATCGGATGGAGAAGAGTGAGGGAGGAAAAGGGAAAGGGAAAGGGCTGGAAAAGAAGCAATTTCGACATTGATATGTATATGAGGATAAATGGATTGGCTCGCCCGGTCTCGAAGCTGGTATGGCCTATTCAGTCTTTTATATTATACAGCCTCTCACAGTCTACTTCCATATCTGACTTCACACCACCAAGCCCAAAATGCAAGGCTGCAAACCCCTCTATTTGCCTCTTGAACTTCTTTCCGCATCTTTTGCTCATCTTTGTTTCTGCTTACTCTTCATTTCACGTCTTTATTTGTAGGGAAACATTTCCCAGAAGCCGATTTCCATCTATCATGTCACGCCCCTCTTGTTAGCCGAGCGCCTTCTGGGATGGAGGTAAAGGGACTAGGGGTGTGGAAGCGTACTCTTGTTGCGTGGACGAATATCTTGATGAGCTCCTCTATTCTGCTGGGCGATTGCAGCCGGATATTCTTCTCGATGAGTTCTATTGCCATCACACCCAACATGGAAGTTTAGTCAGCCAGTCTCTTTCTCTCTTGTCTCGAAGGGGGGTGGGGTGGAGCAAAGAGCAGAGTATATATATATTTGACGTACCGCTTCCTAATCTCACGGCTTCGACATAGTCGTCGGCCTTGTAGTTCTCGATCCAAGCCCAGTATGTGTTGCCCTCGCGGACGGTGTCGGCGTGGGCGTGGAGCATCTTTGCGACGGCGCCGTAGCCGAGGAGGCAGGGGGCGAGGGCCATCTGGAGGGCGAGCCAGTCTTCGCTTTGGCCGACGTCGAGGACGTAGCGGGTGTATGCGGTGCAGGCTGTTATTCAAGAACAATGTTAGAGCCTACGGGAGTGTAAGGGGAGGGGGTTGCGACGGGAAAGGGATGATCTTGCCTTGGAGTTCCTCGGTGGCTTCGATTTCAGGCTTGGATATGCCAAAGGAGTTGCAGTAGTTTATGTGGAGCTTCATTTCGTGGAGGATGTGGCTGATGATTTCGTTGGACTGGATGTGTTTGTAAGGATGAGGCGCGTTTCGGGAAGGAGGTTGGGTGGACGGACTCTTGATATGTCGCCGATGGTCTTTGCTTTGTATGCTGCTAAAGCGTTTGCTCTGGAGAAGTGAACCTTTGTGTCTTTGTCAGTGATACTTAGGGACAATGAGTGGTCGTAAGTTCGGATGGGGGTTTACCAAGTAAAGATAGTCCTGAATGATGTATCCCTTGAAGGACTCGAGCGGTAGTGTCCCGTTGCCCAGAGCCATGACGAAGGGATGGTAGACGAACTCATTCCAGACGTCGCGTACGGCGGGGTGTTCGAGCAGGTATTCGACAAAGTATCCTCTATCAACATCATCAGCATTGGCCAAGAACGCTCAAGGTAAGAAAAGTGGGGTGTTGGATGATGCTCACGGGGAGAAAGGAAGAGTGTATGTCGAGTGGAAGTGGTCAAGTGGTCCGTTTCCATTTCCAATCTTGGGAGCCGTCTTGATGCCTGCTTCTATGTAGCGACAAGCACCGCGGACAGCTGTGGGCACATCGGCGCCTTGCGCAAGACGAGCTGCAATGGCCGCTGTATAACAGTTAGCACACTCTCGTAGACACTGGTCGTTGTCAGACAATTGTTACTGACAAGCTAGAGAGCAGCCCGTTCCGTGAGTGCTTGTGCTCTCCTGATACGGGCTCTCGATCCGAACCACCGTCCCCTCTGGTCCGATCAGAACATCGATGACAACTTCTTTTTCTTCTTTTGCCTTTGCCACCATGAAGTCTCTTCGGAAAGGCATGTGGCCGCCCTTGACGAGGACCCATTTTGGTCCTAGCTCCTGAATCTTGCGTCCCATGGCTTCGACGTCGGCAACTGACTGTATCTCTCCGGGTTCGCGGCCATTTTGCGATAAGAGGAGGGTTGCTTCTGGGATGTTGGGCGTGAGGACGGTGGTGTGAGGGAGGAGGTGCTGGGTTAGTTGGGCGATGGCTTCATGAGGGAGAAGCTGGTGTCCTGATGTTGAGACCATGACCTACGGACGAGGCGATATCTCTTGTCAGCTTTGCATGCTATGTGTTTTGTGAAGTTTTGGCTGATGTGGTTTGGCGTACTGGGTCGACTACTAGAGCTGGGACCTTGTATTTGGTGACCATTTGGGCAATGATTTGGATTGTTTCGGCGGATGCCAGCATCCCTTGATGAAGCTGGTCAGCGGTGGATGTGAAGGGTGCAGATGTGACGGGGAAATTCACCTGTTTTGATGACATCGGCACCGACATCTTCGAGACAGGCCTCGATTTGCTTTCCAACGACTTCGGACGGTATGACGTGGACGCCGGTGACGCCTTTGGTGTTTTGGATGGTCAGCGCCGTGGTGGAGGTCATTGCGTAGCAGCCATGCGCGGCGAGGACCTTTTGGTCTGCTTCTAGGCCACTGTATTTGCATGTGCATTAGTGAAGAGCACGAGCATATGGAAAGCTATTGAGATTTGTCTGAGGGCTATGACATTGGGAAGTGAGAGAAGTGAAGTAGTGATAAGATGAGCTCGGAACGGTCAGTTGGTGATGATGTTCTGTTTGCGCTGAATGATATGCATTGGAACCGGGATATTGGCACTTACGCCCCCCCTGAAGGGTCCGACCCGGCAACGACGAGGACCTTTCCGTTGATCATGGCGCCCGTGATGGAGGCAATGGAAGTCGAGCTTCTGGTTATCTGGGCGGAAAGAGCTCAGATATGACTTTGGAGATGCAAAAGGCGCGGAATAGCTGCAGCTCTGCTTGGAGGTGGGGCAGAAAATGTCGAGGTGTGTCGATTTCATGGGGTGGGGCTGATCTGAGGTGAAGCTGATTTATTATGCGGCTCGCATGTTGTCATAGGTAAGAGAGATTATTGCTAGATGAAGGCTTTATGAGACTCTATCCTATTCACATGTTAAGATAGAAGAGGAATTCAGCTGTTGTCTTTAATTAACCTGATGTAGGAATTAAAGGGAGTGGTGAGTTGTAGCGCATGCTGATGACATAGGCTTGGGAGAATCGTGATACTAACTGGAAGAATAGCATGCAGATGAAAACTGCTAATTTGTTATATGAATGAGGTAGAGCAAACAAGGTCAGCTTGATCTGATCCCTCAATTTGTCGCAAGGACTACGGTATAGAGAAACAGAATATCGAATGAGGTCCAGCCAGTTGGAAAGACAAGGGTTGCCATGGTTGAGTCGTGGACAAGTGTAACGCATGGAAGAGACAACCCCTGTATCTAGCTGGGTATTATGTGCCTACGGAGTACAGGCATGGTGTTCGAGACGCATCACGGAAGCACGCACTTACACAAGGGATGCTAAGCGCGCTGCATCCAGCCGTTGCCTTGCATGTACAATAAGACAACGCTTCCAAGATGCATGCTGCGTTCTATAATATGTATGCTCACCATCTTAGCCTGTGGCTGTCGATTCTTCAGGCATGGCTCACTGTCTGTTATCTCTGCAGCGTCCCCACTTGTTCTCTTCAGTGAGGAGGACGACATCGGAGGCCAGTGTCTTGCCACTTTTCCCGCACTGCCCGAGCTACAAGGCATCACCCCTGAAGTTGAAGGGATTCGAGGACTGGAATAGCATCAGAAAGCATCAGAGAGGATAGTAACAGAGAATATACAGTGGGGGACAGCAAGACATCATCTCAGATGGGGGTTATAAGACTGAAGTGTACGGCTCGGCATCAACTACTAGAAGCCTTTGGGGGTCAGAGACCATTCCATGTAGGTACTATGTGAACCCCACGTTCCCTTGCAGGCCGTTTGATGGATCTAGTCTGGCAGATCCTGCGGGGTTTAAAAAAAAAAAAAAAATCCTAATCGCGAAACTTGACTTCTTTGCGCCAAAACTTGCCTCCAATCGAGACGTTTTGCGCCGCAACCCGCGTCACCACGAGCGTCCATTGCGATCTCTGCAGCGCATCTCTGCGTTGTCGTGCTGATTGTCAACAGCTGAGGCTCACGATTGTTTCATTTCCGCCAAATCCGTCGTGAACCGTCGTCAAGATGTGTGGCGTCACTGGCTTGATGGTTCGTCTCCTCCAGAGAGAATCCCGCTGCAACGCTGGCAAGGATCTTTGCTAACTCTGCACAATTTCCTGGAATCTAGCTCGGCGACCCGGAGGCCACTACGGCTGCCATCGAGCTGCACGAGAGTCTCTACTACCTCCAACACGCAAGTTTGACTCCTGTCCGTGGCCACGCCTGTTGAGCTCGAAGCTAATAGGGAATGGAGGAAAAAATAGCGAGGCCAGGATGCTGCCGGTATCTCAGTCTGTAACGGAGGCCGAGTCTACCAGCGGAAGGGCCTGGGCATGGCGCAAAAGGTCTTTTCCGAGTTTGACGGGTTTGCTCTCCTCGAGCAGCTGCCTGGTGCTTTCGGCATTGCCCACGTCCGCTATCCCACCGCCGGCACCTCGTCTGCGTATGTGATGCTCTAGCCATTCGACCGATGCTTCGAGCGGAGTGCTGATACAGAGCCAATAGATCTGAAGCGCAGCCGCTATACGTCAACTCCCCCTTTGGCCTGTCCATCAGCGTCAACGGCAACCTCATCAACCCCGACTACCTTCGCGAGTTCCTGGACAGCGAGGCCCGCCGACACATCAACTCGGACTCGGACTCTGAGCTCCTGTGCGTCTCTACGTCTTCATAATCGTGTGCTGGCTGGATGATTCCCATGGGCAATTTCTGACCTCAAGCCACAGGCTCAACGTTTTTGCCCATTCGCTTAATGAGCTCGGCAAGGCTCGAGTCAACGTCGACGACATCTTCGCCTCTCTGCGTGACGTCTATGCCAAGTGCCAGGGAGCTTATGCTTGCACTGCCATGGTCACTGGATTTGGTATTCTAGGTTTCAGGTACGTTCCTTTGACTACCATGCCAGGAGATTGGACTAATGTTGACTCGACTAATCACAGAGACGCAAACGGCATTCGACCTCTCTGCTTCGGCTCTCGACCGTCTCAAACCCTGCCTGGCGCCAAGGATTACTTCCTCGCCTCGGAATCCGTTGCTCTCAGACAGCTTGGATTCACCGATATCATCGACATCAAGCCCGGCCAGGCCGTCTTCTGCCAGAAGAACGGCACTGTCCACTTCCGCCAGATCGTGGAGCCGAAATCGTATACCCCTGACGTCTTCGAGTACGTCTACCTGGCTCGACCTGACAGCTGCATTGATGGCATTTCCGTGCACCGCAGCCGGCAAAACATGGGTGTTAAGCTGGCAAAGAAGATGAGGGAGGTCCTGACTGAAAAGGAGATTGCGGAGATCGATGTTGGTATGTAACTGAGCCCCTTGAAAGCGCTGACGGATTAGAGCTAACATGTGCAATTCCAGTCATCCCGGTTCCAGAGGTGAGGATCAGTCCAGTCCCATCTACATACACCTACCAGGGAGTTTCACGTCTTCGAATTTTCCACTAACCTGCCAATCAGACTAGTAACACGGCCGCGGCTACTCTGGCAAGCTGTCTGGATCGTCCGTACTCAAATGCTTTCGTGAAGAACCGCTATGGTAAGATACTCTCGCGTGGCAATTCGGGCACCAGGAGCTAACTTCAGTTTTGTCTTCCGCACTTTCATCTTGCCTGGCCAAGAGGCTCGAAAGAAGGGCATCCGTCGAAAGCTCTCCCCTATCGAATCCGAGTTTGACGGAAAGGCGATTTGCATCGTTGACGACTCCATCGTGAGAGGAAACACATCGCGTGAGATTGTATGTGTAAACTCGGTCACGAGTAGCTATCGCTGCTACGACTGGAACTGATCACCTTAAGAATCTGGTGGCTGACTGTGTTTCAGGTGCAAATGGCTAGGGAAGCTGGAGCAACTCGTGTCTACGTTGTCTCATGTTCTCCCGAGATCATGAACCAGCACATCGTAAGTCTGATCCCGACTAAGCCTCGAGTTGTGCTAACCCAGTGCCACTTCTCCAGTACGGAATCGATCTCGCCGACCCTGATGGTAAGAAACGTCCTTTAAAACCCCCATAGCTCCTGCAGCCTGCTGACCAGCTTCCCCTTAGAACTTGTGGCATACAACAGAACCACCGAACAAGTTGCCGAGAACATCCAGGCGGACAAGGTCATCTTCCAGAGCTTGGATGACCTCAAGGCGGCCTGCGTCGAAGCGGCTGGAGAAGGAAGCGAGGTCAAGGAGTTCGAGGTCGGAGTCTTCTCCGGCAAGTACATCACCGAGGTGCCCGATGGCTACTTTGAGCACATTAGCCAGCTCCGAGGCAAGAACAAGAAGCGCAAGACGCCCAACTGCTCAGAGGCCATGCTGATTGCCAACGGCGGCGTCGTCAACATGGCCCCCGGCCAAAATGGAGCACAGGGCAATGGGACCAGGAACGGCGTCATGAGCCCGTCCTACCGGGAGGATATTAAGTAAGTGACTGATTGCCCTATAGCAGCATGGCATGTTGACTGACGGATCTACAGCATCTATAACATTGCCAACTGATTGACGACTTTCGGAGCTGTACTGGCGTATAGACATTCTGGACTGGGACTCATCGATATTTTGAGCCATATATATCGAGCGAATGCGGAGGTCCGCAAAGACGACAGGGGAGAGAACATGAAACATTGTGGAACTTGAATCCGTCCACCGAGGCAGAATACGCGTCGGAATTTGATGAGTCTGCCGGCTCAGCTGCCAGTGGCACTTGGGGATCGTCCAAGGAGGCCCGTTGTAGCTCGGAAGCCGCCGTGTGTGCACATCTGACTCTGCGTGTGTTCTGCCTCAGAAACCCGAAAAAGAAGACAAAAACAAAATAAAGAACAGAACATGCTGAATCCCTTGGCATCATGATTTTTTTGCGGCGAGCAATGGGAGGCACATCATGAATTTAATGCAGGGCGGAACACTAGACGGCAAGGAGGAAAAAAATCACTGAAATAGATCTTGGGCGTGGCCTTTTGTTTTTGCTAGCTTAGCACATATGAATCTAGCGAATGTTAAACGCTGGGGATTTGTGAGAGCAATTTGAAAGAGCTTTTTACCGCATATTATGGTCTTTTGGTAGCTGAAGCCTGATGATGCCGTCGACATGGATGCCTCCCCGTAAGGTGGCTGAGGAGAGACGAGGAGTTGCCAAAGGTTGCCTGCTTTGCCGCTCTAACAAAGCAAACTGCGATGGCCTCTCTCCTCGGAGATAGTGTATTGCTGACTGCCCACGCTACTAAGGTATCGCAGCCCATGTACCCTTTCGCGCCGATGAGGCCGCTCGAGCCATACAGCGAATTTGACTCGGTGATGACGGTCCGGCAGTCGAACACGGTCGGGGTGGCGGAGCTGGTCTGGTCCTCGTAGGTGTAACCGCTGCACTGGGTCACACGCTCTACAGCGCGTTGCAGGGGTAGCTCGGGGCGCTGGCGTTGGACTTTGACCACGAGGCCCAGGCAACCTGGGGGCTGCACACCGGGAGGGTGATGAAGCCGGGGGTCGTGATGTCCTTCTTCGCGAGGTCTTGCAGAGTCTGCTGGCTCTGTGGGCTGGCGGGGGCCCCTCCATTCGCGTTGCCGTTGGCGACGTACGTGTTGACGGATCCCGCGATGAGATCGGACAAGGTGAGGTTACCCCAGCGCCCCGAGACGAGTTCGTCCAGTCCCGGTGGTGCGGTGAAATGGGTCGGGTTACCGCCGTCAGGATAGACTAGATAATACAAGCTGCCGTTATGACATGAATAGGTGGCTTCTTGGGTGTCCTCGGTCATGTACTGGGTCAACGGGTTAACCGTGCCGCAGGGATAGCCCGAGTCAACAACGAAGGCGTGAGTGCCGGAGACGGTCCAGAGGGCCGGGATGGACAAGCCGTAGAAGACTTTCTGGATGTGGTCCCCCAGGAGGTTCTCCGTGTCTGTAACCGAACTGCCGTTACACTCGATGAGATTGCCATTGGCAATCATAGATCCGAGGAGCTGGACAGAGGCTTCTGATCCATTGAACAATGTATAGACCTGGTTTTCGACAACAGTGGCCCAGCCGGAGACCACCTGTCCCATGGTGGCACTGAAGGTTGCCTGGGCCTTTGGTGTCCATTGTTTACTGCATAGATCTGGTCAGCGAGTTTGCTCTTAGTGAAATGGCCCAGCACCATTGCGTTGATAGCCGCAGAGTAACCCCTGCACTCAGTGATCTAACAACGAGCAACGATGGCACTTACTTTGAGCTGCCATCGACCGTAGCGGGAATGACTGCAGTTCCTAACACGAGGGTGGCATTAACGATATCTTTGGCTGTGTTGGCGCCGGCGTCTCCCAGAGCGACAAGACTCGGCAGACCTCCAAAATCTGGGGGAGGGGGTGAGGTCAGCAGGTGTCGATGCGGTGGTTCATGAGAGGAAGAGGAAGCAAGCTGGGACTCACATCCGTCCAAGTATGCCGCGGTGATTGCCGTGACGCCGAGATCCAGCAGGTTGCGTAATATCAGGAGCCACTTCTCGTTATGTTTCGGACGCACCGGTGCGAAGGTGTCCTCCATGGACATAATCGAGAACATGTTGGCTTGTGCAGATGAGTAAAATTGGCCGTATAAATCGTAGTATAGCTGAAATGCGAATCTGTGTCAGCTAACTTGCATCAAGGCCGGAGGGATGAGACTTACCTCGTTAATCATGTTGAAAGAGTTATAAATCTCAGTGGCCGCGGGCCCCGAACCACCCTTACCGTCAGTTCCTTCAAAATAGCCGCAAGGTAGGGTCTGATCACAATTGCCTCCTGCGAGCAATCCACAGTCCGTTTTGTTAGGGGCGTGAAGCGTGTTCATGACGGATGCACTGAAAGTGGTTTTGCCCTTGTCATATTGAGTCCAGACTCGGATGACGTCTTTCCAAGCATCGTCGGCGTCCAACTCCGACCAGCGCTGGGCGCAGCCCGTAAACAGAGCATTTTCAGCAGCTGGATCCGAACAGGTCAAGGAGGTCCAGTTGCCAATTCGGTCGCCCTCTTCTTGATTACCGGTGCTAGCAGGGAGCTGAGGGTGCGTTGATTCGGCGGAAGATGTGCTGATGAAGGAGGACAAGGTGGCAAGGGTGATATATAGAAGTCCAAGGGAGGCACCGCGCGGCCGAAGCCACGCGGAAGATCTGAGGGAAGGCGGCATCGAGTTATGCACCCGCCGTGACTGGAAAGAGGCCGGGATGCGAAGACGGCAGAGCATACGACAAGCTTCGCTGCCACGTGAAGGACAGGAAGATTTTATCGTGGGTTTACGTTGTTCTGCAACTCTGCAACCTATGAGCCGGCATTTGCAGTGATGAGTATACTATCCCTCGCGAATCTTTAATAGCGGGTGACTTATTAAACCAAGTCAGCCAGTTAGTTCTGCATAGATAGGAAGAGTGGCAGTTTGACTGTACCTTGTGGAGCGCAATCGTAGATATATCCTGATGTAAAACAGCAAAGGTATTTGAAGCTAATTGTATGAATACCAGAACCGGAGCATATTGCATGTAGATGGGAAGCGAGCGTGTATGAGCCACAAATCGTATGACCAGAGAAACTTCTTGTATCAGGCGTGCTCCCAGAAGGCTTTGGTAAGGAACGCAGATATACAACGAGCCAGCTGGCCGTTGTAGTCGTATGTAAACAAAAGACCCCAAAGCCCTTTAACTTCCGTAAATTGTCACCGACCAACAGACATAATATAACCAATGATTGACCCGCACGAGACATTTGAGCCATTGATGATGGTTAGCGTGGGTGAGCTGGGCCATGGGTTCTACCGGGGTGATGAGGCTCAGTCGCTGAGGAGCGCGAAGCGAGGTTGCCGTTGGACGGGAACGCGGCACGACTGGTGTGGAATTAATGTCCAGGGGCAGCCTTGAAGGAGCCAAGCGGATTAAGCTTCCATCGAGAGTCGATTTCAGGAGGGTGGCTGCTGCCATGACCCACGGTTAATGGGCGGTGTTACATGCAAAGAGATGGGATATATGCCATCACTGGGCTCTAGAGGCTGTATAAGGGATGGAGTGCTGTTGAACGAGCAGGATTGGATCAAAGAATGCGATGAGGAGATTGGATCTGGAGATAAGCGATAGGTTGGAAGAATTGATGGCAATTCAAGGCAAGGACTTGTAGGTTATCAGGAGGCTCGATATGTATTATCGAAGGATCGTTGATAGTAGCTCCTTCTTGGTCCCCTTCTTAATGTGCTAGGCAAAGCAATGTTGAGGCATCGCGGCCCAAACTCTTTGCTCCTAGCGGCTATACAACGTTGCACCGAGCGCATACCTCGGCACATTAAGACATTGGCTGTTGGTGGAAATAGGGACGGTATAAGCACCAGTGTAGAGATCTAAGACGGCAAAAGTGGTCGCTTCGCTTTTGTCTGATGGCCTGTTCAACATTGACAGATCAGACCCTCACAAGACCGCAGAGAGGGTTGACAAGGAGTGAAGTCGGTTGGTTGTTGCAAGTACCTAGTTCGGTGGGGCCTTTCCCTGTGCATCTTGGGAAAGAAATAACGCCCGAAAGCGCCTACAGCTTGATATCAGCCGAAGGTGGTCGACTGTCTCCATGCCGACATGGGTATTCAGACCAGGGTGGTTAGGTGACGGCGGAGTGGCCAGGGAGTATCCGGCTGAAAGCTATTACTGGCGGGTATTGCTAAAGGAATTCCTTCAGTTGCTATGTGATACTGTCTATCTATGCTATTCTCAACAGTGGTCTCTAAGATATTTGAGGGGGCAAAATGAAGTGAAGCTGAGTATCCAGCTGTTCAGGCAGGACCTTAAGAATCTCAATAGACCCTGTCGTAGATCTTCTGTAGCGAATATCCTGAAAATCCTTTCCCAATCGGCTTAGCAGTGTTCCAAACTAATCGTATGTAAGGTAAGACTGGGTGGGAATTGATGATGCACCATGCTTATATAGATGCTTAATTTGGACGAGCACTGAACACGACTGAACACCACAAAACAGGGTTTGGACTGCTGATTTTGTATCTAATGTTCATGCCGCAAACAGTCTGACATTATGGTGATAGAAGAACGGCCCAAAATATAGTATCGAGGCCAACTGACTGAACAAGGGGAAGAACCCGCGGGCTTTAGGTGAAAGGGCATGCCTCCACATTCATCCAAGATAGATCAGGGCAACCAGTACCGCCAGCAGCGTAAGTAATGTCGACGATGCTGTTACGCGAGGGCTGCCAAAAGCGGGGAATGAAGTCGGACATGTGAGGTTCGAATTCGGCGAGCAGACGTAGCCTGTGGCCCTGGCCAAGGCAGTTAGGCTGGACGCGGCTGCAGAATCGATTGTCACCGCGCACGGGTTGGTGGTCGGAGTCGGGAGAAGGTCACACAGTGACTCGTAAAAGGTGAAGTTGTATGCTAGGGCATTCGCGGCGCCGCAAACCTCGGCGGATGTGGCCACCTCGAGATCTGGTGCCTGCCCAGACTTGCTCACGGTGAAGACGGTGTAGAAGGTTTCGCTGTGCGCCAAGCTGAAGAAGGTAGAGCAGTTGTCGTACTCCAGGCTCCAGGCAATGGTCCATACGCCGTCCGGGTAGGCAATAGTGTTGACAGGAGCGCTGAGCAGGAGAGGGTCGTTGGACTTCTGGCTCTGGGTGGCCACGTCGAGGCCGATAGTAATGGGTACGTTGCCAACCCAGCCCGGCGATCTCTTGTTGTTGCCTTGCCACAAGTCGAACTTGATTGTGGCGTCTATCGGAGTCACAGCTGGATTCTGTACCGCAAACACGATGGGCATCAGCGGGCTGGGAGCGTAAGTTGCATTGTGAGGAAATAGTAAGTCTATTTCAAAGGCGGCGGGAAAGGTAACGAGAGGTTTATCGCCCATTGCAGTCATCAGACCGGTCATAAGCACAACCCAGGCGAGGCGGACATGACTGAAAATGCCCATAGTAGATGAGGAGACAACTTGAAGGGAAGGGAAATGGAAAGACGAATTGACAAGTAGCCTGCATTGAGTAGCTGGCTACTGAAGGGGATTGGAAAAGGAAAGAATTCGTTTAGGTGGGAGAACAAAGCGAAGAGAAGGAAGAAGAAGCAATCATCACAAGTTGGCGCATCAACATGATCGTGTCTTTCGAGTCGGCGGCTTGCGGGCATCACATGCGGCAGGTAATCTCCTGCTGCATGCAAAAGGCTCCTCATCAGCGGTCTTTCAAGACCGGACCAACAATCTGTATGAAAAGCACGGCTCCGCGGGAAAGACGGCACGCAGGAACCGTTGGTAGACCCTTGTTCGATACCCTGTCGATCCCACGAGTCAGTCCAATGGTAGGCCAGATTCGCACGATATGTCTACTGCTATGCTTGGACACCCCTGTCAGGAACACGCCGGGAGATGTCTACATAGGGCCTGTTACCCACCTACAAGTACGGAATACTTAGGTAATGATGGGAGCAGTTCCGCTTCAGTTTACAGCAGTCTATCTGACATCTGTCTGTTGGTTGCTCCATGTCTTATTCCAAAGTTCGAATTAGCAACCGAATAGTGTACCAAATTGCAATATAGTTTCAGCCTCTTTCGAAATCATTGACATATATGAAGTGGCCAGGTTAAATGGCAAGAAAGCCCTGGTAGTAAGCCAAACGTGGTAAACGTGTTATGTAACGTTGGACTTTTGGTCTTGCTGGCTGACGAACAACAGCTCGATGTGGGTTTAGTAGCGGATGTGGCCGAGGATGCATCTACGAAGGCCTCAGTATGTCGCTCCTGAAAACAGCACCTCTTACTTCTCCCGTGCTTCTATTGGACACAACATATCCTCAACAATGTAGAATTTATGGCATGGCATGGCAGAGTTTGCTGCACGCTGCTATGAGGGATTGACTTGTAGTGCCAACCGTGCCGAGATGATGCGGCGGCGCTCTGGATACACAAAGGTCAGCCACCATGCCACTTTCACCTGACGAGACAAGGCATGGCATTCCTCTCAATAGACACCGTCGGCATCACTCTGGCCACTTTTGAGTTGCTCTGAGTTGCTCCTTTGTCCTCGAACAAGCATCAAAAACTATGATGGCGCCAACATCAATCGAAGCTAGCCTTCTCCTGCTCGGGCAGCTGCACTGACCCAGGCCATGAACTTGGCCCCGTGTCAGCTGTGAGTCTGCTTCGACGGTGAAGGCGGCTTTATTCATCTTGACCTCGCCGTTTCCCGCCGGTCGCCTGAGCGCTTCAGACTCGCTCGTGCCCGGGGATCCTCGGGGCCGCTGAATTGTAGAGCGTATTGTCTCAGCCCGGAATGCTGGTCACCTTAACCAGGGGAAGGGGCCTCGCACGTCGTTTGGATCGATATGATGCAGTGGTGAATGTGAATTCTGCGCGGTGGATGAGAGCCTGACATTTGTGCCGTTATGCAACATGTCGATGGCAGTCATATTGGAGAGCGTGATGATGGGTAATAGTAGGGACTGGAAAACGTCCCGGAGATGCCCAACCACCACATGGAAGGCCAAAGCGAAACGTTGCTTTTCTGAGCCAACCTCTGAACCGTCATTATCACAAGAAGGAAAATGTTTCTGCGTGTGCACTTCGGGTCTGCCGAACTGTGGCGACTTCGCATATTGCCACCTTTGTTTCTATACCTTGGCCGTGTGAGACACTCGTTCAATTACTGGAAAGCGCCGAGCTCTGCTCCAAGGGATGCTGAAAGTCTGAAGATACTTGGAATAGAATAAGGAAGAGGAGCAACACAGAGGAAGGAAGACGCCTAGCCAGGTCGTATGTTACTGTCGAGGTTGGATTGGGCTGGAATTACACCCTGGCACCTACTCTCTCCCCTCTGTGTAAACAATGCCTACCTATGTAGGCGGCTCAGACCATTGCTTTCATTAGTGCACAATCGTCGTGCCGTGAATGGTCTAACTTAAACCCTTCTTGTTTTGCTCGTCATCGCTGCACCAGCGCCCTCGCGGGCTGGAGACTCTCTTCTCATAATAGCCGGGCGAAATGTACAGTTGAGTTGTGCGCCTTTTCTGACATAGCATGGAATTTATGTGCTGATGAGTCTCGGATGGACTACGAGCGCCCGACTACGCTTGGGCGGATGAGCGAATCCTACACCCGCATTGGGTGATGACATTCTTCACTTTATGTAGTAAATCCCTCTTTCGTAAGAGCATTTTGCGTGTATGGCATGCATGTCCAAGTCAAGAATGTAGGTTTCCCGACGACTTTACATTGGGCCGCTATATGTACTGATATCCGTGCTATGGGTTGGTAAACAAGATATAAAGGCCTTGAACCTCCTCATCGTGAAACAGCTATCAAGCTCAACAATCTACAACGCCGTTAGGCTGCATATAGACCATCCAGCCATTATCAACTTCAGGAGTTTGAGCAAGAAAATGGCCGAGACTGTTGCTGATCTCATTGCAACTCACGAGTCTGTTCTCGCCATATCCGACGTGTGATGGGACGCTCCTAACTTGAAAATGATAGACCCAAGGAGTTTGTCCCATTACCTACACTTGCCGAAGCGACCAGAGAAGCCAAGCCTCGACTCACCATTGTTGGTATGTTGATACGAAGCTAATTCTCACTATGTCCGGGGACTGACTGATCAAATTGCCTTCGAACGTTGACAGTGGCTTGTGTGGACCCTCGATGCAGCGTTGATAAGTTCATCGACTTGAACCTTGGGGTGCCGAACGGCGAAAGTATGTCAGAATAAGGCAGAGCAAATCGCCCAGAGGCTGATTACGAACCAGTGGTCATGGTCTCCCGCAATGCTGGTGGGCACATTCGCCACGCGGTTCGGGATATCCTCCTCCTGGACGCGAGATTCGGGATTGATGAGCTCGTCATCGTCCATCACACGGATTGCGGCACACTAACGTTTACCGACGACTGGATGCGCGACGCCTTGAACACGCGATTAGGCAAGGCTCATTCGGAGGAAATTGACCACATTTACTGGGGCGGAAACACAGAGTAAGTTCAAGTCTTATAGCGGCAAAAGTTGGAATCGTGTTTGCTAATGCTCGGCTATAGCATGGCAGCCAGCGTTAGAAATGACCTCGAATGGCTTCGTACAGACAAGCTTATCAGGCAAGGGCTTAAGGACACGGCACGGGGCTTCCTCTTTGACATCAAGACTGGAAAGGCTGAGGAGATTGTAATTTCTTAGTTATCACGAGCCTTGATGAGTCTATAGTAACAATATCCGAATGAAATTGCTGATAAAACCGTGATGCTGTTAGATTGCAACAGGGAGAAACCTCCAGATTTGGTTGGCGCTTTTAATATTCGGATACAGAATCGCATGAGTGTTATCAGCCGAACTGCCACCCTGGAGGTCTATGACGCAGTCCGGGAATGGCACACTTTCAATTCTGAAATGACATGTTACAATCCAGAAGCACTACCATTGAAGAGAGATGTACAGTAGGGAGGGGCTAGAAGAGATCACATACTGATAGGTGTCCCTGGTGATATTGGTGATTTTCCAACGGGTATCCTCGTTATGAACGGAATCGTATACGGACGTGTCAAGCTGAGAAACACCATCGGCTAGATGAATAAGTCAGCAATTCCATCCTCTCCCAAGTACACCGGTAGAGAGGTCAAGTAGTGACAGCATACCCGGAGCAGTGATCCAGACGTTACCGAGAGTAGACTTCAAGCTATAGACGCCCCGACGAAGAGTGGTCACTACCCACTGCTGATGTTTGTTTGTGGTGTAGTAGTTGTCTCTCGTACTTTGAATATGTCAGTTGATACGTATTTAGGAGTATAGAGGCGGAGGAAAACTGACAAACCAACTACACCGGAGATGGGGCTATTGAAGGGGTTGGCAGTGGCATCAATATCAAGAACAGGATTAGTAGGGAGGGTGCTGGAGATAATGTAAATCCCGTCCTTGAGAGGCATGATAATAAAATCCGAGATAACTTTGTGGAAAGAGCAGGAGGATGGAACTGCGAAACTGGGGTTCTAATGCCTTTGTTATGGGTGAGAGGAGACTGTGTTCGAGAATAGGGGGGATTGCTTGGTCTTTATGTACGTTTACTTGTCTTCAGAAACTCTTCTCTCTTAAGTACTCGTATCATTTCAGCCTCATTGGGGTCAGGTTGCTTCAAGACATATGACTACTAGCTGCCTATCATCTCTGTTAGCTGCGGCTGAGATGGCTTGCCATCGCTGTCTCATCGCTGTCTCGCAAATTACAAGTATGTATGCACGACATCTGCTCTCCTCGACCATGTCTTTTGGAGCCTCCCACGTTATGAATGTCAAATTATATTTGTACAAGAAGCTGATAATATTACTACTAACAGGTAACGTTCCAAGAGGTCCTGCCTCCTCGACATCAATGTTTGTATTCAGAAACAAAAGAGCTTTACACACCATGAATCTACACCCGAAATTAGTGAACAAAGTTACCATCGCGCACTTGGAGCATTCGTTGATCCTACCAAGTAGGAGTTCCCGTCGAACTTGTCCAGGTAGCACCGCCGTTCGGGTATGGCCGCGTTCCGGGAAAGTTCCAGTAAGAATCGTCAGGCGGGATGGTTAAAAGTCTGTTGAGGAAGGACTCCACCATTTTGCAATCTGCTCGACGTTTCCGGTCGGGATCAAGCATCGAGTTCTGGATGAATCGGAGGAAATCCGGGAAGAAGCTGTTTGCCATATCCGGGCCCAAATCCTTGATAAGCACTGTAAACCACTTTGAGAAGCTATCGTTAGACGTTATCTTCTTTCTATGTTTTGGTCCATCTGCGTTTATTGTTCAGATAATTATACGTACCGCATCTACCGAGCTCTTACGCTTTGCCACTTTGTTTTGCGCTATTCGATTCTTCAGGATGAAGAAGTTGTCCTCTGACCACTCTCCTTTGCTCTCGTCAATGTTGCCCTTGTCCTCCTCGAGCCGATAGGTTTTGAACAATTCAATCGCATTGTGTCCGCCCATCGCCCATGTAGCAAATTCGGCGAATAAGCAGCCAAACGCCCATATGTCAATCTTCCTAGACCTCACCTTGTTGAGGTCATGTTCTGGCGCTCTGTACGTCTGATAGGCGAAACCCATGGATTTGGAATGTGCGGTACGGGAGATGAGTCGGTGAAACTTCATGAGGCCTAGATCAGAGACCTTAAGTGTTCCCAAGGGTGAGCCGTCTTGGGTAAAGTATAAGACGTTATCTGGCTTGATATCGCCATGGATTCCATAGAGATCCTCTTCGTTTGTAGCGTGCAAGACATATGGTTCATGGATTGCGAACAGGTCGTGGATGATGCCGTAGCATTGCTCGCAGATCCATCGGCTGAAATCAGGCCATTTGACCCCTGCGGATTTGACAATCTCATGGGGTGGCCTGCGCCATAGATGATTGAGCGTACCTCCATCAGCCCAGGGGAAGAGAAACCCGCGTTTCTCTCCCTTCTTGAAGGCAGCACATATCTCTATTATATGTCCACCAGGTCGGGCCTGGTGAAAAGCATCAAGCTCCTGCTGGAAGAATCTTTCTCTCTCGTCCGGTGTCATGGGATGCATAGTCTTGAGGGCAAAATAATCGTGTTTCTGTGTCCTTGGTTAGCTTGGTTAGAGCTCAGTGTATCTTCAGGGCAAAGAATGAGATTACTCACGAAGCCATTGTGGTCTCTATGTATCTTGACCTTTTCCACCAATCCAAACCCACCTGGGTATTGTTTCTTGGAGATCTCCTCGATGGGTAATATTGCACGCGTATGAAGGTCGTGGACATCGCAACGCTCGTCTTCGTTGGTAGGGGGAGTAAAGCATGGTGCTAACACAGACCATTGGTCATTGAAGAAGCTTTTGATGATGCGGTATGGGTCGTCCTCGTCAGGGAAGTCTAGATGCGTCGCATATTGACGCTGAGGTGAGTACAGCTCTGTGAACCTTGGTGTACTGGAAAACGGAAGGTCGTTGTCGCACAGTCCATGCTTCAGGAATGTTTCGATCAGCCTGACTTGACCCAGGAGAACAAGAATGGTGAATATCCTGAGGCACGGTTGGGCGATGATGGATCCGTCTTGAGCTTGTCCATGGCAGATCAACCTTGCGCGTAGTTGGCAAAGGGCAGCATCTTGCTTAGGGAAAGCCCTGACCAGCTCTTGAGTGACAGCCTGCTCATTGCACAATTCTCTTAGTTTCCCACATGGGATGAATTGTTTGTCGTTGTCACAGGGGTTGATCACGAACGCCTCTCTGAGACGTGCTATCAACCTTACAGGCCTCCCGGGCGTACTGCCACCGTTCACCATCGTCTTGGTATAAATTGTAAGAAGTATATAGAATGAGACGGAAAAGTAAAGGAGGGTGCGCGTGAGACAAAGAGAGCCTCGTGGTGTTATATTGGCGGCTCAGAAGTGCTGTAGAGGTAGAGTGTGAGGTTGCGAGTCCAAGGAAAAGATCCTGCCAACAGCTCCTCTATTTCTATTTACCAGAGTGCGGTATTAAATACGTGATTGGGCGTCTAACTCTTGATGCCTTCTTACTATATTTCATGCGAAAACCTGGGCGTGCCTGTCCATACCACCCTAGCTAAGAGGATTTGGTTGCCTTTTTTTTGGTTTGGTGAAGAGCCTCGCACACTCAACAACAACTAGACAAGGGTATACATATGATGCCACCCACAGAAATAATCGGTGCCTACAGCCTCATTTTTGCATGCACGTTGAGTTAAGGTACCTCGTCACCCCTGAGTGGCTTGAGGTGTGCGGATCGACGGTTGAAGCTATCTCTGCAACATTTCATACCACAGGAGACCGGGGTATTATCTCCAGCTCCGTTGTGTAATGGATAAGGCCAACCAGCGTCTTCGAAACAATTTGAGGGATGAGCGGATTGAGGTCATTTTGTAGCATTCGTACTTCCCCTCCACCAAAAAGGAGAACTAAAAACGCCTTGCCAGACGACTCCTTTTGTTCTCGATTGTTCCTGGAGTTCTGCCGGGGCATTTTCTGCAATTTCTGTACCACATGCGAAACATCTTCCCCTCATTGATTGACCTCTTGATCTTCGTATTTTGAGACATACATACATACCTCATGCAGGTCAAAGCAACTGGCCGTAGCCTCGTTGTAATAGGGTGTGCGTTCGGTAAGGGAATGATAAGTGGTGGGAGCCGCTTCGGTGTTATCTTATCCTTAGAGCCGCTCGCGGCTGACTACAGGAGATGCAGTCTGACTGGCTGATGGATGCAATCATGTTGTGCCATGTGGCATACTTCAGGAAGGCGAATATTGCTCGGCCACAACACTGCGCCCCAATAAATATCCAGGCCTTTCATCCAAGGGGAATACTCCGGTGACGGGAGGGCCCCATTTCGGCTCCATGGGGGTCAATAGATTCATGTTTTGTCAGACGTTCAGCATCCGACGTGAGTCTGCCTTCCCCCACGCCACAGTCTTGTGCACCCCAGGGGGGTTGCAAAAAAGTCTGCCGCCCATCACCTAAAATCTATATGGCAGACCGGTGTTTTTTTTTGTAACCCCCCTGGGTGCCCTACGTTAGGCGTTATTTCACACAGAGGGCATAATAAGACCGCCCTCCGCCTTTTGCTCGATTATTTTGCAAACATGCCTCATTGCTAAGCCTTCATCTTGTGCCAAGCTGTCGAAACAATGGACTCGAGGTCATCTAATCAAATTACTAAGTTCCTTTCCAGTCTACGATTGCCCCTGAATACGCCCAGCAGTCGATCGAACCCAAAGTCCGCTCAAGATTGGAGAAATAACGAGCCCCAATGCATATCTGGAGAATATATTGTTCCACAAAGGCTGGAAGCTGCCCTGAGGAGAAATTGGGACACTCAATATGCCGTCGAGGTAAATTCAATCGATCTCTCGACAAGTGGAAACATGAATCATGGAGAACCACGTTGAATCGCATTACTGACTCTGTGACCCTATTTAAAGATGCGCTCAAACGAGTATCGGATTCGGGCACCCGGAAAGCTGAGTGAAGACGAAATTCGCACATTTTACGCCCCGATATATTACTAGACTCAGCTCCGCCATACATTCTACCTGTATAATACCAAAACCGACTCTCTATCTCTGTTGCGGGAGGTTATAATGTCAGGATCTTTGATTCAAGTTCATGTTACGAATTATGAGCAATGGCGCAGACTGCCACTATCCTTGTCAGGGCTGGCTCTGGGATGGGAATATTGAGCGTACGAATGGTTGGAACTCTTCTACCAAACAAGGCAATGTGATTGACGATTACAAGTCTTTCGATCTGTTGTAAATGATACCATAGAACACAAAGCAATTTCCCGTAGCATTCAGCTACGTTGGTCCAACCCCTTCGTTAGGTTGCAACGCCACAGTCACGCAGTCGGAAGGTAGTGCCTTCTCATGTTTGTCTGAATGACACTGATCTCCTCCTTATGACAAGTCAGAATCGTGATACATTGGCTCAGGGAGGGAAAATGGTATCATACGACCGTCAGTCGTCTTATGAGCTTGATCTGCCATTGGTTCGAGATGCGCTGCTGGACGCGTCAGGAATGCTGTGCCTAAGATATGAGAGCAAACAACAGAAAAAAGTGCAAGGACGTATACCTGTATAAGCTTGAAGTTCTCTTCACCCAACATCTCCTCGAGGATCTCTTGTAGCCTCTCTTTCGAACCGTAACTTATGTCGATGACCTGCGTCAACATTTTTCCCTAGGCCCTGGAAGGCAAAGCAATAAGGCATGGGTTGAATTGTGTCTAGCGATTTCCAGATCACCCAAGGTGATCCCTTTAATTTGTGTCATTTGCCGACTAAATCAGGCTCTACCGCCCGAGAAGGATTGGTGTGACACTCCTGAGTCAATGCTCTCATCCGGCGCTTTCTGCATATGGCGGCGATGGATGGCGTAAGGGAAATGCTGCATGTCATCGTGTGCCACGTCAAAAAACCTGCCTCGGCCGCATACATATGCAACCTCAAACCCACCGCTTCTTCCGATGCCCAGTCAGTCCAATATCGCGAGTAGAAGCAGCGCCTGATGTGGCGAGAGGCTCCGAATGGTAGACTGTGGAGAGCACAGACGACGACGCTCCAATGTCTGCCTGTTGATCATGTATCAACTGGCAGCTGGTCAATGCTGGCCAGGATTGCCCTCTGGACTCGTCCTCCGAAGAGTGCCTCAGCCTAACTTCAAAAAACGCCTTACGGCCTCAACCAGCTGAGGGTATGTAGGGCATCCCTTGTCTTGCTCCCATTCCATACCTTGATTGGCGGATTTACACCGAGAACGGGCCTTTGCAGCTCCTCATGCAGGTGAACGAATCTGGTTTCCGCTGCCTGAGGCAAACACCGCGGAGGTGACATTGATGGCTCAGCCACAATGTGAAGACAGTTGTATAAAATGATTATCGTAACGTGACTCAGCTCATGCAATAAGTATGCACAAGACACTTCCCTGGTCCAACTCGTTTTCTTATCTCAGAACGCTTCGTTCAACATACGCCCTATTCGCGCCGGTTAAACCACCAAATACCACTCCAGATGTCTTGGATAAGTCGAAAGTCCGAGCCCGACAAGAATGATAGGGACTTGTTGAGATTCTCTAGAGGTGAAAATGAGGCATTTAGGATATACAAGCATGAAGAGAGACGCAATGATGGTGTTCGGGTGGCTGGAGATCCCTATACACAGTCAACCCTTCTAAAAGACGAAAATGAATGGGACTCTTGGCTTCAGAAGTTGGAACAGCTACCAGCTAAGCCTTCATGCCCAGGAGATGGGAACGATGGCTCGAACAGCCAGAGTAAGGAAATACTCAGCAACATAAATCTGGTCATGGGTGGGAGGATGTCATGTCTCTCCAGGATGCCTTTCTCGGAGCACGTTTTCACAGAATTGGTGAGCAGATTGAATATGCACAGGTCGGTTATACGTGCAATCAACAGAAACACAAGCTGTACCTTTTCCCGAATCATATACGACGAGTCGATAGGTGAGCCACTTTGAAAATTCCAGCAACTGCATTGGCTCACATAGCAGTTAGTATATAATTGTAGAACAGCCGAGAGCTGGTCAGACGATATGGCTTTAACCGTTACATTCTTTCCGAGCACCCTGACTACGAATGCCATCTGGTTCGGCTGTAACTTGGAGCAACGGTTCATCCATGGCCACAAACTGTCAGATTCTGGTATCATTACAGCTAAGCTGCGCGAATTTGATGGGCAAGTCTTTCACCCTATGATGCTGCCCACTATTTTCGCAGAATTTGAAAGGGACAGACATATCGGTCTTGTACGCAAGAGCAATACGCAGTTTGTGCAAAGGATGATCGATATCGAGTCGAGGAATGAAAGGTTCTATGGTATACAACAGCTTCGGGGAGACGTCCGGCATTCGATGGAGAAAATTTCCCCATCATCATCAAGATCCAGCTCATTCTTCAACGGTATGAAGGGAAGAGTTGAAAGCTTTCTATCAGGCAAGACCGTCTCAACAACGTGTAAGAAAACTCATAAGAAAACTCATACTACAGACTCGCGAACTACTGTCTGAGACTTACTTTGTGCAATCAGCAACATTCAATACTACGGCCAGGTCAGAGACATTGCAAGATGAAATTAACTCTATGGATGAAGAGGAAGAAGAGACTTGTGCAATGCTCTGGATCAAGATTAGCCATCTTAAGAACGGACTGGAGAACTGGAAAACCCAGCTGCGCAAGATGGTTGAGCATACAAAGGAACTCGAGGACATGGACTTTGGCATAAGATATGACGTGCAGATTTCTCCCTGGTTCCAGAAACGAGATGCCTTGAAGGATTGTGGGAAGCGACTTAGGGAAAGATTGCAAGACTTGATGGACGAATATGACGATTTTATAAGAGAATGCGACCACATCATGGCCGGAATGTCGCTTGCAACGCAGCTGGTATCTATCATCATTCTATATACCGCATAGGATTTCTGCTTCTTCAATGCTGACAAACTACTCGCAACAGGATCTCAACCACATCGGCCGCAAAGATGCAAAGCTCAACGAAAACATATCCAAGAGCAGCCTGGCAGTGGCGGAAACCGCCCAGAGAGATGGCAGCCTTATGAAGTCCATTGCCGTTCTGGGCATGATCTACTTGCCAGCAACATTTGTTTGTGTATGTCCCATCCGGAAAGACGTCTGAACTGCTGATCAACTGACAAGACCTTGGATATGTGCAGACCTTCTTTTCCATGGGGTTCTTCCAATGGAGAGGACAGAGTGAGAGTACGACAACGGTATCGCCGGATCTTTGGATCTTTGGGCTTGCTGCGGTTGCTTTCACTTTGATTACTGTGGGGGTGTTTCTGGTTTGCACGATGAGGAGGAGGGATTCGGTGATGTCCAAGCTGCATCTTGTTTGACAGCTTTTGTGGGGAACTCGGCCACCTCGACCTTTGGATGGCATTTGGTCAGTTTGGAGGGTCATGTTTGTGAAAACGATCAGCTGCATGGTGATGTTTGGAGTATCTCATGATATGATGACCTGTTATTAGGGAGTTGAGTTAGTAGTCAGCGTGTACACATCTAGCTTTATCGTGTGAAGGGTCTCACTCTGTAGGTTTATTCTAGCTCCCACCATGCAGTCAGGAAGCCCTGGAGACATGTATTCAGCTGCTGACTTTCCTTATATGTCCTCCTGCTTTCACTGACACTATGATGTGTACTCCACCCGACTGGTTTTGGAAGTACTCTCTGGGCGTGCCTGAATGGATCTGTTCTCCTCATGTTGAATGTTGTACAAGGTGCAGGGGTGCCCCTTGGTTACTTCTGAATGGACTTTTTGAAGTGCTATTTCGTCATACAATACAGTCTCGAGTGTACAGTTTATGGTAGGAAGAAAGTCGGGGTTTGGACTTTAAGAGTCTCTGATAGCTATTCTAATTGAGAAAAACAAAGGTTTAGAAAAGCTCCCCACATGTATGTATGGCATGGCATAATTCTGAAGTCGGGGATTGCCCTCTTTGTCGCTGCTGCCTACGCCACCGATGGCGCTCATATTGCACCGCAAAATGGGCGTTGGTTCACAGTTCGTGTGCATGTTGGTTGTCATTGTGGCCCCGGCAACCATCACGGTCTAACGGAGCCGATGATTACGAGGGCAGATATTTCAAGTGCGCAGGCAGCAGCCATCATCTGCCTCTGCTACCACTTCTGAAAAACAACATATGCTATGGCAAGACTCCTTCAATACCTACTTGCTTTTGCGACAGCCTTTGTAATGCTGCAGTACTTCTTCTCTCGATTCAGAGCGCAAGCGACCACAGAGGATACAGTAGACGATGGAAACGCTAGAGTCTACGACGAGAATTGCACCTTGGGGGAAAACACAGAGTACGATGACGCCCTTACATTGGGGATGTTGGGGATGCCGCAGCCAGGAATAGAACCCCAATGGTCAGCATACCTCGAAAGATACGATGGATGGAATCCCGAGTTGAGGGCCGAGTTCGCCCGTGGTCCCGGAGGCTTCGTGAGGGGTTGGCCATCCAAAGGCGGCGTTTACGTCTTGTCCCACTGCTTCGGCGTTGAATTGGAGTTTCTAGGACTGGATCGTTTCAACAACACCCCTCGCCCATCTATATCTGATCCCACCGCCGCCGCCGATGAAGAGACGCATTGCAATAAAAGTAAGTATCCGTCTATGGGTCTTTTTAGAGAATCTTTTCGAGAAAATGCCAAGATCCAAGCCAAAGAAAAAGGACATTACGCAATAGCTGGTTCAGGTAGGGAAGATATATGCTAATCTAGGAATGCAGTGCGACAGCTGGGTGCCAGCTGGTACAAGAACGAAAACCAGTATAAAGCTTATAATATTGCACCTGAGGCCTTCAATATGGACTTAACATATGCTGGCTGGCCCGCGGGAGGTGGAGTATGGGTTTTGATTATATCAAGAACGCAGGCGAGAATGAAAGGTACCGCCATCATACATAATGCTTTCAACATGGAAGAACGGTGCAAGGCGATTGAGCGGTTGGGGGGCCGCTTTTATGAGAATCCGAAAGATTGTCCATTCCTGGATCTGCCTTGAGCCCCATCGGCAGTTAGGTAATTGCATACGCATGATTGGACGCGGGTATGTAATGGCAATAGAACCCATGGATACTTTTTGCTTGCACTAGGATAAACGATTAGACGATGCCCATCATTGCTCGATATTGGGGTTGTGCACAACTCTTCTCGAGAAAGGCTGCATTCTGGAACACGATATAAACGTGTCCGACAATCGCAAAAAGGGGAACGCTGGAGTCTCTACAGAATACAGAAAGTACAAAAGGGGCGCAGGCGAGGAACGCTGCAAGATAAGCCCCTCGACAAGCTCCGATTCACCACAAGATAAGGTAAGGTACCAACAACAGCACCTGCTTCCATCTTCTTCGCTTTTCTTCTCCCTTTCATTAATCTCACGATATCCTCTACCTTTCTTTCTGGGACAGAGTATCCCAATTGTTGATGGTCTTGCTTCAGCGATTATTTCTATTTCAGCTTTGACTCAATTTCGTATCAGCCACACGCGCGTAATCACGTGGACCTCGAGTACACACCCTTCTTTCAAACCAACACAAACATCTCATCTTACCTTCTCCTGCCCATTGTTGTCCTCTTGGGCACGACATTGCTCTGCCAGCATCAGATTCACACGAGTATACTTATCAGACGCTATCAGGTGAGTGCGATATATGTCAAGCATCCCAAGCAAGCCATCGGCTGCGAGTTCTTTCCATTGCTCTGGTTGAGATGATACGGCCTCCATCGGCAAACCCCGGCACAAGAGCGGCGATCACCAGTGAATTCTCAGATCCGGCCTGCTAACAACGCGACCCGACACAGGCTTCTCTCATCGTCGTGCTTCACATTTATTAGCTGAAGCTGCTGCTGCTGCAGCTAATCAGAGCTCCAGGATGCAACACCGCGTCGCGATTCGCCAGCTGAAGGTGGCCCGGAGCGCTGTCGGGCGAGCGTCACAGCCTTCGTTGAGGCTGAGCGCATCCCGGTGGCATCTCGGCAGCGCTGCAGGCCGCCATCATCACAAGAGCCAGCTGCTAAACTGCACATCCCGTCTGGCGGCATCTCGGAGCTTCAGTAGCACGACTTTCAAGGCCAGTAGCTTTGAAGATGATGACTCGCGGACAGGGACATACAACGAATCCGATCATGAGCATGCCGTGATCTCGACCTTTGATCTCTTCTCCATCGGCATTGGACCCTCATCATCTCACACCGTTGGGCCCATGCGGGCGGGCAACATCTTTGTCTCGGATCTCCACGAGGCTGGCCTGCTCGAAAAGGTCGACAGGATACGGATAGCACTCTATGGTAGCCTTGCCCTCACTGGCGAAGGCCACATGACACCATCTGCTCTCCTGCTTGGCCTCGAGAGCGCAGACGTCGAGACGGTCGACACGGCCTATGTGCCGAAGCGCTTTGAGCAGATCAAGAAGGAGAAGAAGCTCTTCCTGGGCCACCAGCTTCCAGATGGCAAAGGCAAGGAGATTACGTTCGACTATGAGCGGGACTTCAAGTGGGAGTGGTCAAAGAAGCTCCCTCTGCATAGCAACGGCATGACTCTCATGGTGTTTGACAAAGATGGCTACATGCTGGCGACCAATGACCTGTTTAGCGTTGGTGGTGGCTTTGTTGTCAACGGTGCCTTGTCCATTAACAGGCCCGATTCGTCCAAGCCATCGTCAGATCAAGGCACTGGCCAGGGAGCGTCCGACCTCGGCTTGCAAAAGCCAGAAGGCAGCAGCGGACACCCACTTGACCTCGCAGAAAACATGTACTACAAAGAGATCAGGCGGACGGATGCAGCAGGAGATCGGCGAACCGGAACAGAGATCAAACTGTTGGAGGCTGCTGAAGAGGAGTCAGCCCTACTGCCCTCTGGCACCGACGGTGGCCGCACTCCTCCTCCTGTCACCTCTTCTGGTGAAGACGCCCAACCAACTGATGGCGTCCATGGAAATCAGCCCCGGTATCCTTTCAGAGACGCAAAGAGCTTGTTATCGCTGTGTGATAAGCACAATCTGACGATTGCACAGCTGGTGTATGAAAACGAAAAGAGCCACGGTTACTCGGATGAAGAAATCCGCGAAAAGCTGTTTCGCATCTGGGAGGTCATGGATAACAGCATCTTGGAAGGTGTCCAAGCATCACCAGATTCATTACTGCCAGGCAGTCTGAAGCTGCATAGGCGAGCACCGGCATTGTATAGGCGACTCACAAGAGGACTGTATCCCTCACATACCACCCAGGCCAGCATCGGGACAGAGGCAGCTCAAGCTCCGCTGCTCTCCGAAAACAAGACCACGCCACCAACCTCAGATGCGTCGGGGACCCCAGGCTTGACAACCAACTCAGTACCGCCTTCATCAGGTCGAAAAGGTCTCGCTGTGAGAAGGAATTTGCCACTCCGCACACATGGCTCCTTTTCTCATCCCGTATTACCATCGCCGCGAAGACGCACAACGTTTCCAGCCAGTAAGATTATCAACAAATCATTTCTTCAAATAAAAGACACTAACTCTTATTCTGTAGTGGATTATCTTACTGTGTATGCCATGGCAGTCAACGAGACCAACGCAGCAGGTGGACGCATCGTTACCGCCCCGACGAATGGCGCAGCAGGCATTATACCCGCCGTGCTCAAGTACACCATCGAGTTCGTCAGCGATGACCCGGAGCGTGACATTCTCTCCTTCCTCCTCACAGCTGCGGCTATCGGTATGCTGTACAAACGCGGCGCCACCATCTCAGCAGCAGAGGGCGGATGCATGGCCGAGGTCGGCGTGGCCTGTTCCATGGCAGCCGGAGCATTCGCAGCCTGCATGGGCGCGAGTCCGCAAACGATCGAACAGGCAGCTGAGATTGGCATTGAGCACAACCTGGGCTTGACCTGCGACCCCATCGGAGGGCTGGTTCAGGCGCCGTGCATCGAGCGCAATGCCCTCGGTGCTATCAAGGCCATCTCAAGCGCCAATCTGGCCCTCAGCAGCGAGACCGGCACGCAAAAGGTGAGCCTGGACGATGCCATTCAGGCTATGCGCCTGACGGCCAAGGGTATGAGAAACGAGTTCAAGGAGACGAGCTTGAGCGGCCTTGCTACGAGCGTGCCGGTGGAGATTCCTGTCAGCGTGCCGGACTGCTGAGGCGCTTTGCGAACTCAGTACATACAAGGGAGTAGAGTAGCTTGCAGTCGTTTCTTATAGTGTTCATCTACAGCGAGTGTTTCACAACAAAACAAGGCGGTGGTTTGGCTCATCCTCTACATAGAGAAGAAAAGCGATTCTGTTTATCAACCCTATGCTGCTGTACTACTAAGAAGGTTATGGGTAAGCTTCATACAGCCGATGCTGACTTTTCTCGACGGCGAGAAGAATGATATTATAAACAAGAAGAGCAGCAAAGAGTGAGAGGTTTACCTCTGAACCTTACGAGCTTTGCCATCTGCTTTGTGGATCCGTTTAGAGGACTGCTGCGTTTGCCATTTCTCTCACGGTAGATCTACATCTAACCAGTCTTTTGGATTTTCATAGAAGACGCCTCCCAGTTGCTCAATCAACCTGCAGCGTTCTTCCATGTCATGGGCGTTGTAAATGATACCAGCGTGTCTAGTAGATGCATCATCTACTGTAATGTCGATGACCCAAACCCCACCTCCTACAGGCCAGCCAACTTTAACAAAGCGCTGACGACGACGAAGAGACGGTTCGTTAGGCTCCATAAGTTTCTGCAAGAACCATTGTTCTTTGCTCTCCCACCAGACTGCACCTAGTTGCCGCACTACGCAACAAAGGTTACGTATTAGTTGAATGTATTGATTGCCTCCCAGCTCATAAGCAGCTTTGAAATAAAAATGCACCGAAACCACCCACGGGTTCGCCCTTGGCTGGTGTAGCTTGCAAAGTAGGGGAAAAAAGGGAGGGAAAAAAAAAGCGAAGAAGAAGAGCTGGAAATAAGAATACAGGAATACTCAATGACGGATGCTTACTTCTGTTGCAGTGTGCCTCTTCTTCTTCGGCAGCGGCGTCAGGACCAGACGGAGATGGTTGGCTATGAAATCGATCCAGCTTCAGAAAGTCAAGTTCAATGCCAAAGCAATCTTCCAATATGTAGATACCACCCTTGGATGGCCATCCTTTGACTAGAGCGCCTGGCGAGGCACCGATACTGACTCTGGATCTCTTCTCCTTTGTCTCGTCAAACCGAGGAGGTGCATATATCACCGAATCCTGCTGGTTCTCGATGGTGGACATTGATGTTCTTGACTGATAGAAAAGAAAGCCGACAAGAGCTGCTATAAAAGCGACCATGTATGGCATAAGCCTTGTCATGATGTGTTTTGTAAAGTTAAGACTGAGGGATATCATCGTAATTAAGCGGTCTGCCGGACTTTTATACGACTATGTACAGTAGCCATTGCCTTGCCTTAAAATTTCTGAATGAGTCATTATAGAGTGAAGTTTCTTTATAGTGGCACGGTTGTGGGCTAATTAGAGCACCAAAGACATGGATCTGTTTGTATGTTGGTTTGAACAGCCGTTGTACTCCCATGCAAGTGGTTTTTTACTAGATTTCTTCCGCGGAACAAGAATGCGTATCGGTTGTACCTTAGTGGGGAAACAAACTGCGCATCTTGTAGGACCAACATGCGTCTGGTGGGGTGTTTTTTTTTTTGTTTCCTCTTGACCAACATGCATGAGCAAACTCACACTTCGTATTACTATGTTGTGACTCTGTGCCGTCTTCTCAACCCCTTGCCACAAGGACAACTGTGACCCTTCTCAGCGACTGTTCCGGGCTCAATGTCCGCTGGTCCATAAAGAACGGATACATGCATACAAGTTGGTCAACCAGTCCCTATGCATCGTAAAATGGGTATCAGAAAAGTTCCAATGGTTCCTAACTGGCTACTGCGTTGCCTTTTCTATTGGTAAATCCTTGCAATCCTCTGCTATACCTCTAACGAGTATGAGGAGTTGATCCTAGATAGTATTTTGAAGATGGCAAACTTACTCTGTCGTAGCAAGTTCTCTCTTGTCTATATAAAGGCAGCCGGAGCCGCCAACTTTGGGTCACAATGGGATAGCATCTACCAAGAAGAGGCGGGACAACACCGTCACGATGTTAGCCGCGGCGGTATGCTTATATATTCTCGTCAAGTCAGGCGATTCGTGCGCCGGTCTGGCCTCCAGATGTGGCATCTCGGGAGCAAACTTGACCAAGTATAACCCAAGCTCTACGCTTTGCTCGACCCTCAAAGTGGGAGAACCGGTATGCTGTTCATCTGGCTCTCTGTCTAACCTCACTCCTCGGAAGAACACAGATGGCACCTGCGCCAGCTATACGGTCAAGAGCGGAGATCACTGTGCTCTCATTGCCCAGAACAACTACATTACCGCTGACAACATTGAGATGTGGGCTGGCTTGACGCCCACGACGACTTCTGCTGGCCCGACCCTAACTGCCTCCTGGACCATTGTCATCTACAGCGAGCCCGACTGTGCCGGCGACTATTATTCTGTCGAGGGCTACAACCTTGACTCTCCCGACGATGAGTGCCTCGTCCTCCGTGGCGGCGGCATCCCCACGACGTCCGATACGGGTACAACGTGTCGGTGGTTTACCAATGGAGGCTTCGACTGGGATGATTGCAGCACCAGTACCCTGACACAGCCCCTTTCTTGGAGCGTCTTGGGCGGCGTCTGCACCGCGTACGACACGGACACTTGCACAGACGACGGCAACGCGGACGCATATGACCCTGCCCAGGGCTGCCACAACCACAGTGCTTCCAATCTCGACACCAAGACGTGGGTTTCTCTGCAGTGCGGCGCCCAGCCTGCCATTGGCGATGGCGAATTGTTCAAGAAACCCCTGCAGATAGTCAACTCCCCCATTGTTGTCAATGGCAAGGGATCAAAGGGCAATTATACTTCGGTGATGACCAAGCCGATAGACCCTACGCTGCACAAAGCCTATCGATTTCACCCGAAACCAACCCCTACAGGCCGTCCATGAGCCGGGGGAAAGAAAGAAAGAAAGAAAGAGGAGGAGATGATAATAGAGGAGGCATCCAATGTTCACAATCTCTCGGTTGGCTAGGTATCATGCATTAAATACATAGGTTGTTCCATGTATTTAGCTCCGGAATAGGTAGTATTAGATCATGTTTGCCTAGGTATTCTTAAAACCCTTTTCCACAATATTTAAATGTTGTATGTTGTATTGTTAAACAGGATTTACACAGTATTCCCTATCAAAATAATAAACTCGTTGAGACGTCAGTGGGCCCCGTTTACTATCTAACATGTATGGGCTGTATACATGGTCTCCAGGGTAAGTGGTCCAGGAAGGTCTGGTAGCAGCAGGGGGGTTAGACAGGGGGGTAGCAGGTCTTGTTATATGCAATCGCATATTGCACTTGCAACTCAGAGAGCCTGAGGCCTAGCCCAACCACGTTTTGTGTATAGCCACGTCAGTACATTTTGCAGCATTCAGGTCTTCATGGCCACGCCATTATCAGGGAGAACGCCTTGCTAGAGGCGCTTGAAGGAAGAAGAGATGTGATGTTTGGAGGTACATCGAGGCCCCTGTCGGCACACCCTGGTCGGTACACGCTAGTCCTGGACCAATTACGCCGGCTACCAAGTATGTATATACCAGGTAGCTAGGTATTTAATCGCGGGGGTGCTGGCTACTACTAGGTAAAGGTCTGGTACCAAAATCGGAAGTATGCAACTTCTACCTCGGAATAGAGGCCTGGCTAAAATTGGTGATGAACGTTTAGGCTTCCATTTTGGGGGCTCAACCTTCTACACCGCATGGAACTGTAAGCTTGCGTAGGCCGAAGGATTTAACCGCAGGGGTGAAGAAAAGATATAAAGCTTGAATTCCTCCTAGATAATGAACCACTCCCCTCTCTTTTCTCTCTTTATCATCCAGCAACAGCAATCCAGCAACAGCAACGCCCTTCATCCTATTGTTCGTCATGGTAGCCCCCCTGATATGGATCAACGCCTTTCCCGGGACTGGAAAGCTCACCATAGCAAAGGCGATCAAGTCACTGGATAAATCAGTCACCGTCATCGACAACCACCAACTGATTGATCCGGTGGCATTAAGAGTTTCTCGGGATGACCCGCGCTACCAGGCAGAGCGGAAACGTGAGCGAGAGCGAGCATTTGAGAGACACGTCTACGACCCTGCAATGGCTTCAAGTACGGTTGTCTTTACAGGTAAAGACGCGCTAAACTAGAAAGCCCGTACTGTGCTTTCTGTTAGAAAGTGCTGATGGATGAAGCAGATTTCCAGTCAGACAATGAACTGGGCCGAAGTGCTGCGAAGGAATACCTGATGGCGGCTAAGAAAGCCAAGAGACCCTTCATGCCAGTTTATCTAGGTTGCGACGTCGATGTCAATATCGAACGAGCTACGAGCCAAGATCGAAGGTCGGGTACTACAACGAAGCTGACGGACACTGCCCTTCTCCGAGACATGCGATCAAGGTGCAAGCTCTTTGAGTTTGACGATCAGGATTTCTCGCACTGGATTGACACTACGGATAAAGAGCCTGAGGGTGTAGCCAAGATGATCCTGGGGCGGTCTCGAGTGATATCTGAAGGAAAATAACACGAGTTGCACTTCTACTATTTGTTGGTGTTTAGTATAGCGATGCCTGTAATACTCAGTAAATGACCAGTAATGGTTGAATACAAGCTATAGATGAGTTGGAGCGTGAAGAGCCAATGATACAGAAGTACCATGCAAAAGCATTCGTACTATACAGTAGAAGACCGTGTCTCCAATGGTGACAGACCACCAATGCTAGCAGCAACAATACCGGGCATCCCAATGGCGGAAAACATGGGCGAAGCCGGCCAATCTTTGGAAGACGGCGACGAGCCTCTTCTGACTTTGACTTGATGGTGATGCGGCGAGCTTGATTCATGGGGTTTTGCCAACGATTCGCTCAGTGCTCGAATGCGGCCACCTCTGATCATCCGAAGAAATGCAAGATCGTCCCTAATATGGGAGAAGACGGCGTTGTATCTTTCTATAGAAGATGTGTCACTGCCATCTGCTGCCTTCTTACTAGGCAGACGCAGCCATCGTGGCCACTTCTTTCGCAACTTGTTGCTGCAGCTTCGCAGTACTGCATCAGGAATCAAGCGAACCAAGACACCGATAGGAATCGATCCGAGACCCAGACCAATCGATATGCCCCATTGCTCGCTCGTAAGCCTGACGACAACGAATGCGTCGCCTCCGACATAGATGATGATGATCTGGCCACCGACCATGATGGACATCATCAGCATGAACAGCCAGTTGCGATGCAAGCCTTCAAAGATGTTGAGCTTATTGTCGATGCGGCGACTGTTAATGAGCTTGAAAATCTGCATGAAGACGAAGACATTGAAGATGAGGGTCCGCAGCTGATCCTCTGGGTAATCGAAGAAGCCGGGTCCGCCGAACCACAGAACGAAGCACACAGTCAGTTGGTAGATGGACTGGCCAAGTATCATCTTCCACATGCTGAGGCTTATGAGAGAAGCTGTTCGAGGCTCCGGCTTGCGTTGAAGAGCGCTCAGGGTGGGCGGATCGGTGGCGAGCGCAAGTGCTGCGAAAGTGTCCATGATGAGATTCACCCAAAGGAGCTGCACGGCGTTGAGGACCGCGGTTTCTTGGTTGTCGGAAACGGCTGTGACGAACGTGATGATGACAGCGGTGATGTTGACCGTGAGTTGGAAGAGCAGGAACTTCTTGACGGAATCGTTTACGGCTCGCCCCCAGCCGAGGGCCTTTACGATGGACGCAAAGTTATCGTCCATGAGAATGATGTCGGATGCTTCTTTGGCCACTTCTGTGCCGGTGATACCCATAGAGAAGCCAACGTCTGCGACTTTCAGGGCTGGGGCATCGTTGGTTCCGTCGCCCGTCACTGCGACAATTTCGCCCAGGTTCTTGAGGACTTCGACGAGGATGCGTTTATCCTCGGGGCTTGACCTGGCCAATATGCAAATGTCTCTTGCGACGGAGGCTTTTTGTTCCGGAGAAAGCTGGCGGAATTGTTTTCCTTCCATTACAAGGCCTTGTTGTCCTTCTTCTTGGGAAGACCTTAGGATACCGCATGCGAGGCCGACAGCTTTGGCAGTTTCGAGGTTGTCGCCGGTTACCATTTTGACGGATACCGATGCTGTTCGGCAGTCTTGGACCGCGGCGGGGACTCCTGGCCGGACGGGATCTTGGATCCCTACGACGCCGATCCAGGTCATGTCTTGATGCACGTCAGGGAGCGTGACATCGTCGGAACTCGAGGTGATTGTATCGTCTGTCTGGGGCTTGTGAGGTGGCCACTGGTGGAAGTCGCGGTAAGAGAGTGCCAAAGTTCTTAAAGCATGGGTCCCAAAGCGAGAGACGACATTCCTGATGGCGTCTTTCTGGGATTCACCTAAGGGTTCCGCGTTTGCGCAACTCGTGAGCCCCATCAGTGAGGTGGTGCATTGAGCCAGCACAATTTCAGGAGCGCCCTTTACAAACAGTCGATACTTGTCATTGCTCCTCTCCCTGCTGCCACCAGACTCAGATATCCGGATAACTACTCCCATGCACTTTCTCTGTGAGATGAAAGGGAACATCTCTATCACTGGATTGTTGGCGCGTTCAACGGAGACCGGCCCGAGTCCGAAATGTCGGCGGACCCATTCGAGGAGGGCTGTTTCTGTTTTCGTCCCTACGAATACTGATGTGCCGTTTTCCTCTCGCTCGAAAGCCGTGGTGTTTACGGCAATGGCTGTCTTCAGTAGTTGTTGGATGCCCATGTCGAGCTTAGATGATAGTTGGTGATGCGGGATGTGCGACTGCAGGTCCGAATTTCCTTCGCCAAAGAGCAGTACTTCGCCTCCCAGTGCGCCTGAAGTCACAGTCATCGAGTTTTCCGTCAAAGTGCCTGTTTTATCCGAGCAGATGATTGTAGCGTTCCCCATCGTCTCGCATGACTGCAGATGCCGGACAAGGTTGTTCTCTCGGGTCATGCGCTTCGTGGCGAATGCGAGCGATAGCGTGACCGCCAGCGGCAAGCCTTCTGGGACGGCGACGACTATGATGGTGATGGCCATGACGAGGATATGGAGGAAGTCTTGGCCTTTTTCCTCGGCGGAGTCGGTGTTGTTGGGGAGGCGGACGAGGAATTCGATGAGGAGGACGGTGAATAGCAGGCATCCTGCTGCGCTGCCGAGTTTGGCGATGTAGCCTAAAAGACCAGTACGTGATCAGCGCTATGATGCCTTGAGATTCTTACAATATCGTGAGGTGGTGCTTACCAGCGAGAATGTTGAGCTTAGATTGCAAGGGCGTGAGTCCAGTATCTTCCCGCAGCGACATCATTGTCCGGCCGTGACTCGAATTCTGTCCGACAGAGGTAACGAGAAAAGACCCGACTCCATCCAGCACCCGAGCCCCGGAGATAATGAAAGGATCCAGCTTGTCCAAATTGTGTACTTCATGTTGGCGAAGAGCCTCCAAGACTTCCTCTGCTGGTATCTTTCGTACTAGGTCAGACTCTCCCGTAGCAGACGACTCATCGCAGTTCAGACCGTGGCCTTCGATGAAGATTCCATCAACAGGAACCACATCGCCTGGCTCCAGGAGCATAACATCCCCTACGACTACTTCGTAGATGGAGACAGCCTCGGGGTTACCCGACCGGATTACTTTCACGGAGCGATCCTCCTTCTTCATGTTGAGCTTCTGAAACTGGCGTTCCTTTTGCCAGTCGTTCAACGCACCGACGATGACGACAACGGCGATTGCGACAATGATGGCGACGCCTTCGACCCATTCGACTTTGGCACCTTCATGTTTTGTTTGTCCGAATGTTTGATATAGGCCGAGAGCTAGAGAGACGATGGCTGCGACGCTGAGGAGGATGAGGATGTGGTCGTGTAGAGCAATCCATGCTAGCTGGAAGAATGACTTGGATTTTCTTTCCGGTAACCTGTTTTCGCCGAATATGCGCTTTCTCTCAGCGAAGCTGTCGCTTGGTTTACCATTAGATTGGGCAGGAGGACAGTTGCCGGGCGGCTTAACAGGGGAGGCCGCTGATGTCGCCTCCTCGAATGTGATCGGCTTGAGAAGATGATGTTCTTCAACACTCAGGCCAGCGCGGCGATCGCTATGAAGTCCCTTTTCCAGACCAGCTAGGCCTCCCAGGGCGACAAAAGCGGCGAGACTCTTGGGATTGATGAGCTTGCCTAATTGGCCAGGCGAGAAAGCAAATGGACTACTTTCCGTCTCGAATAGATGCTCTTCTCCCGGATCAGGTCGTAGAGCGGAGACGCTGTGCTGCTGGATATCTTCCGACCGACTGAGTTCGCCCGGGAGGGCTCCGTTGTTACACTCGGTGTTGGAGGACGTGGCCGCGGAAGGGTAAGTCGAAGTATCATTTGGGGAAGGACATGTGCTTTGCGTATCAGCATCAAGCTGCTCCTTGGTTTGGACCTCTTTCTTAGCCATGCTGCCAAGTAGATATTTGCTGATGGAGGATATCGACGAGGGCTAGGAGATCTGCCTGGCAAATGCAAAGGAGTTGATTGACACTTCAATTTCGACTTGGGAGTTTATGTGCGATATCAGATAGAATTCTCCATGGTATAAAATGGGCTTTCGGGGAACAAATTATGACTTTTTTCATAGCGACCGGACGTCGAGTCAGTGGGAGTGACCACCGACCATGGCCCGCAACATACAGACAGACCGTCATCATCTTCCTCTCATCGCCAATTGAAGCCTTATCATCTGGAGCAAGTTTTAGATCAGAAGACTTCAAACTTTCTGCTACTGGCTTGGCAAAGGACTATGAAGCGCTTTGCGACGAGGCTGTGAGGCAGATGGCGGAGGCACAGCAAAGCCACAAGTTGTTGGAGACGGCCAACATTGCCACTCAAAGGGCACAAGGAGCAGGCCGACCGAACACTGTGGACAACCTGTTCCATGCTAGGTGTATTCTGGCAGATAACGGCTCGATAACATTTGCGCGTCCTTGTCTAAAGGTATGCATGGCGTCCCAGTGGTCGGAGTGTGTACTGGGGTGGCAAGACCCGGCCAATTGTTCGCCCATTTGAGTTGCATGCGACGTTAGGGAGGGATTGCTAAACGCGGAGTTTATATAGGAAGAACCTTTCCATTTAAGCTTACTTTGTAGTGGCATGGTCTGACAAGCTCAGGGATTGTTTGCTACATCTACTCAGCTCCATGATTTTTAGCTTACATAGTCCGCCTAGAAGGCTCAACTGACTCGCCTCGCTCTGTGAGGCTCCCCATTGATGATACACCTCTCTGCGGCATTCGTTACAAGTCCTAGGTATATAAGCAAACCAATTGAAGCAGTCCCCTTAGGAAAGTGGGATGTAAGGCAAATGGACCATACGTCAAAACTTTGCCAAGAGTCAAGAAAAGAACAATCGACCTAAAGCATCAAATGACTTAGAGCTTGTGCCCGGTGAAGTATGAGGATATGTCTGCTTCTCATACAAATGATAGCTCTCGACTATCTCATGTTGCCAAGATACTCTCATGGTTAATGACGTGTCATGTTTCGATAATTGCGGCTGAGTTGCGTTGGTGCAAGGATTTCGGTGAGAAATCCAACCTCTATTGCAGCTCGTCTAGTCGCAACCTTGTATTTGTACCTAGTTACCTAAGCATCAACTTGAAGGTACCACGTAAACTTTTCGAGGCTCGCCGCAGTTGGATGTGGTAACCCCAACGTGTCTTTGTAAGAAAGCTGAACGCAGACTTCGTCTTGAGTAGGCTGTTAGTATTTGTAATTATAAGAACTTCTCTATCATATTAACACCCGCGCCCTTATGTCCAGGTCTACTACCAGATTGATAGCAGTACTTCATAGTATATATAGGTAGACATAAGTGTCACAGAGAACCTCTCCGTATGCCTCTCATTCAACCTACCTACTTACGTGTATGTGCATAGGACGACAACAATCACGCAGATGTGCGTATATACCCCGCAGCAACGATACTGCTGGATATTGATTGCACCACGCAAAAGCCACCTTACCCACATTCCCGTTGGGAATTGGGCGGTTCCCGTCGTATAACTGGTTGAAGTTAGCAGTACTGCACCAATGGAGCTGAGAATCACAAGCAATGTGTAGCAAAACGCAAGAAGCTAGGGAGGTCATTCCTGAAAGAAAAGCATTCCTTTTCGGCTCTCGTTGTAGGCGACAGCGAAGATTGCAGTTCCATTGTGAGGTAGGTATGTGGGGTAATGAATGGCAAGGTAGTTGAGCCGCAAGAACGAAGTCGTTCCAACGCCTGATGGAATTCTCTTGGCCGTACATGAGGTGTGTCCGGGATGGTTGTCTCCCCGAATGGTTGCAGGAACAAGAACCAACCAGAGGCTGAAACGTTTCGTAGGCAATATATTCGACCCCTACATAACGTATAATAAGTGCACTTGGACCCCCACGAGGCGACCAAGGCTGCTTTGGCGCTCTAATTGATAATGGTCCAGTGTTTAGTACAATCGCCTTGTTGCCTTGTTGCCTTGTTGCCCAGCCAAGCAGGAGAGTGAAGAAGCAGGCAGAAGAATGTTTTCACACGCCGGTTGGTCTATTAATCCTGGAGTGGAATTGATACTTTTGTAGAGACTCGATTGACGTGTCACATTGACCGGCAACAATGTGCACCCTTTAGTCGAGCCTTTGCAGCAACGCAATCAGCATGATTATCACGCCCAGTTGATGCTTTCATTTATAAGCCACGACTGCTCACAAGGCTCTGGATATCTACTATTTGAAAGTCATTCTCATCAGAAATACAATGTCTAGATTACCCAGAGACAGTCGAGTTTTGCCACCTGCTAACATGGCGATGTATCAGAGGGCACCATCGAGGCCGCCGCCCTTGGTACCACCGCAGCCTATCCCGGCACTAGAGCCACAAATATGCTGTGAATGCGAGCGAAATGTCAAGGTCTGGAAATGTGCTGAATGTATCGACTTTTTCTGTGATGATTGCTGGCCTAAACAGCGACCTCATAAGGTTGGTCATCTTCATTCTCCCTACATCACTCTCTTCAACCTTTGGAAAGCTTGAGGGAAGTTCATCATCAAAGTGATGCAAACTTCTTGCTACCCATTATTTCCCAAGAAACACCATGGTTGTGAGCGCAGAGGCTGATAGGTGTCTTACATTCTTTTCAAGCCGAACAAAACATTGGCGAATGGCCGCCCCCATGAGAAAGTCGACGAGGAGGTGGTTCACCGGCTGGACCAGATATTCCAGCAACCTGATCCGACCGAGCAACTGATGCGTCACCACAATGACATCGATACAACTTGGTTTGGGGTTGAAAAAAGGAACAACGAGTCCGTTTTGCACTGTTCTAGTCGACTTCTTGACATCTTGCACGAGAGTCAGACTGGGGAGTTCAAAGAACGGTTTCCACATCTTGTATCCTTTGTTGGACAAACTGGCAAGTCTTATTCTTGTTCAACATCCCTATCCCTTCCCTGCTTTTCAGTTTCCTATCTGGAAGATGTTGTAGTCAATGATGCGCGGAACAATCTAGTAACACATCTTGGAATCTTTCATAGGAGCTGGAAAGAGCACTATCATCAAGATGCTGATGCATCGTGCGCAGGCAAAAGCCGACCCTCCTGTCGAAAATCCAACTCTCAATCCTGTCCCAGGACTCGTTGATGATAACTGCCCCACGACCGGCGATGTGCATTTATACGCAGATCCGGGGACTTACTACGATCAGAAACCGATATTATATGCCGATTCAGAAGGTATGACCGGGGGGGAGAGTACTCCAAGAGGCCTGGAGCAATGGTCTCAAGCTGAGACCGATACGGCAAAGAAGACAAGGGACCTGGTAAAGGACAAGATCATCAAAACCCTCACCTGGGCTACCGATGCTAGCAAACGCTCGCGGGAGTTCGCCGTGAAGAGTCTGTTTCCAAGGATCTTGTACACATTCTCGGACGTTATTGTCTTCGTACTGCGCGAAGCCAGGTGAGCCTACACGCATGGTACTTGGTCGATTGAATGCGGCTAACCGGTGTTTTCCGTATGTGTATAATAAGAACTTTCGAAACAGAGGTTTTGAAATTATTGGTAGAATGGGCTGCTACTTCGATCGATAAGTCTGTCAACCAACCAAGCAGACCGCACGTCATCATCCTACTCAACGCCGCCGAGATGACCACGGACGACAATCAGTGGGACCCAGAATGGGCCACCAAGAAGCTGCTTGACGACTACAAGGATTCGGTCCACAGGGTGCCCTATCTACAAAGGACGATCTCCAATTCTAAGCTTCGGAAAAGCGTACGAACGACCAAGGACCTCCTCGATTACTACTATCATTCAGTCACTGTCATCAAAATTCCTCGCAAAGGTTGCTATATGCAGATCGATGCACAGCTCATGAAGCTCTCAGGCATCATATCTGATAGATGTGCGGAATCCCACGACTTCAAGAAAATGACCCGAATGTTGCTTAATGCAGAGAGGCTACCAAGATACGTCAACGCAGCCTACGACCATTTCACTCGAGATCTGGAAGCACCGTTCGATTTCGTGGCGGAGGCACGCCGTCATATATCCCCACCCCAAGATTTTGGGGGGCATGTGCTCAATCTCATGTTGTTCATGTATGACCAATGGAGACCAACTGGGGCACCCGTCACAGGACTCTTTCATCGTCTTGCGCTGCCAGTTGCTTCATGCGTTATGTTGGCCGCTACCAGAGACAGAACACAAGGTATCGATCATCCGCAGTCAAAGTCGTTGAATGACATAAGCTGACAGAGCATAGGAAGCTATTCAAATGTTCTTCGCGACACATACAAAACTCCCCTATGCGATGCGTTTCTTGAGTTTTACTACAAGTGGCTGCGCTGCTCATTCCAAAAGGACGGCCAACTCTGTGTGAACACCAAAAGTTCGCACGAAAAGGGCCATCAATCCTACGAAGGAACCATTCTCGGTCGAGGCCACCATCAGTCGGCGTCGGTTCACTACCCTCATTCGTTTGAAGCTTGGTTCACCGAAATCCACGAAAACATCGAATATCTTGAGAAACGTTTCAGCCAGGGAGACAAGGAAGAAGGACGCTTCATCCCAAAGATGCACCGCGACATCATGGAAGATTTCTATACCAAGCATCTCTCTGCTTCAAGGTTCCGCAGCCACTTGACCTGCGTTTGTTGTGTAGGAAAGATACCCGAACATGCACTGCCTTGCGGCCACATAATCTGCAAGGCATGTATCCAATGCTTCGGGGATCGCAAAGGACAAGGATTATTCACTTTGTACAATTGCCCACTTCATCCAGCAACCTGCCATTGGCGCTCACCCTTGCAGATTGAATACAAGCCAGAGGAGGCCGGCGTGAGAGTTCTCTGCTTGGACGGGTTAGTAATGATTAATCTCTCATTCGTCATTGTTATTGTTAACAGATGACCTAGAGGAGGCGTAAGAGGCATCATCGAGCTTGCCATTCTTCGCGAGATTGAGAGATCTCTCGGAGACCATGTTCCCATTCAGGACTTCTTTGACCTCATAGTCGGGACAAGGTTCGTTTTTGCTACCCGGTCTGAACGCATATTTGCGCATGAACTAATAGCTGTAGCACTGGTGGTATCCTTGCTCTAGGGCTTGGTGTTAAGCACTGGTCAGTCGAAGAATGCACGGCTCATTTCAAAGGTCTTTGCAAGCAAGCCTTTACCAAGCGGGCTCCGCGATTTTTGAACACACTCACTGCCATGAGTGGCAAGGGTGTCTATAAATCAAGGACGTTGGAAAACGCTCTGCAATCGGCTTTTGACAGCAACTCGGTGCTTTACGGGGGAGCTCACTCGGCAAAGCCGACATCGATACGGGTTGCGGTCACAGCCACGCTTGCCAGAGAGGACCGAGCAGCTGTTCTATCCAACTATAACACAGAACACAGATCCGATAACCGTAAGTTTCCCCTTGACTCTGGCATGGATTGTTTCTCTTCCGAGTTTGGACTTGGACATCGGCTGACCAACATCACCAATAGTACCGTACCTATTTATACGACCACAAGACCCTAAGCATGAGCTCAAAGTCTGGGAGGCCGCCAGAGCAACTTCAGCAGCTCCGCCGTATTTTAAACCCTTCATTCAGAGACAGACTATGCGTGCTTATACTGATGGCGCGATACATCACCACTGTCCAGTATTTATTGCGGATCAAGAGCGACAGCTGCTTTGGGAAGATGTCAAAGACTGGCCCCCCGATATCGTCCTATCCATAGGCAGCGGTGTCAAGCTTGATGAAGATGCACCTTGGTCACACGAAACAGTGCACCTCAGTAGCTCAGATGACTTCTTCAGCCGGTCATCTCGGCCTCAGCGAAAGGTGGCCGGGCTAGGTTACCTCTGGCGAGCCGCTAACACGATCATCGAAAAACACCTGGACTGCGAGGAAGCTTGGAAACGGTACTGCGATAGAAGAGAGAGGGAACACGGAGACGACACTCGCAAGATTCGTCTCAATGTTCACTTTGCTCGTCACAGACCGCCCCTCGACGATGTCGAGTCCATGGAAGAGATGGAGCTCCTCGCACAGCGAATGGTTCAGGAGGATCGAGAGAAGGTTCATCAAGCGATGGAAAAGCTCATCGCCAGCTCTTTCTATTTTGAAAGTGTCGGGCCTGCTATTCGAAACATCAAAACCAGGCAGTATCGGTGCAGAGGTAAGCTACCCATACCAGTCATCTTTTTCTGACGGAGTTTTCATTCATCGTTTATGGAGGCAACACGATGCAACCATACCCGTATTCATATTCAAGCCGGGCTGACATAGCGTAGGAACTATTCGCTGTCGGTTTCGTGATAATACTCCAAACCTACAAGGACTCGGCAAAATACTGCTTCGATATTGCTCCCGGGAATCTGAGCCGGAATTTTGGGTCAGAGAAAATTACGGCTTGATCTTCCAGAAAGACCGCCGCATAACCTTCCCTGCCACCACAATCAAAGATATGGTCAAGCACAGTATCTTCCAATTTCCGAGAGAGATCGAGGTTGAAGCAGCCGAGCCTTCCAGCCTTACCAATATCTGTTTGTGCCTGCAAAGCAGCTATAGGTATGGCATCTCTCCGGAACTTCTCAACATCTCGCCCTCAATCAGCGGTTTCCCGCGTGAGCTATGTGCACTCAGCGGTTTCATTCTGTCTAGCCCCGATATCAACGTCGAGGAGGTTGATAAGGCATCAGAGGTAACTTCCGTGATATCAACAAGATCAACCCACGGGAGCGTAGATTCCGAGCCTACGACAGGACGAAGGAAGACTTATTTCGTGGGAGGCATTATGCGCCGAGCAAGGAGTGCTATGTTTTCCAAAGAGAACGAGTCTCGAATCTCATTCGAGAATAGATCAAGCTCAAGCTTAAGGGTGGCCCCGGAGAAGCACGCATACCCGGTTGATGTATCAGAGCTCGCAGGCGATTCAAGCTTTGGAGGGAACAGGAATGGGTCTACGCCTTCGATAAGGGGCGAGGATGAAGACTCTGGAAATACTGACGATGAGCATGAGAATGATTATCAAACAAAAGGAAAAGGTATCATGTATTAGAGTAGTATGTTTGTAGTCTGAAGATTAGGATCACAATCTGTTGGCAATCTCTATTTTGGAAAATCACTCATTAGTCTCGCACACCTGCGCTCACTTACATATGTCGCGGCTTAATACTATTTGAAGTAATCTCTGCCTTTGTCCAAGATGCTACAACCCGACTCATGGAACCCCATGATATCGTAGGGCATTCAGGCCGTACAGGCTTTAAGTCATCTTCTTCTTTGACCTTCCTCCAAACCCCCATCCTATTTGATGCGCAACGTTGATAGACACTTCCAAGTCATCCGCCCACGCCCACACCAAGCCCGGGTTCTTCTGGAACGGGCGACCTGCAGCGATCAGATCCAATGGCGTGTCGTCGGCATCATCACTGCCCTCTATGAGCTTCTGCGCAACCTGTCCCGTCTTGATGCTTCCCACTGAGCTGACGAGCATCGAGTCTCCCACTGCTGCCTTGATCTTCTTTGCAAACGGCGCCTGGTATCCCGGCCCGCCAATGACCTTTTGCTGCGCGTGGTTCCCGCCGCTCGACACATCTATCACGTCAACGCCACGCTGAGCAAGGAGCTTGGCAAGCTTGATGCTCTCGTCCACAGTCCAGCTTGGCCCTCCGTTCCAGTCGGGATTTGTGTCGAGCCAATCCGTCGCACTGATGCGCACGAACAGAGGCATCCGCTTGGGAATAACCTGCCGTGTAGCATCAACCAGCTCAAGCGCCAGACGAGCACGGTTCTCGAAGCTTCCTCCGTATTGATCCGTTCTCTTGTTCACAGCCGGCGACAGAAAGCTGGATACGAGATAGCCGTGCGCAAAGTGCAGCTCGATAACGTCAAACCCGGCACGGAGCGCACGAAGAACAGCGGCGTGGAAATCGTGCTTGAACCGCTCAATCTCCGCAATGCTCATCGCGCGGGGCTTTGGGTAGTGCTCGTTGAAGGGCTCGTTGCTGGGTCCGACGACGTCGTCTGGCCATCCGCCGACTTCTTCGATTGCGGTTGCGCCGGAACTGAGCCATGGGGCGACGGTGGAGGCTTTACGGCCGGCATGGCCGAGTTGGATGCCGATGAGACCGTTCTGGCTGTGAGCGAAATCGACGTGTTTCTTGAGAGTGTCGACGTGGGCGTCGAGCCAGATGCCGGAATCCTCTGGGGTGATGCGGCCATTGGCCTGTACGGCGGTGGCTTCAATCATCATGAGGCCGGGCTATCATTCCCATTCATTTCAGCCTTTGCTTTCATTTCCGACGGAATCAATTGCATGAAGAGAGTCACTGGAATAAACGGTTCGTCTTACACCTCTCTGCGCCATGCCGCCATAGTGCGTAATGTGCCACGGCGTGTGAAATCCCTCATGCGCGCTGTATTGGCACATTGGGCTCACCCAAATGCGATTCGCCATCTGTATGCCCCGAATCTTCAAGGGAGTGAAGAGCTTCGGGACTGGCTTGCCGGATGGCTGAGGCTCAGTCGCGGAGCCCGGAATGGGGATCTGCTCCGGCGTGAAGAAAGTTGCGTTATCGGCAGCGACATTGTAGATTGGCTGAGAGCACTTGGCCCTCTTTTCGGGGAGGGGGGTTCCGGCTCGAGAAACGGTGATGCCGTGATGAGGGTGAGAGATGCGCTGGGTGAGATAGGCGGCCATGTTGCGTATGGATGTGATGAGCGACCTTTATCGTGATGTGTATTGTGGTTCTATCGACAGATACCAATAGTCTGTATTGAAGGTGGTGTAAGACTAATTCAAGAGTCTCCTCCTACTACTTCATCTGATAGTATCGACGCTCTTGGCCAGATCTTCTTGACGATTTAGAGTCCTCTACATATATATATATATATATATTGTGAACAATATAGCCAAGGTCTCGTGGCGTCATTAGTGATGGGAAGGTGACGTAGCGAAAGCTTAAGCATCATCAGATTGATTGGCCGCTGTCGAACCCGCTCATAGACATCGGGCAACGGGGGGAAGAATATTAGCTTAAACAAAACGATTATGTTACATAGCACGGAGTACGCCGTGTCAGTATCATGCCATGTTCAGCTTTATTAACCGTTCATGCCGCGGCAGTTGTGTCGATGTTGGCGTTCTGTGGAGCAATTAGAGATTGATAGTAGCGTGCGCGGTCAAAGTTCCCCTCGATAACTACCTACATCCAGTTAGCTGAAGAAGTTCGTTCTCGTTCTCGGTTTCGTACGCGGGCGGAAAGAAATCTACACGGACGTTAGATATCTGTTGCCTATTTTGGACTGGAATGCCATTTCCGGAAGGTAGTCAAAGTTGATCCCTGGGACTATTACACCAACCTGAAGGTGTCTTCATGTGATGAGGACACGCATGAAGCTTCATGTTGGTTACAATCCCTCGTTGCTTATATAATTCGTGTCCACTGAGATGGAAACTCCGAGACTTGTTTGCAATCTTGTGCTCTTTGCCCTTGATCCATCGTGATGCTGTCGGAGTGTCGCTCTTCTCAAAGACGTCACTGACTCACTCCATCACCATGGATTACCGGCCATGATCTTGCTGCCGTGAACATATATCTGGCTCGTGCTATTTTAACCCCTACAGACATATTCTGCACACTTCTACAAATTCTTGAGGCAAAGAGTATCACTTCTGGCAACTGTGCCCAGCTGATGGATAATTGGAAACATCAACTAACACCACCTGAATGACTTGCTATCCCAGATGGAGAACAAGGAACGCCTCTCCCATGGTACACGTGCCTTTGAAGTACGCCCCTCAGTTGCAAACTAGTAGTAAAGATGCCTCATGTTCTTCGCGGCCCTGACAACTGGATAATGCCAGGACGGAGCTTTGACATCAGATCTTCGGGGTCATACTTGGCTTGGAGTTCGCGAAGACGCTTCCGATTTTCCTCTCCATATCCCCCATAGACATCCTGGTGCCTGGCCGCATAGTTGAGATATTGGTACCTATGGAATGTGCCATGAGCCCTGGCGACTCGTTCAACCTTGTTCATAAAGTCATCAGCCGTTTGGGAAATCGGCTTATCATGCTTGGCGTCAATCCATTTCCATAGGAGGGCAACGACTTGAAGATCATGTCAGTCAACTGTCGTCCCACTTCAAGCGGCCTTGGCTTACTGATTAAAGGCGTATCCTCCGTCGTGATTCCCAGAGCATTACCGATATCATCCTTTGGAAGCATATCGCTGACCAATGGCTGGTACAGGAGAGTGGGCGAGAACCCATCACAGTCTTTCAGAAGAGCTACCGATTCTTCATGAACAGCAGCAATCTCCTTCAACGTCGTTAGATGGCTTTTTACCGATTGCGAGGTTGTCCAGAATCTAAAACGCTCCGTCAGCCCAAAGCTCGTCAATCTTTTGGTCTCAATCTGCTCTAGTGCGTATACCTGAATCCAGGCTCATTGTGAACATCCCCTTCGTCACAAAAGCTGAGCAAGGTACGATTCTGGGTCGAAGAGGCAAGAGGAGTAATAGTCTTGAAATCGTCGAAAGCCTTGGTTTGAACTGCGGGCCTGCTGTGAGACATGGCCATGGTGTATACGCTGTTGCCATCCTTGGCCCTATCGCTAATAAGCAGGAATGCCTCGGCAAATGGATCCATGGTCGTTTTGACAGACTTGTCAAACGAGGTAAGGATGGCGGCCCCGTGTTCGTGGGCGAATACGCTGGCGCCGCCCCAGATTTCTCCGAGGTCAAACGTCTTCAACTCTAGGCGGGTGACAATGCCGAGAGTAATACCAGCTCCTCTCATTCCCCAGAAGAGGTCAGGATGAGACTCCCGAGTGACATTGAGGACCTGACCACTAACGAGAACAAGCTTCAATGAATTCATAAGCCTATGGTGCAGGTATCTCAGGACTGAAAATGCAAAGCTTACCTCATAGCTTACGACATTATCGCAAGCAAGTCCCCTTTCGGCTGAGAAGAAGGAAATCCCACCTATAGACGAAAGATCAGTCGAAAGATCAGTTTAAAGCTTCGCAGAGGCAAATGAGCGAAAGTATACCTCCCATAATAAGACCACTAACGCCGACACTAGAAACGCGGCCGCCAACACATCCGAGTCCATAAGCTTCCAACTTGCTGTAAACCTCACGAAACCTACAGCCAGCTCCAACGAAGACGGACTTTCGATCTTCGGAGACGGTAATGTCTTTGAGACGGCTCAGGTCAATAGTGATGCCGTCCTCAGCATTGCTGCCTGAGGCATAAGAACAATGACCTCCAGACTTGACGGCAAAGGTGGCTCCCGTTTCCCGAACAGTGTTTATGGTCGTTATTACATCTGAAGTAGTTGCTGGGAGAACGCGGCATGCAGGACTTAGTTGCGATGCCTGCGCGATGAAGTAAAAGTCGGTGCCGTGTTTGCCTAGATCTGGCGGAGTGTCACCCGGCAAAATAACTTTCTCGGCACCCAACTTGTCGCGAAGTATCCGGGCCTGCAATCATTAGAACGATGTCCCTGAAGAATGTGGAATGAACACACGGCTTCTCTGCCAGCGCTCATGGTGCCAGCAGGATTGTTATCAGACCTGTATATCTCTATCAAAGGGATTAATGCACGATTCCAGACTTAAATGGAGTCTGTATATGCGGGAACATACATCAATTTTCTACGAAGAGGAAATGGACGTGGTGTATAACTGCTCCGAGCTCATAACGATGTATTACTGCTGACTTCATCCCATCTCCTCCGCATCTGACATCAGCCCGATCTTGGATCTTTCTTTATACAGACAATGCTGTCAGCAGCCACGAACAAAGGGAGGCAGTAATGAATGACCAAATAATCGATAGTGTGCTAGCAAGATGAACTGTCAAAGATGCACCCGCCCATGTTCATAGATGTTAGGTCTGCAATTCGACGTATTGTCCACAGGATGACTTTCGCGCTTATATCTCCGGACCGCCCTCATCCGCCATCATCATTGCCTACATTCAGGTTGGCGCGAGGGATTTCCTTATGCAAAGCCAAATGTAACAAATAAGGGAGGAGAAACTGAGACTTGCTGGAGGGATCACCAATTATCTGGCAGAACATTCAGGCGACGAGGCAATATTACGGGTAGCAACTTGTTCGCTTCTCACGGCGGAGGCTCTCGTACACAGACGGTTATGGAAACTTATGTTCTAAATTATATGCCAAGAAATGTGTTGTTCTCCAATGAGAGTTAATCTGATGAACATGTCTTTGTAGAATATACGAAGTAGTCATTTCAGCTTTAGGGATGGAGAACTTGTAATAAGATCGCGGTAAAGCCTTCCTCCAGAAAACTTGCAGGATATTTTACGATCATGTGAAAGCTACTTGTTATCTCCTGTCTTCTGATGTTGTTGGATCTCTCCCGAGGCCTCTTGACTCTGGCCTTGAAAACAGGTCGCTGTACAGCCACAGTCGGCCTCCCACATACATGTACTAACCGCGGGCCTATCACGGCGGCCTGCATGATTCACCAGCCTCAGCACTCAACACCAATCACCTTCTGCTGTTGGTGCGAGGTATCATTGATGCCGCAAAGATGGTGCAAGGCAGACACGTGCACGTGCAGCCTGCGTCAATCTTGAGGGAACAAAAATGGCTGCCCAACTTCAACTTCTTCACTTAACCTCACTCCCCCCGCAGCCTTCCTTCCGCCAAAACACTTCATTTCTGCATCATCTGCGCACGTCTACAATCTCAATCCAACAAAGTCAAGATGAACTTCTTTCGCTGCCTTTGCGATGACGACTTTGCGCCGCCTCCCTCCATCCAGCGCAATCACGGCCTCATCACTGAGAAGCCTCGACTCCAATCCCCTCCTCCCCACAAATCCGTCGAAGAGACGGCCGACAACATCATCGACATCCTCCTCCACGCCGAAAAGTCCGGCGCTGTGCTCTCAGCGCAGCTCGACGATGCCGTTTCTGCCACTGGATGGTCCGAATGGCTTGCCAAAAACGTATTGAAGAAGCTGGAGGGGGTGCTTAAAAGCGGACGCGACAAGATGGGCCCGGCCATGGCTGAGGCATACGATCAGGCTTGTGAAGCTGCAGAGGTCACGTTCTCTGACCTCTTCGCATATGTCAAGGAGCATCCTGTTGAGATCGCAGCCACTGTGCTGTTATCACTCTTTGCCTTTGGAGTCCTGGTGAGACTGATGCCCTTGATGGTGGAGCTCCTGGGCTTTACTGAGACGGGAACAACTGCCGGTGAGCCCCATGCCCCATTCCAAATAATTCAACGTTATGGACAATTCCTAATGTACCTTTTTTTTTAATACATGTAGGCACCTTTGCCTCTTGGTGGGAGTCGACGTATGGTGGATACATCCCTAAGGGTTCACTGTTCTCATACTTCCAGAGACTAACGATGAGGTGGTTGAGGCCGAAGAAGGTCTAAAGTGACTACCAGCGTGTTTGTACCTACTGAATCTCTGACTCAAGATAGCTGGTAGCCGTGGACGTCGTGATGGATAGTGCAGAAAACATCAAGTCTCCTATTCAATTGCATACACGCACCAGCTGGAAGCATAGGAGAGGAGAGACATTGTAAAGCTGCTAGTATACTAGGATGCAGCAACCAGATAGGTGTGAAAGGATTATATTCATCTTGCATTGCTCTTTCAGAATCATGCCTCCATACAAAGACGTAGTCAACCGGTTGTACCCCTTCCCCTCCTTCGTATTCCACAAAGTCACACGACCCAGCCTCGTTTCCTTCAGCCCATTTTATGCCTTTCTCAAAATAACTAGCACTGCCTTGTCCCCGTGACCTTGACATAATCAATGACCTCTTGTGCAACAACCTCAACCACTTTCTCAGCCGCCAATTTCTCAACCTCTGCGTCGAATTTGGCCGACTCCCAGAATTCCTGGAGAACGGTGGCAATAACAGTCCCTCCCTTCTTAACCAGGCGCACAAACTCCCTGAGGGCAGGGTCAGGGCCTACGTGGCCGTTGGTAAACGTTCCCACGCAGGTGACAAGGTCGTACAAGCCCTCTTGGTGTTGCACACGCTGAGTCAAGTCTGCCTGGAACAGGTTTCGGTATACACCCGTCTCCTTGGCAACCTTGAGCATAGCAGGCGACAAATCAAGTCCGTCAATGGTCTTTGCCCCGGTCTGGGCAAGAGCTTGGCCTACGAGGCCGGTGCCACAGCCGGCATCCAAGATGGTATCTTGGGCTAAATCTTGAGAGAGCCGGAGAGCGACCTGTGCAACGATCTCAGGGGCCACATAATTTTGAGCTTTGTCTCCCACTTCGGCGTTGTAGGTGGCGGCCCATTTGTCATAGAGGCTCATGCAATCTTGTACGCTTGTAGCAGCGCGAGCTTGGGCGAGGTACATGTGCGGTGTTTGGACTTCGGTCATCATTTTGATGATGGTCTTTGGGGTTGCGCCAGATATAGAAGATTTGGAAAGATTGAGACTTGGGGAAGTAAAGTAAGAGGGTCCTGATTCTATCTCGAGAGTGTGCTGATATTCTCTCTCCTTTCTTCGTCCTGAGCAAGGAGCACGGGGGGTTCTTATAGAGCCCGGCCGTCTAGAAAACGAGCACGTCTCGATGCATTGGTGCAACGGCATATTGATCACGACATCAACGGTTAACTCCTTCGGTTACCATCGTATAGGCTACAGCGTCCCAGACTTCTTCCTGTTTGACTGAACTGGGTGAAGATGGGCGTGGACTGTTGTGGCAAGGCACGATTTGTGAACAAGATTCAGTCCCTAGTTTAATCACATGCGTGGCCCTCGAATATCCTCAATAGATCCCTTGTATCATTTATTTTATCTATTTCCATTTAGTTATTTTTCTTCATTCTTTCATAATTTAGTTTTCATTGTCCTTGATCTCATCTCTTTTACCCCGGTCCCATGAGTTGGATTCAGGCCTCTTTCTCCTTGCTAGGTGGCCTTCTTCCCTTGCATACCTACAAGGCTCAGGGTGGTTTCTGGTCAGGCTTGAATCGTTTTACCACAGCTTGCACTAGTAGTTTACTGCTGTATGGTCATTTTGAGGCACAAAACATTGTCAGAACCAATGCATCGTGAAAAGGAGCCTGTCCAGAAACAGCCCTGGCGCGCGATAGTAAAATCAAGCGTCTCCCCATGTACATACAGAGGCTCCCCCGTCTGGGACATATTCCTCATTCAAAACCAATCAAGCTTGAAGCACCTAGAACTAATTCCTATTCTGTAAATAGTTAGTCTCCCGAATAACCTATTTGCCTAAATACCTTATATCTACATCTCCGCAGGCCCTACAAGGACAAGTCCTCCAGTCCCATTGGCCAAGTCGTACGGAATGGACGGATGAGGATCCAGGGACGGGGATACGAATATCATCGGCGTCGAATGTCGGCATTGATCAAAACCCCCGACAACTAATCAAGACCATCCTACTGAGGTGACCATCTCACATGTATCCTCCTATCTCCTCGGAGTACCTGATTACGGTTACTGTGCTTCGTGATGACAATAAGGTGTGGCGTACTATGGGATCACGCCTTCCGCCCATCTTTACTCGATCTTGTTCCATCCTACATATCCGGCGAAAATCCCGTACCCCCTGCTTATCGGTGCACCATCTGCGTATAAGCACGGACGCTCCATGGGTATCTACCAATTGCGCTGCTTAGTACTCCGTACTACATCAAAAGGATGTCGGCTACTGACCCATTTCGTCATTGTAAGACATCCCACACACTCCTTTTGCATAGATCTTGCTTCTATACCCGCTGTATAACCAACATTTCCCGTCCCGCTCCCACAAGACCCGGCGCTAGTATCTTGGTTGCGTTCCAATATGCGGCTTATGTGCATTCTCCTGGCCGCATGTGGAGCCGGCAGCCTTGCCCATTTCCCTGCTGTTAGTCGTGGCCTTGTACCTGTCAAACTCCTTCCCATTACACAACTGCAACGCTTGGCTGTTGGCTGGTCGCTTGTTAACCGCTGCCATGCTCCCATTGCGTCATTCCAGGCTCGTCAATATGCAGAATTCTCGCGCCTTTCCGACGATCCTCCTTTCGACTTGCTGTACATCCGCAGCCCTTCTTCCGCTGCCACTTACATCGGCATTAACTTGTCCTTGCCTTCAACTTCCAGCCGTGACTTAGGAGGTCCAAGTGAGACAGGACCCCAGGAAACCGCCATTGCCGTCAAAAATGATTCGGCAAGACGACCCGTCGCGTGAGCCAGAGTTGCTGCTAGACAGGGCAATGAGCGAGAGCAAAGACGCGTCACAAACACCAGGTATGTCAGGTGCGCTCGCGAACGCATATATCAAAGATGCCTGTCTGGCTAACAAGCTCGGGACGAAAGAGGTGGCCAGCAGCAACAAGACTGAAGTCCAGCCAAACGCCGACGATGCAGAAACAGACGCTCCTCACGACCCCCATACGTACCCCGAGGGCGGACGTGATGCCTGGCTCGTCGTCTTCGGCGCTTGGTGCGGCTTGACTGCTTCATTGGGCATCTACAACACGTCGGGGGTTTTCGAGGTTGTCATCTCTCAGGTCATCCTTCCCCAGTACTCTGCGTCCACCCTCGGCTGGCTGTTTTCCACATACGCCTTCGTGAACTGGATCTTCGGAGTGCAAGTAGGACCTACTTTCGACGCCATTGGCCCGCGGGCCCTCATCACGGCCGGCACGGTCTGCACGCTAATTGGGATATTCACACTCAGCCTATGCACGGGTAGGCTTCGAGAATCCTGTCATCATGTTTGCCGATGAGCGTTGGGCTGACAATCGTTGCCATGTGGCATTGCAGAGTACTATCAGATTCTCCTATCCTTCTCCATCTTGACTGGCATCGGGTCGTCACTCCTGCTGACGCCATCCATGGGATGCGTCGCTCACTGGTTCATGAAACGCCGTGGCCTGGCTAGTGGCATCGCATTCATCGGTGGCGGCTTTGGCGGCGTGTTATTCCCGCTCATGATGCAAGCTCTGCTGCCTCAGGTCGGATGGGCCTGGACGATTCGAATCCTTGGATTCGTGTTGATGGTCCTCTGTGCCGTCAGCATTGCCTTTTGCCGGAGCCGAATCCCCCCGCGCAAGGGGAACGCCACCACCTGGCGGGATACTCTCCCCGATCATCGCATCTTCTTGGACGGGACGGGAGCCATGGGGGCCACTACTGCCGGGGTGCTGTTGACAGACCTCGCGTACTTCATCCCCATCACCTACACGCCAAGTTACTACATTGATCGCCAAGGTCTGTCGTCGGCGGAATCCATAACCGGTTCAGCCGCGTTTGCATACCAGTTGCTCGCCATCCTGAATGCAGCATCATGTGTAAGCCGTTATGTGGCTGGCGATCTGGCCGATCGCTTTGGCAGATACAACACCATGATTGTCTCTCTTCTTCTCTGCACAATCTCCGTCTTGTGTCTGTGGTTGACAGATATACTGGTGCCTGGATTGAAGAGTGACGGGCTCCTAGTGGCCTTTGTCGTGTTGTTTGGTTTTCAGAGTGGTTCCAACGTCAGCTTGACGCCCATCTGCCTCGGCCAGCTCTGTGACACGGAAGAGTACGGGAGATACTATGCGAGCTGCTTCACAGTAGTTGCATTTGGCGTGTTGGCAAGCCTGCCCATCGCCGGCAGCTTGCTAACCGTGACGGGTACCAGCGGGAAAGAGAAATACTGGGGGGCTGCCTTGTTTACCGGACTGAGCTATGTGGCCGCCCTCCTTTGCTTCGTGTGGGTGAGGGTCAAGCTCAAGGGCTGGTCATGGCGGATCAAGTGGTAGTTTCTTTGGGTTCCCCAGCATCAAGATTGACCGTTACATAGTATGTAGTATCACATGTAAGAACGTATATCATTGGATCGGTAACCAGGCCTCTCTCATGCAGACTGGATACCCCGTGTTCACCCGCAACATCGGCGTATACTCAAATTGGTATATCGAGGATTGTCAGAAGCATTATAATCTGACATTCAGATGCCGTGTAACGTAAATACTACATGGTCACATCATGATGGTTTACTTCTACAGATGCTCGGTTCCAATTCATGCTTATCTGAGTGATTAGTATGCAACTTTCCTCCAAAGGCCGCGCGGAGCGTTACATGGAGACTGGCGAAGACAAGGCCGCGGAGACGCTACTACGCGACATTCTGACATTGTGGTGAGATTCTAGACGGGGCAGGCTGTAGATTACCCGGAGCCTGCTATCTGTTGGCATCCTGGCAACACAACCTGCTCGAGCCCCGGGAAATCTGCAAGAGATCGAGCGATGCACTCCTCTGATGAAAAACTCTAGGACTACATGCCATGTATATTGAGTTACCACAACATCGTCAGCTCCATCGGCTGAGCCAGATCTTCGATACGAGGATGGTGTGATAATATCGGTTTAGCTATGTCACCCTCGGCTCTGCCAACCTTGATAGCCCAAGTTACATCGAGGATGTTGTGATACCCCGTAGTAATCAAACATCAGCATCCAAGGATGAGTCCGCACATGACGCAACGCGAATATCTTTTACTGTTGTTTTCGTAAATGCCTTGGATGGGTTTATTATTCTTTCGCCGTGTGCTGATTATGACGTCGCCGATGAGAAGCGGAATTTGTCTATAAAGTGTCAAGTCAAGCGACTTCATCTAACGTACAAAGACAAATAAGATTCACATGGTCAAACTCATATACTTCAAGGCATAATCACACAGAGGCTTTGCTCGCAAACTCGTTACTATGGCAGTTTCTACTCTAGATTACAGCAAGTTCATCTCCGGGACCCCTGAGGAGCGCAAACAGTTTGCACATGACCTGCTCAGTAGCTTCGAGAAGACTGGATTTGCAAAGTTGAAGAACCATACTTTCAGTAATGACCAACTCCGAGAGCTGTTTCACTGGGTAAGCAAGACCTCGTGGGAGTTTCTGATACAAGCAGCATCACCAGCGTCCTAACCGAGCTTTCTTAAACTTCCAGGGTCACTCGTTTTTCAACCAGCCTCTAGAGGACAAGAATACTATCCCAAATGCGCCTGGGCCTAGGCCTATGCGTGGCTACACGCCTTGGCGAGTAGAGGAGGTCGGAAAGCTGCACCATGATGAGAAAGTCCGCATCTTGAGAGACTCGAAGGTAAGGCACCTCACGACTCTTTCCCTGACTATAGTTCTGTGATACTGACCGGCTAATTCTGAATAATCAGGAGCACTTTGACCAGGGTCCTTCTGACGACGTGGAATTCCCCAACAAATGGCCCACAGCGTCCAGCCTGTCCGGCTTCCGCCCCTTTATGGAAGCCTTCTACCAGCAGTGCAATGATGTCTGCCTAACCCTGATGCATGCCCTCGAAGTCGCCTGGGACATTGACGACGGGTCTCTCGTTGCTCGGTGCGCCCCCAGCGCCACTGACATGCGACTTACACACTATCCTGAAATCGCCGTCGATGAGCTGCAGACGGGACGCACCACCCGCATTGCCCCCCACACGGACTTTGGCCCCATCACCTTGCTGTTCCAGGACAGCACCGGCGGGCTGGAGATTGAAGACCGCAGCGCCAACCAGTTTGTTCCCCTGCCGCCGACTGACACGACTGAGATGATTCTCAATGTCGGCGACACGTTGACCCGCTGGACCAATGGAAGAATCACCGGAGGCATGCACCAGGTTGCTGTGCCCGAGGCAATGAGGGGGAAGAGTGGATTGGTGATTCCGTCTCGGATGTTTATGGCTTATCTGTTCAAGGCTGGACGTGATACGTCCGTTGGACCGCTGCCTAAGTTTGTCTCTGAGAAGGAGCCTGCAATCTATCCTGACATTACCGCTCTTGAGTTTCAGCGCTGGAGGAACAGCATTGTTTATAATCTTGACAAGGAGGAAGATAGTGTCAAGTATAATGGGCATGCTGGCAAGCCCGTGGCGGCGGCGGGCCTCCAGCAACTCCACGCTATCCGCGCTTAAGTTTCAATGTTCATTCAGATGTAACTACCTATCAAACCGTATCGATATATTTTATGAAGAGCAAGTTGAAAAAGTGGACGTCGCCCAGATTGCTGCTGGCGGTCAGGGTGATGATCATGGCGCAGAAGCATTAGACATTGCCATACATTTGCTTGAGCCGCATATCAGAAGACCGATATATTTTGCTGAAGCTTTACTACTACACGTATGCATGGATGCGTAGAATACCAAAAATAAAAGCTGAGGACAAAAAGTGCAAGGGTTGTGGTTGTCTGTCTGTGATGTGACTGGCGGTCGCATCAAACCGCCTGCAAGTCGAGGGTAGATGACCACACGTCAGGTGGCTCTGCAAGGCGACAACGTCTAAAGCCACGAAAACGTGTCACCACTGCCACTTCTTGCAATATAAGCCACAGGGGTTCTGCCAGCCAATTAAATGCCTCCACCATTTCTTCCATCAAGCTCACGAATGAAGGGTGCAGTTTGCTCACCGAACTCATAAGCAAGGCTTTAAGGGAATGCGTTTACCGCTTCTACTACCGTAATCGCAGGAAGAGAAACTTGGGCAGGGTTTGGGCATCGAGGTAAGGTAATTCTGAGCTGAGAATTCTGCATATACCGATGGCCCTGTCGCTGTGTGTGTGCCCAGAAGAAAGCCACGAAGCATGCATGAGGCTTTCTCAATGTGCCCGCAGGGCAAACAATTATTCGCACAAGGTACCCACGACAGAAGTAATCTAGGATTGAGAAATATATATGTATCGTGTATGGATATCAGTGCATTTAGATTTTCGTCTGAACCAAGCACACTTTTGCATCCTCAATAGCAGGTAGCGCGATATGGCGTCTCATACCACTTCTCAGGCCGCAGGCCATCCGGCGACGAACGTGTCCGCCGAAGAGGCTGCCATCACAGCAGCCAAAATGGCGTATGACAAGCTCAAGAAAATGGCCGGCAAGAAAAAGAAGAAATCATTTCAGACACACCTGCATTCCGCGACGACGGTTGAAGACATGATGGACTGCCTCCAAAAAGCTTATGACAACCACAAAAAGCGGGCATCCTTCAAGTTGCTGGCTCAGTTCCAGAAGCACTCGGAGTGGCTGGGGAAGCTTTTCGAGGCTATTGATGGTGTCGTTCAAGCGAACACTGCAATTCCATGTTCTATCTGGTCGCCGTTGCGGTTATGCTTGCAGGTAAGCATACCACATCTATAGGATCCTCACCTGCCTTTTACGGGGTTTGTGGGATAGCGCTCTAATTACATTTATCAACAGGTTTCCAATTGCCACTCGATCATTGCCGAGCAATTAGTTGTCATGATTGATACAATTCATCAAACCATGGGTCGTATCAATATATACAAGCAATTACCACCGAACCCGGCGCTTTACACTGCCCTGCTCAGTGTATTCACTGATGTTGTCAACTTCTGCTATATCTCCCTCGATTTATTCAACCACAGTGTGTTTGGTAGGTAATCCCCGGGCAATATACTGACTATGCCATAATATTTCTGACTCCTATACTCTCCCGTAGTCCGTCTTTTCAAGCTTCTCGTTAGCCCGGCAAAGAAGAAGTTCCAAGGTGTTATTGATGATCTACGACGCCATACCGAACACCTGGACCTCACTGCGAATGCCGTAGAACACATGGAAATGAGGCAATTCAGAGAAGGTACGTGTATCTTTGATACCACTCAGCGTCATTCCTCTTACTGACCGCGAAACAGAGGCCCGGGTAGAATCCCGGCTGGAAAACTGGCTCCGAGCATTGGACTCTCCTAACATGAGGCAGAGGAAAGAGGATATGCTCAAAGACCAGGTGAAAGGCACTTGTGATTGGATTTTGTCACACGAAAACTTCAAAACCTGGAAGACGACAAAGGATATTCGAGAGCGACTACTTTGTGTTTCCGGAAAAAGCGGTTGTGGAAAGAGCTTCCTTGCTGCATCAGTCATCGACCACCTGGCTGCAGAAGCTCAAAACAACAGGATCTTCTACTTGTTCTTCTCGGAGAAAGGCAATAAGTACAGAGCCCCTGAAGATACCTTGGCGCGATCCGCTCTGTCACAGATTCTTCAAGAGCTTCAGGGAGACCAGCGCGAAGTCGAGCTCGCTTCGTTGTTGGATCAGATGAATAAGTTCAGCGATCCTACGACCACAGATCTTTGGATGACAGTTCTGAAAGCCATGGAAAGCTCTCACGAGCCGGCATTCTGGGTCATTGATGGCCTCGACGAATGCCTGGATGGACAAAGCCCTTTGGGCGACGAACGCAAACTTGACGATGCGATAACAAGGCTGATGGGATATTTCACGGAGCTTCTGACGAGACATGCCCCCTCTCGGGTGATGGTACTTGGACGGCCGCATGCGGTGAATGCCATGAAGGAAGAAAAGCTTCCATATTTGTCGATTGCCATCGACGACAACATGATCGTCGACGATCTCAACAGATACATTGAGGCGAAGACAAGAGAGAGTTCATTTTTGGGCCAAGAGACACAAAAACGTCTCCTCCAAAATATCAGCAAGACTTTTCTTGAGAAGTCACAAGGCACCTTTCTCTGGGTGCAATTGGTGATGAGCGATATCCAGACTTGGGCGTCCTCTGATGAGGTTGACTCCGCACTCTGCACCCTACCGAATGGCCTGAGGGCCAGATACAACCAGATGGCACGGAGGCTGGAGAACTCCAAGGCGTATGACATTGAAGTTGCCAACCAGATTTTCGGATTTCTTACCACGGCCGGAAGACCATTAGATGTTGAAGAACTTCAATACGCGCAGGGGATGGCCCGCTGGATAGAGAAGAAGGCAAAAGGGAAGGCGACCTTGAAAGAGTGCCTCATCTATGGACCAGAGAAGAAGTTTCTGGACCTCTGCGGAGGATTCGTCCATATCCAGCATGGCAAGGTCATATTTGTGCATTTATCTGCAAAGGAATACTTGCTGGAGTTTGCCGTGGAAACCAAATTCAAGGTTGATCTCATCGCTTCGCACGAACTTTTCAGCAAAGTTTGTATGGAATACCTCATCATTCATGGAGATGATGTCATTCAGACTGAAGATAGAAGTATCTCTCGCGAGTCAACGGCAGATACACTGCCTCTTATGGCGTATGCCACACGCCATCTCATACATCACCTCACCAGATCTGGTGCCCTGGAAGCAAACAAACAAGGACGGATGCTGCAATTTATTCAAACGAATGGCTTCTCAAATTGGCTCAATAATTTGTTGAAGTCATGTTTCGATTTTGGCTTCTTGCATGGCTTGGAAGAGGACTTGACGATTTTTCTGAGAGGGCTGCAGTCAAGTGATCTCAGGAAATTGAGCGCCGTACCCTGGGATACCGCCGTTTCCAAAATCAGCCGAGACTTCTATACAAGAAGCCAGACACCAAAGCTACATGGTGCCAAAAGCCAGAATATGGAAGTTCTTGATTCCCTCCTCGATATGCTGTCAAACAAAGACTCAATAAGCGATACAGACGACGAAGACGCGCTTGAATCAGATTATCCCACGCCGCCGGTTACAAGTATAGATTTTCGGCACATCGCGACATTTTTGGAGAACAATAACGCCCTTCCCATTGCACCGACCTTAACAGCTCTTGGACCATTGCGCGCCTTACCCGTACTGAGATTAGTACCCCAAGCATTGGAAAAGATATTTGATCCATTGAAGAAACTTTGCCAATTGGTTGTGGCTAGCTCTGCAACCATACCCACGATCGTTCTTATTGGAATTGGCTTTCTGTACTTGGACTTAGGTAGGCATGATGAGGCGCTACCAATTTTCATGACCGCGAAAAGGAATCTGCGGGAAGACAATAGCCTTTTCAAATATTGGGTCGGCCTAGCTCTCGTGCAGCTGGGCGAGTCAGAAGAAGCAGAACCGCTTCTTCAAGATGCTGTTTCATCATCGAATCCGGTCATGAGAATTGCTGAACACCGGCAATGGCAGATACTTTGGCTCGGCCGTTCCCTTTTTAACCAGGTGAAATATGACGAAGCCGAAGATATGTTCAGACGAGGCATTTCCGAAGGGCAATCTCCACCAAATTCCGCAACTTTGTGTAACACCTTTTGGGTAGCAAGAACGCTTTTCTGCCAGGAACGGTATGAAGATGCGGCACAGCTGTTTATCTGGAGTGCTGATGAGCGAAGGAAAAGACCCGAGAAGATGACTCGTGGGTTTTCCTTGTATGGATCATTCGCCGGAATCGCCTGTGTCTTCTCGCAGAAGTACGCTTTAGCCGAAGAGACTCTCAAGAAGCATCTGGAGTTCATTCAGAGAACACTCAAAGGCGTCACTAGCGCGGAAATGAACACGCGGGTGTGGCTGTGCAGGGCGCTGAAATTACAAGAGAGGTATCTCGAAGCCGAATCAATACTTCGACCCGTCATTCAACAGCTGAAAGATCTGGAACTTCTCGACTTTACTGGTGAAAGCCTATATGAGACTGCAAGCACAGAGTCCGACAACGGAAGCGACTATAGAGGAAGCTCGGAAGAGACATCTAGTGACATAGGGGAAGAAAGCACTTCTGAAGAAGACTTCACTGGCAGCGATGGCGAGGAAGACGACGACGTCGGCAACTACATGGATCAGGACGAGGACGATGCAAGCCAACATGGCAAACAAGTTAGTAGAGTAGCTAACCCTTACATTTACAGCGGTCGTTATGCTTATGACTATGAGGAGGATGGGTACGACATATCCTGGGACTATCGGGAAATAGGTGAAGAGCTCTGCAGAAATGGCCACCCAGTCCTGGCCAAAGAAGTCTTTGATCTTCTCGGGATTGATGCAGAGGAAAGGGCAGAAGCAGATTGATTGGAGTGAAAATAAAAACAAGCTTCAATCGGCGATGCAGCTCCAGTCGTGTGTGATATGCGTGGATGTATGACTCCTAGGGGGACGCTATTCGTAACTGGCGTAAAAATGTGCGGCTCCGGCCGCCGGCTATGAAAAGCTCAATGATCGGAGGTTGATGAAATCTTTAGCGGAGCGATAAGATAACAAAGAAAGCTTGCAGTGACGCCGTGCGCCAAAATCTTGCATCTTTGCAACCAACGAGAATCTGCGCGAGCAACAAAACAACCGGAAGAAGCCATGGCTACAATCATTGTGAGTCGCCGCGACTTGATGCTTGATGCAATACAGGAGCTGACATTGTTTCCTCAACAGCTGGGCGCCCAATGGGGTTTGTGCCGCTTCCATTCGCAGCCGCATTTGGCCGACATCGCGATGCGCTAACATGACGATTGTGACTCTGCAGGCGACGAAGGCGTACGAACGACCACCTGCGCAATGCCGCTGTTCCTGGGCCTCTGTTTGCTGACGATGGCGACTCGATAGAAAGGAAAATTGACCGACATTCTTGCCCCCGAAGCGCAGCTTTGCGCGCGAGCTGCTGTGAGCCTTGCCATGGACCGACCCCTATAATATCCATATTCTTTGCGAGAATGACGAGCTGAGACGACCTCTAGGGCGGGCACAACGCGGGCCACTCCATTGTGTAAGTCGACGGCTCCCGTTGCCTCTTAAAGCTTGACCTTGAGTTGCTGACCACGGCTTTCAACAGTGCCAATGGCGTGTCGTACAGGTATGCGCAGTCGAGAACCGTCTCGTCCAAGGGCACGACTAACAGCCGCCAGCTTCCACTTGCTTCCTTCAGGCCTGGTCAACCCCAACTGGTATGTCCACCATTGATGGATAACTCGGAAGCGGAGAGACTAACTGTCTGATCATAGCCTGAACCTCATCGGCTCTGCGGTGGTCGCCCACATTGTTCGTCTCCTAGTATCTGCCAGTCAAGCAGTTCACCCAGCTAACACCGTCGCGTAGCCCTCTTTCTTCAAGGAGCTTGAGGAGCTTGAGCGCAAAGGACTCTCCAAGTATGTCTGGCTGAGTCAATCTCCCATCAGATAGAGGCCATGTCCGCTGACCGAACCACAGCGTCCATGAGCGAATCTTCATAAGCGATCGAGTAAGGATGATAATCCATAGAAAAGCGAGCTGATAACTAATCACTCGGATTGCAATAGGTTCACATAGATCTGGATCTCCATGTTGCCGTCGACGGACTCGAGGAATTGGAACTCGGAGGTGAGCGAATTCAATTGGAACAGACCAGGCATAATAGACCACTCACATCCACCAGATCGCAAGGTCGGAACGACAGGCCGAGGAATTGGCCCGTGCTACAGCACAAAAGCTGCGGTAAGAGACTGACTCAATTATCTGGCCAATGAACGTTCTCCTCTGAGACAAGTATAGCGAAGTGGAATCCGACTGGCCGAAGTCTTCAACGAGCAGGTCTTCGAGCAGAAGCTCCGACGACTTGCGGCAGGCTTCCAGAAGCGATACGGCGACCTGCTCAAATACGATGTTGAGGAGGAGATTGCCCGCTTCAAGGAGTACCGTCCCAAGCTTGCCAAGTACACTGTCGATGCCATTGCTTTCATGAAGCAGGCACAGGAGAAGAACATGAAGATCCTTTGCGAAGGAGCAAATGGTGAGCCCCTAAGTTCTTCCTCTGTGTCCTCTCATTCGCGTCTCTAATACAATGTGATTAGCTCTCATGCTGGATCTTGACTGGGGTTCAGTAAGTCAAACTCGGCGGAATGCTACTGCGTCTCATTGAATGCATGCTTATTGCCTCTGAACAGTACCCCTACGTCACTAGCAGCTCTACTGGGTTCGTACCAACAAGGCCCTCATATTCCTATGCCATCCATACTGACCCGTAATAGCATCGGCGGCATGGTCACTGGACTTGCTCTCGACATCAGGAAGATCGGTGAGGTTATCGGCGTGGTCAAGGCCTATACCACCCGTGTAGGCTCTGGAGCTTTCAAGACCGAGGACCTCGGAGAGTATGGCTCCCCTCCGCCCCTTTGAGCACATGAAGATAGCTAATCACCCTACCAGAATCGGCAACGAGCTGCAGCAACGAGGCCGCGAATGGGTAAAACTCGATCATCTTCATTTGGCCGGGGTACAAACCACTGACTGGCCTTAGGGAACTTCCACTGGTCGAACTCGTCGATGCGGATGGTTAGTATCACCCCTTCAGAGAACTGTGATGAGTAGCCATGACTGACTAAAGCAGGCTTGGTATGTGGACTTTTCCACCCACCTCACTCTCTCTGGGGCTTGCTATTGACTAAGACTCTGCAGACCTGGTCGTTGTCAAGTACACCACGGTATAGATGATCTACCCCTGCGCGAACACATGGAGCTGCTCTCTGACACATCACAGGACGTCAACCACTACACGGCGCTTAACCTCACAAAGGTAGCATCTCTGCTTTTCTATCTGACTATAAATTAGAAGAATGGTAGCTGACTCGAGGTTAACCGTGCAGCTCGATGTTTTGGACACCTTCCGTACAATCAAGATCGCTATTGCGTACAAGGACCCCGAGACCGGCGAGGTAGGCCTCTACCTTTGTCCTGACCAAGTTAGAGATATGCTTACACACTGTAGGAACTCGAGTCGTATCCCGCATCCCTGGACATCCTCGACCGCGCCGAGGTCGTCTACCACGAGATGCCTGGTTGGAACACGTCGACTACCAACGCAAAGACCTGGGAGGATCTTCCCAAGGAAGCCCAAGACTACATCTTGGTTAGCAGCGTCGTTTCTCCTCCTTTGTTCAAAATGTGCTAACCCATCAACACCAGTACATTGAGAAGTTTGTTGGTGTCAAGGTATGCATACATTGGAGCTTAATGTTCATGCGTTTTCATACTAACAATCCACAGATCAAGTGGGTCGGTACTGGCCCAGACCGCGAGGCCATGATCACCCGATTCTAGACGGCATCTACCAATGGCATAGACACGGGTGAGGTAGCAAGAAGAGCACCTACTTGCCTACCTATCTGCTCTGAGAATGTAAAAGTACGTATAAGAAAAACACAAAAACCTGGTGTTGGTGAAGCTAGAAGAGCATTCTAGAGGCCTTGGATCAGATACGTCTGATTCGGGGGATAAAATAAAGACAAGCAGCTTTTCTGATGATCAAAGGGTCCGCTGTCGGACATGTACTACTCGTGACGATTCTTGCGCGTAAATACCTTACAAAATTGATCTTTCAGACAAGCCATTATGCCATCTACTCTTCGCTCTTGCGACGCAGTTCCTCTTTAAAATCTCTCCGAAACTCTCGAGCCTCCTGCCGCGCCTTTGTGCCCGCTTCGCGCGCCTTACCTTTCAGGTCAACAATCGCCGAACCAAATGCGCGCTTGGAACCATCACTCGTCTGCGTCTTTGGCTCTCGAGGTCTTAGAAAGTATCTTTTGGCGGAGTCTCCGGCAGCAAAGAGACGCTTCATCTTCCTCGCCAGCTTTGTGCCAGCGGACAGCTCTTTCTGAGGCTTGGTGCTGTGCAAAGACGGGGAGATAGAGCTTTCGTCAACTTGCTGTATCTCGGATTGATGGACGTCGCTGTCGTAGCCAGTCATCTCTGTAGGACTCTCGCAGATTTGGGGCGGAGGTATGAATATGGCTGCTGTTGACATGCCGGGTGAAACAGTAGACGGTTCTTCGTCAACCGCCTCCCTGGGCCCTCTCATGAGCTCCCCAAGTCTCAGGACAGAAAAGTCACACATCTGCTTGACCACTCGATCATATGCTTCTGGCGAAAGCTTGTACTCCCCATTTTGCAGAGTATAAGCCGGCATCTGGACAAATTCCTCGACAGACGTGACCGTCTCGCGCACCGTGTCCCTGTTCGCAGCGAACCACTCTCTGTGGCCCCCTCTGCATTGAGAGCATTCCAAGACGCGAATGTTGGCGTGGCGGAGTATGATTTGAGATATCCTCTCCGCGTGAGGTGCACCGGCGAATCTTTTCGTCTCGTAGATGACTCGCGTGTTGGTGCCGTAGCAGTTATTAGGCTGGTGCAGGCGCTCTTCTGCGCTCTTGCTTGACCAGCCGATCTTGAAGAGCGACGGGTTCTCGTTGTGTTCGAGGATATAGACTACGCCTTCCTTCATCTTTTCTGATGTGGGATGGCTGTTGATGATTTGGAATACCGGTGAGTGGTCTCTTACCGATCCGTTGCGATGCAGGCCGGTGATCCCAAGCGCTTTGACGAAAGCATCTTCCCCGGTGCCGCTGTCTTCTTGGGGCAGTGCGTCGTGCATACCAAGGGTCAGAGCTGAGTCTTGCACTCTCTGATCATCATCTTGGGGAGTATTCTGGCGGGGAGCTTCATCTTGCACAGGCATCCTCACAGTGACACTTGGTTGACTAGAACCCGCCTGAACAAGAGGGGCTTGCTCGACAGCAACAACTTCATAGCGAAGCCTATTCTGACCAACCGTCCTCGTCTCAGGGACAGTTTCTTCAACAACAGTGACTTCTTCGACGATATCCTGAATCTCAAAAGCAGAAACTGTTCCATTGCGCAAGGGAGTATGATGGGGAGAGCTCATGAACGTGGTGTTGCTGGCCAGCGAACGAGTTTCCGCAACACTCTCGTTGAAAGAAGAGCTTCCATCGTCCGATGTTGCACTTGCTGACGATGGTACATGTACTCTGGGCGTCGAGGGGAGCATTTGGAGTGCTGCCGCCGTTATTGGCTGTATGACGGGCACGACGACGGGAGCATTGATCGGTTGTATAACAGCCGGCGCAGGCCTCGGCCTCGCAACCCGCGCAGGACGTTGCCGTACGCTGCGTCTATTCGCGATCCTTTCCCTCTTCCACTCGCTGAAAGCTTGACAGGCCACAGGGCGGTGCCACCTTTTGCAGTGCGTATAAGTGACAAAGGTCTCCATCTTATTGTAGAAGCTGTCCGTATCAGGACATTCCGTCATGTCACGGAACTCGGACAGCAGACTTGGGATTTGCCATCGTTCGTATTGCGTGCATGGGGGGTTTCTGCATCGTCCTCCGTCGCGCCTCTTTGCTCGACAGGTGGTGAAGTCGGAGTCTTGCGGGTTTGGACACACGTCCGTGTATCGTTGGATCTCTGTGAGTTCCTTGAAGACGGGATTTTGCCTTATTGTTCTGGGGGGCATTTTGATTGGGTACTTTATTAAAGTGGTATTTCTTGGATGATTGGGTTTTGATGCACTCTCAAGTTTCTCTTGGTGAGAAATTAAAGGGAGAGCTATCAGCGTATTAATGCACAGGATCGTGAGGCTGTGAGGCTGAAGAGGGCGCTTGACGAAACAGTTATTATGCATGTTGGTTGTGGCTTGCTGCATCTATCATGGGTCATGTCGTAGAGGGGCGGAATCCGTTGAAGATGGGCTTCTTCCCACTACCAACACGCGTATGCTGGGCATCGAATCAGGAAGGTCGCATACGAAAGCTGAATGTCGTACATGAAGTCCCAGGGAACCGGCACTCCGTCGTGATAACGGGCACTCCATACCTCACCAGTGGTGATATTCCTAGTTGATACACATTGTGCGGCACACGCCGTCTCGGAATCCCCCATCCCAAACTCAATTCATAAAGTCGCCAAATGTCATGAAGCACCACTTTCTCTAACAGACTTCCTGTTCATTAATCTGTTAAGGCACTGCCCAAGAGAAATGACAGCGCCAATGTAAGGCACGGATGTCCTAGGCTGTTCGAAGCCACGCACTCTTCATGAGCGGTTCCAATCAGCCTCCCCCGGTTGCCCACGGCTGGAATTCGTATTTTGCTCGAAACCGTCCAATTGCTTTTCATGAAAAAGAACTCTGGGCAGTGCAGGATTCCGATGTCAGTGCCTTGAAACGGGCTATGATTGCGGTCGCATTAGCTTAAGCCACTCTCGAGGTCCATCCTGGTCGACCATTCGGTCAGCGCTTAGATGATCCAATAGACTGTAGGCGACGTGGAGGCAGTTCAAGGCAGACTTTTTCAGCCCTTTGTATGGACTGGAGGCATCCAGTTGTTGATCACGATTCTCATCTCTGGATATCCAAGGTCTATCTCGACCCATTGGGGCTTCTTTTCCCTCTCTCTCTATGGGATTTATCTTCTACCCGTTCTTGGTAGAGCTCCTGTAATAAAGATGCTATCATTAAACTACCTAGAAGTCATCCTCATTATCATCTTCGCCCCCATCTCCGCCCATTGCGAACATGCGCCCCAGAAGTGTAGAGCCAGAGTCTCTCCGCCTAGTCAGAGGAACCGCAATGCGACGTCTGCCCTTCGTTGTCTGCACATCTCGAAAACCCATAGGCCGCTGCCCGCAGTAGATCCACTCCAGAGAAGGCAACGCGCGTGAGTATCGTTCTGCTTCCCGAAGCATGCGGTTACGATGAGCACATTCCCAGATCCGAACATCGCTGAACCGGGAATAATAGAACTCTATATCGTCGTCAGTCGATCCCTCATCCGTACGCAAAGTTGATGGGGGGCGGTCAAGGTATGGCCGCTGCATAGCAGTGACATAGTCACTCGATGTTATGAACTGATGATCGTAGTAGCCTTCAACAGCAGCCTCGGAAGCGCCTGGTTTACGGTAAGTATCTCGTGAAAATGCGAGTCTCTTGAGCTTTGCCAGTCCTCGGAGGTTCGACCGCACCATGTCGTGGTCGATTAGCCATTGATGGCGATCACTGTAGATGTCTCCGGCAGTGAGACACAGCTGCTCCAGCGACTTGATACTGCCAATGGCGGCTAGGGATTTCGCGGAAATGGTAGCAATGTTTGGCGATGTCTCCCTTGCAAGGCCCGGCCCACGCCATCCTAGTGAGAGGGAAGTGAGCTTCGTATATCTCCCACTCGAAAGGAGCGGAACAAGGAAACGGTCCATGAGCTGTGGCTCGCCGCTTTGCACGGAAAGTTTGCGAACATGAGGATGACACGAAATGAGATCTAAAATCGGAGGCGCCTCTGTCGCACCCACATAGCCAAAACACGACAAAACCAGCGTCTCGAGGTGGCGCATAGGCTGGCAGCCATGAATGGATTGTATCAAGGATTTTGAGATCCTGCCAGGTAACGCAAGGTGCCTTAGCGGCGCAGAGAGGAGTGAGCGCCAGGCAACAGTGTCGAAATCGTCAAAGCAGCCGGATAGATCAAGATACTGGAGCTGGTCAAAAACTACCGGCTCATGGCCGAACGTGAGAGATTGGTAGGGCGAAGAATCCGTGCATCGCAAGGTCAAACGCTCGAGAGTCGCACTGCAACGCTGCAGGAGAGTCTCCATAAAGGGTACCAAGTCTTTGCTTTCCCAATCCATGTCGTCGTCTTCGTAGAGTTCGTCGCCATCAAAAGAACCGTTATCTTCGCGGAGCTCGTCATCTTCGTCAAGCTCCTCTTCTTCGTCGACGTCCTCGTCTTCACCAAGGCTCTCATCTTCGTAGAGCTCCTCGTCTGCGTGGACCTTGTCATAGCATGCAGAGATGTCCAGATAAAGTGTTTCCAGTAACATGGCAGACGATCCCAGGGAGTCAAGGCAATATGGGTCGCCGATGTACGCCTTGCAAATCTTGAGATGGCGTAGAGGCAAATTCGTAACACATTTGAAGAAATTGCTGTCAAGACACATCCTATCGTACCATGAAACTGTCTCCAGATTGGGCATTGCACTCATGGCAGCCAGAATAGAAGCGTAGTGTGTTCCAAAGTAGTATTCTGTAGCTGCCTTGCGCAGTTCATCACGCTCCTGAGAGGTGACGGTCATGGCTGTATCACCCCAAATGGACTCGTAGAGATCGTTGTGTTCATGAGCGACGAAGTCGTGGTCGGAACGAACCGTCACTCTGCGGATACAGGATCCAATGAAGGGCGGGCGGATAATCGTGCCTGGTGTATCATGATTTTGTCTGGCATGTGCCTCCCTCATGAGATGGGATCGGAGCTGGTTTGATCTTGGATGATAGTCAAAGCATACGGAGCAAACTGACAGCAACGAGCCAACTGTCTGCAGTCGCTGTTGACCAAAGCCATGGCAGACAGTGCAGCTCTGTCATCCACCAGTAGATTCATGATTTCTCCGAGAATCTCTGGTGGCAGGGTAAAGAAGGGACTCTTCGACGCAGCCGGGCGGCCATCCATGGCGCTTGGTAGCGGGAGTGGCAGCAGTTTTGTTGCGTCTTCCTCTGTTCCAAACTCATCTTGCTCGTCGGCCGAGTACAGTGACCTCATGAGCCGCTTAACATCATGTCCCCCCAGCATGATGGCGAGGATATCTTGTAGCAGAATGAAGTGAGGGAAAGAAATGGCTAATCGGTGATAAGAGTGCTATGTTAATTCAATGAATGTGACGCCAAAAAAATCTACCAGAAATTTAGCTACATGTACCTGTAATGAGCCGACTCCGCACGTGATGCCTGACGGTGCCTGATCTACTTGTCCACTTAACCATGGTATCGTTGATCATGCACATCCTTGCCGTCTCTCGTTTGTTGATTTGATGTCTCTGATCCAGCCAATAAGGTAATATCCGGCTCTTGTTGACCAGCGATGTCGGCACTCTGACTGCAACAGATCATGGCTTTCAACCCTACGAGGTTACTCGCCCAAACATTACTATCACTTGGGGATACAAGGTGGCTCCTCTTCTCATTATTACCACAACTTGAGTGGACTTCTGACGAGCCTCAACAGATCATACCTCATTGGAATGACATTATCAATTGGTTAGAAGAGTCTCAATCAGTTATCTATCTCTCTCTGCTTTTGTTCTCGCCCTTGAACTTCTTGCTGACCACTGTCGCACTTTTGTTCTATCACACAGGCTGACTACCTTGACGCTATTCCAGGTGGTGCGGATGGACAAGCACATGGGCATGCGCATGGCTACACATATCTATACCTTGGCAACAACCTCACAGAGACATGCGCCTGTCTTGTAACTTAGATACTCGTTTCTCCAACGCTTTCAATGACGCCGCCATGAACTTGTATCTGAAGAAATGGATATCTTCCGGTTGGTGGCTGCTGGAAGCGTCAGTAATTTGAAGATGAAAGCTAGGGCAAGGGGTCTTGTTTGAGCCTGGGGGAAACCTCGACACATACCATACTGTTGTCTCCCTGCAGTTTCAGCCGGAGTGACAATTCGAAGACGGTGGCAAATCTGGAAGTTCCACCAGCACAATGACCACACCATCCGCAGCGATCATAGCACAGTGAATGGTTGTCGCCAACGCCAGGGTACCAGGTAAAGGACGATGATAAGGCTCCATGGGTTATGTCCGCCTGATCTGACAGATTTGTATGTTGAGATGGCTGACTTCCTTGCTCATCCTTGCTGGCCTAGACAGCTTCAGTAAATGCCTGGACGCAAGCCATCTAAGATTCCTGGCATCATAGTGAAAACTTACAGTGTCATCATCTTCGTATTCCTTATCTCGTGCCAAGTTGAAGGCATCCGATGTTGCACCTCCGGTCTCTGTGGGAAGCTTGTTCCTATCGTCGCCATCTTTCATATTGCCTGGGCTGCTGGAGTTCTTTGTATCTGCTTGTGCTACCGACGCCTTTCTCGGGTGACGAGGAGACATGCTCTTGTGCTGCAGTAGCGCCTTTTCAGACTTGAAACCGCGGCCACAGCTGCACCTCATCAGTTTGTCAATCGGAAACAAAGAATAACGGTTCTTAGGTGGATGCGGTTTTGTGTCGCGACGATGTTGCGCAATCGCTTCAGCGTCTTTAAAACTTCTACCACAGTGGCAGCGAATCTCGGTGCTTCCCTCAGACATCCTGTTGACGCTGGAGCAGTATCTCTGCGTTTTGAGTGTTCGTTGTTCCGTTGAGCAGGCAGTTTTCAAAACTAGGAAGTGAAACTCAGCTCATAGAGCAGGCAAGCAACCAGGTTTGTGAGGTGAGTGGCAAGAATTTGCAAGCTTTCCAAATTGTCAATTCACTCGAGAACCACTTTGTAGTACAAATTAGCTAAGCCTTCAAAATCCGAAGAGGGCGCATTCACTGCAGCTCAAACGAAGAGATGCGTTTGGCTGTCTTCACGTGGGAGTGTCCACTTGTTGAAGACTTGCTTCGATTTGTCTCCAGTGGTCTCTTCTATCCCCTTATGTTGTGGGCGAAGGGAGAGTTCGATGTCTGATATGTTGCCCGATACGTTCATGAAGGCTCACGTTCATGGCCATCTAAACCCCTACCAGGTTGGTTGGAATACGCATAGCAAACCTTTTGCAGCCCTGAGACAATATGCTGTAGGTAGAATGATAATCACAATCTATTTGAGTGTTATATGCCGTTGAGTCTTGAAAGATATATACACTCAGTCCCGCACATCAAGCCTCTTCATTCACCATCCCCTTGTGAACATCTGCGACCTCACGAACACAACACTTTGCTGTTGTATCTAGCCTTGCCACAGGGCTGGGCCAGGGATCGTGTAGCTAGTGATCGTCGTGTAGGGGTTGAACAGAATGCCGGGGTCAGTGGGCTTGTAGAGCTGAGTTGCAAGGGTTCCGGCAGGGAGCGCTTTGGTGCCCGAGCCTGTGACGGCAATGTTCACGCACTGAGGATAGTTCTGCATGCCGTTTGCACTCGAGGCACCATGGGCACTGAACATCACGCGTTAGCTTAGTCTTATCGGCCTTGGGGATTGTGAACGAGGAGAAACATACGCAAGAATTTCATGTCGGAAGACATAGTTTCCGGGCCTGAGGCTCGAGGGAATCTTTACGGTCCATTTGTTGCCCTGGTTGATAAGATCCTGTTGCGCCCAAACTTGGGTACTGTAGTTGATGCCCGCCTCCTGGATTTTGACCCACCGCAGGGTGTTCTTGTTCACGGTCGTGCACGACCCGCTGCACTCAGCCACATAGGTGATGATGGGACCGTATGGGTGAGGCCACACGCCAGGACCCCATTGGAAGACGATGGTGCTTCCGGCTGCCGCAGTGGCAGAGATGGCACCTGGCGCTGCGTTTTTGTGGCAGACAATGTCGGGCGAGGTGTATTGGTCAGGGGAGATGAAGCCCAGGTCTAGGTCCTCGGCGTACCTACGTCGGCCGTGTAAGCGGTGGACTTCAAGGAGAAGAGCATTCGTATTGTATTTATAACATACCAGCCTGCGACGTTGGGGAATTTACCAGTGTTCTGCTTCAGATAGTAATAATCCACTGTTTGGGACGCATGAGTTAGCTGTGACCTGGCTGGCTTGGGAAAAGAGGGTAGGCATACGAATGAAGCCCTGGTTGTACACGCCGTTAAGGGTGAAGTTTTGGACTTGTCCATGGCCAAGAACACTCCCAGCAAGGCAGCCGAGGGCCGTAAGAATCGCGCAAGTCTTCATGTTAATGTGGCTCAGATTCTCGTCCAGAATGTGTTGATACTGAACGACTCATCTAATATGATGACCAACATCGCCAAACTCTGGAATATTTATAGAAGTCTGGGGTAAAATAGCCATGATCGACGATCTCGAAAGTTTCAAACACTTATTGAAACAAATCTTTAACCGGCGCCGGAGAATTAGAGTCTGCCAACTCACAGGACTGGGGGAGCAAATGTCACCTCGCGTAACACTCGGAGTAACCAAGACCTCATGTGACAAGCACCAGAAATGCCACCTCATATAAAGGTTGAACTCACGATAGCTCGAAGCCTCTTACGAGAGTCAGTGCCAGCTCGTAAGACTGGCAGAGGCAAGACTACCATGAGATAAGCGAGGGTAATATCTCCGTATATAGCCAGAGTGATTCAACCACGGCTAATTTTATATGCTTAAATCTTTGGCTAATCTTCTCTTTGGTCTAACTGCCAGATTGGGCTGTTTTGTTTCGTTCCGTTTTCTTTTAGGCATAGTACCTTGGACTGATATTAATCTTCAACTGATACATCAATTCGATGCGACCTTCTTCTCAGTCCGCAGTTAGCTAATTCGTGCTGGATATCGCGTTACGACACTCCTGATTCAGAGTTCGAGCAGGCACTTAGGGAGGATGGTTCGTACTTGGTTGAGTAATCCTTCTACTCTCAATGATGCTCAAGAGTCTGATGAGCTTAGTTCTCTATTCTCACTTACAGCTCTTGGACACGGATACGCGGTACTGTGGGCTACAGTTGGAACCGTTGCCGAACATTATCATCCTCGTAAGAGTAAATGATCTTCTTCATGGAGCCGGCCAGCGTATTGATCTGTAGTGGCTCGGGATTCTTGTCACAGGCTTAACGAGAGGGCCATTTCTTGGAGATTAGCTGTCCTTCTACGTCGCATTGATGGCTTTATACCGGTTCACTGCCCTAGCTGTCAACAATCTCACCAAGACAGATGAAACAACGTAGACCAAAGAGAGTGCTCGGGGGCCTATGATTGGTGCATACCTAGTTTAGGCCATTGCTACATCCTCGATCATAGATGGTTGGCCATTTATATCACCAATATAACAATTGAAGACGTGATTGGGGCGTTAATGAGGCATCCACCAGTCTAGCGGAGCGAGTGAACGAGGTGGCATAAGCTTGCCCAAGTTTGCAGAAGTCGGCCTCACCGATACTCAACCGGCTGGTATGTCCTTGCTCCCATGAGCAAATCTTAGTATGGGCTACCCCTTAGGCGCTTAGAGATTCTACTCACTCTGACAATTCCATATGTTGACAAGGGTGACAAGGGAGACCTGGGCCGTGTATTGGTGGTTCCGGGTCAGAAGTGTCAGGATGAGGCGTATATGTGGTTACATATTTTGGCGGACACAAATCAGCAGACGTGCAGCAAGTGCCGATTCGAAGATGAAGAAGGGACATATCTGGGGTTATTGGGCAGTGGGTAAAAGAAGCTCTGCAGACATCAACGTGCTCCTGGGTAAATTAAATAGTAGCGATGATCACGGAGCTAGTGAGATACATCATCAGCCAGAGCCGACGTGGAACACCTTCAATGGAATGGTCTTTTTCTGTATTCATCGCGATCATTTGACATCTGATTCCTCCTTCGAATCGTTTCATCCGATGCTGACAATTACACATTTGCTTTTCGGGGCTTGTTCTCGTGGAACTTCCACTCTGCTCAGAAAAGCCTTGTTGTGTTGTATTACACATTCGCCAGGAAGCCCTACGCATTGGCCGGCAAGGAATGGTTTCGCATTCAGAGTTGGTCAGCATTCTGTCGTGAGTAAACTCATTGAAATTTGGTGAAAGTGCTTATTGAAGCGAATATCGTCGTAGATTAGTCGTCAACGGTCGGTATTGCTATAAACCAAGTAAAGGCATGTGAGAGAGAAGTTCAAGTCGTATCATCGTATAGTTTCTTAGAGAAGCCAACAAAAAGGCAACGGCAACGCAGCTACTAGAAGCCTCGATTCTGATATGGAGAAGAGTGAGAGTCACCAAAGCACTGAGCGCCCACATGAACCGTTACCTCAGTAGCTTGAAAATCATGTGCTCTCACAATTTTGGAGTGCTTTCTTAACGTGATTGTGCTCCTGCTCTGTTACATAGCTTGATGCAGTTCTTTGGAGGAAAGATGGATCGGCCCGGCGTTTAAACGCTTTCGTAGAAGATGGCTTTTCAAACACAACTCTCCTGATAAACCCGATCCCTTTCTTGTGCGAAGAAGGCTTTTACTTTTCCCGCAATTTCTGCCGTTGATAAGGTAGAGAGACCATCTCTCTCAAACCTCGCCTCGGCCTTTTCCTAGATCTGAGCGAAATGCTATCACATTGCCTACAATCCCCTGTTGCTCTCGGTACGTGGCTGCCCTTCCATGCTTATAAACATCTGAGGCTGAGGTAGTTACAAGGATCCATATGCGTATTGTACTGTGCCCCAATACTTTTTGTGCGGAACACCTTTTACAAAGATGAAGCAGTCATATGCAGCTTCGCTATCAAGTTCGACAAACTTCATCTTCGGCCTTTGGCTTTGAAGAAGCCGACACAAATACATGCAAACATTCATACGTTCCCACTTACATCTGTCACTATTTCACTCATTAAAGCAATCTTAAAGGATGGCGCAAGTTCAGGTTCATCTTTACCAATGCTTGTCCTTCGTGTCTCTTCCTATACCACTCACATTCTGTGTGATGCAAATCTTCAAGCCCACCATTGCTTTGAACACGCTTTGACTTCATTGTCGAGAATTATGAGTACTCATAATTATAAGCAAGAAATTTGAGACTCAAGCCTCGACCTCCTGGACGAGAAGCCGAAGACCATCATTGGCTGTTGATGTCCATGCAAGGATGGCACAACGCCTTTCTCATAGGCCAGTAACAGGCAGGCCTCAGCCTATCATCAACCTATCCTCCATGTCTATCTGCAGCCTCAGCAGAATAATTTTTTCGTCAACACGTGATGCAATCATGCCCAAGGCTACCCAACTCCGCCCGATAGATATATTCTTCTACGGTTCCCTTCCTTTTCCACCGTCTAGAATATCACTCATAACCCTCGACGACAAAAACTAGTAACAAAGAATGAATGACGACAAAGAAGAGTCGGGTGCCATCGAGCTCACTCAGAGTCAGTACACTGTTGGCTGGATATGCGCGCTGACAGAGGAATTGACTGCCGCCACGGTTATGCTCGACAACATTCATGAAATGCCCACCGATCTCAATCTGCCTTCCACAGACGACAATGTGTACGTCTTTGGATCGGTCGGCAAGCACAATGTCGTCTTGACAGGGCTTCCCAAAGGCAAAGTCGGCACCGTCTCAGCAGCCGTTGTAGCTCGAACAATGGTCAATTCTTTCCAATCTATCAAGTTTGGTTTCATGATCGGTATCGGTGGCGGTGTTCCAAGTGAGGATAACGATATTCGGCTCGGTGATGTTGTTGTCAGCTCACCAATTGGCAACTTTCCCGGTGTCGTCCAATGGGATCTCGGAAAAGCAATAGACGGTGGCAGCTTTGAGCGGACAGGAGCACTCAACAGCCCTCCCCGCGCGCTGCTGTCTGCGTTGGTGCACTTGGAGTCACTTCACCAAAGGAAGGGCTCCTCAATCCCTGGCTATCTGCAAGACCTTGAAGCGAAGGAGCAAAGATTGATGCGATCTTATGGGAAATCAGATATCCTCAGAGACGTTTTATTCCCATCTGACAGCCCACATCGAAATGAAGGCAGTGGCAGAAACAGGGCTGATTGCGAGTCCTGCGATACTGGAAAAATCATCGCAAGAGAGGATCGCGATGAGCCTATAGCGATTCATTATGGTCTGATTGCGTCCGGAAACCAGGTCATCAAAGACGCCAATCTTCGAGATAAGCTCAACGCGGATTTCGGCGGCAACGTCCTCTGCGTTGAGATGGAAGCTGCAGGACTGATGGAGTCATTTCCTTGTCTCGTCATCCGGGGAATTTGCGATTATGCCGACTCGCACAAGAATAAGAAATGGCAGAAATATGCTGCCCTAGTAGCAGCAGCATACGCGAAGGAGCTTCTCATGGTGGTTCCATGTCGCGCGGTAGAGAAGATGGCCACAATTCAAAGTTAGTACTATCCAACTCTCAACCTGACCACTTCCCGTTGTGAATCTTGCCTTGTGAAATGATATTGTAGAATAAAAAGGGCCAATTATTAACACAGTATTATTCTATAGGTCTTCTGTCTGGCGTCTCTGATAAACTGGACGTGATATCGAAGCACATGCAGAACAACCAACAAAGCGATCAACACAAGGCCATCCTTGAATGGCTGACGCCTGTCAGTTACGACTCTCGGCAGCACTCAATCTTCAACCGAAGACAAGAAGGAACATGCGAATGGTTTCTTCAGTCGGAAGATTTCGAAAAGTTCCTACAGAACGACGTAAAATTGATGTTTTGCGAAGGATTTCCCGGTGCTGGGAAAACTATTCTTGCATCCACCGTTATCAACTATCTCCGACATAAGCACGAGAGTCCCCCAGAGGAAAAGGTTGGGTTGGCGTTTATCTTTGGCGATTTTGTACAACGCTCTCATCAGAGACCGGTCGACATATTGGCGAGCCTGACTAAACAGCTACTTCGAAATCAAGCCTACGTTCCGCAGGAGGTGGTTGACACATACAACACGTTGAAAGAAATAGCACCATCATCTCGGTCCAACAAGGATAACTCAACTTTCGCAAAAATGCTTCAACAAGTGATAACCTCGGTTTACACTCGGGTTTTCATCGTTATAGACGCCTTGGATGAACTTGAAGAAGTTCGACCTCTTTTGCTGGAGGTTTTCAATATCGTGAAAAGTACCTCTGCAAGTCTTTTCGTCACGTCCCGTCCTATTGAACAGATCCAAAAGCAGATTCAGTGCAGCTTCGAGGGAATAACACCCTACAAAATCCGCGCACCAGATGAGGATATTGAGCTCTACATAGACGAACGTCTGCTGGGACTAAAAGTCTTTAGTAATGAAAATACCGACTACAGCCCGGAAACGATGTCTCAGTTGAGAATTGACATCAATCGCACAATCAGCGAGGTTGTTGATGGAATTTTTCTTCTTGCAAAGTTTCATCTAGACGCTCTTGAGGGTAAAACAACACCCCGAAAGATTCGCGAGAGTCTGGAAACACTATACAAAGGACCAGACGCATATGCTCAGGCGTACAAGAAGACGATGGAGAAAATCAACACCCAAGAACCAGAACTCCAACTACTTGCCAAGCGCGTGCTCGGCTGGCTCATTTTCTCGGAGAGGGAGCTCTCCAACTTGGAGCTTCGACACGCGCTGTCCGTGAACACTCATGATACGTCTTTTCCCAGCCAAGACCGCCTCGAGAATACACATACGATACTCGATGTATGCATGGGCTTAGTGATAACGGAGGGGCCTGACAAAACTATGCGACTACTTCATTATACAACTCAAGAGTTTTTGCAATCGAATCTGGACTGTCTCGACTATGACCAGGATCCGAAGCAACCCGCCCCTCGGAATTTCTACGCTGCGATTCAAAGAGGCATTGCAGAAACATGCATTACTTTTCTCACACTCGGGACTTCTGATTCCCAATTCACCAATGATGTCGAGGCCTGGGAATTGGAGGATGCTAAGCTTTTTCCAAGGGCGGAGGAGCTTGATTTCGACAAGGTCCACCTCCGCTTCCTACATCCAAACATTGGGCGGCGCCAAGATACATGTATTTTGCTTTCACGTCATCCTTTCCTGTCTTACGCTGTAAAACACTGGGGCCGCCATGCTTTCGAAACTGCGAAAGATGGAGGGGCATTGACAGGACTTGACATGTCAATATTGCGATTGCTTGCTACGGATACAAAGGCCGCCGCTGCGGCTCGGCTAGCAATACTTTACGGTATTCCTTTCTTTGAAACTGGAATGACGGGTTTACATTTTGCAGCCAACTTTGGGCTAGAGACTGTGGCTATCAAACTGCTTGAAAGCAAGCATGATCTCGACGCGGCAGATGACCATGGCCAAACACCTCTGCATTACGCAACCAGAGAGGGACACCAAGTTATGGTCGATTTCTTGCTGGAAAAGGGCGCGACTCGGAATCCGGCGGACATACATGGTTGGACACCGTTCCTGCTGAGTGTGAACAATGGGGATGCGGAAATGGTCAAGCTATTTCTCGAGGCCTTGAATTCGCGCAACACGTTCTACAACTCAGGCAATTTCTTCTTCGAAAGACAAAAGGCATTGACTTTAGCGGTGTATCAAGGCAACGAAGCAATCTTTCAGATGCTTTTGGACGACGGCGCAATTCCCACCTATAAAGCGTGGGAAGATCCCAATCTCACAGCAGTAAGCTTGAGAATCCCTTTCAGACCATGCACAATGAACAGGACGATCCCATCACTTGTTGTAGAAAAGGGGCATGACTGTCTCTTTAATATTCTTCTGGAAAAAGGAACAGATCTCGACTTAGAAGATGTGGATGGACGGACACCGCTCTTCTTCGCAGCCAGCGAAGGACGCCAAGAAATTGCCCGAAAGTTGCTCCAGTTCGGAGCTAATCCGAACCACATCGATCACAATGGAAAAACACCATTGTTGTCAGCCATATGCTGCAAGAGAATTGCAATTGCCAGAGAATTGCTGGATCGCGGAGCCAATCCAGACCAAATCGATAATAAGGGATGCACACCTCTTTTCTTTGCGATGCGGTTAGACTTCCTTTTCAGAGAGTTGCTCCGGGGTAGAGCGAATCTAGATCATCTCAAGGAAGATAGGGGGACACCATTGTTCTTCGCCCTGCTCCGGAGGCGAGAAGCAATTGCCAGAGAATTGCTGGATCGCGGAGTCAATCCAGAGCATATTGATAATCGTGGATGGACACCTCTATTTGAGGCAGTAATTCCGGGGAATGAATCCATTGCCAGAGAGTTGATGGATCGCGGAGTCAATCCAGACCATATTGATAATTATGGAAGGACACCACTATTTGAGGCAGTAATTTCGGGGAATGAATCCATTGCCAGAGAGTTGATGGATCGCGGAGTCAATCCAGACCATATTGATAATTATGGAAGGACACCACTATTGATCACAGTAAGTTCAGGGTATGTATCCATTGCCAAAGAGTTGCTCCAGCGGGGAGCAAATCCAGATCATGTCGATGAAGGTGGGGAGACGCCGCTTTTCCTGGCTATCGCGAAAAAGGACGAAGAGATGGCGCAACTATTGCTGGAACACCATGCTGATCCCAATCCAAAGCCTGGACACAAATTACACGACGCAGGGACGCACTTTCAATTTGCTGTTACGGAGGGGTGCGCGAACCTGGCCAGTCTATTGCTGACAGCTGGGGCGAATCCAAATCCGCGGTAGCAGAGGAATTCGCCACTCTATATTGCTTGTGACAAATGGGACTGAGGACTTGGTAAGGTGGTTGTTAAGAGATGGTCGTGTGTTAGTCAACTTGGCGGTGGATAATAAAACTTATTCCGCGGCTCGCTGGAGGACATAAAGGAGTTAATCCATTGCTAAAAGGCCACGGTGGGGTCCCAACCGATAAAGAGTCGAATCCAGGACTTTCTCATGGTTCAAATATATGTAAGTTTTCCTCCCTCGAACTTCCAATGACGTGGCTTTGTCTAATGTTAGAGCTCAAGGAGACATCGAAATGAACAGAGTTGGTGAAGGGAAAGGTCTAGAAAAATTTCTACAAGTTGTTCTGCTAGGGAAGAGGTTACGAATGACATGTTTGAAGCATGGGTCACCAGAAGTTCTTCCACTAAGTTCGGCGTCTCCCGAGACTGAAGCCCCAGTTATGAGCTGCGCCGTGTCCGTGTAGTCTGGATGGTGACTGGAATATATGTCTTATGGCAGACGAGATGAATGCTTTACGCGGATAGAGTCCACTGGCAACCAATCTTCGCTTTCCAGAATCTACTTCTGTTGGACAAGACATTCAGCGCCTCATTTATCATATCTATTTGAAACAGTCAAGTCGGATCTTTTCTTCCACATTCTTCGCCCCATCTCAATTGGTTCGACAAAGGGGACAAGAGAAAGACGAGTTATGAATCACATCACGCTCGTGGAAATTCACCATATTATTGAATTGCTTCAATTATCCTACACCTTCATGAGTCTGAGCATTTCAGCCTTACATGTATCTTATATACGACGCAATTCAATGGGAAGTAAGTACTGCATATGTGCATGTAACGAAGTGCAGCAGTGATGAAGCGGCATGCGAAAGCACAAATGAAAGTATCGTTGAAACATTGAATCAGGTATTAAACATCCTTCACTCTATGGCCGCGTGGGAAATCGTTTATGCAATCGCTTCAAGGAACAGCCGCACCCAGCCTGAATCAGCCTCTCAGTATTCAGGCGTCGTTGAATTTGAGCACTTGTGCAATCATCACTCATTCAAATCAGCTCCTCCTGCATCTTCTTCTCCATTATCCCCCACAGTCCCTGCCCCCTATGTCCAGAAAGCCAATAGTTCCCCTCAGCATCCTTCCCCACAATGATAATTCCATCAGAGAAGCTGTACGGGCCCTGCACACTCTGGACATACGACGGTGTCAGGGGCGTGCTGCGCGGCGTCACAGCTGCGGCCGACAGATCGGTCCCGTACATGTTGGCCTTTTGCCAGTTGGAAAACATGAGCAGCTGCATCGAGGGGCTGCCAAAGAACGGAGGCGCCTTGTTGGCTTGGTCGAGCCGGATCAGCGAGGTGTAGGCCTCGACTTGTTCGCGGGAGCCCTGCTCCTTGATAGAGCGGCGGATGTGGGATGCCAGGTAGCTGAGTGGCTTCTGAAGAATGTCTTTGGCGGGTAGTAGAGTGACGAGAAAGCCGACACAGTTGCTGAGGAATGGTCGTCCTTCCGGTATCAAGTCTTTTAGAATTGGTCGCCACTGGTAGGCTTGTTGTACAGCAATCTGGATGGCAGGTCAGCATAACCTTCTTCAGTGGCTCTATACCGCAGGATTGGGGCACTTACGGGCTTCTCCGAGTTCTCTGGAAGGTTAGAAATTGCCAATCGCGCTACCCAAGCCACGAGAACATCTCCTTCACTCAGGAAGGGAGCCTCCCCCTTTTCATCGTTAGGGTTGACCTGAGCAACAAGGTCCACAAGAGCCCTTTCTCTCAGCCTTGCGAGATACGCAGCAGGCATGCAGAGCATACGATGCTCCTTCTTCCTGATTATCAAGTTGTAGGAGTTCTGAAGTGCCCACCAGACTAGGCCAGGCTTGGACACATGATGCTCGGCGAGGACATGGGGCTCTGTGGGATTCCTGCCGACCTGGTCCAAGATATACTCGTCAGGAGCCAGCGGCTCAGGAATCTCGTCCTCTCTGCCCTGCAGCATCAGCATCCAGGCATCGAGAAGAGCCCGTTTCGCCGTCGCATCAAAGGTGAGGTGTAGCCAATGGAGGACGACGACCGTCGAATTCTTGAACGAGACAACCCGCAGCCCAAACTGAGGACGGTCGGTGTAGATGTAATCATCGAGCTTCGTAGGAATATTGGGTCCGTAGATAAGGTCCGAGAGTTTATCAGGGTCTCCCACGAGTGCTGGTCGACCATCGCGGGGAGGACGGGGGATGTGTGATGCTGCGGGATGATCCTCCACTGCCAAGTCGCCGTGATTCACATGGTCAAACCCCACTGCAGGGCGATCTGGGGAGAAGCTGACTGGTATATGATGCTCAAGTTCTCCACGAATCTAATCAATGCGGGAGGGGCAGCGGCTGGATGTCAGCCTGGGTCAGGAAGGGGGGAGGGTTGAGCACAGTTTATATGGCGCACATTCTTTCTCAGCCGAGCACCCAGCTTCTTCCAACCGGGCCGGCTCACAACACGCTCCAAAGAGGTGCGTAGTTTCTCAGGGTCCAGTACATCGTCGAAAACAAACAGGGTATATAAAACGAACGTCCTGAAGATGATTGTGTCGTCAAAGAAGCCGACCGGTACAACCAAGTCGGTTGGCACGCGCTGAGGCGCCTGCGGCTGACCAGAAAAGAAACTGAACATGTTCGCCAAGCCGTTACAGCGTCGGTTTGTCACAAGAGGATCCTCGGCAGTGAAATCATGGTCCTTTCGGATCCTATTAATATGAGAAATAAAAAAGCGGCGCGAAGCAGCCGGTTTCTTCAACGGCACCGGCTTCCGTACTTATCAGTATATGCTCCATTCTCCGCCCCTTGTTGGCCCCTTCATTACCGGTCGTTACCCGAGATTGTGAAGCTATCTTTACCTAACTACAGAAAGGGAGAGTCAGGACCTCATCGGAACCAAGAACCAACACGCAGTAGTAGTCCTAGTAGTAGTCCTTCTTAAAGCCGGGGACGGGTTTGCTGTCATGCAAGCGACAGGAGAACCCAGTCGGCGTTAGCCAGGGCCTCCGTATTAGGACGTTGAAGGGTTCTCTAGCGTCTCCTCTCTTGCCTCTCTGTCAAACATGTGGTAAGCTTCGAGTTGATAACTGACAAGCCTAAGGAATAATAATCTGCCAGCGTACTCGGACGAAACCACCCGGGCTCAGGGGTTGCGCGGACCTGGGGCCGATTTCCCCGGATGAGGCTATCCTCGGCAAGAGGTCCGCAAAACGACAGGGACCGCCCAATGAACACGTGCATACACTGGGGCAGAGGAGCGCAGTAGTATTTTGCAAGGGTTCGGCGAGTTAATATGTATGCGCCTCATGGGTCCTCTGTGTGCCGACCGTGGCCTCGCTTCCAACTTTTTCTTCAAACCGCTCGCCTGGCCCCTGGGTCCATCTTCAACTATTCCAGAAGCGCTGCCCGAAGTAACTTCAACCCGTGCCACTTCCCTGCGGCACACGGATTCAAGTGGGGAGTAATCCTCTCGGAAATACGCCAGCCATGGCTTGGGGGGGGGGAGCAGAATGGCCTGCTTTCAGGCAAAGGAGCTTTCAAACGCGTGATATTTCGTACAACGTACGGGAAAACTCCAACTGTATTTGCCGCAGTGCTAAGGGAGGATAGTATTCCATGTCAGGAGATGAAGGCCAAGACAAACTATCGTGATCCAAGATATTGACCAGCTTCACGCAATGACATGACAAAAGTAATCAAGTCAAGGAGTTCAAAGTAGAAGGCCGAACAAGGTCTAGTCCAGAGAACCAGGTATTCGGCTCAATACGATATACGGAGTTTGGCAAAAATAGCTGCCGCATTCGAACCCCAGCATCCAGGGGAATGCCTGCTGTAGGCCGGTCAAACCGTCCATGTTGGTTCCATGTCCCATGGGCTTCTTGTAGAACTTTTGCTATTGGGATCTACAAAAGAAGAATTCTAAAACACACACCGCTGGCAGTATTACGGAACGGTCCGAAGCGAGTTGTTGCTGGTTTTCCTACTTGAAGTCCCGCGATGGCTCCCAAAAGCCACAACCGTTAGGAGTTTCTTGGTTCCCGTTTTGCGACTTCTTTCAGCCTACCGTTGTTCTCCTGTGCTGAAGTCTCCTCATTCGCCGCAGCTCCTGTGTAAGGGCTGCCCACCCCCTCCCCCCTTTGGCCATTTAGCATGGCCTCGTTGATGAGTCGGAACGAAGAGGGCGAGCGTATATCCAAGATCGCCAATAGCCTGCCTCCGATACCCGTCCATGGCTTCACAAAAACGATCCAGGCAATCACATATGTCATCTGTATCCTCGCGACGTTGACCGTTGCCCTGCGAGTCTACGTGCGCGTGCGGCTCTCGGGGTCAGAGCGAGCGTGGGGATGGGACGACATCTTCGCAGTAGCCGGCTGGGTAATACTGTCCACGATTCTTCCCCACGATCGCCGTTTGTTGCCCGTCGACTAACGATTCAAGCCAGGTCCCGCTACTACCTTCTGTCGTATTCCTCATACTGGCGACCTACTATGGCCTGGGTGCCCGTGACGATCATGTACCTGACGGCATGCTCATCTACTACCAGGTCAGGGTGAAGAGCTACATGTTCATGTTCGAGATTATTTACTTCGCCTCGTCAGTGTTGACAAAGCTTGCCATGGCCATCATGATCTTGAGGCTGACCTCAACCAAGCATTACGCCTATATCATTTGGGGGAACATGGCTCTGCTGGGGGTAAATGCAACCGCGTGCTTGATCATCATGTTCGTCAGCTGCTCACCCATTGCGGCACTCTGGAATGAGAAACTGTATGTTGAAAACACTCCCCCTCTTTCAATTCTCATAGCTGACATTTGATAAAGGGGCCATTGCCGTATCGAATATGGTTGGATCATTATCAGTTATGCCGGCTCTGTTGTTCTCGCCATTGTGGACTGGACGTGCGCAATCACTCCGTTCTTCATGCTGCGAAGTCTCCAAATGCCAAAGCGGAGAAAGATTTCAGTACAGATCATTCTTGGCTTGGGCATCTTTGGTAGTGCCGCTGGTCTGGTTCGCCTGGGATATTATCATGCCTATGATACTGTCAAGTATCCGAACCAGTCTCTTTGTGAGTTCTGCCTGCCATGCCACCTAACACAGCCAAAGCCAGCCGAGATTTACTGACCATGTGGACGTATAGACAATTGGGGTTCAACGATTCTGTGGTCGGTCCTGGAGGCTGGTTTAGGCATCATCAGTTGCTCGCTGCCGCCGCTGCGCCGCCTCTTCAGGAAGTTCTACCAAGGTTCATCAGGACAGTCAGGCATGAGATCTGGACAGGGAACAATCGACGTAAGAATTTCCCACCAACAAAATGTGCGATTGCTTGGATCATCGCTAACTATCCGTCGCTTGTAGGGTGGCACGCAGCTAAACAGTATCAGTGGGAAGCTGAATGCAGGGCTGACCAGCATCAGCCGAAAAGAAGGCTCCAACTGGGACAGGCTCGACGATGGCCAGTCAACCTCTAGCCAGCAACACATCGTCAAGTCAACGGAAGTGTATGTCGAAACGTACAGCGCGGACGGCGACGACGCCCAGCACCATCGAAAAGACGGCGAATACCCCTGGAACGAGCACGTATAACCGGAAGCCGAGATCAACTCAATCGCGAGAATTGGTGTGCCTATCATCGTATTAAAGGCTGACGACTGACGTGTGCTTGCCCGACCAATGTCACCAAACACTGGCTGTTATCTTTTATATAATAATTTTGTCTTTCCTTTTGACCTATATACCCACAGGTTCCGTAACATAGTTAGAGTCATAGAATGAGCATGAGGTTCATGCATCTACATACATCATACTCACACATATATCGCCTTTTCTGTCTTGGGGTATCGATGTAAAAGAGCTTTCGCAGCAGCCGCCGCCGTCGCAGCCGCAAAATCTTGCCACTTCTTATTCTTGTGAGAATCCGCATAATCGCAAACTCCCTTGACAATGATGCATGGAATCTCTTCCCAGATGCCTGCCCCCTCCATCTCAAAGGCTATTACGCCTTCTTTCTTCGCAATCCTATCGCGGTCTTCGCCTGATTTGAGGACTGTGTCGCCTGATGCCACGGCGCCAATGTGGATTGCTGGTTCTTGTGCTTCTTCTTGGCTGCCCTGTTCAAGCTCTTGTCTCTCTTGGAGGCGTTCCCTGCGTATGTTGAAGCTCTCTTCGCACCCCAACTCCTCACAAGTGGCGTTCAGGGCCTCTTCGCAGACAGCGTCAGCGCTACTACTGCAGATAGTACAAAGATGTGCTCGTGAGCCGCGATGCTTGTGACGATAATCTGAGTGGAACAGTTTGTCTTTGGCTGTCCCAGGGTAACTGTACTTTGTAGGCGGTCGACAATTCCTACCTTTTCCCTTCTTTTGCAGCTGCAATAGGAACTTGGCTGTTTGACTCTGAAGCAGCTCCAACCCTCGGTCAGTCTCGAAAGTGTTCAAGAGGTTTTGGATGTTCTTTGGCACTTTGCTGAGGTTTTCTTCGAAAGAAGCCTTGCGTATGAATCCGTTGGGGTACTTCCTGCCAAAGTCGTGCTGGACAACAGATTTGCCAATGACCACATCACCAAGCAGGATCTCGTCTTCCACATAGCCTCCAACACGAGGCACGCCTCCGCACACGCCCACGAGCAGCGCCAGCTCGATATTATTGTAACTCGACCTGAAACCAGCGGCAGCAGAGGCGGCATTCGATTTGCCCATCCGTGGGAGTAGGGCTAGGACGACGTTATGCTTCCCAATGCGGCCTGTTGTGTACGTGTTGAGATCTCCCGCCGCTCTCCCAAATTGATCCCCTTCCTCATCCCAAAATTCGTCGAATATGTGACAAACGGCATTGTATTCTGTTGCAATGGCGCAGATGATGGCAACGCTGAAGTGGTCGCGGTCCGGCGGGGCAACAGTAGTCGTCGCATTCACAGAATGGAAACTGGAGTAAACAAACAGTCAGCGGGCTCAACTCTTTTCTTCGCTGTGACAGTATGAGATACGAATGTCTTTCAGCTACATACAAAGACTTAGAGAGGACCTCTGAGCTTTTGTAGCCAGAGAAGCTAGAAGTGCTCCTTTGTACGGCTCGAGGTGGCGCATGATTGTTCGTGCCTCGGAGAAGTGATGGAACACCCATGGTATTCTTGGCCTGCTGTGGCGTCAGGTCTTCGACAGGGCAGTCATCCAGTCCTAGCGGTCCTAGGTTATAAGGCTTCTTGGACAAAGGCGTTTCGAAGAAGGACCCTCTGCGTTTCCGTTTGAGCCCTTCCGGGTGAACCTCCTTCTCGAGGCCCCGTTTGAGCCCTTCCGGATGAAGCTCCTTCTCGAGGTTGAGAACAATCTGTTCGTAAATGACCTCCTTCATGGCGGCGCCAGACAGTGGGACTTGCTCATGTACGCCTTTTTGCAAATGCATATGTAGATATAAGCATCCTTGCACAGCTTGAAGATAGAAACTGTTTCGGTCCTGTCGCGCCTCCTCCACGTACCCACACATCTGTGCCCAGTTTCCAATGTTCCGAGCAGTGTTCTTGTGGTCGACGTCAAGCTGTATCTTCTCACCATTGACAATTTCCAGCAGCAACTTGGCAAATGAAAGGAGCACTGGATTGCCAGGCCCGATTTTGTCGTGTATGTTGTGGTGCGTTGAGTCTCGCGTGTGAGATCTCACCAGGATATGCCACCAGGGCGGCTGTCCGTGACGGCGTGCAGAGCGCATAATGAATATGCTTTCGGCATTCCAATTGCAAGCAGCACGCTCCAGGCTTTTGTCGAAGAATACCATCAGACATCGAGCAAGGGCCAATGCCAGCGATGTCTTTTCCTGGTGGTCGAATCTTTCTATTGCCAGTCCGCGCAGGTAAGCGCCGGGGCTAATAGGGCGAAACATATTCTTGTCTAGCAACGAGTTGAGAGCTTCTTCTTCATATTCATGAATAGAGGAGGCAATAGGCGGTTCCTCAGCCGTGATGTCAAATACTCCTCTTTGGTCGAAGAAGAGGCGGAGCTTTGTACGCTGCTTCCATGACTCATGTATAGCAATGCAGATGTTGTTTATCTTCTCGAGATTAGTTGGAGCTCTAGTCTCTGTTAGTGCTGGTTCCTCTGTTGGTCATCGTAGCTGAGGCATACTGTATAGAGTCGCAGATAGCTTCTTGCCAATCACACTCGGATTGGCAACCGGATATGAGCATCTCAATCTTCAGGTGTTGTGATTCGGCAGTGTGCAGCTCATCCAACACCCTCAGCTTGACCTCATGGGTCATGCCACAATTTACTTGCTCGAATTCCTTGAAAATGGCATCCATCATTACTCCCACTGGGTTTTGTATAACAGGGGGACGGCTTCGCTCAGGCTGCATACCCCCTATACTCGTCTGGCGCTGCAAGATGCCGTGCCAGCCTTGGAACTGATCTGATCTGCTCATCAGCCGCTGAAGTACCGTCCTCCAAGCTGCCACATGTTTGAGAGCCTGAATTATAGTCTCGCCACAAGCAGATATGAACAAAGAGGAGCTGGGATCGCTCGCCAGATCGAATTGCCTGTAATCCGATTCGTCAAGGAAGAGCATCAACGCTGCCAGATTTGGATAGACGCTGCCAATCTTTGCAATATCATGGGAGTCGCTGCGGGAATCTACTTCATCGTCTTCTATATGTCTTTGAGTATAGTCCTTGTTGACCATGCGGTCGAGAGATAACAACAGATCATGCGCCCTCTGATTTAGGTCCTCAAAGTCCGCTACTGAGAGGTCCACATCCAAGGTCGTGCTCTTGAAGACATCGCGAAGATCGCAGTCCAGCAGATCGGCGTCATTCTGGACCCTGGTCGGACGATTTACCGTCGGTTTGCGATGCGTAAACGCCGCAAGTCGACCAGCCAGGCGCACCTTTAGTGCCTGGAAGCCAATCCAGGCAAGAGACTCGGTTGGAAGCATGGCATAGTCTGCCCTGACTTGCCGTTCTTGACACGCAAGATGTCGTCTAATCCAGGTGATCTTTCTTCATAATCAGAGTGTGGATTTGGAGGCTGAAGACTGAAAGCGGGGGAACTTGTGAGGCTCTCATAAGCAGACATGAAGCAATCAGAAACGACATGACCCCTGTCCATATGCTGGAGCCTTGCGGCGCCTTAAACACGCAGTATCACAGCGCTAATGTTTGCTTGTTACCATCTTGATACCTCTGGGTACATCTGCTCTGCCATAGCTGCATAATTCATATGACATGTTCGGTCCAGGTGTCCAAAAAGTACATTTCTAAGGTAGGTTTATAAGGATTTCTCAAGAGATCGTCCCGACAGTATCGGGGCGGGGTTAAGCAGGAATACCTAAGGTGGTGAACGGAAATGACGGCTGACCCAGTTCGGCATTCTCCTAACTATATCACTTGAAGACGTCCTCGAGCTTCCTTCAACTTGCTTCGAGCATCGCATAGTGAAGTCCGCACAAGAGTCGACTCTTACGAGCTCTTTCAACGTTTCTCCTTTATAGACACTCTCTTCGTACCGATGCGATCACATGTGTCACCCCCATGAGCTGGATCCAACTTCCAATCCATCGATAATCAGACGCTTCTGAACAGTTATGGATGAAGAATGCATCGACTCCAGCGAGCCCATCTTTGAGCTGGCGAGCGAGTGCGAGCAGCTATTCTCCCAACAAGTCTCGAGACTTAGGCATGAAGCCGACGCAAATGCAACCAAAGCCGTGGGAGAGTTCCAACAGCGGTTCTCAGCATGGGCCGCCTTCTTAGGCGTCTTTGCCGTGCCAAAAATGTGCCTTGACCGCAAACTACAACACCATGTCGAAATACAGGATCTGGTGCTTCGCTTGCTGGACGTGATGAAGAGGAACTTGACTTATCGTATGTATCTACATACAGCTCCGTTCTACTTGATACATGTACTTATGAACCCTGCAGTCTTTGAAGCCCCCATGACCTCGAGCGGAGATGATATCGAGCTCACCGACTTCGATCCAGCATCACCGTCCAGGTCTCACCTTCGCATCAGTGTGGAAAGTCTACGTGGAATTCAGGGAGCAATTGAGCGTCTCCATCACCTCGGCGGGACCATCCAGTTATCGTCAGAAGCAAGTCAGGCTGTCAGAATTAGTAAATTCGCATCTGGATTTGACTCGTCCTCCTTCGCACAATTTGCGCGTCTGGCTATCAGTTCGCTCTATCCGGACGCCAGCCCATCCCTACTCGAACATCTCGCTCGCGCAATGACAGACATGTATCACGAGTTTCATTATCGGCGATCTCGTCGGGCCAGACTGCGGGCTCGACCTCCCGTAGCCTTATCTCCTATAAACGAAGAGTCAGCTCCTTCCAACCAGCCAAGCTCATGGAGAGTAGATCCAGCGCCAGTGACAGCTTATCCTCCCACAATGGCCTTCCATCGACAGCAGCCTCGACCGATTGTTAGGTCACATCTAGGCGCCAGATCCCATCAGTCAAGGGATTCCAAGCCCACATCTCTTGATAGCCAAGAGTTCAGGCGGCGTTTTTCGCAGCATCAGGACGGTTCGGTGAAGAGCAAGACGAGATCCATTCTCACCAAATCAATGGCTTACCCTCCACAATCAGAAGACAACCTGGTCTGTGACTGGTGCTTTTCCCCTCTCTCAGAAGATGAGTCCAAGGGGGAGAATTGGAGGTATGAACACTGCTCTTTCTAGATTTCAAACCTCAGACTTCTAATAGCCGCTCCTTAAGGAAACATCTGAATGAAGACTTCAAGCCCTTTGTCTGCATCTCTGAGAAATGCAGCGAGTCTTTGAACAGATTCGCAACTTCCAGAGCCTGGTTCAGACACATGGTAGAAACGCACGGCCAACACTGGCATCGCCAAGTTCATCTGCCGGCCTGGTATATCTGCCCATTATGCAACACTCAAGATTCGACCTATACAAGAGCATCAGAGCTTTCTGGGCACCTTTTGAAACTTCATAGGGACGTTTTCACTGAGCAACAGATTCAGATCATTGTTCACCAGAGTCGGCTCCGAGCCCCTCGCTCACAAGATATTTGTCCCCTGTGCTGCCTTTCTATGAATGATGGGCAAGGATCTGATGAAGATGATCAGTCCTCGAAGAAAGAATTTCCCGCATCGTCTGTTCAAGGCGATCCAGTTAGCCAAAATCACAAGCGCATCAAGACAGAAACAGGCGCCAAAAAGCCCTTCGAGCATAGTGACACCAACCATGGTTCGACAGAGCGAACGGCACCAGATGGTCAAGCTCCGTCGTTCCAAAATCGACCTGCATTACATCTTGAGGCCATCGCAAAGCATGTCGCTTCACATCTTCAAGGCATTATGCTTCTCACCCTGCGAGTGATGGTCCTAGAGTTTGCCCCAGAGTCGTCAGCCGACGATAAGGGTTTGTCTGGCAGCACCGACGGCGGCTTGTCTCGCCTCAGTTCGACGCGACAGCTGTCCCAGCACGAAGCCCATGAAACAGAGGCGAGCAGTCCATCGCAGATACAAGAGCATGCCGATATGGATATCGACGACCCATTCCTGGAAGAGTCTATCCCAGATTGCGAGCATGACGTTAATTGGCAAGATGTGAGGCTCAATGACGAACCCTCTCCGGAAGCCGACACCTTTCTGCAACAAGTGATCGACTCCGGTGCATTTCAGGTCAAGGATCGGAGTCCGTCTTCCAATAATGCTGATGTCGTCGTCAGCCTCCCTTTCCGCCGTGATCCCTTCTTCACCGGCCATGAATCCCTTCTGCGCAATCTCACCCAAAAGTGCTCAACGCCACCCAATCTAATCGCTCTTGTGGGCTTGGGTGGCATTGGTAAAACTCACCTTGCAATCGAACTCGCTCACCGAATTCTGCTCTCGGAAGACACATCGGTCTTCTGGATCCGTGCCGATACTCTGTTTAACATCGAGGAGGATTTCCGGAGCATCACATCAGATCCAATACTGTTGAGAGACTACCAAATGCAGTCTTCAGGATATAATCCAGAGCAGCATATGCTTGGTGAGCAGCAGAGCAAGGAGATTCCGATGATGGCCCGCCAAGAGCGGAGCGACATGATACCTCGAGATGGCCAGCAAGGCGGGCCCAGCAGCCACTCTCTCGGTGCCTTTTATGAATCTCAAGACAGCCAGGAAGGTGCTCTCAGCACTGACGGACGGCAGGCCCTATTAGACTACCAGATAAAACTAATGCTGCTTGCGCAGCAGAACATGCCGCGTTTGCTGAGACCCCCCCAAGAGCAGAGCGACATCATACCTCAAGACGGCCCGCAATACGCGCCCGGGAAGACTGAGACGCCGTTGGACCTTGCGCTTAAGTGGCTGTCCGATGAGCGAAACGGCCGATGGCTCATCATCCTAGACGGGGCCAATGAAAATAGTCTCAGTGTCATTCACGATTTTGCGACGTCGGTGGAGAGACGAAATGGTACAATACTCGTCACTACGCGCCATAAGAAGCTGGCACACAAGATTGCTGGAAACAACAGGGCTGTAATCGAGATGGAGCCCATGACAGTTTTTGATGCCGTTGCTCTGCTGGAACGAAAGCTGGGGCGCACAGAAAACAATTCATGGAGAGGACCACACTCAACAAGCGATCTCGTGAAGTCGCTTGGCTTAAGTCCATTGACTATTTGCCGAGCGGCAGCTTACATACAGTTCATGCCAGCTCCGGAAGATGTCCCTCTGGAGGACCCGATGAGTTCATATGACGAGGACAGAGACAGTAGCAACGGCGAAAACGAAAACGATGAGAACGGCGAAGACGAAGACGAAGCCTTATATATCGGTCACCATGCAATACATTCAGGAAGATATAAAGAGCCCGAAAGGCCGAAGCTTGATGAGACGATCTTTGATATTGAGAATAGTAGAGAGAAACAGGAAGAGGGGGGGGAGAAGCAGAAGAAGGTAAGCTTATGATGCCCTTCAGGTCCATACCGTACCATACCGCACTTCCAAGCAGCTAACTGATCCATTGAAGGCTCGATATATAATGGCTCGCAAGTTCAGGCAGCTACTGGACAGTGAGCAGGAAAAGATCAAGCTCCTTGAATTTGAACCTTCCAGTCCTGATGGAAGCGTAAAGACATTGGACAGCATTCTCACAATCTGGCGGACTTCATTCGACGCCGTTCGCTCGGAAAGATCGTCTGCAGCTGAGCTTCTATCTCTGATGAGCTTCTTCGACCGCCGAGGAATCCCAAAATGGTTCCTTGAGCTTTGCAGACAAAACGATCTCAGTCTCCATCAAGAAGCGCCATCAGACTATGACATAACCTCGGACATAGAGACGCTTTTAAATCACTGCCTCATATCCTCGAATGGCACAAAAGACATATTCTCAATGCACGGGCTCATGCAGCTCGCCGTTAAGAGTTGCTTATACCATTATGAGCGAGATACGATTGAGCATATATTTTTGAAGAGCCTGAAGGATGCCTTCCCACGAGATATCTATTCCAACTGGGCAACTTGCGAGGAGCTCTTTGCCCATGCCCAAGTAGCAGCGCACTACCAGCCACCAGGCGAGCACCAACTGCGGGATTGGACAATTGTTTTGTATCGAGCAGCCCGGTTTGCTCGGGCGCAAGGCAGATATGAAGTTGCAATGCAATTGGCCAACCAAGCAGCAAACGCTCCAAGCTATCTAGGGAGGAAGAGCATTGAATGGCCGGTAATATCTTCCCTTATTGCTCTTCTCCTCATGGACCAAGGGCTATATGACAGGGCACATGTCTTATTGACACATCTGGCGGATGTATGCAAAGACGGCGCCAATAGGACGGCCAGCATGCTCAACCTGGCTTGTTTACACAAGCTCAAGGGCCGATGGAACGAGGCTGAGGCAATCCTGGCCGAGGTTACAAGAGACCGAAGAACGAAGCTTGGTGAAACCCATCCAAGGACGCTTTCGAGCATGGCCAACCTAGCGTCAATAGCAAGAGCCCAGGGACGGTATCAGGAGGCCCACAGTCTTCTCTTACGGGTCTTCGTAGGCTACTCAGGGAGTCTTGGTCCAGACCACCCGCAGACACTCGCCAGCATGAACAACCTAGGCTCGATGTACAGACTTCTAGGAGAACTAGACGAGGCAGAGAGATACCAGAAACAGGCCCACGAGTCCCGCAAAATGATTTTCGGGGCAGATCACCCCGAGACCTTGGCGAGCATGAATGGCCTCGCCTCCACATACAGGCTCCAAGGCCGCCTCGACGAAGCCAAAGCCCTCCAGGAACAAACACTAGAAGCTCGCAAGAGGATACTGGGACCTGACCACCCAAGCACCCTAGCCAGCATGAACAACCTCGCCCTGATTCTAAACGACCAGGGGAAGCACGGAGTGGCAAGCAAGCTGCAGTCTCAAGTTCTCGACGCTTGCAAGGAGAAGCTCGGGCCGGAGCATCCGCACACGTTGACGAGCATGAACAATCTTGCTCTTATCTGGAGGAACCAGGATCGGAAGTCGCTGACCCGGTGGACGATGCAGAATTGCGTCGAGGCTCGAAGGCGGGTGCTGGGCCCGGAGCATCCGTATACCGTCTCTTCTGCGAGGATAGCGGATAGTTGGGCATCTGAAAAGGAGAAGATGGCGGGTTCATAAGAACTGCAATTTGCATAACGGAGGTAACTGATGTCACATATAAAATGCTATGATGGATGATCAGATGAGGGCATCCCTTGGATCTGGATTATGAGACCACGCCGTAATGACATTATATCTTCGCTATAGTAAGAAGTCCAAGTTGAGCTGAGAAATTTGAGGATGTAAAAAGGACTATTATTGGCAGGATACTTTTATCAAGCCGTTTGCATGTTTCCATTACAATTTAAGAGAAGACCTTCTCACCAGGGAACGAATGGAATCAAGCTTGTTTTGATAGAAGGTATATTCAACATGAAGCTACAAGTCCAGAAATACAGAGCCATCCACTCGCAAACTCGCATTCGTCAGTTTCCGCTTCAAGCTCGACTCCACAATCTCAACCGTGCTGTCCTTGACATCTTCTTCCAGCCGTTCAATTCTCTCATTCACCTCCTGCTCCAACCTCTCCATAGTCTCGTCAAACCGGTCATCAATGGACTTGAACACTTCTTCTGTTTCCGCTTTGATGCCCGTTATGCAGTCGTCCAGCTGTTCATTGATCTCATCCTGTATGGATGCAGACGGATCACGGTCATTGTCTAATGCGTCTGAAACTGTGTCTTCAAGCTGCTTTAAACGGCTTTCAAAGCCGTCGAGGCGGTTCCCGAAACCGTCTAGCTGCGTTTTTATTTGGACCGCCATGTCTTCGATGCGAGCACAGATACGGTTCTCCATGCTGTCGAAAGAACTGCGGATGTAACTGAATAGATCATTGTGGACCGCGGGAGATTTGCCCTTGTCAATGTCTGACTCAATCCGTCGACGTTTATCTAACATTGACAGTAAGCATCGAGCCTCATCGTGACAGAAGACCAAAGTCGTAACTTGAGAGGCACTCACTCTTTGAAGGTTGGCCTTGCGCTGGTCCAGCATAAGATGGTGGTGGCGCGTCAGCCTCATCGGACAGCTCTTCAGTGGCTTTATCTAGGTCAACAATCTCGCCTCCCCTGCCAGCATACAATGACCCGAGGTTGGCACATCTTTCGTTCGTAAGGGGACGATCAGAAGCAGAATTTGGCGAGAACAGGCGGGCAATCAACTCCAAACGCGATTTTTTAGGCGGTGTATTCAGATTAGAATTGTTGAGATGAACAGTAAATTGAGTCGCTTTAGCCAACGCCAGCATTACATTAAGTGCGCCTTTGCTCTGTTCTTTCGTCTCCAAAACATAACCCTTGGGAACAACGAGCGAAGGATATTGTGTCATAGAAAAGGACAAGGTCTGTCGGCCGGGCTTAGAGATGCTCGACCCTGAGGGTCGTCCGTGATTCAAAGTGATATCTCGAACTGACTCGGGGTGTATGAACAGAAAGATGGTGTGCTTTTGCCCCTTGGCTTTACTGCCTTTGTGAAGCACGGGGCAGTAGAGTTTGAAGAGACACGTGTTGGATGCGCCGTCGAAGAAGATGTCAAGATGAATGCCATCAGCACGCTGCTTATGATTGCTGTCATCATTCCAGCTGACTGCGTTGTTGTGATAAGCCATGTTGATGTCGACAACCTCTGCATCACCATCGCTAGAATCGGACATTGTCGTCTCATCGTCATTATCGTTATTCCTCATGTCACCGACATCGCCATTGCCGTTATCCTCGCCATCATCACGGTCAGCTGCAACCTCACTCAACCGTTGGAGAATGTGATCATGACTTTAACCTAAGATGTTAGTTGGATTTCACACGCAGCAGGCAGGGGAGTCCAGGTATGGTTGACAGGATCGAGGGCGACAGGCGGAATCGGATATAGTGGAAAGTCCCACCGCTCAGTACCGGCTAACGTCGACACCAGAGAGAGAGCTGCTAACGGTGGCCGGTGGGAGCGAAGGTTGTCACCGGCTTGACAGCGAGTAACAGCTTCACATCCATAGGAGAAGGTTGTCACCGGCTTAGCAGCGAGTAACAGCTTCACGTCCAGTCAGGCTTGCGCCATCATGAACTACTCTCACCGACGACCATACAAGACCCCGCCCATTTCAGCAGGCCCCGCGCACACAAGGTACGAGGGGACGTGCTGAGTATGTGACGGAATTTTAGTGGTTCATATTCACAAAGGAATAGAACCGCGGTCTTGCTTCGCAGGGGGCCGTCTCTGGGTTGAACGCGAGCGAGTCGAGCGGAACGGTAATCCACGTAGGCAGAGAGCCGCCGAGTGGAATCACACTGGAACTGTTTTCACTGACCCAGGCGGAGAGAAAGGCTGCGTCGACTCGTCGGCATCGTTGGCGACGCGGGATGTCGACATGGTACGGATGCGGTTGGTGGTGGAGGTGAGGCGGTGCGTGAGCGAGAAATGGCTGGGGAATGGGGAGAGGAGAAGGTGTTGCTTCTATGCATTCGGAGCGGAAGAACCCTGGGCCGATGACAGAAGTCACGTGGATAACGCGATGCCTGATTCCAACGCGTGCTTAGTCATCATGCCTCCTCCATCCCCTTTGAAGGGATGAGATGAACGAAACACCATGAAAGCGACGACACAAGAATAAAACATCAGGAAGTTCAGTATCCGATTGCAACAGCTGTCTAGTTTATATTATGACGCCTTAGATTGCCAGATAGAAGGTTTGATCACGGCGACACGCCCCGTTTGATTTTTATTTGAAGCGGCAATTGGTATCTTAACTTGATGCACTATCCCTCCCCAGGCAGCTAAATCTACATATCCAAGGCGAAATCACGCTGCTCAGGAAACAGCCCCTCCGTCATGAGCGTAAGATTCGAAAAGTCCTTGTACGCGCCATCCGGAAAGTGAAAGATGTCCCCCACGCTCGCCTCTAAGGGAGCAGCATCCTGCGTCGTCAAACCAACCTCCGCCGGACTGGCACACTCTCCATCCACCATGGCCAGTCCCTCTTGTCCTTCACCCATACCCGAGGAAGCATCACAAGACTCCTCCTCCTGCTTCAGCTGATGAAGGTGCGCCGGAGTCAGCCTAAAGAGGTCGGACCAGAATACAGTGCTGTTGTCGTGCGGCTGGTCGTCTGCTCCGCTTATACAGCTTAGGGCGACTCGGGAGAGCCTCTTCAGTATGAGTTCGTAGTGCTTTGCCTGCGGGTTGTGTGGCATGAAGTGCTGCAATATCTGGTTCGCCCGGCAGATGGCGAGCTCACATTCTCTTGCGTCGCCGAGACACCCAAAGTAGGCGGCGCACACGGTCAAGGCCGACACAAACGTCCAACCCCTGGGTTTGTTAAAGTCAGCAAATTCCATGTCTGGAATGCTTTATCTGAAGTGATTGCAGACTTACACAGCAAGTGGCATATTGTTATAGAGCACCCCGGCAACATGTAGCTCGTGGAGCAGCTGAATCGTCTTCAACGCGGTATCAAAAGAAGTCATGGCCCCGTACTTGACACTCCTGTCAACTTCAGAAGACTCTTCGCCCCCACGTACCTCCGATCCCTGGGTTGTTGGCGATTTGCTGTATTTAGCCCTAAGGCAAGCAATAAGAAACGGCCTCGCCAACAGCATCATGCTGAAATAGTAATTGCACGCAACCGTCGCGTTCCTGATGATGAGCTGCCTCGTCTTGGGGCACTTGTGCTCCGAAAACGCCGCAGGGCTGATGCTCCGAATCTCAAACGGCAGCTCCGTCCCCATCCGACGGAGCTTGCTCGACAGCCGCTCAAGAAGCCCCAGCGGCGCCGAACGTTTCGTGTAAATCTCCAGCAGGGTCTGCTTCAGGATGGAGATGGCTCGTGCCGATTCGTAGAGGCCGAGTTGCTGGCATTTATCAGGGTGCTTCGGATCAGGCCGCTGCTCGTCGTCGTCAAAGTCCTCTTCTGCCGAGTCCATGGCCGAGGTCATCGGCGCGCGTCCGACCATGGCGCAGAACAAAATGTCGAAAACACACAAGCTGCGCCATATCCGCTTCCTGCGATCATCTCAAGTCTCAGCAAATGCCGAATCACAATATGCGCTTGGAGAAGTGGCCCCTTACCTCATCCCCCTTTCTTCCAGGCACTGAACGAAGGTAGATTCAGGACGATGATACCCAAGTGCCTTTGCCGCGCTTATGGCCGTGCCCAGATTCAAGTACCCTCCGTCTCGTCGGCAGCCGCCAAGCATATACAGACTGATCAGCGTGAATGCCTGGACTGTCTCCATGGTAGGATACTCCGTCAGCTCCAGCAGCGCAATCCGACGGCCGTGGTAGAAGAACGATCGAGATCGATGTGAGTCTTGCGCAGATCCGCTCCGCATTTGCGCTGCAAAGGCAAGGACGAGGTATAAGATGGCGGCGCTGCTACTCGTAACGGAGATGTTCCCGTTGATCCAGCGACTGAGCAGAGTGTCTACCGTACCCCGGTTGATAATGTCAAGCATTCCACACGTCTATGTTCAAGTTGTCAGTCCATGTCCTTTTGCGGCTCACAACCCCGACTCCTATAACGAGGCATTGAAGAAACGGGGGACCATTACCGCTGAGAAGAACACTTGAACCAGATCTTCCAAATCCTTGAGATTCGCATTGCTATAAGCCAAAACACTCTCGCCATCCGTCGGCGGAGCTTCCGCCAACACCGAGAACGAAGAGATTTCCTTGGCTACATCAGCAAGTTCTTGTTCGCCTTGAATGAGCTCCTGTATATTGCGCAGGAAAGACAGCGCCGCGCAATCTCCAATGTACACTACAACAAATCACAAGACATATTAGCAATCATCATCCAAGGAACAACAGGAAGCGCACCATGATTTGGGGTGATCAAAGGCTACGTACTGGCTCGCCCTTTCGTATCGCGCATCGTACTCGGTACTTTTGGGATCGCAATATGTATGCCATCCTGTTCCGTACTCCCACGATCAAGACGATCATCCGGCGATGAACTCTCAACTTTTATCGTCCCATTCGGTGACTTTTTAGACACGTCCGTATCTGCCTCCTTGGGCCACGGCCGTTGCCGTCCGTATAGGCGTCTATGAGACGAGTAAGAGCAGGTGCTGGCTCTCTCCCGCTTGATGCACTGTCCGCAAGGGCAGAGGCCATCGCACTTCGTCTTATGAGTCTGGCAAAGGATGCAGGCCTTCGCAATTCGTGTTCGTTTTTCTGACCCTTTATGACGGGGCATGATGACGACGAAGATCGTAATTTTGCAAAAAGATAGAGAAGAAAAGAGTTTCGAGTTGTGGCAGTGTTGAGACGAGACTCAAGAGACGTTAACATGCCCAGTTGAAGCCATTCGAAGCTTAATGCTTATTTAATGCGGGGACCTGTAAGACGCACCCATCTCCAAAGCGTATAAGTCGTCGTATTGTCCTTTGGGGTAAGCTGTCATAAACTCTCCGTCGCTTATCGGCTCTTTCGATCCATTCCCCCGTTAAAGCAGAGAGCCAGGACCCGCGGATCTCCCGGAGCTGCCTCTTTTGTAACATATAGGGCTGTCGGTATGAACTAAGCAACATGAAGTTGGCTCCTGTCCTTCGTGGGCCACCGGATGGTGATGATGATGTTCCAGACCTGGCCATGTCCAGCCAGAACCTTGCCACGATGACATTCTAATTTGCTCACCACACAACTGACTTTTGCCAACTAATAAGCCAGGAATGGCCGCAAAAGTAATTGATTACTCTTTACAGAGTCGGCCGAGATCAAATATGGTTGAATTGAAACAGGAATTTAGCAAGGGAGTTACTAAATGTTCACCGCAATGTCCATTTCAAATCTAACATATGGATCTAGAAACTCAGCTAGAAGACCAGCACACACACATACACACCAGAAAACACACAAAAACAAATCATCGAAAACAATCGCCTTCCTCGCAACCCCCTTCCTCCGTTGCCCTCCCAGCGCCAGAATGAAATCAACCCCCCGTTTCCCTTTCGCGCCGGAGAAGAGCAAAGAGACGGCAGCAACCTCGCTGCCTCAGAATAGATACAAATGTGTGTGTGCCTGAGCGTGTCTGTGTGTGTATGTGCGTACATATTTCTGTATCTGGGAGTGAGAAAAAGTAAAGTGTGTGCAAACAACCTGTTGGCCGTAACTCCAGGCATATAAGTCCCTTTTTTGGCGCATCAAAGTCTCAAAGTCGTTGAAACCAAATTCTCAAAATCATTCCATTCCTCATCGTCTTTCGAGCACATCATCGTCTCTCGCCGGCCTTCGTGGAGCACATCTTCTGGCTCTCTCACCGTCGGACTCGGAGAGGCGCAGGAATCAGGTTCGGCAACGGCTCCGTGGGCTCGCTGATGCTCCTCTGCCTCTCCGTTCTATCGTCCCTATCCTCTCCGGAACTAGCACTGTCTTCCGCCTCCACCTGACTGCTTTCGTCTTCCTCGCTGCTGTCACTCTCGTCTTCGTCGAAAACGATTTGACGCATAACAGTCTTTTCGAATAAATCAATCACCATTCTTCGGACACCAAGCCTGTAGTGATTCCACTCCATCAGACCCATGACTGTTTTGAAGAACTCCGCGCTGCGGAAAGCCATCGGCTTGCGAGCCTTGATCTTCTGCAGCTCAGTGACAGCTTTGCGATACAGGACGGTGTTCCCTAGATCCACTATGAGCTCGAGGATGCGTTCGCTGATGGCAACGTCGTTGACAAGGGGGGGCATCTCTGAAAGTTCCAGTGGCGGTCGAGCGGGTCGCGGCGGGGGCTGCTCCCGTATGGTGCATTGTGACTCCGGCAGCTTGATGGAAGCAGCCGTCTCGTGATGCCACGGGGCAAGTGAAAACAGCTTCGACAGGTCGGAAGGAATGCAATATCCAAGAGAGTTGCCCATCAGCGTCGTGTTGGCATCCCATCCGTGCTCCGATAAAATCTCAAGTCCATGAGTCGATCGAGAAATGAGGCCCAAAACGAAAAAGGCCGTTCCTCGTAGACTCATTACTTCGTGGCTTGTTGCAATTTTGATAATCTGCTCAACCATATCGGTAGACTCCAAGAATGGCGCACCGAGCTCCATGGAGCCCACGTTACCCACCGCCCAAAGGCAGCCCTTGACCTTTGTGATCAGTTCTGGATCCTCAGATTGCATGCCATGTTCACGAATGGTATTGGCAAACTCCTCAAAGTGGCCCTTGTCACTAAGCAACTTGCATCCCTCTTGGGTTCTCGTCAGCTCCCGGTAAAAGTGAGGGGGGATGTGGCTGTCGTGATAGTCGGTCTCCGCTTCGTGCTCGTCAAATACACTGAGGCGATGATGTTGTTCGTCTGTGTCTGTTAGGAAGGCCTTGGCCAAGCTAGCTTCGATAAGGCCAACGTAGGTGTCGTTTCGTCCCAAAAACCAGTCATCCATTTCGTTACTGATATAGTCTAGACCGTCAAGGTAGTGATAGCCAATGGATGTTGATAGGAATCGCAGCAAGAGTGGCGCTCCAATTTCGCCAAGGTGATCCAAAGCCGGCCGGCACTCAACGATATACGCCAAGTAGGCTTTTCTGTTGCAAGCCTTCTCCAAGATCTTGACAGCAGTAGAGCACACCTCAATCTCCGGATCGTATAGCTGGGTGACCAGAAGTTGGATGGCCCATCTAGAGTCGCTCAACTCGCCACGGCCGTCAATGGACGGCACTCTTCGCAGTGTGCATTTTCGAAGAGTGTTTGTGGCGTGTATGCGAATCTCCTTTGTGCCCGCCGTCAGCGCCTTCGATAGCAGGATGCGATGATGGCCCTGACGACTGTAGTCGAAACTGGAGAGGAGCAGTTTGATAAGGTCAGGGCGCGAGGTCAGCTCGTAGATGTGGTACATCATGTTGAACATCCGCCATCTTTCCAGCATAGCCAAGCCCTTGGGGTCGCCAGTGAGCACGCCGAGCATAGGGAAGTAGCCAGCGCAGAGGGTGTCTGTAAGCCTGTCTTTAGAGAACATAGGATACTGCGCAGTAAGCCCGCTGGTCTACACGCAACCTGTTAGTAGCGGCACATAATAGGTCTTGAAATTCTGACTAAAAGACTGAACTCACCGGATCGCACTGAGCCAGACATTCCGCAATCTGCCTCAGCAACTTGCTATCCGCCAAAAACCTGACTCCCTCTGGCGACTGCAGCAGAGAGTGCACCAGGGCACATCCAGCCCTGACATACTTCTGTGCGTTTCGCGTGTTTCGCACGTCCGCAAACTTGTACTTGAAGGGCCGGTAAAAGCTCATGATCCGCTTCATAAACTTGGATGCTTTGATGGCTTCTTCAAGCCTCTTGCCGACCTGGAGGGGGCCATCGATGACTTTAAGGATGTTCTCCCAGTTCCATTTGGAATAGTTGGAGCTGTTGAGCACACCGGTGTCGATGAGAAGCTGGCGGAATGTGGCATCATCAAAGGCCACTGTAGATCCCGCCTTGCGCTGGTCCTCGAGGAGGGCTAGATCGTTCATGCTGTCGCTCGAAGGCAGAATGCCAGCCAGGGAGTCTGTGGGCGCGCTTCGGTATAATGTGCGGTTGAGGCTGCTCATCTGGTATACAATGCTTGATGCAATGTAGGACTGGTTGTCGCCAAATTTCGCGGCCGCCGAGAAGAGTTCTGGTAAGAGTTGTATTTCTGCGCTCCACGATGGAGGGAGCAGCTTGGCCGCCAGCTTGAGCGCCTCGCCGATCAACAGGGTCGTCTTGCGCTTCAGCATGGTGTCGTTCTCGGAGCGGGCAACCTGCAGGAGGGTTGGAATAATCCCGGCTTTGATGAGCACCGCCAAAATCAGTGCTGTGTAATGGTCTACGAAATTCTGCTCTCCAGTATCTTCTTCCAGATACCCTCTGTCCCTAGTCTCGGCTTTCATATTGAGGTTGTTCACTCTTCCATAAGTAGTGAGCCTACGTCCTGCTAGGAATGACACGGCCCAGGCAGGCGGCTTGATCCGAAGCAACGAGAAGAGCAAGTCCAAGATGGTTTCTCGGATGGCAGGGTTCGGAAGAGAGATGCTCATGACGAGGGATCGAATGGACCGAAAGTCGTACATGCAGAGGGACATGAGACCAGACCACGATCGCATGGCGACGGAGATGGCCTTGCAGTTCTGCTTGAGCACGACGTCGCTGCTGGCCAGTTGGCTTGTGAAGGAGTTGAAAACCACGTCCAGACCATAGCCCGGCTGGATATACTTTCTCCTGTGAGGGGTATCCAAGAGATAGAGGAAGGCCGACGTTAGACTCTCGGGGGCTTTGTACGTTCCTTCAGCGAGAGCCTCAGAGAGAGGACCAAGGCCTCCTGATGCAAGTAGCAGACGAGGATCTCGCACCATGATCTCGGCTAACGTTTCGATGCAGATAGGCCGCAGGCGATCGGTATTCTGTTCAGTAGGCTGAGCGGAACCAGATCGGTCGTCACCATATTCAGCAACGGCCACGATGGTCCGCACAACGGCGCGCGAGATCTCCTGGACTCCGTCCTTAACGTCAAGAAATGCTCGGACAAACTTGAGAGCCTGCTCTCGTTCAACATCTGCCTTGCGATAATTGTTCAACGACCTAGGTGGTGAGGAGTCAGCCTGGTCTCTTCTATATACGAAAACGGCGGAGTGTCCCCCCTGATATATTCAAACACCTACCGGATAACTAAAAAGTCCGTGTTCAAGCTCCTGATCTTCTTAAGAGAGGTTCGGTCGGAAATCGCATATCTCGTCGCACGGTAGCCAGCCGCGACAACTTCTCGGCTTTCGCTGAGAAGCATCATCTGCATGCGGAGGCCAAAAACAGACCACACCAGGTCGTACTTGAGGGTTGGATATCTCTTGAAGAGGTCCACGAGCAGGTTGGCTCGAGTCACGTAATAGTCGGGCGTCATACCCCCGACCTCGAGCGCCTGGAGGAGCTCAGCCAGGGTAAACGTAGGGTTCTCGGTCGCCTCTTCGATGTCGGACCCGGGACCTGATCGAAGGCTATGCGGTGAGCGATGCAGCGCCGCATCCTGCTGGGCTCGGTTTCTAGGGGGCGTGCTGGGTGGTGCCGCTTTGGTGGCCTGGGCATCCGTGATCTGCTGCTTGAGCACCTTGATGCGCGAATGGCTGGCGGTCAGCTCGGCCTCGACCCTCTGGCGCTGCTCCTTTGTCTGCTTGGCCTTTTTCAGGTTGAGCGCCTCGAGCATGTTCTCGCTGCCTTCCTTGATCTTCATCTCGCGCTTGAGCTTGTCCCGCAGCAGCACGAGGTTCTGTTCCACAATGTCGCCCTCCTCCAGCTGGTCGTTGAAGCTGCTCGGGTATACGGGTCCCGCGTCGGTTCGGCTCCCCTGGCGGATCGGTACCACCTGGCTGCGCAGCTCGGAACTGAAGCTGCCGGGGCCCGCGCCAGGGTTGAGGCTGCTGCTGGCTCGGGGAGCGAAGGAGACGGCCGAGGCCGACAGGTTCCTGGAAGCCCCGCCATTGGGAATCTGCAGGCCGGTGCCCTCGCGGTCGATGCTGGTCCGTCCGGCAATGGGTGCCCCGTCCGTCTGCTTGAGGCTCTGCGAGGGCTGGCTGGACGCGGCGAAGCCCTTCTGGCTGGATGAGGAGCTGGCCAGCATGGTGACGGCGACGGCGACGCCCACCAAGGGGGGACTATGCCCTCTGGTGGCTGCTGGGCATTCGTGGGTATGTGGCCAGGGCGTGCGTAGCGGCGATGCGGGCGTCTCGCTGGCGCTGGATCCAGGTCGTGTCGGGGCGAGGCGCGGTGACGGTTCTCGATTCGTGCGAGTCGAAGCTCATGAGCCCGACGAGCAGCCGCGGTGCTTATTGGCGGGCAGAGGAGTGAACGATGGGAGATCGCAGATCAGGGCGGTGGAACTCTGAGGCAAGCTAAAGCCCAAGGCTGAGCGGAGATACAGGGCCAAGGCGGGTTGCGCACATTCGATGGCCGGCGAAGCGCTGCAGGCGGTGGCAGCTGGTCAAGGCATGCGAGAGGACGAGGCTCAGCCCGCGATACAGAAGATGAAGGGAAAAAAGACGCAGAGGCTATATCGAAGGCAGTGTGCCAGCCGTCAGGATCTCAGAAGGCCGGCGGGAAGCAGTCAGGTTGGATGCATGCCCCAGATGGATGGAGGTTGGTGGCTTGTAGCCTCACTGTGGCACAGCAGTGGGCGCCATTTGTTAGGCGGGTTTACAGCAGAGTCGGGGTTCATGTTTGCAGTGCTCGTCAGCGGCTCATCTACCCTATGATTGGTGGTGCCTTCAACTCTTGTCTGTTCATAAGTGACAGTTGAAATTCGATGAATTGCTTGGAATCCAATCATCAGAATGGATAATATAAGAGCCATGAAACTGAAGGGTCAAGAGGAACAAAGACAGAACAAGCGTCTTGCCAAGTGCAGACGACGATGTCATTCATGTTGTCTTCGGAGTCGGGGTGCATCCGGCCGATCGCGCCCAAGGTGGTATCAAGATGTGGCTGGTGAGTCTGCAACAAAAGCCAAGGCAGATCGTACATGTACCTTCTGTACGCATTCATCAATGCAACAAGATGCACGGCTGCTTATCCGAGACCTGATTGATGCATCCATGAGACAAGAAAAGGGCAGACAAGACAAATCAAACGACACTGACTTTGTATTTACTAACACGCATTGTTATCACAGTGCTAGTCCCGGCTTATCTTGATTCCCCCAGCATCTGCCGCTCCCAAACTGAAGATACCTTACATGTACCATCACAGGCATCGGCAAATGCTGCCATCAGGCCATCATCCGATTCCATTGCACTCCGAAATCTCATACTGACATCTCCAACCCCTCCAAGTCAGCAACTAATCGCTGCACCGCTCGTATCATCTCAGCTTCAAACACTTCCACAAAACCGAAAATCATGGGCCCATATCCTGGGGCAAGACCCCGAATCCATCTTGCATCCTGGGGCCTCCGGGGCGCCACGGTTCTGGGATTCGGCGGGCTCCGGACTCTGTGGGCAACCCCCCCACCAGCGATAGAGTTGCCAAAGCGCCATGGCCCGAGCATGTTCTTATTCTGCCGCTGATGCCGCTTGCGGGCAAGTCGAGCCGAGTGCTGCTGTGCCATGGACGATCCGGGCTGCTGCTTACCTGGTACTCGTATTGTCCACGGCTTTGTGGCTCGGTGAGGCGACGTCCGATGGCAGCTTGTGCGGTGCCGTGGTGAAAAGTGGAATCAGCGTTTGATGTAACCAACGACCGGCACACATGTGATGCTGCAGATATAAATCTCCTAGACCGCGCTCCAGTAGACTCGATTCTGATTGATCCGTCTTTTCTTCTGACTAGATAGTATTTGCATTCCCTCGACCTCTTGTTATCTTGTCATCCGGTCTGCTGCTCCGGGTTTCGGCATTGACAAGACAGCTCCAGCTCAACACCTCCGTGACGTCTCCGCCTCCTGCTCATCCTCCTCCCTCATAAACATCATCACTTTTTCCCTCCTTGAGTAGAAGCACACGAAGCATCACCACCAAATCTCACCTCTCTTAAACCCCCAATTCACACACCATCATGGCCTCTACCGCCTACGTCTCCGCGGCCCGCTACGGCAAGGACAACGTCCGCGTCCTCAAGACGGACCGCGACGCCGCAACCGGCGTCCACACCGTCACCGAAATGACCGTCAGCTGCCTCCTCGAGGGCGACATCGACGTCTCCTACACAAAGGGCGACAACAGCGTCGTCGTCGCCACCGACTCCATCAAGAACACAATCTTCATCACCGCCAAGCAGAACCCCGTCAACCCCCCGGAGCTCTTCGCCGCCATCCTCGGCGCCCACTTCATCGACACCTACAAGCACATCCACGCCGCCAACGTCAAGGTCATCACCCACCGCTGGACGCGCATGACCATCCGGGGCAAGCCGCACCCGCACAGCTTCCTGCGCGACGGCGAGGAGACGCGCAACGTCGAGGCGCGCATCTCGCGCAAGGACGGCATCGTCATCACCAGCGGCATCGAGGGCCTGACCGTGCTCAAGAGCACCGGCTCGGCCTTCCACGGCTTCGTGCGCGACGAGTACACCACCCTGCCCGAGACCTGGGACCGCATCCTGTCCACCGACGTCGATGCCAACTGGAAGTGGAAGCCCTTTGCCGACGTCAAGGCCGTGCGGGAGGCGGTTGACAAGTTCAACCCGGCGTGGGAGGAGGCCCGCGAGATTACGCTGACGAGGTTTGCCGAGGATGAGAGCGCCAGCGTGCAGAACACCATGTACAAGATGAGCGAGCAGATTCTGGCGGCTGTTCCCGACGTGGAGCTGGTCAATTACTCGCTGCCCAACAAGCACTTTTTCGAGCTCGGTACGTTTCTCACTCATCTATTCTATATGCATGAGGGCAGTTTGCTAATGAGTTGACAGACCTGAGCTGGCACAAGGGCATCAAGAACACCGGCAAAGACGCCGAGGTCTATGTCCCCCAGTCAAACCCCAATGGCCTCATCAAGTGTGAGGTCGCCCGCGGCTCTCCCCCAAGCCGTGGCTCGCACCTGTAAAACTTAAAAGGAAAGAGTGACGTATTTACCGATTGCTTTGTATAAATGGTGTCTCGTCGGTCAATGTTGAATCAAGGACTAGAGGAGGATCATCATGATTGTCATGACCCCTGCGTCGTACGCAGATTGCTTGTATAGCGTATTGGAATTGGATATATTTGCATACGCCCCCTTTTGGGATTTGCAATATTTCGTATCAAAAATGTGATTCTGTGAGCTGCTTTTCGATAGACGTTATTTGATTTTCCTTATCCAGTCTCTTCAGACTCCAATTCTGTCAGAAAACACCCCTTCAGCCCGCATTCCTCATGCTATAGTCGTCAAGCACACAAAAAGATATAGTACAGTTAGCACACAAATTCCTCACAACATCCTCGCCATGATCAGCTGCCCGTCCCCTCTCATAACCGATCCTGATCCGTCTTCCGAATCGCCTCAACAGCCTTCTGCCACCCCTCCGTGCCCACCACCTTCCCCCCAAACCGTATCAAATTCTGCTTATACGGATGTGCCTCGCCCTCAAAAGCCTTCAACCTCGCCAGCCGCTTATCCCGCAACCTGTTCTTGGGCAGCATCCCGCTGACCGCCTTGCGCAGCACCTCGCTCCCGCCGTGCTTCTCCATCAGCACGTCCATCGTCACCGTCCGCAGGCTGCCCGGCCGCGTGTTGTGCCGGTAGTACTTCTTGCGCCACATCTTGTTGCCCGTGGTGTGCAGCGCGGCGCAGTTGGTCACGACGACGTAGTCTCCGCAGTCGGTCGACGGGTCAAACGTCGGCTTGTGCTTGCCCATCAGCAGGACGGCGATGCGCGACGCCAGGCGGCCGAGGGAAGGGGGCGTGACGTTGGGCTGGGTGGTGAGGGTCGGGTGAGGCGTGGAGGCGGAAATCTGGTGCCATACTCGGGAGTAGGCGAGCCTTGTCTGTAGTAGAAGCAGCGTTAGAAGAGGGAGACTTTTGCTTCATGGGCCGAGCAGGGGAAGCTGGAAAGTCTGACCAGGCCAATTGTCTGCGACATCTTGTGTAATTGAATAGAGCCTTGAGCGCAACAGCTTCACGCTTCAAGGCAGCAACAGCACCGGTGAGAAATGCGACCCCGAGTTGACGCTTCACCAACTGCCTTCAAAGTGGGATATCACGGACTCGAACCTCGAAAGTTTGCACATCCAATTGCAGCCATTGTCCGATGCTGACTCATCGCACCAATCACATGACCGCTTGCAACTTCTTATCCTCTCCCACTTCTTGTGCTCCCACAATAATAAGCTCCAGTGGAAAGCCTCTCTTTTTCGCCGACTCCACCCCCCGGAAACCGTGTAAATCCCGGCGTAAGTTATGGCATCACTCGCCTGTGGATTTCAAAGCAGGGCCAGACGCTGCGTGTGTCTCCGTCCCAAGTGCAATCAATACATAACAGCAAGAAACCACCGATAAATGGCGCTCCGCAACGCTGCGTCTTCCAAGTTTCTGGCAGCCTCGTTCGGCCTCGTTGCTGGTTATTCTGCGTATCGATACAGAGCATCACACTCGATTCCAGCGCAGCTGCGAAACGACGCTGCGAGCCCTACAGGCCCTCCAGGTACAGGTACAGGTACAGGCACAGGTGCTGCTAGCGCCCCGACAGCAGGTACGTAGGTACCCTCTCACTTCTATGAGCTTCGCTCGAATCCTTCAGTTTATACGGCAAAAGACCCCCGCGTAATTTACCGTACGCTGACAACTCACGCGCAACGACAAGGCACAATGGCTGTCAAACATAGCTTCCAGGTATTTTCCCTTCACTCTTTTTCACAATATTTTTCTTCTTTTTCTCTTTCCTTGTTTTTACAAAACAAGAAACGTGCACTGTCCATTACAAGAGTTGGAGAAAATCTAATGAAACACTCGGCAAACAGACCCTCTTCGCCGTTCCGCTATCCTGCGACGGCTGCGTCAAGTCCGTTTCAGACTCTCTTTACAAACTCGACGGCATCACAAAGGTCGAGGCAAACCTCAAGGACCAGCTGATATCGGTCGAGGGATCTGGTGAGTTCATGGCACCATCACGTCGTACACATCACTCATCTGCCGTACCATCTTGCTAACGCCTCGGGCCATGCCGCAGTCGCACCATCTGCCATCGTCGAGGCCATCCAAGCCACGGGCAGAGATGCCATCCTCCGGGGTTCCGGCGCTTCCAACAGTACGTTTCAGAAAAGCTCTTCACTGCTGAACTTTCAGGCTCCGAGACACCCTCCCTGCTACCGTCTACGACATTGCCCCCCTGTTTCTGCTCTATGGGGGGCGTTAAGTCATGTTTCTCCGAGGGGTATCAGTTGGCATGAGCAACACTGGCTGACCAGCACATTGTTTACTCAGGTGCCGCCGTGAGCATTTTGGAGACGTTTGACGACCAACAGGAGCGCTTGGATGGGGATAACAGCCGGGAAGTGAGAGGCCTCGCCAGGATGGTGCAAGTCAGTCCCGAGCGGACACTGATCGATCTGACGATAAGGGGCGTTGCGCCCGGCACGTATCGGGCAACCATTCGTGAGTACGGAGATCTCAAACACGGCGCTGCTTCGACCGGGCCCGTCTGGTCTGGGGGCGAAAAGGAAGCCCCCAAGGGAGATCTCGGCGTTGTCGAGGTATCCAAGGACGGCCGGGGATCCGTCTTCGTGGACCATGCCTTTCAGATCTGGGAAGTCATTGGCCATGCCATGGTGCTCACCAGACAGGACGAGTCTGCGCCGCTGAAGAACGACGACAATACCGTGGTTGGCGTCATTGCGCGTAGCGCCGGGATGTGGGATAACGACAAGACTGTCTGTTCCTGCACGGGTAAGACGTTGTGGGAAGAGCGTCAGGACGAGGTCAAGAAGGGCATGCTGTAACAGCACAGCAGGGCTCAAAAACCCCGTTTTGGATAAACAAGTAAAATGAATGAATAAACGAGACAAGCGACTGTTTTCTCTTACCTCCCCACTCTCCCTCCTCTCAAATCTCCTTTTAAGCTTATCTCACAATCTCCTATGAATCTCATGAACGACGGCACTTACCTCGTAGAGAGATTGTTATAGACCGGCAATTTAGTTGAGGGCGTTCGGATTGCCGATTTCACGATGGCGGGGTTATCTCATCAAAGCTCAACTAGTAGCAGTTTCATGCCGTCCAGAGATCCAGAAACCCCAAAACGCCAAACTTGTAACGCTGAAGATACAAGGGGGATCGGATACGTCGACACAAGGCAAGCCAAATACGAACAGTCAGTTATCCCATGCAAAAGCACGGTCCTCGAGTCAAATTTCACTGAAACGCCTCGAGTTCATGCGTTTGCCTTGTGTACGAGTACGCATCCAGTTGCATCTCGTGCTGCTCGTTTGCGGAGGTACCCAGATCAAGTATCGTGTACTCGGATGCCGGGCCTCCGAAGGCTTACGCACGCAGGCGATGCGAATACGCCAGACGTTGTTGAACACGGACGTTGATAAACAGAGTCGTCAAGCAGCCATATCAGGTCTCCATGAAACGCAATTAGAGATTGGTGAGGCCACAATCATGCTGCGCGGGGTTGACAGCCAGCTATAGCACCCCCAGACCAGTGACGGTGTGATACACGTAAACGCCAAGATTGTGACAGTTGAGGCCCGTGCCTTGTCCTCAGCAGATGATCAGACGATAACCCGTGGGCATGGCACCACTTGGCTGGTAAGTCTAGAAACGTCTTTCGAATATTCTATGTCTGTCCGCCTTGGGTTCACGCCCCTCCATCACAGCTTTGTAAGCTGTTAGACAGTATTCGGGATCGCGTTGTAGGCTCAGCTCCTCATGTCTTTCCCGTGAAAACTCATCATTGTCACATCAAGAGCTGGCGAGGAGGTGATATCTAGGTATGTACTTGCCATGTAGAAGAAGGCCGGCGGGCCTCGCAGCCTCGCAGCAGCATCGTCGGCGCGTAGAGAGCTAATAAAATCGACTCCATGGCTCAGGTGTGTGCAGATGCTGTGACGGAACTGGCCAGCCAGCAGGAAACCATCAGCTTCCTCGTCAGGGGAGCTCCCAGAGCTGTCCATCCAGGAATGACGCGAAGCAACGATAGGTGGTTGCCAACGTGCCCAGGCGGGGGGTTTAACAAGGTCATTTCGGCGAGCTCTCATTCAGTCGCCCACTGCTGCCGCCGTTGCATCACAGGATGACTGACAGGACGCTGACAAGTGGCTGTGATGCATGTCATTATTGGTGATGAATGCATGGGATGGCCAAGGGAACCCCAGCTTTCCCATCCAGAACGAGATACCTGGTCCGGCTCGACGCTCATGTGCTCGCTGTGATCCGGCGGTGAATGCTGATAGATTCTATCATCTGGCCGTCGGATGCGTGGAATATATGCCGCGAGCAGTTAAAAATAGCCTGGGGGAATGAATAATAACCCGTCAGCCATGACACCATCATCTCTGTGTGATCCAGTTGAACGGAGAATATCGAGCGCGAAGTGACCATCCCGTCCAATCTCATCGCAGTATTTGGTGATGAGCAGATTGGCTTGAGGGAGCTAACATGCTAGCCGCAGATGAGCCCAGACCAACAATGTTCAGGGCGCTTAGTAGCCCGTCGTCCTTTCACCCACGCTGCCGGATATGGGTGCCCAAACCGCCGGGCCTGGCAACGACTCGACAAGCTCTCCCTCCAAAGTTGGCCAACATCAGAATGGCCATGGAGGACAATACGCTCTTCTGCTGGTGGCTGGACCTGGACAACGGGCTGGCAAACTGCAAGGGTCAGCAAAAAGGTACGCGCCGTCGTTGGCCGCAAGCTCTGACCCCTGGGGACCAATTAGCGGAGCTGTCAGGCACCTCGATTCGGGAATTGCAACGCCGCGTGTCCCAGAATAGCGCACCTTTGATAACATGGTAAACCGGAATCCAACGAATGCTCGTCGGCATGCCAAGAGTTGCAGCCGCAGACGCACATATGCGGGCTATCGATCAACTGCGCGGAGGAAGGGCCGGGGACAGCAGGAGCGCCGAAATGCGAAGCATCAGCTGCGTACATGCTACTTAGACGGTCTAAGCAGTGCCTGCGTAGGATTGGATATCGTGAACATTTGATGCCGCAATGAGATGAAGACGAGGTTTGGAGATAGAGTCAAGTTTCCTGCACTCGTCGAGATGAAGCAGGCCATATCTTATCTTGATACAGGTAGGTAAGCAGATATGCTGATTGATAAGATCGTTTGGCGAGTGGTCCTGGGTTGCTCCTCCCCTCTCATCGATGAGGATCGCAATAGTGTTGTTCCAACCCGATCAGGAACACGTGGTTGACGGGATTTGACTCAACCTCATCTATTACTCGAGCGATCTTGTCTAAAACCATCTACTACAACATCAATCAAACGGAGAAACAAGATCAACGCGGCGCAGCCAGCTCCCTGGATGGCCATGGTTCGACTCTGTCGTGTTATCGACCAATTCAGCAACATCCGCAGATTTGCGACCTACCCGATCCATCGCCGCCAAGAGCGCAGACGGCCTCTAGGCCCATTGCTAGAACAGCCAACGCAACGCCACCAGTAACGCTGTCATTGTCCCAAAGTACTCTTTTGGGCATGCTTGAGCTGGTTTTGGTGCTTGAATCGGTAGTATTTCTCGCTTGGTCCGCTGCAAGCAAGCAATGACCTCACAGACGACTTGAAAAGGAACCGGTGCGCCCCAAACAGAGCAAACAGACGCCGGACAGATTGCTCTGATAGGCGAACATGGCAGCTTGTCTCCAGCAAGGAGCCCTCGGTACGGGGTAGAAAACAACAGACGAAGGCCTAGCACCAAGGCCAACACGACGGCACAAGCCACCGAATCGACCTGCGACACCAGGGAGTGACCCGCCACCCCTGGTTCCACGACCGCATCGATGGCCTCTCAATGTCACATACTGACCTCTGGACGTCCTGAGAAGGTCGCCGTTCGACAGGCTCAGAGCCAATACCAAGCTTGGGACCAAACCTCGCGCTCTACTTCGTACACTCCGTTCAAACACACCCCCATCTCGGATTCCCCTGACCGGTGTTTGGTCGCTCACTGACCCCCTCTGGCGATTTGGAACAGAGGTGAAGCTTCACCAGCCCATGTCCAAAACCGCGGCACCCCCCCAGAGAACGGCAGGCCAGTTCCCAGGTCCACCACCCATGCCAAGCTCCAAGTCCCGATTTTCCCATTTTTACTCCTGCACGCCACGCCCACTGCCCCCCGTCTTTCTCTCCACTCGTCACTCACTCTTTTCTGTTCGCCCTCCCAGCCCAATGCACGCTACCCGACCAGTCACCTTGGCTTGTCGATAGCGCCGCAAAACCCATCGTCCACCATCGGATCACTACAATCGTTTTTTTTCTTCTGCTCTACATCGCTCGCTTGCTTTAATTCACTCATTCCTTCCCGGGGTCAGGAGAGCTAGAAATCAAGTAAAAGCATCGTTATTCGGCCGGCCGGATTCTTTCCCCTGCAGCAGAGAGGCGTTACACGGAGGGAGCGCTCAAAGCCATAATAAGTCGGGTGACATACAGATCAGCGTCGCTTGTACGAAGTACACATACCCCACGAATCTACTGCTCTCCTTCTGGGGATGCACGGAGCACAGAACGAGATTTTCTAACATCAGGTCAGCTTTCTTCAGAGCTCGCGAAAGCAGACATTGTCAGATTGATCGAAGATCTGGGAATACCTTCTGTCGGGCCATTCCAGGAGTCGGTAGCTTCGAGCATTATCACGAGATCCTCCCTCGGCTGGCGCCACCCGCTTCGCCAAGGTCCAGCCCGCAGCTTGCACGATTATCTGGCCAAACCAAACAAAGGCGGGGGTACCGACGTCTTTTGGAACACAGGAGGCTTCGTACTCTGCTCTGACAATACAGCTCGCCGCAATTATAGCTGGAACTTGTTCATCGATAGGCCGTGGTATTCCTTTGTCTCTCCCAGTCCCAACATTCCGAGGCGCCAGCCCTTCCGTGGGCTGTAAATAGGTCCTTCTACATACGCAATTGTCCCGCCGGCTACTTGGTCATCTTTCCTGAGCTTTCGCGCATAGTCGGCTACGATGTCGTTGAAACAGGTAAGAGAAGTCGGCCGCATGGTCTTGTCGGACGATGGCGTGGCGTATGCTGATACCCTTGGCTTGTGTAGGAGATTGAGACCTGGGTCGCGGCCCTGGGCCGTTACGACAATAATGAGTTCGACGAAGCTCTTGCCGAGTTCGACAAGATTGGCGATACGAGCAAGATTCTCTTCAACATGGGCGTCATCCACGCCACTCTGGGCGAGCACGAGAAAGCTGTGGGTTGTGCCTTGTTGATCCCCAGCACCGCCTTGATCTGCCCTACTAACTTATGCTGTGCGCAATACCTAGGTCGAGTGTTACCAACGAGCCATCCGATTAGATCAGTACCTGGCCGTCGCCTACTTTCAACAGGGTGTGTCCAACTTTCTGCTGGGCGATTTCGAAGAGGCCCTGGCCAACTTCAACGACACGCTGCTGTATCTGCGAGGCAACAGCGTGATCGACTATGCCCAGCTTGGTCTTCTCTTCAAACTGTACTCGTGCGAGGTCCTGTTCAACCGAGGGTTATGCTACATCTATCTGCAGCAGAAGGAGGCGGGCATGCAGGATTTGGCGTATGCTGTCAAGGAAAAGGTCGTTGAAGACCACAACGTCATTGACGAGGCCATTCGTGAGGAAGCAGAGGTGAGGATTATTAAACAATTCCGTGGTCAAAGAAAACAGCTGACTTACCTTGCAACAGGGCTACACTGTATTCTCCATTCCCGTTGGAGTCGTATATCGACCAAACGAAGCCAAGGTCCGCAATCTGAAGACCAAGGACTACCTTGGCAAGGCTAAGCTGGTTGCTGCCTCGGATCGATCCAATGCATTCACAGGATTCGCTGGTTCCGAGATCAAAAATGTAAGCACATGTGCCCCCAGCAATGTGTTTCTCTTGCTTATCCGCCCCCCTTTTTAGGCCTTGACCGAAGCAAAAGACGACCGACCGACCGAAAACCTGTCCTTCGCGGCGACAAATCTGGTCAAGCCTGGCCTTCAGTCACGACGACAGCAGTCCGAGCCGCCGACCGATCGCAGCAATGCATTTCCCCCCACACCTCCTCCGGAGAACGATCGGTCCAACCGGGGTCCTTCCGAACGGAACTCTGGAGGGAGAGGGAAGCTCAGCATCCAGACGCAAGAGCCCAGCCGGAAATATGAAAAGGCAATTTCGCCGCAAGAACGCGCCAGGCATGGGCGGTCGGCATCTGCTGCCCCTGCGAGAGGCATCTCGACAAGAGATCCCCAGCGTAGGCAGAGGCCTATTGAAGAGGATTCCCCCTACGGCGATGAATACGATCCGTACGCCGTTGGCCCACGAGGAAGCAAGGGGTCTCGATCACGGCAACAGCGATATGACGACCGATATGACGATCGATATGACGATGAAGAGGACTCGGAAAATGACTACGGCTCCTTTGACGAGGGTGAATTCGAGATGGTATCCTCGATGCGGCGCGGCCCTGGGTCGGTGGCGCGGCCATCGCGCGCGGCATCTCGAAGACCGCCGGACATTCGCAAGATCCGAGTCAAGGTGCACGCAGACGACGTGAGATACATCATGATTGGCACGACGATTGAGTTTTCCGACTTTGTGGATCGCATCCGCGACAAGTTTGGCCTGCGAAAGCGGTTCAAGATCAAGATGAAGGACGAAGACGTGCCGGACGACATGATTACGATGGGCGACCAGGACGATTTGGACGTGGCCATCCAGAGCGCAAAGAGCTCTGCAAGGAGACAGAAGCTGGACACTGGCAAAATGGAGGTATGTTGCTGCTTTTTCGAAAACCTACCTTTTCATCTGGCATCTGAAACTGGCGGTCTAACTTTCTTTTTCTTAGATTTGGGTCATTGAGGTTTAGAGCTGTTTCTGTTACACACGTGCGCAACGCAATTATACCCCCTTTGATGCTCTCGACAGGACTCAAGCAGACTTGTCTGCTAGTTGAAGACAGACGACTATTACGACACAATAGTGCGGCAGAGCTTACCAATTTTCTTGTTCTTTTCGATTTACTTCCTTTTCGATGGTTTCAGATGCTTAGACTGCATTACTTCCCCCACGGCACTGTATAGTGCATTTGGTTTCCTCTTAGGCTAGGACATGGCGATTGCTCTTCTTTTCTTTTCATTCGTCTTTTTCTTTGTATTTCCTTTTTGTCTTGCCGCGTCTGCGTCATGTGGTGCAACGAGCACTCCGAGCAGAGGAGGCCTGCAGTTGAATAATGTGCCCCCGATGGGGGTTTTACTTCGTCCTCCGTCGTCGTCTTTATCCAACGACGTGGACGCTGTTTATATGGGCTTCGGTGAATAAGAAGCATGGCTCTGGTATGGGGGAAGTAGGATTGGAAAAGAAAAACGATTGGTGGAGAGCCCGGCAGAAGAAGACGATAGTTGATCTATCGGGATTCTTGTTAGTTAGAGAGCCGTTTCCTCAGGCAATTCATGTATAATGACTACATCATCTGATTTTTTGCAAGAATCTCTAATGCAAGCCTTTTCGGAGCTCGCTGTATTATATCGAGGATTCCGAGGCCAGCGGCTGTGCCCCTGAAGAGGCGCATGAGCTGAGATTAGTAAGACGATGCAGGCAGATAAGAGAAGAGAGATGTGCCGGGATCACGGTAGGTACAGTAACAGCCGAATCAAGCGGTGGATCGACGGCATGCAGCACCGCACAGGGAATGATGGATACTGGAAGAGTCGGTAAGTCGCTTTTCTGTTGAGTTTCTACAGGGGTTGCTGAAGAAGGATAAGAAGTAGTCTAGAAGAAGAAGGGGGAAGAGGACGCGCCTTGTCGGACATGGAAGATTCTGGGATTTCTGCCTTTTGTTTCCTTCTTTTCGTAGAACGCTTACAAGTAGTATTCGGTTCCTGCATGAGTAGTTCAGGTCATGTTTCCATTACATCTACGGAATACTTCTATACTATTTCATCTACATTGCCGTATATTAATTGTGCTAGTGCTACTGCAGGACTAGCATGCGGGTATTTCGGAAGATGTGCGAGATTTGGGCAAAGGGGATCTGCAATCTGGGAGATTTTCTTGGTTCTGTTCCTTTTGGGGGCGGTGTGGCTGAGATCACTGATGGCTGAGATGGCGTTATCTCGACTTCAACTTCTTCTTTCTCAAATCTCTTTTTTTCTCCCTCTTGTCTGTGGTAGGGAATTGTCTGTGGTAGTGAAGGGTCTGGAGATGCAGTCTTTTGTAACTCTGCACATCATGAACTTGGTAGAGCTTGAAGGGAACCTCGAGAGGTCTCAAAATTGGAAAGCAACGGCTAGGGAATTGAGCCGCTTCCTAAAGCCGATTAGAACGACACCTCACGAAGTCCACAACTGAACAACAACGTTCTCAACGTCCGTTCAATTAGAGTAAAGCAGAAAAAGCTTGAACAGCACTCATTTCGTTTACCACGATGAGCTGCTGGGTTTATTAGTCAAGAGCTTCTCTTCAAGGTCCCACTTTGCTACAGCTAACCCTTGTCGTTTTCCTGTGCTGGCGATGGGGCTCTTGTGTTTTTTCGTCACTGTTGAGCATGGTAGCTGTAGCTTGGTAGATAACGACAAGGCTGTGTGCAGTGGAAAAGGGGGCCGATAAGGTTGACGATTTTTTGCTTCTTGTTTCTGTTGATAATCGGCACACCGTCATTGTTGGTGATTCGGGTAACGACGATCAATGGGCAACGATTTGCTTTCAAAACCAAGGAAGAAGACAAATGGTATAAACTCCATCGTCGCCACACGTTCACGATAGACGATGGATTCTTTCCCTCTTCCCATCACCAAGCTCTTCCATATCCTTCCAAGCGAGCTTCTCCATATATCCCACTCAAGAGCAGGCATCACTTCACATGTCGCCGTTTACTTGTCAAGCTTTGTACACTACCCAACCGGACCCCCGTAACGTCGGTGGACCGAAAAGCTCCATCTTACGGGGACCTCCAGCACCTCTGCCCTGTTTTTCTCGTCGTCCCAGCTCTCCCGAGCCTGCTTGCTCCCTATCCGCAACTGACTCTCACACCGACCTCGCTCTTTTTCCATGGACCTTGCATTCGTCTTCGGCTGAGGCTCCGTGCAAGGCTCCTCTTCTGGGGACCTCCCCCCTGGCTCACGCTCAAGGGTACTGATAGGACAAACAACAACCACATAGGAAAAAAGCTCCGTACGCTGAGTACGAGTACGGAAGCGATGAACAGAGTACGAACACCTGGCGCATGCAGTCCTTCTCTTCGTCGTGGGGACAGAACGAGGCTGGATCCTCTTCACCCCCCGAGTATTTAGTAAAGGAGCGTTTCCCACATGCCCGTGGCTTGGCCCTCTTCTTTTCCTCTCTTTTCCTTTCTTTTTTTTCTTCTCTGCTACGTTTTGTCTCCCTTGTGTTGAAAAGTCGTGATTGCAAACAGTGTCCGTTTTCGTTCGTTATAACTTCGTGACCCTCCACGCTCGTTAAGAGACCAACTCTCTCGTAACACGCTCAACATCAAAACCAAGAGGAAAAACACAATCCGTCAGTCAAGTCAAAAGTCAAGATGAAGTCCTCGGCCGTGATCCTCGCCGCCTGCGCTGCCTCCCTCGCCGGCGCCACGCCCACGTTCCGCTCCGGCAACTGGAACTCCACCGTCGTCAACTGGAACTCGACCACGCCCACCAACTGGAACTCTTCTTCAACCACTGCCGCCAGCACCGGCAGCAGCAGCTGGAACTCGACAGCTGTTACCAACTCGACGACGGCGGCTGAGCTGCCTCCGGCGGAGGCGGCCACCGTCCCGACGACTCCTTCGTCTTCTCCTTACTGGAGCAACGGGACCTCTGCTGTTGGTGGAAGCAACGAGACTTGGGTCAACCGGAACGAGACGCAGTTCTCGCCGAACGAGACACATGTGCCCGTTGTCCCGCTCATTCGACGCTTCCGTCCGCAGAGGAAGGTGCTTTCTCGCGCCTTTTTGCCTACATTTTAAACAAAACGAAACCCAACCCGTGAGTTTCAATCCTCTTCACACTGACGTTGCTCTCGTTAGCAGGGTATTGTGTGTTTTCAGGAACTAACTTCCTTCTTGAAGACGAAACTATACGATCAATGAAATGATCTGAAGCCACGAGATCCCGGTGCTGCTGTTTTTAAAAAAGCCTTTTTTGATGTGTTGTGTCCAGGACGTTTTATGCGGTGTTAGGGGGGGGGGCCTGGATACCTTTTATGATGTTTAATTTGTGCTCGAGAATTTTCTGATTGAACGCGTTTGACGATGTTACTTTTTGACGTTGGCTCTGATTCCCCGTTAGAATGAGTTGATAATTCTTAGAAATGGAAATGCTTCATGGCAACGTTTTTGGCGTTGTGCTCGTTTTACCTGAGTGAACTGACTGTGAGCGAGTAGCTCTTCTGTCGCTTTCTGTTGTTTCGTACGTCGACGTTCGAAGTTTCGCAACTTCTCCAGAAGATTGAAGTAGAGAGAAGATAGGCATAGAAGTCATCCTCTCCATCTTCCGACCTCCCCATTCACTCATCCTCCTCCCCAAACCAGCAGTCATACGAAAACAAGATGTCCACCACCATCCTCTCCAACCGGCTCAAGCCCCGAATCACCCCCATCGACCTCTCCTCCTGCCCATCCAGCCAAGCCACCCGATCGTCAATCCCCTGCAACACATCCGTCACCTCGTCCAAGATCTCCTCCAACTGCTGCTCCTGCTCCCCCATCGAGCCCCGCACGAAATCATACAGCTCAGTCGACGCAATATCCTCGTCCTCATCATCTTCACCCTCGCCCTCACCCTTGTCGTTCTTATCATCATCATCATCGTCAAAGAGCGCATTGACCTGCTCCTGGACTTTATCATACCACTTGCAGTACCGAACGCACTTCCGCCGGATATTCGCACACTCATCCCTCATCTTCTCGCAGTCCTCGCGGTCCTCGCGGTCGAGGTTGCGGATCTCCTCGTGCGCGCTCCGCGACCGGCCCAGCGTGTCCAGGACCTGCTCCCACTTGTGGCGCCCGGCGCTGTTGTCGGGACGCACGAGGCGGGCGACCTTGCGGTGCAGCTCGATCACGGGCAGCAGGTCGTCGATGCCGGCTGGCTGAGGCCTGTTCGCCAGCTCGGCGGCGTCGTGGCGGAGCTTTCGTACGAGGATGGCGGCTTGTCTTTCTAGCGCAGCTTCTTCGTCAGTTTGATGGGTGGTGGTTTGGTGTTGGGTGGGAGAGAGATTCTGATGGGGCTGCTGTGCCTCGTTGGTGTCGTTTCTGTTTTCTTCGTCCCTGGGGGCGGCTTGAGCAATGGGAGCGGAAGACCGACGAGGGTTGGGAGGATTTGGAGACCCATCTTCGTTAGCATTCTCAGGTAGCATGGCAAAGCGAATTGTTTGGGTTTGGCCCTGCTTCGAGATAGCCAGAGATCCCTCCTGATATGATGCTGTTTATCAGCAGATGCAAAGCGAAAGGCCGCAAAGTCGGAGAGTTGAAAACATGAAGTTTCTCGAAGCGTGAGAAACTTGGTCCTCGGTGGATTGTCACTTTATTGGTGTTTTGATCCAGCTGATCGCTACGGCCGGCCGAAACATAGACCGACGCTGCCAGCTGTCAGTTTGGGGGAGCGGCGTGGCCCCTGAGCCATACTCAAGCTTTGTTCACGTTAAGCAAATCCATCACGTACTTCTCACGTACTTCCTATGGCTGTTGTGGGAAGAATCGCAAAGAACCGTCTATTTCATCTCTTGTTGTACAGTATATCGTATGGCTAGATGCCAGTAAGGAGGAGCGGGAAAGGTCATATAGCGGCATATCTATCATCACAAAGAAGCATTAAAGAGCTTGACTATTCGTGCAAGTCGTTCAAAAGCCCTTTGACGACGTCCAGTCGATGCGCCCATTCGTCTCGGCCCAAGAGAGCAAACATCCTGGAACTGCTCTGCGAAACAACATCTTGCCCGCCAGCAGCGACCAGTCTCAGCACATTGTGGGTCGTAAGCTGATCAACCCCCTGGGGCTCGACCTTTTCCTGTACTGCCTGCATTACATGGCGGCAGTCGCCATCCCAGAGAGACTCCTGTGAGATGGCATCCTCGAGGGCATCGAGAACCTTTTGATCGGGCTTTTCTTTTGAGAGTGACGCCTTGTAAACGGCCAGCGGCACCCGCCAAAAGAGGTAGGGATGCTGCGAGATCAGATCGCTCGGCGCCTGGAAGCCTCCCTGTTTGGCTACGATTGCCTTGTATACGTAGGGAGCCTTTTGCGTGGGATCCGTTAATGTCGGGACGAGCTCGAGCGGTAGCCGCCAGCCCTTTGAAGTCAACTCTGCGCTTTCGACGCTCCCGTTTGCGATTGCTTCAATCTCCCTCAATACGGGCTGCGTCAGATGGTGGTCGATGAGCTTCGCCTCCTGGTCTGCCAATGCCGCGATGGGTTTCCAGAGCATCGCATCCCGGTACCTGTTGTTAAAATATTCCAGCTTTGACAGATTCAGCTTGATACCCCCCCGGGTGAATTTGAATGTCAACTGTCATCGTTAGCAACCATTGCAGCCTGATCCTAGGAAGGTCGCTCGCATACCGCATTGGCCACATCCTCCACCGTCCGGGGTGGCTGTACGTCTCGTTTGAACGAGGACCCGAGATTGGCGAGCCAAGAGAGCAAAGCCATGGGGAAAGTGCCCTCTTTCTGGTACTTGGAGATGTTGACACTGTCATTTCGCTTGCTGAGTTTGCTTCCGTCTGTATCTACAAGCAAGCCGAGATGGGAGAAAATCGGAGGCTGCCAGCCGAACGCTTCATACAGCGCAATGTGTTTGGGTGTCGAAATGAGCCACTCCTATTTACCTTGTCAATACCTTGTGTCAACGGAAGCAAGCACAGAGAATGAAGCACTCACTTCGCCTCGAATCACATGAGTGATCTTCATCAAGTGGTCATCAACAACGTTGGCCAGATGGTATGTGGGGAATCCATCAGTCTTCATCAGGATGAAGTCTTCCTCCGCGTCCTTCTTCTGGAATCGCCCATAGATGGCATCATGAAGCTTCGGCCGACCAAACTTGTCGCTCTTGAAGCGAACCACATGGGATTCTCCAGCTTTCGCCCGGCGATCAGACTCGTCGGCGTCGATGGAGCGGCATGTCCCAGGATAAACAGTCGGCTTGCCGGCCTCGTGGAGCTCACGCTTCTGGTTTTCGAGCTGTTCAGGGGTGCAGAAGCAGCGGTAGGCATGGTCATGATCCAAGAGAGTCTGGACGTGCTCGCGATAGATGGGCAGCCTCTCAGACTACACTCGGTCAGAAGAAGCAAACCACACGTGTGAGTCTTTGACTTACTTGTCTGTAGGGGCCATACGGTCCACCGCAGTCAGGCCCTTCGTCCCATGATAGCCCCGCCCATTTGAGGTCTTTCATCAACCGCTCTTCGGCATTTTTTACAAGCCGGTTCTACGTTTTACTTAGCACACTCCCCCCTTTGTCACTGAGGATTGGCTGCTGGCTCTTCCGTACCTGGTCTGTGTCCTCTATACGGAGGATAAATGATCCTCCATTGGAAGCCAGCACGGCGAGCTTGTTGAAGAGGGCTGTTCTGAGAGATCCAAGATGCAGGTATCCCGTAGGAGACGGGGCAAATCGAGCGCGGATGGGGAGGTCTGCGCTCTGGCCTAGAATCGTAAGGGAATCCGGTGTAGGAGAAGCGGCATCGGAGTGTTTCTTGTTCTTATTCCTCAAAGCCTTTAGTCCAGAGCTATAGTTTCGCTTCTGAGACTGACGTGTCCTCTTCTCAACTGACCGCTCTGCACAAGAGGGTTTGCCAGAGAGGTTTTGTCTGTCACAGCGAAGAATGACAGACGTAACGAAACCTCGGCTCAGGTGGTGACTGGAGATGCAATGCCGTGATTCACATATTGAGCGTCTGCTGAGTCTTGTGAGGCCCAGACGGAGGGCGGGTGAGGACATGGTCATGAGCCACGAAGGAGTCTCGCAGTCTCATTCATCGCTTTGTGTCGAGTATAAAACGATGGATCACGGCAATAAGCATCTGATGTTTCGTGAGGCGCATTTTCTGCTTAAGGCAGGAACGCCACATGTGGCTGGCATCGGCTCGATAAGGTGCCGATAAGGTGCCGATATCTTGATAAGACCAAAAAAAAATAATAAGTCAGGTTCAGTTGGTCCATCGCCAGCCGAGCGGCAACATTGACTTTGAGGTACTTGGAAGTAATGGGAGATGTTCAAGTTGAAGAGAGACAGGATTGAAGAGAGACAATGATGCTGTATCTCTAATGAAAAACGGCTTATCAGATGACTTATAGTACTGTTCATCAATTTTGACCATAACTGCATTTTGTGATACGTAGCCTGACGTCCTCATGTAAGCGGCTGTTCACCCAGCAATTGCAGCGTCAACCAAAGGTACCTTTTCCGCGTCCCGCAAAGTTCACTTGCAGCCGTTTGTGCCGTTTGCCTCTTCGAGCACGGCAAAGCGTGTGTCGTTCCATAGCTCGACTTTTGCCTCTGCATCTCTTCTACTCTGTTCTCAACTTATCCATCATAGTTTTTCTTCTCTTGGTTTTCGGTTCTCGCTCTCTCTTCTTGGGCAGCCTCGCAGCATCTCGTCGGTTACCCAGGCAGCAGCAGCAGCAGCAGCGTTTGTTTAAACTCCAGGCTTGACCCCGCGCCACGCCAAAAGATTTTCTGGATTCCACCCTGCAACCAGTCGCTTTGAAACCTACACCTTTTTCAGCCAGACCAAAATCTAGCCATCAGCATGGCTTCCGAAGTGGAAGTCGATCTCTATGGTACGTATGAGTCTCTCGAGATGCCTCGTGTCTTCTATCTGGTTGATTGCATATCATTTTGCCCATCGTCCATGTGCAGCAGTTTCGTCTAATCTTATCGCGTCCAGAGATCCTTGAAATCGACAGAACGGCAACGCCCGACCAGGTCAAAAAGGCCTATCGCAAGGTACACCAGACGGATGCCGAACCTCATTTTCCTCGCGCAAGCTAACAACTCCAGGCTGCGCTGAAATACCACCCCGACAAGGTCCCCGAAGAGCAGCGCGAAGAATCAGAGGCCAAGTTCAAGGAGGCCAGCAGAGCCTACGAAATCCTCAGCGATGAAGACAAGCGCCACCTCTACGACACCCACGGCATGGCTGCCTTTGACGGCAGAGGAGGCCCCGGCGGCCCCGAGGTCGACCTCAACGATATCCTCTCTCAGATGTTCGGGTTCAATATGGGCGGTCCCGGTGGCCCCGGTGGTCCTGGGCCCATGAGGCCGAGGAAGGGGCCGGATGAGGAGCAGGAGTACAAGGTCACGCTCGAGGAGCTGTACAAGGGCAAGACTGTCAAGTTCTCGGCCAACAAGCAGGTCGTCTGCGGCGTCTGCAAGGGCTCCGGCGGCAAAGAGAAGGCCAAGCCTGCCTCGTGTGAGCGCTGCAGGGGCCAAGGCTTGGTCGAGGCCATTCGCCAGATTGGTCCCGGCATGATGCGGCGCGAGACCGTCCTGTGCGATCACTGCACGGGGTCCGGCAAGGTCTACAAGGAGAAGGACAGGTGCAAGAAGTGCAAGGGCAAGCGGACGACGCAGGAGAAGAAGGCGCTGGAGATTTACATTCCCAGAGGATCGATGCAGGGCGAGCGCATTGTCTTGGAGGGAGAGGCGGACCAGTACCCGGACCAGATCCCCGGCGACATTGTCTTTACTCTGGTGGAAGAGCCCCACGATGTCTTTAACCGACTTGGCAACGACTTGTCCGCCGAGCTGACGGTGTCGCTGAGCGAAGCCCTGACCGGGTTCAACCGCGTGGTGCTCAAGCACCTCGACGGGCGAGGCATCCAGATCAACCGGCCACGGGGCAAGATCCTGAGGCCAGGGGACTGCATCAAGGTCCCTGGCGAGGGTATGCCCCTGAAGAGAGGAGACGCCAGGGGAGACTTGTATCTCATGGTCAAGGTGGAATTCCCCGAGGATGACTGGCTGAAGGATGACTCTGCGTACGAGGCGTTGGCCAAGATGCTGCCGCCCCCGCTGCCAGCTGTGGAGGCCGAGGAGATTGACGAAGTGGAATACGAGGGCGGCGCCGACATTGAAGAGGTAAGCATGGCCCGTAGTTGGTCCACCGTTGCTCAAGGGACAAGAAGTGCTAACCTTAGAACCACAGATGGGTGCTGACCAAGGTGATCCTCGATTCGCCAACGAATGGGAGGACGACGACGAGGGCGAGGGCCAAACACAATGCGCCACGCAGTAAGGGGGAAACGTTGAGCTGGCATATTCAACATGCCACGACTTTGCTCTCTTTTCTCTATCTATCTTCCATTTTTGTTTTGGTTCCGCTTGAGGATAGAGACTAGACTTCCGTTTGATGAAGGAACGGGCAATTTGAGACGATCAGGGGATTCTTACGACTTTGAATTTTCATCGACGGGTTCGACGAACGCTGGGATAGAGGGTCAATTTGACGGTCACTACGTATGGGATGCTGAGGCAAAGGATAGGGATGGGAATGGCTGGTAACTCTGCTCTTGAATGACTATTGAAGGCTCAAATTGATAGGGTTGCTTGTGATGACGGCTGTTTTTTTCTTCTCTGCCAGGTCAATTGTTGTGTTGTTTGAATAACCGTGGAACGGAGGTTTGGTCCTACCCGGTAACTTGAATGCGATAAACTGGCAAATGAATCAGAAAGCTCTTCACTGAGCAGCTATTTAGTGAATACCTATGTAATTGGCCGTCATTTTTCCTGCCCTTGCTGTCGCTTCTTGCGATGAAAAGTGAAATGATCGAGCAGCAGTTCTGTCTTATGCTTTGTCATGAATGCTCCTCATGACACATCAGAGTGCAAATAAGGCGATATCCGGGCCTCAGGCAGCTCATCACTCACCAAGTATTTATATTACCACTGAATATCAATCTTCGCCCAATCCCATTTATATCTATCAGACCCAATATACAAATTAATCCGCCATGATACCTCAATCCAACATCACTTATACATTATACGCCCCTAAGCAGTGACGTATCTGTATGTTCAGCCTCCCGGCACCTGCCGCCTTGGCAGCCCCGCTGACGTCCGCCCCTCCTCCTATTGAAAACGACCTGCAACTTCAACTTGGGCTCAACCCTTCTCTCTCCGTCAACCTCACCTCATCCTTTCTCGTCTCCTCGAAATACCTATACAAACAGCAGCAAGATCCCACCACAATCTTCCCCTCTTAAACATACTCTACGGTCATCTTCCATTCAAACTCCTCCATCACCAAACGCACCTCATCTCACTAAATCATCATCACCACCACCACCACCACCACCATGTCCCGCAAAGGCGTCGGCATCGCCGCCTTCGACCGCTCCCGCATCACCTCCCGCCAGTTCGCCTCCCACGGGTCCTCCCTCCGGGCCACCAACGCCCAGGCCCTCGAGACCCAGCTCGCCGTCTTCCGCTCCCTCCTCCAGCAGTTCGCAGCCACCCACGCAAAGGACATCCGCTCCGACCCGTCCTTCCGCGCCCAGTTCGCGCGCATGTGCTCCGCCATCGGCGTCGACCCCCTCGCCTCTTCATCCAACTCATCCAACTCATCCTCCAAAGGAAGCGGCAGCGGCAACTCCGTCTGGGCGCAGCTCCTAGGCCGCACCGTCAACGACTTCTACTTCGAGCTCGCCGTCCGCATCGTCGAAGTCTGCGGCGCCACGCGCGCCGAAAACGGCGGCCTCATCTCCCTGTCCGACCTCCGCGAGCGCGTCTCCCGCCGCCGCATGGAAGGCGCCGGCGCCATCAGCGACGACGACGTGCGCCGCGCCGTCGAGACCCTCCGCCCCCTCGGCGGCAGCTACGCCGTCGTCGTCGTCGGCCGCAAGGAGTACGTCCGCAGCGTCCCGCGCGAGCTGAGCACCGACCAGGCCGCCGTCGTCGAGGCCGCCCAGGTCCTGGGCTACGTCAGCGTCGGCTTGCTGCGGGACAATCTCGGCTGGGAGACGGCGCGGTGCAGGACTGCGCTGGACGATTTGGTGGCGGGCGGCATGCTGTGGGTGGATGCGCAGACGGGGGGCGAGGCCGAGTATTGGAATCCGGGCGTTATGGGGGATGCGGGGAATGATGGCGATGCTGGTGTCTGAGAGCTGGATGAATTCTCAAGGTTTTCTTACGACCAGATGATGAGCGGGCCTTACATGAAATTTGGTGCTCTGAGACGCCGAGTCAAGTCACGCCATCAGCAAAGGGACATGCAGAGGGACCATTTCAAACAAGGAATCAACATGGACTCTGCCTTGGCGATACAGACATGCTTAGCTGTCTATGCTCGGCCTCAAAGTCGGCAAAACTGCCATCAAGAGCCGTCAACTATCCTGGTTGGTCTCATACTTCGAGCCGTCAAGACCATCTTTCCTGGCTTCCACGAACAATGCCAACTCATGATCAAAGGATATCACGGATAGTACAGCCAAAAGAATATCAACGGCGGACTCTACCTTGTCCACCGAGAGACAGCAACAAGCAATATGTCAATGATACTAGCACACGGACGACAATTCACAACCAACGAGAGGAGCCAGGACGTCAAATTATCCAAAACATTTATACAGGGAGCATCTAACCAAAGAAACAGTCATTACTTAACCAAACCTCGCATTTGCCCTCCCCCCTGAAAAAGCCCCAATCCTCCTACGACTCAAATGCCTCCCAGAATTTCATTTGCATCATATTCCTCCTTTCCTTAGGAGAGACAAGAGGGAAAAAAAAAGAGCATTCATTTTCACATGGAGAGCCTTGGAGAAACACAAAAAAAGAAAAGGAGTATCCGTAAAAAAAAAAAACATATAGTCAAAGCTCCCATCGGCAATCTTTTCTTCCCTCGGTCATGAAAAGATTAGGTGCTCCCTTCTCTTTCTCCGGAGCGGGATGGAAAGAAGTAAGGGACTTTTTACCTTGCGGCCATCTGGCAATTTCTCCTCCCTCCGGTCATTTAGGTGCTCTCTTCTCTTTCTCTCGCTCGCATCATTGCCAAGATCGCTGCAAGGTAAAAAGTCCCTTACTTCTTTCCATCCCGCTCCGGAGTTGGTTGTGTCGCTCCGGCTGTCTTGGAAGGGGAGAGCACTCCAGCGCTTGTCCGCCGCCAGGGTATCATTGTAGGCCTCAAGGGTCCCAGTTTGTCCTTAGTAGTTGGGATTGTGGCCTGCCATGTTGGCCTCGCGGGGGTCGCGAACGTCGCGGGGATCGCGAGGGTCGCGAGGGTCGCGAGGGTCACGAGGGTCACGAGGATCGCGAGGGTCACGTAGTCCGTCGCGTCTGCCCAGGTTGGGGTTGGATTCCATGTGGGGAGGGGGAGGATAGTCCTCGGGGCCGGGACGACCCATCGGCGGCGGCGGGCGGTTCTCGCGGCTCTCGCCGTAGTGCTTCTTGCGCAGGGCCGCGAGGCGCTTCTTCTTGGTCAGGGTGTTGATGTAGGTGCCAATGACGAAGGAGACCAGGTTGAAGAAGGGGACCCAGAGCTCGTCAGGGAGGAACTGCTGGGCAAAGGCCAGGCAGATGGGCGACGTGAGCCACGAGATGCGCATGACTCTCCAGAAGCCGACCTTGACGGTTGCGCGGACCTGGTGGAACGTTCGAGCGCCGGCAATGAGGGCCATGGCCACCAGGTAGATGCTGTTCTGGATGGGCGCAATCTGGAATTGCGAGTCAGTATTGGAATGATGTTATGAAGGAGTTGTGTCAAGTAATTCGCTTATCGAATTGGAGGGGGCGTTTCCAATTCGCGAGACGAGAGTCCCAATTTGCGCATTGATAGGCGAATTGACCAGAGGAAAAAAGAAAACACGTACCACAAGGTTGCTGACCACAATCTGGATAATCTTGGCCCGGAGACTGACGCGGCCCTTGAAGAGCTTCTGGAGCAGCCAGATGAGAAAGTGGCCCAGGGGAGCGCTGACCAAGGCACCGTAGGCGGCCATCTTGGGCACGCGCGAGGTGAAGTAGTTGCCATGCTTGTTGCGGTCCTTGGCCAGCCACGAGGCGAGGAACTCCTGGGCGCCGGCGAGGGTTCCGGCCGTAAGCATCTTGGTGCGCAGAGGGTTGGACTCAAGCTCCTTGATATAGGCCTAAGAGAAGACGTGGCGGCAAGCCCGCAGTTAGCCAAACCTAATTCCAACTGGAACCCTCCATCTCTTCCATCATTCTCTTTCCATATTCCTCCTTCACCCAGTAGGCAATTGCACACCAAGGTCAAAAACATACCGCCAGATAGCCCTTGGTACCGGCCATGCCCTTTCCTCCCGTCAATGCCGTGCCAATGGTCTCGGCGATCGGGTGCTTTCCACTGGTGCCGGGAAGAGGAGGCGCGCCTTCAAAGGCCCGTTTGATCGGGCCGGGACCTTCAGCGAGAGCGGCGGCGCGCTCGGCAGCGGCGCTGGCGGCTCCATCAATGGTCTTCTCGGTCACCGTCTTGATGGAGCGCTGGACCACGGCGCCATGGTCGGCAGCGGCCTGCTCAAGGGCGTTCGAGGCCGATTCCTGGATGGTCCGGACCGTGTCCCGCTCAAATTTGACCGACATGATGCTCGTTGGGTTTCGCGGCGGTGTCGCTATGGACGGGCAGTCGTGGTCGTGATCGTGATGGCGTGGATCGTGGCGGCGACGACGACGGGGACGGACGCAGCGGCAGCAGCAGCAGCAGCGACAGCGACAGCGGCTCGAGATGGTGTTGCAGAATCAATCGACGTGCAGCTCTATGCTCTCGTGGGGCAGGTCAGGGATAAAACGTCGTCATGAGACGGGCAGAGAGGGTCTGGCTGTCCAACGACGCGACGGCGGGATGATTAGCAGATGCAAACGCTTTGGGCGGCGGAGAGATTGGGGAGCAACTGAGGCTGTCGTGGTGACAGGGCTCGGCCAATGGATTTGTTTACACGGCGAGACACAGACTGAGCCTTGATGCGCCGAGTGGGTCGCCCAACCCCCCTGGACACTGTCTGGAGGAGTCCGCTGCTGCTGATCCAGTTCTCCAGCATGCAAGCATACACTTTGGGGCTTGCTGCCTCGGCAAAGGGGAGTCCAGAGGGTTCCGCGCATCGGTTCGGGGGCCCTTGGCCATTGGACGCTGCCCTTGCTCACTGTCTCTTGTCTTGTTGGACCGTGTCGCGTCGCCTGGCAGGCAGCCCGCAAGGATGACGGTGTGGGAAGATGAAGGGGCCCTGAACCTGAGGGGAGGCTGTGGGAGTGACAGGACGGGACAGGAACAGACAGGGACGAGCGAGCAGGACAAGCAGCAAACACGAGGAAAAGGCGGCTTCATGGCCAGACTTACCGGGTCAAGCAGCGGCGGTGCGAGAGCTCGACGTTCTGATATCAATGTCCTGGGGCAACGACGACAGTTCAGTTTCTGCCAGTGAATCTGTTGGTTCGTTTCTTCTCAGCGGCCCCGAAGGGAGTGGGTAGAAGGGAGGGAAAGAGGCGACGGAGTGAGACTGTAGAGAAGAGCGAAGAAAGGCAGACGAGATTTGCGAGAGGCTGGGCGGGAAGGATGACGCCCGGGACCTCGTACCTGTCTGGGCCCTGAGCGGCGAGGCAGGTCAGGTAAAATAAGGTAGGTACTCCGTACAGGCACACCACCGGGTACGCTGTTGCACGACGATGATACTTGGGCGATGCTTGTCACGGTGAGGCACATATGCTGCTGCAACTAAGGCCCAAGTACAGACGGGCACGGGTCGAGTACTGCAGCAGCCACGGTACCTCTCTGGCCTTCCCCCGGGCAGCGACAGCCTCTGGTGAGCTTCAACCAGAACTTCGTACCTGAGCATCCGCGAACCCCCTCCCCGTATTTCCAGTCATCCAGCCGATGGCACCCAATAAACTTGTATCTGTTTTGGGCCTCGGGCGGACGGGCGAAGGTCGAATCAAGCGACGCGTCTGCGAGGGCGGCTCCAGTTTTGCGCAGCCTGCAAGCAAGCTCCTAGGCTGGGCTGAGCTGGAGCTGGAGCTGCCGCTGGAGGGAAAAAATAAAAGCAAAGGGCTGGGGGACTGGAGGGACGGATGGGGTCGCACGATCGGGCAGCGGCCGGCTCCAGCGTCGGTCGGCGACTCTGTTTTGTCTGCTGGAGCGGCCTCGAGCTGGCTGAAAGTGGGCGACTGTGGGCGAAATGTGGGCGGCTGCGGGCTGGCGATTGGAGTGTTGGGTCGAGGCTAAGAGGCCCGCGATGCACGGCGCGGCAGGGGTTGGAGATGATGAGAAGCTGGTTTATGATGCTGACAGGGGGGTGCGTCGCCATTGGCTGGCGTGCGGCGCGCTCTGGCGGTTTATCGATGGCGCCGGCGTGGTTTGTTCTGCTCTGCTGCATCCGTATTCCGCTCGAGCTCGGGTTCATCATCAGTCGAGGCCATCCATCAATTTCTTCTCCACAGCAACCAGCAAAGGCTGACCGTGTTTCAATTTCCAGCGTCCCCTGCTCAAGAGGCTGGGGGCCCGAGATTGCATGCGCCACGATGCCTGTCCCTTCTTGTCCGCTCTGCCGTGGCCACGCGCGTGTCGTGCATGGTGCAGATGAGAGATGACCGACTTGGACTGCCCGAACGCCTCCGATCAGCTCTGCCTGCCTGCAATCGTAATCCGCGCCTTGGACGCACAGGCCCTTTTTGTCTCGTTCTCACTCGTACGCACCTTGTCTGGCTGATGCCGTAAGATTTCTGCAGCAATCAACGGATTAGTATAGAGTACGAGGCACGGCGTAGCGTAGCACTGACTGAGGTTCGCTTGTTGTTTGTTTGTTTCTCGTGCGAGACCCTCGCGCGGTTTCCTATTGGGCCAGCAGGTGATGTAATGCAGACGGCCCATAGCAAACCGAAAACAAACATTCCAACGTCTTTATTGGACGATATTCTGTCCAGGTGATGCAAGCAATGCAGTGGTGCTTCTTGGCTTTTCAAGGTACGGTATCTTGGGTATGAAGAACTGTGAGCTTCGCCTACGGAGTGAATGTCGAGCTGCTATCGTCATTGTATGATCCGTTGGATTCATCTCGACCGTCCGTCCGACTTGACAATTCGTCATTGCTCTGCTTGACAAGCATGGCTCTTCTGGCAAGGACGTCCCATCATAGTGTACTTACCTACCTGCCACAGCTTCACGATAGTATATAATCCCATGCTGCATTTCGTCCGGTGCATCGATATGACCTGATGCTGGCGAACAAGCTGACCCAGAGCGGTCTAACTTTCTCTTCTGGGAGGAGGTAATCGTGCCAAAGTTTGTGCCGTCTGAAAGAAAAGGAAGTTGGCTTGATATATGCCTACCTCCTTAGGCAAGCATGTTCGCACCAGAAAGAGCGACAGCACGACTTCAACATCTCGGGGGTCGTCTAAGAGATCCCCGACTACCCCGAAAAAGCAGGACCGCCGCCAAGCAAGTCAACTCGTCCGAGCTGGCAGAGGAGCTGGTTTCTTTGTTCACGACAACGCAGATCAGCTGTGCATAGGCGACTCTGGCTCAATATCGTGATGAAGCTCTTCTTCAAAGTCCTACCACTAGAGGATTGGCTTGCTGCCTACGCCAAGGCAAGAAGGAAGTCGACAGCTGGTTCTAATCCCTGGAAGTGCAAGACGATTAAGGAGTTCAGAGTAAGATCTTCCTACTAACATCACTCTACTACTTCAAATTCACCTACTAATATAAGAGACAGAAGTACATTGCAGAGCTGGCAATGAAGAACAAGGCATTTGGCCACTCAAACGACATTTCCCACTGTCAACTGTTCCTTGGAGGCAATGAAAACATAGTCCATTACATGCTTGTCCAGTATCCCATCCAGTATCCCAGCGGCCTCTCCCTCATGAGACGGCGAGATGACGCCATACAAAAGATGATGCACGAGAGCCATCATCCACCTTGAAAGGGAGCATGGAACAAGGAGACAAACAGTACCAAAGGTTGACCGCGAGGCTGACAGCTATATTTGGGAGTAGGTAAGCAGGAAACTAGGCAACGGGAATCATGGCGATAAAAACAGGTTGTGACAGAGATTGACCCTGAAAAGACGGCATTATTTAGAAGTATATACAACAGAGGCCGGGGCACCAAACCGACAGTGACGAGGACTCGGACGACAAGAATGGCTCTACTTCGAAGCCGTATCGGAGAGACAAAACTGCAAAAGAAATGCTAAGCAGGGCTTCATCGTCTTCGACACTTGCCATCATGAGGTATACAGCGACGTGCCGTTCAACCACGGCGAACAAAGCGATTTTGCCGATAACGCCAGGGACGTCAAGTTAGAGAAAATCTTAACCAGAGGTTCCCCAGTTTGACTGCTGCAATAGCCGGGTCGCTGAGCGAGGTGTTCATGCACTGCCAAGACACCGAGTGCATTGTTGACGAGGCCTCCCACTTGAAGAGGAAGGCGACCCTGCGCTGAGGAAGAGCCATGAATCTCAACGAGCGAACGGATGGGATGCAGTGAGGAGAGGCCGTGAAACCCAAACAGAGACTGGGCATGGACCTTACTGCACCGGCACATGCAGCAAGCAAAGCGAAAGGATACCCCAGCTTATGAAAGCTGACACAGACATCTGACATCGTCTGGATCTGAGGCCTATACTTCATGCTTTAGGACGCGCATGGATATGACGGGTCCTGTGTTTGTTAAGCGGGTGAGGAAGGGCTAACAACGAAATGTGGTCACCAAAGGAGAGGTTGAGTCTTTCTTCTGGAAAGGAAATCGCTTCATAATCCAACCTGAAGGCAGCCCTGCCGGAAGACTGACCCTTTCTCACCACGTCACAGTCAGGATGTCCATTTTTGAGACAGCAATGGGTGTCCGTTCCGGGAATCCGTCACTCCCGTGAGGAATCTCACGTGAAAGCGTCATGAAACAGGATCCTACTGGGCTACGACTGTCCGATTCTTCTTGATGATGCCGATGGATCAGCTTGCGACAATTTGCGTCGACGATGCGTAATGACCTTAGACACAGACATTCTGACGCTCGCCTGGACGTTATGGAGCGGAGCAATCCAAAAGGGACCTGCGAGGCTGTCGAGAGCCTCTAGACTCGCGTGAAGCAGAGTCGCTGGGGCGCCGGCCTGGCATGGGGGTAGGAGCTTGGTAGAGTACCAGTATCAGCCGTTTCTGGTGGTACCTCGTCAATTTGCCTGGGAGCCTTGGATAATCAAGGCTGACCCCTTGGATTCTGGATTTCCCATACAGGAATTGCATCTGCCAATCTCCCCGACTGGGATGACCTTCGGAGCACCTGCGACCGCAGGCTTGGGCAGTTACTGGAGTCGAACAAATTCATTCACGTTCACAGCCAAGACGACCTTTCTTCCTATCTGAGCCTCCGTACCCTAGTCTTCCTCATGCAGCAGTTCCTCAAGACACAGAACTCTACGAACCGGCGAGGAGTGATGGTCTGACTTAACCTCGGTATATCCTTCTGTGAAGGGGGTGTTCCAGTCTACGGCTGCCTATCTGAATTGATCACTTCCAGGGCATCGAACCCGACGACATTGTGGAGTATATGGAGTCTCTCCTGTCCTGGAGACGTCTCGTTCGGTCTGGGATACTGTCGGAGTGTTCTAGTAATGTGATAGCCAGTCATGTCGCGCACAATGTTCGATTCGCAATCACAATGATTGCTTTAGACAGAATGAATGATGCCTACCACCTCGCTGTAGTTCCACCTGCTAACTATGAAGTAAATGTGTAGTGTAACTGCCCTTGAAAATTCATGTTCTTGGCCCTGAGGCATCGCAATTCCTTGTTCCTGGATAACTTCAGGGACCGGGTGCATCACGCATCATGGACAACAAGCATGTCTGACCCCTTGATGATTATACCGACACCAAATCTCCCATTTAATCCCAGCTTTTGAAGCCCGTAAGATGATCGGACAAGACAGAAGCCTTCAGTTGACGCTCAGCGCTGCAATGGCAGATGCTCGCCAGCGTTTGGCACTGGCAGGCAGTCACGCGCCTGCAGCAACTGCCGTCAACCTTCCTCACGCTTTCGCTTCATTCACCGGAAAGCTTGCGTCATCTGGCAAAGAACAAAAAAGTCGAGGCTCTGCACTTTTCATCATCTGCTACACTCTCCAATAGTCCAATATCTGCGAAGCCTCTCTATTGTCCTAGAATCCCGCCATCATTCTTCGCCAAGCATTGTTAGGACTTCCAGCGGCTGCGGAGTCTCTCCCCCTGAGCATCTCCGCTCTTGTTTGGAGGCGACAGCTTCTCGACCCGACGGCTCTGCTCAATGGCTCGACGTGCTACCATCTGAACGAATCACGAACAAAAGAGGCCATCATCGATCCCGGCATGTATCACCGACCTCCTCCGGGCCTGCATAGGCGCCCAATCTTCGAGCCGCAGTGCACCCACGCCACCATGACGAGAATCTACAGCTCGAGCCTCCTCTGCTCCCACTGTCACTATCCTGGGCCTTCTGGGTGGCTGTACCAGTGCACGCAGGATAGGGAAGACTTGATCGAACACGCCGTGGCGAGAGGAGAGTTTGTATGGCAACGACGCTGGCGACGAATCCTGGCTTTCGAGCTTACCAGACACGAGAGATGAGATGCTGACGGTGACTGAAATAGATTAGCATGGATCAGGTCGGCTGCCAGTTGGCGCCGTTGACGGGCATTCGGAAAGGGAGCGCCGCTGCTCGTGAGGACCGACTCAGCTTCCTCTCAGAGATCAACCAGGAGCAGCTCGCTCAGTACAGGCCAGACCAGGTCGCTCACATACTCAGACAGCGTGAGAATGTACGCATCAACCACTTGAATACGGGAGGAAGTCCTCGTAATATTGCGCCAGCCACTGACAGACGATGCAGGTCCAGCTCATCATCCAGCAAGACAAAGTTCGCAAGAACAGCGCCGCCATCCTCAGTCGCCTCGCCCAGCCTTATGGAATAGACAGCGCTTCGTGCAGCATTGGGCTGCAGAAGCCGTGGTTATGCACACCACAGGAAGAATGTCAGTATCGTGTGTGCCAAACCTGTCGACCCGGCTGTGCACACCGCGCCTTTCTCAGTCTCAACGCCGTTGCCAATGGCGAAGTGCCCCCGACCGCAGCAGCAGGCTACAGCTTTCATCTGCTTGGCCAGCGGCCTGTTGTAGACGCCAACGTTGTCAAGAACTTAGGCTGCCGTCCGGTGCCCCTGGTAAGTAGCTTGGCCGATGATTCAACGTATCACAGGAGCAAAACTAAGCGCCGTATACCGTGGTGACAGCCTCAGCCGTCTCCCACCAGCTCGGCTCACGACTCGCACGACTCGCCTGCATCCACGATGAGTGTCGTGGACATGCTTGACACGCAGATCAATCGCGGACGGTTTTTGTGGACACGGAAGGGAGACGATGCTGAGGTGGAAGATTACGATGCCGACTTTGACTGGACATTGACGCCGACAACATCCAGCATCGCCACTGGATACTTGAAGTACTCTCCGGGATGCGAGAACCTGGGAGTGATTTCGGAGGCTGCCACGTCCAACAGTTTTATTCCCCGGCAATGGACGCCTCCGCCTTCGCCAGAAAGCGGCATGACCGAGCCCGGTAGCAAGGCAATGTGAGTAACGAGGATCCATGGCTGGTGAAGCACACAATCGTTACTGGATATCGAACTGGCTAACACAGCAGCAAGTGATACTCCCTCAAAAGGGTCTCCTTTTTGCCAAAGTGTCGCACCGCTCTCTATTCGGCAGACGAGGGAGAATGCCACTGCGGGCCACCGTCGCGAGCAGAGCGTCGACGAGTCTCCTCGCGGAGCAACGCCCAGATCGACTACTCCTTTGTCAGATCACAGCTTTCCTCCGTCCCCCCTCAAAGTGCCCCACGGGGTCGCCATGCTCGAAGAGAGCGTCGAACTGGGAGTTGCGGATGTCATTACGCAGGCCTGAGCTGATGGTTTTTCCCTTTGCCTATGAGCTCGATACGTGTTTCTTCTGATAGCGTTTCGTTGTTTGAGTCGTGTGGCTTTGATCGGTTAGCGAGAGACATTTGCGGGATCGAGACGACTCTTCCTCTAGTCGCTGCTTGGACCTAGAATAGGGGTTATAGCTCACGTATCCGCACTGAATAAAGTTCCGTTTCATACTATGTGAGTTGACATATACGGCTGCCTCAGATTGATCAAACAGATTGCGAATAATTCCCACTTCCCTTAAAGGACTCATGTATCCCCTCTTTACCCAACGCCAGAAAGCTCAAGTGCACCAGACATGTATAACCCCTCGCCCATTCTCTTTACCTCCCCTCATCCTGTTCACCCTATTCATCCACGCACTCACACACCCATGCCGCATCATTCCTTTTCCAGCTTCAAAGCCTCGTCCATGCTCGCCTGCACCTTCTTCATCATCTCGTCGCCGACCTTTTTCGCGTCGGCAAAGCGCGGCTGGAAAAACTCCTGGGTGCTGACGAAGCGCTTCTCCCACGTCTCGAAGTGGCCGAGGGAGACGCACTCGGCCCAGCCCCTGGCGGCGAAGGTAAACTCGAGGTCGTCGCTGCGGTAGCGCTTGTCGTCGACGGCGGTGCGGAGGGCCTGGTCGAGCATGTCGGTGTTGCGGAAGAGGTGCTCGGTGACGCCGAGGCGGAGGCGGAAGAGGGGCGTGCTGCAGAGCATGTGGTCGTAGGGGACGATGGCGAGGGCGGCCCAGCAGTCGACCATTGCGAGGAGGGAGAGATGGTTGTTCGGCCTGGCGGGTGTCTCGGGTGTGGGTGTCCCGAGGGAGAAGGAGGAGAGGATGGAGGGCTCGATGAGCGGGCGGGAGGCCCATGCATTGGAGGAAGGGCCAAAGACCTTTTCGCGGGCGGCGTAGATGCGGGCGGTGAGGCCGGCGAGGTCGCCCTCGAGCATGAGCTTGTAGAGCTCGGTGACGGAGCGGGCGTACTGGGCGACCTGCTGGCGGGCCTCGGGGTTGAGGATGGCGAGGCCGGCGTAGACGTGCCACTTCTGGGAGTAGATGCGCAGCATGATGTTCATCTTGACGTTCTCGATGCCGCCGACGTAGCGGCTGAGCTCCCACGGGTACTGGGTGTTTGCGTGCCAGGCCTTGCCCATGGAGAGGAAGGCGGCGTGGGTGACGGCCTGGGTGTCGGCGGTGATGCGGTCGTGCTCCTGCGCCGTCAGGTGGACGTATTTCGAGCGCAGGCAGCCGAGGACCGTCTCGACCTTGCGGAGGGCCGAGTCCGGCGCGCGGTGCTGGATGAGGACCAGCGGCTGGTTCTGGGGGTCGACACCGGGCCCGTGCAGGGAGTGGCAGGAGACGATGAAGACGTCGGACGGGAGGTGGGCTTCGAAGGCGGCGATCTCGGGGGACTTGCAGGATGTCTGGCCGCCGACGATGGCGCCCATTTTCGTTGCTGAAGATGGGGAACGTCAGCTGGAGATGTACCAGAGACATACGGAGAGATAGTATCTCATGATAGAGGGCATACACGGTCCGTATTGAGCAATCACGCGGTCTATAAAGGCGGCTTCCACCGAGTAGATGATGTAGTCGCTTGCGCGGGACACGAGGTGGCCGTTGCGGAGAATCTCAATGTTCTTCTAGACGGAGAGAGCAGGCTTCAGCATCTGAGTTTTTCTTGTCACGATGGAAGGAGAGCGCATCATTGCAGCGGAAAAAGAAATGAAAGAGGCAGCGTAAAGTGCGTACTTTGCCATTGTATTTCTCTTTAAGGCTATCGTATCTATCTTCTTTGTCGCACGCCAGGATTCTAAGCTTGCAGTGTTAATTTCACTCGATCTTTCTTGTTTCTCTGCTGCTTGATTCCTGGAGGAAGAGCGACGTCTACGTGAAATGGGAGCAGCAATTGTGAGGTTTCTACATCTGTTCGTCGACAGTTAGCTTCTTTGCTTCTTGAAGGCACGTGTCGAAGTGTGAAAGAGAGGGACAAAAGAGTCTTGGGGAAATCTTTTCAGACAATAGTATAGTAAGGTAGCTAGCATTTTCATCACTGAAAGCACAGGTCCGATTCTGATCACCGGAACGGTGGGACAGGCGTCCCTGCGCAATACTCGAGCCAAATGCGCTCTGGTCATCATGAAAAAGAGGGAAGATGGTGGGTGAAAAAAAAAATGCAAGAGAAAGTTGATGCTTACCTGCAAAAAGAGTCGCCAGAGGTGGACACAGCATCCCCGTGATCAAATGAGATGCCGCACTTACTCACCTCCAGCCAGCTTCCGACAGCTTCTCGGCGTACATCCGGCCCATGTCGCCCATGCCAATCAGCCCGACGGTGAAGTTTTCCATCCCCGTCGGGACGTGGCCGGTCTGCGTCGAAGCCATTGCGCCCTGCTGTCGCCTGAATATAGGCAATGCCTAGCAGAGGCCCTGCAATCTCTGCAAGGCCGAGCAGATTCCTTGAGTTCCTCTTTCGTCCTGGTGGAAGGACGAGGAGAGAAGTTCAAGGCTGAGTTTGTGGGATGGGAGAAAAGAAGAGAGAAAATTTGGAGGGACGAAGTTGAGTTATATGTGGGTGGTGGAAAAAAATCTGCTGAATAAGCGGGAACTACCACTATCTGGTGGGGCTGATTGGTCGGATAATCCGATACCGTTTGGTCTAGACCTTCAAGATGAAGTCAATGCAGGTATCCGAGCTTTGAGATTCACTCATCACCAAGTTCAACAAGCTCAACATCAGATCTTGATCTTCACCAACCCATTTCACTCACTTTATATTGCGTCTCCTCCCCGTCACTCCGAAAATGGACGCCATCTACGCCATTGGCTCCAACGGCTCCGGCCAACTCGGCATAACCCACAAAGAAGACGTCTCCGTCCCCAAGCCCGCCGCCTTCCACCCAGACCAGCAGCCCCCCTCGCGCATCGTCAAAGTCGCCGCCGGCGGAAACCACACCCTCCTCCTCACGGAGGCAGGCAAACTCTACTGGAGCGGTGATTCGGCCAGCGGAGCCTGTGGACTGCGTCCGTATCCAAACATTCCCGTGTTCCTGGAGGCGAGGCTGGCAAAGGACGACCAGGAGAATGAGCAGGTGGGAGAGATTGCGCTGGTGGCGGCGACGTGGGAGGCTTCCGTTGTTGTGGCCAGGGATGAACGCGGGAAGCGGACAAAGGTGTTTGCTTTTGGCATTGGGCAGAAGGGGGAGCTGGGCTTGAGTGAGTTGATTGTGCGGACGCCGTCAGCAACGAGGATCAAGGACTTCCCGCCTGCTGGTACGGAGGTTGTGGACTTGTCTGCGTGCATGGGACATGTTGTTGCTGTTCTTGACAACGGCGAGGTGTACGGCTGGGGGAACTGCCGCAAGTCGCAGATTGGAGAGCCCGCCGCCGTTGTCTTTGCGCCCCGAAAGGTCGAGGGCATCAACTTCAAGGCCGTCAGAGCTGTTTGTGCCAAAGAAGCCACGTGCATCTTCGGAGAGTCAGGGAGCGGGAACATGCGAGTGTTGGGCTCAGATAAATGGGGTCTAGTCTCGCAGGCCCCTTCAACTGCCCCGGCGTGGAAAGACGTCGGGGCGAGCTGGGGAAACTTTTACATCCTGGGTCAAGATGGGAGCTTGACAGCTTGGGGCCGAGATGATCATGGCCAGCTTCCTCCGCCAAATCTCCCCCCTCTTCAAAAGATGGCTATTGGCAGCGAACACGTCGTTGCACTCACAGTGGACGGAGACGTTGTAGCATGGGGTTGGGGGGAGCACGGTAATTGCGGACCACAGGTGGACAACAACGATGTCAAGGGCAGATGGAACGTGATTGCATCGTCAAAGCTCATCCCTCCGGAGAGTAAGATAGATAACATTGGCGCCGGGTGTGCCACTAGCTGGATATGTATCACATCCCGCTGAACTACCCGTTCGTCCACACGAGTTTCGCCAACAGCCATGGCGGACTCGACATATCTCCATCAGACTAGTCGGGGAACAAGGCCAAGCCCTGGACGTCGGATAGTCTCTGAGTCGGGTCCAAATATGTCGACTCTGCTGCTGCCGACTGCGCCTCCTCTGCCGGCTCGTACCCACCGCGTCCAGCATCATCGGCGCGGTTCATATGTGTAACAGACGGGTTCGTCTTTCCAAGTCAGTCTTCGAGCATATCACACGCTTTGTAAGGGGAAAACTTACAGGATCGACGCTGTGGTCCCATTCCAACCTGGTCCCCTCATCACCATCCTCGTCGTCGTCCCTGACTGGCTCCCACGCCTCGTCTTCGACAAACAGACTCTCCGACCTGAGGGTAGGCGGCGGCGGTCTCTGCGAGGGCCGGAAATCGAACGCGCCGATGCGCGAAGCACTGGCTCTAGCAGCGCTCAGTCGTGGAGTCGGATTCGGTGGCTGGCGTGATGATGACGGCGGCGGCGGCATCGAAGGCGTGGCCGCCTGTTGCCGCTGAGCTTCGGACGTGGTCTGTGAAGGTGCTGCGCTTGTGCGGCGAGAAGTCTCTTCCAAGCGCGGCACAGCATTATCGATAGTGTTGCTGTTCTTGGCTGAAGCGCCCTTTCGGACTTTTTTGGTCCTCTGTGAAGGATTGCCTCCTCGTTCCCCTACTGTCATGATGAGATACTCGCAGGAGATGGCATCGCTGGCGTAGGAAAACTGCATTGGCCGCGCAGGAAGGGAGTAGCGGGCGGCAATGGCGTTGCCGGTGATGGCCGCATGCTGTGTGATTGCGCGGACGTCTTTGATGGAGACGACAATCTGAAGTTTGTCCTCCACGTCGATGTCGTCAAACTCGTCTATTTCCACCGCAATCGAGGTGTGCAAGGGTTTCTTAAGGACCGCTGTTATCCAAATTAGCTCGCTTCAACATGCAGGGACACGGCTACTCGCACCGTCATCGCTGATGGTCTTTTCGCTAAAGCAAGTGAAATTGACATGGTCGCCATCGGTGTTGATGTCCAGGTACTCGGTCCCAGGCCCGAAGTGGTCCACCAACTGCTTCAGCGTCCGTGAAGATATGCTCCAGTGATAGAGAGCCTCCTGTCTGTTGAACTTGGCGTGCACGGGCATGCTGACTTCGAACGGCAGTCGATGCGTGGCCGTCAGTCCATTGCGAAAGGTTATCCGGGCAATGAAGCGGCTCTTAACGCCCTGCCCGTCTTCGATGGCGACATCGCACCGGTCGATGATGGTCTGCTTGTCGACATCTCCTCGCGACTCCACGCCAGATCTGCTGCGAAAGAGGGAGGCCAAGCCCTAGAATGAAGGCGGATTAGCCACCTGATGGGGAGTAGCATTCGATCGACAGAAAGTCGCCTCACTCGTATGTACATGGAGCAGAAGAATTTCTCCTGAAACTGCCCTGAGCCCTGATACTGGTAGCGCCCAAAGAAGCGGTTGGTCGCGAACCGGAAGCTCGCGTAGGCCGATTTGGATGTGTTCATGGTAGAGAGGAAGAACTGGAGAACAAATCAGCAGCTGGTTGAGGACACCATGAAATGCAGCCTCACAGTATCTTTCCGCGCTTCAATGGACACATCTTCGCTGAATTTGCTCAGGCAGTTGAGGGCGTCTCGAAAGGCTGTGACACCCTCTTCACTGAGGGTGAATGTCAGGACGGCCATGACGACATATGATTGATTGCGTGAGGAGCTGTGATGAGTAGTTCAGGTAGTTAAGAGTGAAAATTGAGAAGATGAATCAGAACTTCAATTGTTTATCAAATCGATCAGAACTGGGGTATCAATCGAGGTATTTGATTCCAGGCAATGTTGACTGAAGGAGTGTATGAAACTGATGCATTGCTGTGGTTCACGAGCTACTGAAGGTGCACTGGAGGGTTAGCGGATAAGAGGGTATCCGCGATTGGCGCATACTTACTGTATTCTGGTATAATATGCACTTTACGGGTCATGGCCAGCTTCTGTCAAAGCTCAACATCAAGAGTCACGATTAAGTGGAAACTGAGTGCTCTCTGCTATTTGTTTCCAACTGCTGGAGAGGAAGAATCGATGCTTCTGGATTGATTTAAAACGCACTAATGCAAAGAAAAGCCTCCTGACCACCATGAGTCACGATCCATCTCGTCTCCTCTGCTCAACCGCTGCGCGGCACTCCGGAGATTTGTCAAGATGCCTCTTCCGATTGTCCGGTCTAGTGAATTTCTTCTTGCAGTGCTCGCAAATACAATCAGTTTCCGGAATCTTTTGCTCCTTGGCGTACTCCTTATGGGAAACCCAGTAGTGCCTGTACAGGTCCTTCTTCTGTGCAAAGACCTCGGAGCACAGCCTTTCCCCAAAGTGCCTTGCCTCGCATAGCAGCTGTGGATTGTGTGTCTGGAGATGCTTCCTGTAAAGTGGATGGCAAGTCAGTCTTCGTGGTATATACCGTGTCTCGAATTGCTCACTTAAAGTTGTCTTTCTTCCGCCACCGCTTGCAGCACCACTTATAGCCAGGCTTGCTGTTTCCTGAGGAGAGTCAGCTACTGAGCGCAGGTGTGCATTTGGACAGAATGCTCACCATCAGGATCCAAGTCATACGAAGCAGCTTGAAGACTGGGAATGGGAGAAGTTTCCATGTTCTCATCTGAACTGCCGTTGTCCGAGCCGAATGGCATGGGCTCAGATCCCGTAGCTGAGCTGTAAGGGAAATGAACTGGGTTCATATCGTCCAAGTGGCCAATCATGGGATTCTGTGGTGTGATATGGTATGTTGTCTCAGTGAAAGTATTCGTTGCGTTCTTCGTTGTGAAGATGTCTGCATATTCCAAGTTTGTTGTAGAGTTCGTAAGGTGTTGTGTAAAATCTGTCGCACCCATTGCTTCCATCAAGTCATCTACCGACAAGTGATTCACTCTCATGTAGGTTTCCAAGTTTGTAAATTTTCCGTCGACCTCGTCATCCGTCTTACTATAATCTATCGCCTCGTCACCAGATAATTCAATGCCTTCCGACAGCCTCGCATAAGGCTCAGCCAACCCAGCGGACTGGGGATAGAGGCCGAACCCATATGACTGACTAGCCCACTAAATTGGTGAGTTGAGACTGCCGGGAGACAGAGAAGAGTCTGTGAGGCCAAGACTATTTGTTTGAGACATCGGAGACCCAGTCTTGGAGTAGTTCGTGTTGTTCAAGCCCATTGGAAGATCGAAGCCTCCAAAGCTGTTGTTATTGTCGTCCCAGGTCGGCAGGATATCAGGAGTCAAGCCGGGGCAGTCATTCTGACTCAAGGCATTGACAGCATCCTGCCCAGCATTGCAGATGGCAGTATCCAATGCCCCGTTGTCTGTCAGCAAGACCGAGTCGGCATCTTGTTGATCCCAGGACATCACATCAGGCACGTCCATCATGCATAGATCGGCATCGACGAAAGAGTCAAATGCAGGCAGACTTTCGAGTTGAACACATGGATCCTGCTCCATTGCGCGGCTGCGCAACTCCCGGTACTTTACGCGCGACATGTGAAGCTGTAAGACTCATCAGTATCTTCCTATATGGACATGGTCCGGTGAAGGAATGCTTACAATGAGTTGTAGAGAAGAAAAGTGGCGAATGAGGATAAATGCGGACCTCAAAGGGTTCCCAAAACAGGAACAAATGCCCGGGCGGCGGCCCCTAAGGAAAGAAATGAGAAGGAAAAAGAAGAGTCTGGATATCAAGCAGCATGGGTGATATATATATTCTCATCTTCAACAACGCTGGACGCCCAAGTTCGGATAGTCACGACTATCGTGAGTAGTATACTAGTACAAGGAACGCGGACTACAGATCTTCCCCGCTTCTGCGCGTAGATGAATGAGGCTGAGGTGGGCAACCGCGTTTGGGCGTGCCAACGCAGCATTGCGTGGGAGCATGTTGCAGCGTGATGCAGCCTCTGATTGGAGCGATTTGCATGAGACAGTGCAGCGTGACGCCAGCCTCTGGCACAATCAGGCCTCGCCCGGAAGGCCTCTGGCAGCTGCTTGATGTGAATGGTTCGTTGGACGTGGGATGTATGCGAGAGGCCGCTGTGGAGGGGTGAGGTTGCATGTGGCTTGGCCTCGCGTATCATGGCGAGTACATGCATTGACGGGGAGTCCTGAATGATTGATACCATCACGAACGTATGAAGCTACTTCATATAAATCATACATGAGATTTCTCAGAACAAGTCAGACGTCTGGAGCAGTTCACAATAGCCTTTAGGACCAGCAATCCAACATCGTCACGACAAAGAACATGACTTTGATCAACACCTCGGAGCCATCATGGCCCATAGACCACACCAATCAAGAGCCAATCCCCCTGGCTTCTCGCATCGTCCACAAGTTCTTTGAGCCCATCATCCTCCTCGTAGCCCTTGTCGATGCAGTTCGCAACACCGCGAAGCCACGGCCCCCAGAGCAAGAGATCAACGTCCAGGACCCCACGCAGCTCTTCTGCGCCTTCGTCAACAAGCTGGGCCACGTCTGCGATAGGGAAAAGGGCGGCGAGACCGTCACGTCCTTCGTCGTCCTCCAGAGCGAAGCCGATCCTCAACGCGCCCACTACGTCTTTGCCGTGAATAAGCAAACCGATAGCCAGTTGTCAAGCACGGCGACGTATGTGAGGACGCTTCTTCGCAAGGTCGGCCAGGCGCCCGAGGGCCAGGAGAACCAGCGCGATGCGAGACGTTCCCTGCTCTATCATGTGCTGCGGTTCAATAGGCCCAGAGTTTCGGTTTATCTGCGGAAGCTCCGAGCCCAGGCTGCGTCGTGTCTTGAGAAGTGCCAATCAGATATGACAGACGAAAGTATATAACAAAGGCTTGCATTGGGGTACAATTATCCAGACTGGCTGACCACTGGTGATAATGACAGACATTTCGATTGCGGAACAGTTGGGGTGCATCCTTGATATTTCAGAGACTGGTTCAAATGTCAAAGATGCATTGCCTCAGTGTATGTCTCCCTGAACCAGAGCACTTACTTTGCAAGCCTGACCTTGCTTGCCTCTCCAGATATCCAACAATGCGAGACAACAATGCAGCTTCTCGTCCGCATAGATAGCTCCCCAGCAGGCAAAATCATAGAAGAGCGCGCACAGGAAGACCGCATCGTAGGATACAGGAGCATGGAATGCTGGGCAGAGCTCCTTCACACGATGAGACGCATCCTCGCCTACCAGCAGTCCGTCCAGTTCTTCCTGCAAGCCAAGGAGAAATGGCCCAGTCTCTTCCAAAACGCGACCGTGGACTTCCTTGCATCTAGTCGCCCGGTACCAAAGCCGATTCGCAACAAGAGCCTCTCCGCCGTGAGTATCGTTGGCCGCATGACGCGGAAAGAAAAGGTGATGAGAATCTTTCAACGATTTGCTCAGGACCTTCAAGCCTTTGACCTCGACGACCGTATCAAGCAAGAATACGGCAGAACTACATTCAGGCCGACCGTCCACGCAGAGGTCCTCTTGCTGGACTGGGTCTGGAAGCAGAGCAAAATTGCCCCCTTGAGCTTCTTCAACGACTGCAAGTACATTGGCAGCAGCAAGCCGACGTGCAAGCTGTGCGACTTTTACTTCCAAGAGCACAAGTACAAAATCGGGCATCGCATATCCCATGGAAATCTCTACTCCAGCTGGCGCGTGCCCGACGTGTTTCCGTATCAGGGACAGGCGTGCATAGACGACAGACAGATCATGGTGGACAGACTGCTGCAGAGGGTTCGCAAGGAAGCGTTCGATATCGTGCAGAAGAAGGCCCCGGTGAGCGTGAAGGCGGAGGATTCACTCACTAATTCGGCTCGGATGACACTTTTCGATATTGTATCTCTCCGTGCTTCGACTGCTCCTATGGACGATCTTGCGTCGCTCCTAGGACAGGTCGACATCAGCTGAGGAACTGAGTACGAAGTTTCATTCGTTCTATTAGAAGTGTTTAGGCAATAACGTAGGGCAAACCAAGCAATTTCAGGATCCGCGAATCCACCATATTGAACCGTTAAACCAGTGCCCAGTCTCTCATTCTCCATGCTTGCGCCTCATCCTTCCCACATAATCATCGTAGACCATGTGCACCCTCATCCACTCCTGAAGCAGCTGTATTTGCCCAGCGAAAACCTCCAAGGCCCGCGACGGACTCCATGGCGATCGGCGTGCACGCTCGTGCCAAAGTGGCGGCCTCCGAATTGTCTTGACCAGAAGAGACCCATGGCTGAACTTGTGTGTGGCTTTTTGAGAGTGTTGTCTCGTAATTCGAGAAGTGCGTGAAAGGATGTGTAGACTGTTGCCAGAGGTCAGATATCGGCGTCGTTTTGTTTGATCCTTGCTTGCAGAGCGACCTACAGAGGCTTGTTATAGATGGAGCAAGGCGATATCAATAGTAGAGAGTAGGATGTCCGAAGAGGAGAAAGGAGTGTTGTTTAGGTAAGATGTCGAAATGAAGAACAACGGCAGTTGAGTGTCTCGCCTTCCTTCCCAACTGCCTTTATAGCCTGATCTGCATGAAATCAGGGCAAGCAATGACGTAGGTGCTCTTGGCGTGCAACGTTCTAGCAGAATCTGTGCGCGTGTACTGTGACATTCACGCCGCCTGAGAGCATGCCCTTGATTCGGTACAGAGGAAATGCTCCGAAAGGTACACCAATCACCGAAACCAGACGACGTACCTACAGTCAATGTTTGCCCTTGGAAGAAGTGGTAAAGGCGAGTCACAAGCGAACATCTACAGTGAAGAAGAACTCAGAACGAGCAGTCGCAAGCTGCCCATCCATGACATCATCAGGCCCTCACATGCCGACGGATACCCTTCCAAGTTGGCAGGCGATGCGAACGAGAAGAGGAAGCAGGGCCCCGATTAGGCTTAAATTTAAGGTAAAAAGTACGCTAGACTGTTCTGCAGTAGGCGTAAAAGTAGAACAATGAAACCTTAATGTGCCACCTCGGATATTTTCTCATGAGAGCATCATCCTTACATACCTATGTACTAGGAAGGGCATATCAAAGCTCATCGTTCTGACAAGCAGTCAATCTGGCTTCGTGCTAGGATTTGGTTCAGAAGCACTGCGTAACATGATACGGTGTAAGCCACAGACGTTTATATATGTATTCTCACCTATCTAGACGGAGGGCGATAACTTTTACAGCTTCTCTTGTCCAGTGTTGTGTCTATCTATCTGTAGGGCTTGTCTACTTCCCGTGTACTCGGTCTCAGTCAGGGCAAATACAAACTCCTTGGAGTACACCATAATTACACCAAACAGCCTCACCAAGGCGCAGCAAGCCTCAGCTCGCACAAACCACATCACCGCCGCAAACACACAGCCATCTCTTACGACGACTCCAGCCCCCTCCGCCCAGCAGCCACCAAGCTCAGCCCCTCCCCCTTATCCCCCGTCCCCGTCCAGTAAAACAACCCCCCAAGCCCCCTCTGCATCGCAAACCTCGCCTTGATATGCACCGTCCTCGGCACGTCAAACGTGAGATACCCCTTGCCCCCGTTCGCATCCACATACCACGCCGCCACCGCTCCCTCGTCCACCACCGCCTCCCTCACCCACTCGTCCGGTATCTCGCAGTAGTCCATCTCGCCCGCCTTCTCTGTAGAACATCCGGGCCCTTGTGCACGAGGAAAGTATCGTGCGTAGGCGGGAATCCCGAGGACAAGCTTTCGACTGGGGAAGCCTCTGGAGAGGAAGTACTCAACCCCGTCGGTGCCGCACGCCTGAAGTTCTGAGTGCGTAGACTGGAGTCTGGTTCCGGGGGAGTGTAGCTGTGCGTGGTTGCCGCATACTTTGGTCCAAGAGCCGGTGAAGTCGTATGCCATGAGGTTGATGTAGTCGATGATTCTTGACACGGCATCCAGATCGATGTATTTGAGGATATACCGTCCAACGGGAAGAGCAGTGGTAAGGAGATAGTTTGGCTCGGGCAGAGCTCTGCGACACTCCCTGAGGAGCTTCACATAATCACGACCCTGCTCCTCATTCTTCGGATGCTCCCAGTCAACTATAACTCCGTAAGCAATCAGTATTCCCCCATGCCATGTAAAAGTGAGACGCATACTGTCAATCCCATCGAGCCCATGACGATCACAAAACTCGCGGGCCTCCTTCGCAAACCTCTCCCGCGCATTGGAGCTGGCAGCCAACGCGGGAAACTCCTTGCTGGCGGTGCCTCCTCCAATGGACACAATGGTCTTCAGCCTAGGATGCTTGCGCTTGAGCTTTGCCAGGGCGGCCAGAGCGCCTTTTTCTCCGTCAACGTCTTTCACTGCATCGGCGTGCTCATCGATCCACTGCATGAATGTCAGCCATGTCTGGACCGAGTGAGCACTCCGAACGGCATCATACCCGAAGAGAGCCATCTTCATTGACACTAATTATAGTTGTTAGCTCTCATTCTTTCAGTCATGTATTGTCGATCCGTCATGGACAGACTCACCCGATGAACGCGTAAAAGACATGTGTAATATTGTCAACGTCAAGAGTAGCCGGCGTCTTGCCCCTGTATACCAGCCAACTGGGATAATACACGCCATTCATGTATTTTCGACCGCCAGCAGGAGGACGACTCATCTCATGCCCATTGTTCTGGCCGGTATGCGGAGGTCTGCTGGGATTGGACTGCTGCTGATGATGTTCTTGCTCAGAGTCGGACGACCCTGTTATGCACGAGCATGGGCAGAACCAGCTTTGCGACCGAGGAACCATTTCGAAGGACCGTAGCTGATCTTCTTCCGTAAACAATCTGTTTCGAAAACTAATGAGATTCACAATTAAATGGAAAGGTTACTGATATGGCTACTAATAAGGATGCGGAATGATGATGATGATGCTGCTGATGTTGATGAGGGCAGAAACCCCGCAAGTGCTCCGCCTCTCTGCCGACATTCGTAAAAGTCGGTTACACGTCAGTGCCTCGTTTGCGTCCCTTGACGTGGCTGTTTTAAGCGACAGCGAACTCGAGGGGGCAGACGATTGAGTTTATTCCTTTGGCTCCCATCCAGCTCGTCATAGCAGAATGTGGCTTTTGCACTTGAGCTCGGCAGAAAGCCCATTGTCCACCTATGTTCTCGCCAACGACGTAGAGGGCAAACTCCTTTTGCATTCGGTACCAGGAAAAAGAGTACATAAAACACCGAAGCCCATCAGATCATTGGCTATAACTTCCCGAGTGGCTTTTTCGGAGCTTTTGTATGATATCAAGATGGATCGATGGATGGACAGGCGACCTGTTCAGAAAAGCACATCAATTCGCGCCGCTGGCGTCGCTCCTCTCCCGTAACATCATGCTGAAAGCAATCCATGTACCTAGTCTATCACGGCCCAAACAGAAAGCAGCCAAAAGTATCCATCATTGCAGGTCATGACTCTGGAGAGGAAAACCAATTGCTCGTTTCGCCACCACACAGCACATCTCCATTCTCATCAAGCTCCACCGTCCCCCATTGCCTATTAGTATAACTCTCCAAAGGCGACGAGTGCAACCCGTTTCTGATAAGGTCCATCTCCCCCCTTAGCCAGTATGCCATGATATACCAGCTGCGGCCCGTCAGCGGCGAAAAGTCGTCCTGGTAAATCTCCAGGGCTGCAATCACGCTCCGCTGAATCATTGCGTCGTCCGAGGCCGCCCAGGCCGGGATCAGACAGAGCGGTATGAAGCTGGCCCCCAGCGGCCTGTATTGCGAGGCGGCGTGCGCTAGCTTGATGGCTTCGTTTGCCATCATGTCTGCCTCCTCGACCATGTTTCCGTCGTCGGCGCCAAAAGCACGCAGGTACCCATTGAACATTAACGCACAGCCCAGTAGAAGTCCATAAGAGACTTGATACTGGATGCGAATCTTTGTCCTGGCGTCTGTCTGCGATTCAGATGCTAGAGCATCAGCCACTCGTAGACCAGCTTTCAAGAGCGGGATCTCAAGGCGCATTCGTTCGTATGCAATAGCAATCTCGTCCTTGTGCTCGAAAGGCTCGCGGATCAAGTCGGGGATGTGGACAAGGCTTTTTAACTCCAGACTCATGTAGTGTCGGGCCGCACTGTCAACTGGTGCTGCCGGACCATAAGTACGTGCCTTGAGTTTCGAAAACCAGGGGCTCAGGCGTATCCTTGGGTTGAATATGGCTTCTAGTATCTAATGTTTCTGAGTAAGGGACCGAGAGTCCGTCAAGGCAATTCGATATAAGTCTGGGGATGGGACTTACTACAGGCACATAAAGAGTGTCACGTATATTCTCCTCGAATGGGTCCCGGTTTTGTCTTGACGCTGCTGCATCAAGGAGATGTGCAAGTCCTTCACCATGGCTTATACGCTGGTCAGAGTCATTCCCTGTCCAGCCCTTGACAAGTGGAAAGAAGCCATGTCAGCCTACAGTCTCTATTAGGCGGGATGCTGGGCACATCTTACTTGACAAATCATCAGCACATATACGGCACACAGCGTCTCCGGCTTCTGCGCCAGTTGTGGGTCGTTCAAGCTGGCTCTGAGAGCTTGCAGCGCTTTCACATATCTGGACAGCGAATCCCGAGAGAGCGATGACTGCTCATGTCTGCGCATGTGTGGATAGAAGCCCACCATGGCCTCTACCGCGGCATCCAAAGCCTGATTGGTTCCCAGACGCCGTGGGAGATCCTTGAACCACCCGCCATAACAGCCGAGGTCATAGCTTGGATCTGTGATATCGAGCAGCGAGATAAAGGCCACGGATCGGGCGGTTTGCTTGTTCGATACAAGGCTGGTGATGGACGATGGGCTCCCGCTTCGGGTTTCTGGGGGAGACGATCTGCCTCGGGACTTTTTGGACAGTCTTTCGGCCTGCAGCTCTGTCTGATCCTTGAACTTGTATCGCAGCTGGCCACACCCCACACACGGGATGCCGAGGCGCGAACAGCGGGAGCAGGCAGGCGAGGCCATGTCGCACTGAAGTGTGCTTTAGCGGCACGAATAGCTGACGGCGGACGGTAGATTGACAGCATTCCCATTGGATTTCCATTACATTTCCACTTGGTGAAGTGAAACATCTAGGTGGAGCAACAGCTACGAACCTTTTTCTTCTGCTTCCTACACGCATCGCATCCGCGATACGACGGCACGCCGGGCATGGTGGCGGCTGATTGGCAGCGCTGCGTATTTCCCGAACAGGCAGTGAGGGGGCTCAGAAGAAGACGACACGACGCCCGTCAACAGCAGAGTATCTCCGATGACTTGCTGTATTATTGCTTGAATCGATAGTTTTGACAGGCTAAGGCAGGTTGAATGAATGGTTGGTTGGTAGGATCACGGCTGGTGGTTGCTTGTCAGTGTATGTTGTGTGTTGGTTTCCCTTCCTTCATGTGACATGACATGCAGAAAAGATCCCTTTCCGATCGCATATAAAGCACGACGCAGCCCGAGAAGCAATCGAAACGTCACGCAAGGCTCATTACAAGGCTGAGTCCCTGTCTTGACGGCGTTCGTGATGATGTCAAGAGGAAGCTTGTGCCGGCGGGGGATTTCCGCTCAGGGAGAACAAGGCAGGCCGAAAGCCACCGCCCCCGCTAAATTAGCTCAATACAAGTTTCTGATTGGTTGACCGCGAAGTGCCGATCTCAGCCATATCGGGTGGGGCGCTGCGCTCAACTCAGTGAGGCTAGAGCATGTGGCTCATTCAGGTACGTACCTCGTTACAGTAATCTGTGATCTTCTTAAAATGGTTCAAGTCGAACACTCTGCTCCTGGTAGATGGGTGAGAACTGCTATATAAGAAGGGAGCAAGGCCGTTGTCCATGGCCTACTTCAAATCCTATGCGAGTGATAGCCACCAGACCTGCTACGTATAGGAGGCACCTCTTTAGCGGCCAGCCGGCTGGGCTCATCCGATCTCGATCCAACTTGAGGCCTACCTCTACAGGAGCATTCAGCATCCACGTATTGCCGTCGAATCTACTACCATGAATTCAGCTATGCCCGTATACTTTTTCGTTGATTGATCTTCGACACCAAGCCAGGCCTGGTACAAGCACTCGTACAAAATCGTCAGTGTTGTGACGTACCGAGTGCCAGCCAGGATGTGGCATGAAAGAACAATTGGAACAAGCGGACATCATCGGCGACCAGAAGTGCTTCACGCACATACCCAGTTAACTTGGAAGCACGCAAGGCAGAGTCTTCGCCGCCAAGGAAACGAGTGCAACCTTGATGCAGAGCAAAGCGGTTGAGCGGCAAGTCTCTCGCCATATCGCCCGTCGGCCGACATTGGCGAAATGATCAAAGCATCAGTGGCGCCTGCACGGCGCAGCCCCCCTCCCTGCATATCGTGTTACAGTCTCCAGTCTTCCTCTCGTCAATATGAATCGACACAGATTCCGTCTTGATGGAGCCCACGTGCCTCGACCAACAGCAGCCGCAGCAGGTCCTGGGCCGAGCATCCCCAAAACCGTACGACTTGTTCCCTCGAGCTGAGCCACAATGGGACAAGAAACGACGAGAGACATCATGGCGGCCTATCTAATTTCCATCTGAGACATGGCATCATGCCGATAGAGGCCAAACAGCTTGGACTCATTTTCGGGTACAGACTCCGTAGGGGTCGCGATGTCCCAACACCCTGGCTTACGTGAGGTGACCACCAACAACCAACATATTAGTCGTCCCGATCTGCGACAAGGGACATTGCGACACGGCAGTCACACACTGCCCTCCGAGACTGCGCAGAAAAGCAGGGCAGCTTGAATTGGCATTACATCATCGGGCGGCCTCGCAGTCGTAGCCCCGGGGGCGGGCAAACAAAGGCGGCCGCGCATCCATGCAGTCATAGGCAGAGGCGTTGAGGCCTTGGGCGACGAAAGAGCATTGAGGTCATCAAGGGGCCGGATATAGTAGCTGAACAACAAGGGAGGAGGACGTGAATGAATGGACAGACGGGTCACTCTGCGGCTTTGAGTCGACACGATCCGCGTTGGGCTGGCGACGGCAGCGTTTAAGAAGTGGCTCTGCCCCCCCTTGCAGCAGAGCAATCTTGCTTCTACTTCCAGACTGTACCAATTCTTCCCCTTATATTGCTGTACCCCCTCTACTAGTATCACCAACAATCCTACGACTCCTACCTACCAGCAACCTTCACGAGCATATCCTGATTGTACGATTCAATAGTACCACCACGCATTCTACCGTTCGCAATATTCCTACTATCGAACTAGCCTCCTCGAATCAATCCTCGAGACCTCTCTAGACAAGCAACACATCGTCATTATGGGCTGCGGTTCGTCTTCCCCCGAAGAGCCTCTGGTTCCCCAGCGAGTCGTCTGGCTCCGACACACGGCCCTCAACAAGTCGGAAATCCTCGTCCACGGAGACGGCCAGCCCCCCGATTCCACCCCGCTGTTCTCTGCCCAGCTGCACACCTACACCAAGCCTTCGCTGCGATTCTTCCAGGGCCCCATCGGAGGCGGTCCCCAGATCGGCGAGGGCAACTTCCACCAGATGACATCCAACACCGACCTCAGTCTGCGCGGGCAGTCGTTCAAGCTCAACATGAGCCAGCTCACCTACGACTTTACGCTCAAGGGGACGCCCATGGGCGAGCTCAAGTGGAAGAAGAACAAGTTTACTGGCGGATCGCTGGAACTGGTCGACGGCAGCGACAGGACGCTGGCCAAGGTCAAGTCCAACGGCGTCAATATCCTGGAGAAGAGGCTGGAGATTTACATTCAGTGCGACGACTTTTTCGCGGACCTCATCATCTTGTCGGCCATTGCTGCGAGACAGGTCACGGACATTACCACCGACCATACGGCAGTTGTTTACTAGTTGTGTGGTGTCGGGAGGGGATCCCGTCGGCATGAGTCCCTCTGCCCTAGGGTTGTTTTGCACTTCACTTGTTGGTCTGTGTACGATGGGAGCGACGTCCTCTTTGTTAGTTTACCTTTGGCGATAATCTTCCTTTGTAGCCTTGGCATATGGAGAGGGCGTTTTGAATCAGAATTTCTCATTAATTTATCCTCCCATTTCCGATTCTTGAGTACAAAGATCGTCTGTGTACTTAATCGATGCATTTGACTTACTGGATGTCAGTCACTTCGTTTGACGCGTTTGACAAAGCCAACTGTCAATCTTTTGAGACTCGAGCGCAATCCCGAGCTTGGACCATTTTCACGGAGGCCACCGTGGCCTAGAACATGTAATTTTGAAGTTGAGAATTGGCGGCCTCTTGACTCTTTTTCAGCCGTATAGATATTACTAAGACGATGCGAGGAAGTGTTCACGATGTTACCTTGCTGTATTCAGGCTATATTTTGCTATTGTCTTGCATGTTATGCTGTCGACTGGATGTTGTTCAGCTGAAAGGCTTCATTACGACGAAAGACGTCGCCAGACCTGACTCGCCTTTATCGTTGACAAACGGCGAATGGTATTCTGAATAACCTATAGCACGATGTTCGAATGGAGAGAAACCAGCATTCAGCCTCTTATTGGTATGTCAGAGCGATGATTTTTGTGCATGTGGCCAATGACAAGGTAAAGATGCTGTTGGTGTCAGATTGCTTGGTAATAGTGCTTTTATATTGCTGGTTCAGTGTTTGCCTCGAGTGAAATGCATCGAATGATTGGTGAAGAGTGCATGGAGCTGAGGAAGAATTTGATCCTTGGAGAGGGCGGGACGGAGCATTGCCGAGCTGAAGAGCCATGGCACGGACAAATTTGGGTGCCTACGGTGAGGATGCATGATGATTGAACCCAGAAGTACCTATTTCATGTGCCTGATTCTGAATGCAAAAGGGTAAAGGAAATATATCCAAACAACGCAAGCTAGACTTCTGTCCTGGAAGTCCTCCGAGCGGATTCCTTGGGTTCGCGCTCGAGCGATGCCGATCTGTTTACCATACAGTATGGCAATTCTTAATATCGTTCGCGTTGCAAAGAAAGTATCTTAGAACCAAGCAGACTAAGTCTTGGGAGAAAATGGTTCTGTTAATGAAAAGGGGGTCTGTCCATAGCGTTTTAGACGACCAATCTCTTGGGACGATTGGCCTCGTCAGGAATTGTCACTTACACGAGGGCGAGCTTCTGACGGATGGAACTTCACGCAAGTACGAAATCGGATACTTCGGTCAGGTACCTACCTAGACAGCATGCCGTGCTTTCTACCCAAGATTTATGGGTGCTATCATCTTGGTAGAATTGTATTAGAGGCCCCATTTTACAGAGGCTCCAGTCTGCCGTACAGCACGACGACTACCTAATACGCAGGTGAACTCAACGTGGAGGAGCAGATGGCACCACTCGAACCCCCCTGGAACGATATGTACTACTCTAAGCCAAATGGAACGCCAGATCTGGGTACATAGTATGCATTCGGCATCTACTACCTACCTAGGTAGTAGACACTCGCGCAAGTATTACCTGCTGAACGTGATTATGGAAAGCAGGAATAGGTAGAAATCAGGCAGCAAGCACACCCCTAGGGTATTCCAGCCCGTTCAAGCCTTAAAAGTACGGTGGAAGACCTCAATCGGCAGCTACATCAACCCCTCAGACCCAGCCAATCAACTGTATGTGTGTAAGGTAGGAGAATGTGAATGGGGGATTCAAGATTTCACAGCATTCTTAACTCTCACCAAGGCTTCTTTACATTGTACTATAGGTAAGCCTCAATCTTATCCCAACCAGCTGCTTACATACTACTATGGGGTTCTCACACCGGATGAATCGCAAATGACGGTTGCATTTGATGATGATACCTTATGTATTGGCTCGTCCTTCACAGCACTTTTAGCTTCCCTCAAGACCGTCTCACGGAGACCTTTGCGAGCTTCCTGGCGGCCACCATTTTCACAGCACTTTTGACCCTCTCCAATGCCTTCAAACTCAGCCTCTTGCCCCCATCAGCCGTCTGGATCTTATGTGGTCTTCTCACCAAAAGAATTCGTAATGACGTGAGACACATATTGAAAATTTACAGCAATTTGAACTCCTTGAATCCTATCAAGTATGCATCAATGAGGTGCTCACGGCGTCTCACAGCGCTTTTACCTCTGCCCGGAGCCTTGAAATCAACCTCTTGTTCAATCGACTGCTCGCATATGGTGGGTTCTTCTGATTCAAAGGGCCAGCGAAAGAGGGGGTTTGCCTGGCAGGAATCCCGTCGATGGTCTGTTGGGTGAAGTCCTTCACACCATCCTCAACCCTCCCAAGGGACATCAGACTACTACTCTCATACTTGGTAGGCACTTCAACGCTCGAGGGGAACTAAAATTGCTGTGAAGGGAGGATATGCAGTAGTGCATCTTAGCCGCAGCCTGAAGAGGCACACATACGAAGTAGCACATGCGGCTACTACCTGGTACTTATACTACCAAGGTAAGGTAGGTACCTTATGTAATATCCAGTTAAGTACGTTACCGAATCTAACCACCATCTACCAATGAGCATCAAAGCACCCAAATTGTCACGGAATGCTTCTTGTTGCTGCTTGCTCTCCAGATACAAGCATACAATCCAACAAAAAAGAAGAAGAAGAAGAAAGAAACAAGACGAGGTCAAAGGGAAGTCTAGTCTTCCCAGATTGAGCCCAGAACGCTGAACCAAAGACTATATAACGCCCCCTCGCATACATTTCGCACACATTTCGCCAACTTCTATTGGATCAATATGACACCCTTGGAAGAGGGAAAGATTCCAGACACCGAGGACAAGTGAGTCTAGACAATTACTCGTGCTAGAAAGAAAGGTCTCTTTCAGAAAGTGCGCGTGGAGAATAGGTGCGACAATGACAACTCTTCACATACCAAGCTGAAACACCATACCTACCTACCTCGGCGTCTTCTGTCGCTTCTTCTTTCTTGGCCCCCAACCTTCGGAAGCATAATATTGGGGTGATGTCAGTGTATCGAGATATGCTGTGCTACGTATATTCTCTGCACCGTCCCCACGCCGACGACGCCAAGGAAAAGAAATATCGGGTATGCAGACGGAATCTCGTTGCGTAACATGGGGGCAGCTTGTATCATCGAGGACGCGCAGAGAAAGCTGCTACTAATACTACTCCTACCATCCTGTCTTTTTCCGACCCCAGGCATCGAGGCTGTGATGAGAATGATCTGAATCAGCCAATCGGTGTGGATTTCGCGACTAGCGGGAGTGTGAGCGCGTTGTGTATGTACATGAGACAGCCACTCAGCCTCACGTACGGGATAGATGAAAGGGGGGCCAAGAACGAAAGGAGAGAAGCATAGGAAGACTTCCAGCCGCAGCATCTTCACAAGAGCCACGATGACGTGACTCTTCGGAATCAGCTTCATGAAGCAATAATCGATGAACAAAGGCACCATCAGGTACTCTCGTCGCCAAGGGCGGTAAGAGAAAGTAAAAAGAAGAATTGCAAGGGTTCATATAAATCAAGTTATTTCCCTAGGGTCTGTTTTTGCGCGCGCTGTCCCTGCCGTGCGCATTCCTCCGAAAAGAACACAGCCATCCAGATAGAAACTGTTCCGCCGCCGCCCTCCCTTCCCTGGCATTTCCCTTGCGCGCCCTGAGCGTAGCAACAATCTTAAAAATGAAAACAACAAGAGAGAAGAAGAAAAACAGTCCATCAAACGAAAAAGGGCGAAGAGTGAAAGAACCAGGCATCAGTATATCGGGATGATATACAGCAGTGGGGAAAAAGAGAAAAGAGAGCCGACCGGAACGCCTTCGTTCACCACCCTTGGTGTGTACCACCCGTAAACCCCCAAATTTCCCTCAATAACCATCCTTGTGATTTGTATCAGCCCGCATCCGGGGGCCATAAACGTTGTCCCCAATCGCCGCCGCCATCGTGGGCTGGAATCTCAAACAAGACCGAGCCCAGCCGTGAGAGGCGTTGATAATACCCATAGTCGTGTGCGGCCATTTCCGCCATTTTAGTCTTTTTTTCTTTCTTTTTTGCTTTTCATAGTGCGCAGGATAGAATCGGATAACAGTAAACCCTTTGGAAAATGAGAAACCAGGTCGTAGTGTGACGGCGAGGATGCGGCTGTCACTCATCACACTTCTTTCCCTCAGAATTGGGGAAGACATGAATATTCGTGATGCTGCCGCGGTCGCCTCTCGTTTCTTGCCTACATGACCGAGGAAGCCAGCAGGCGCGATTCGACGTCGTCCATGCCCATGCCGTCCATGCGAGGACCCTCCATTCCCTGGAGCCGCTGTTCTATCGCCTGGAACCGAGGCTCGTAGCCGCCGGCGCGCGCCTCGATGTTCTCCATGCGCTTTTCGATGTTGTCGAGACGCTGCTCGATGCGCATCAGGCCTTGGGCCATGTCGTGGCTCAGGCGGTCCAGCTTGTTGGTGAAGGACCGGATCGATGTCGCCAAGGGAGCATTCTCCTGGCCGGGGGTGCCGGAGGGGACGCGCGGCTCGTGGTTGTGCCTGGGCTCTTGCAGGGCGAAGCGCCACTGGTTGCCCAGCTGCACCTCGCAGACGGCCTTTGCACGGAAGGGGCAGTCGATCTTGCGCGTCGACGGGTTGCGCTTCTTGGCGGTGCTGTTGTACTTGACGCCGCCGCGATCGCAGACGAGGTCGTAGCGGGTGGGCTTGCCGTCGCGGTAGTTGGAG